CAATATTTGGCCAAATTTGACAAAAAATGTAAGGCTAACCCCTTGTATTTTTTTCAATTTTGGCCAAAAAATGAAATTGCCTGAAAATTGCTGGAAAGCTTCCTAAAGGACCCTAGAATATATTCCCAATCGTTTTGTGGACAGATGTGGTATAAACACGGAAATTTGGTCGAAAATTTCAGGTAAAATCACTCAAAATTGTTAATTTTTTTCCCTCCAAAAATGGATGATTTTTGCCCAAATCTTCATTATTATGCGTGTTAGTGTATTGATTGATGTTCCTCTTGCATCCAGATGAATTTCTGGCTTGTTTTGAGAAAAGTCCATTTTTGGCCAAATTTGACTAAAAATGTAAGGCTAACCCCTTGTATTTTTTTCAATTTTGGCCAAAAAATGAAATTGCCTGAAAATTGCTGGAAAGCTTCCTAAAGGGCCCTAGAATACATTCCAAATCGTTTTGTGGACAGATGTGGTATAAAAACGGAAATTTGGTCGAAAATTTCAGGTAAAATCACTGAAAATTGTTAATTTTTTTCCTCCAAAAATGGATGATTTTTGCCCAAATCTTCATTATTATGCGTGTTAGAGTATTGATTGGTGTTCCTCTTGCATCCAGATGCATTTCTGGCTTGTTTTGAGAAAAGTCAATATTTGGCCAAATTTGACAAAAAATGTAAGGCTAACCCCTTGTATTTTTTTCAATTTTGGCCAAAAAATGAAATTGCCTGAAAATTGCTGGAAAGCTTCGAAAAGGGCCCTAGAATATATTCCCAATCGTTTTGTGGACGGATGTGGTATAAACACGGAAATTTGGTCGAAAATTTCAGGTAAAATCACTCAAAATTGTTAATTTTTTTCCTCCAAAAATGGATGATTTTTGCCCAAATCTTCATTATTATGCGTGTTAGTGTATTGATTGATGTTCCTCTTGCATCCAGATGAATTTCTGGCTTGTTTTGAGAAAAGTCCATTTTTGGCCAAATTTGACTAAAAATGTAAGGCTAACCCCTTGTATTTTTTTCAATTTTGGCCAAAAAATGAAATTGCCTGAAAATTGCTGGAAAGCTTCCTAAAGGGCCCTAGAATACATTCCAAATCGTTTTGTGGACAGATGTGGTATAAAAACGGAAATTTGGTCGAAAATTTCAGGTAAAATCACTCAAAATTGTTAATTTTTTTCCCTCCAAAAATGGATGATTTTTGCCCAAATCTTCATTATTATGCGTGTTAGTGTATTGATTGATGTTCCTCTTGCATCCAGATGAATTTCTGGCTTGTTTTGAGAAAAGTCCATTTTTGGCCAAATTTGACTAAAAATGTAAGGCTAACCCCTTGTATTTTTTTCAATTTTGGCCAAAAAATGAAATTGCCTGAAAATTGCTGGAAAGCTTCCTAAAGGGCCCTAGAATACATTCCAAATCGTTTTGTGGACAGATGTGGTATAAAAACGGAAATTTGGTCGAAAATTTCAGGTAAAATCACTCAAAATTGTTAATTTTTTTCCCTCCAAAAATGGATGATTTTTGCCCAAATCTTCATTACTATGCGTGTTAGAGTATTGATTGGTGTTCCTCTTGCATCCAGATGAATTTCTGGCTTGTTTTGAGAAAAGTCCATTTTTGGCCAAATTTGACTAAAAATGTAAGGCTAACCCCTTGTATTTTTTTCAATTTTGGCCAAAAAATGAAATTGCCTGAAAATTGCTGGAAAGCTTCCTAAAAGGCCCTTAAACATATTCCAAACCGTTTTGTGGACAGAAGTGGTATAAAAACGGAAATTTGGTCGAAAATGTCAGGTAAAATCACTGAAAATTGTTAATTTTTTTCCTCCAAAAATTGATGATTTTTGCCCAAATCTTCATTATTATGCGTGTTAGAGTATTGATTGGTGTTCCTCTTGCATCCAGATGCATTTCTGGCTTGTTTTGAGAAAAGTCAATATTTGGCCAAATTTGACAAAAAATGTAAGGCTAACCCCTTGTATTTTTTTCAATTTTGGCCAAAAAATGAAATTGCCTGAAAATTGCTGGAAAGCTTCCTAAAGGGCCCTAGAATATATTCCCAATCGTTTTTTTTTGGACAGATGTGGTATAAATACGGAAATTTGGTCGAAAATTTCAGGTAAAATCCCTCAAAATTGTTAATTTTTTTCCTCCAAAAATGGATGATTTTTGCCCAAATCTTCATTATTATGCGTGTTAGAGTATTGATTGGTGTTCCTCTTGCATCCAGATGAATTTCTGGCTTGTTTTGAGAAAAGTCCATTTTTGGCCAAATTTGACTAAAAATGTAAGGCTAACCCCTTGTATTTTTTTCAATTTTGGCCAAAAAATGAAATTGCCTGAAAATTGCTGGAAAGCTTCCTAAAGGGCCCTCAAACACATTCCAAACCGTTTTGTGGACAGAAGTGGTATAAAAACGGAAATTTGGTCTAAAATTTTAGGTAAAATCACTCAAAATTGTTAATTTTTTCCCTCCAAAAATGGATGATTTTTGCCCAAATCTTCATTATTATGCGTGTTAGTGTATTGATTGATGTTCCTCTTGCATCCAGATGAATTTCTGGCTTGTTTTGAGAAAAGTCCATTTTTGGCCAAAATTGACTAAAAATGTAAGGCTAACCCCCTTGTATTTTTTTCAATTTTGGCCAAAAAATGAAATTGCCTGAAAATTGCTGGAAAGCTTCCTAAAGGGCCCTAGAATACATTCCAAAACGTTTTGTGGACAGATGTGGTATAAAAACGGAAATTTGGTCGAAAATTTCAGGTAAAATCACTCAAAGTTGTTAATTTGTTTTCCTCCAAAAATGGATGATTTTTGCCCAAATCTTCATTATTATGCGTGTTAGTGTATTGATTGATGTTCCTCTTGCATCCAGATGAATTTCTGGCTTGTTTTGAGAAAAGTCCATTTTTTGGCCAAATTTGACAAAAAAGGTAAGGCTAACCCCTTGTATTTTTTTCAATTTTGGCCAAAAAATAAAATTGCCTGAAAATTGCTGGAAAGCAAGGGCGGATCAGGGGGGGGCCAAAGGGGGCCATGGCCCCCCCCCCCCAAAACGAAATCATTTTTTTTTTTTTATGTGACATCGCAATAACGGCAGTCAATGAGTACACCACCATCTTTTCCTCAAAAAAAAAACATTGGTTAAAGTGGTCAGAAATTGCCTCAGATCGCACCACAGAGCATCTAGAATCCAAAATTTTTTCGGGGCCCTTAAGCGGGCCCCGAACCCCACGCCGTAATTTTTTTGACCCACTTTTTGACATCGCAATAAAGGCAGGCAATGAGTACACCACCATCTTTTCCTCAAAAAAAACATTGGTTAAAGTGGTCAGAAATTGCCTCAGATCGCACCACAGAGCATCTAGAATCCAAAATTTTTTCGGGGCCCTTAAGCGGGCCCCGAACCCCACGCCGTAATTTTTTGACCCACTTTTTGGGGGAACCAAAATTTGTTTGGCCCCCCCCAAAATTGTTTTCTGGATCCGCCCTTGCTGGAAAGCTTCCTAAATGGCCCTAGAATATATTCCCAACCGTTTTGTGGACAGATGTGGTATAAACACGGAAATTTAGTCGAAAATTTCAGGTAAAATCACTCAAAATTGTTAAATTTTTCCCTCCAAAAATGGATGATTTTTGCCCAAATCTTCATTATTATGCGTGTTAGAGTATTGATTGGTGTTCCTCTTGCATCCAGATGAATTTCTGGCTTGTTTTGAGAAAAGTCCATTTTTGGCCAAATTTGACTAAAAATGTAAGGCTAAGCCCTTGTATTTTTTTCAATTTTGGCCAAATAATGAAATTGCCTGAAAATTGCTGGAAAGCTTCCTAAAGGGCCCTAGAATACATTCCAAATCGTTTTGTGGACAGATGTTGTATAAAAACGGAAATTTGGTCGAAAATTTCAGGTAAAATCACTCAAAATTGTTAATTTTTTTCCCTCCAAAAATCTATGATTTTTGCCCAAATCTTCATTATTATGCGTGTTAGAGTATTGATTGGTGTTCCTCTTGCATCCAGATGAATTTCTGGCTTGTTTTCAGAAAAGTCAATTTTTGGCTTAATTTGACAAAAAATGTAAGGCTAACCCCTTGTATTTTTTTCAATTTTGGCCAAAAAATGAAATTGCCTGAAAATTGCTGGAAAGCTTCCTTAAGGGTCCTAGAATATATTCCCAATCGTTTTGTGGACAGATATGGTATAAACACGGAAATTTGGTCGAAAATTTCAGGTAAAACCACTCAAAATTGTTAATTTTGTTCCTCCAAAAATGGATGATTTTTGCCCAAATCTTCATTATTATGCGTGTTAGAGTATTGATTGGTGTTCCTCTTGCATCCAGATGAATTTCCGGCTTGTTTTGAGAAAAGTCCATTTTTGGCCAAATTTGACTAAAAATGTAAGGCTAACCCCTTGTATTTTTTCAATTTTGGCCGAAAAATGAAATTGCCTGAACATTGCTGGAAAGCTTCCTAAAGGGCCCTAAAACACATTCCAAACCGTTTTGTGGACAGAAGTGGTATAAAAACGGAATTTTGGTCGAAAATTTCAGGTAAAATCACTCAAAATTGTTAATTTTTTTCCTCCAAAAATGGATGATTTTTGCCCAAATCTTCATTATTATGCGTGTTAGAGTATTGATTGGTGTTCCTCTTGCATCCAGATGAATTTCCGGCTTGTTTTGAGAAAAGTCCATTTTTGGCCAAATTTGACTAAAAATGTAAGGCTAACCCCTTGTATTTTTTCAATTTTGGCCGAAAAATGAAATTGCCTGAAAATTGCTGGAAAGCTTCCTAAAGGGCCCTAGAACACAATCCAAACCGTTTTGTGGACAGATGTGGTATAAAAACGTAACAAAAGCGAGGTTGGAAGGAAAAATAGTCTGGTTCCTTTTTGCATAAAAACATTATCATTCAGTGCTGTTATCGGATACAGGGAACATGACTGAAATGGTGGCAGCATGATAAAGGTCTATACCCCTCTTCTTGAAACCCTTAGGTCTTCGTGGCGTCATGTTTGCTGTCATGTTGGCCGCTCTGATGAGCGACCTCACCTCCATCTTCAACAGCACCAGCACCCTCTTCACCATCGACATCTGGAAATATTTCCGAATCAAGTACGGCAAGAAAGAACCAAGTGTACATGAGCTCATGATCATAGGAAGGTAGGTCAACGTGAAATATGGCGACAAGAACTATTTCCTTGTTCCTTGTTTCCTAACGGGCAATCTTGGCTGTATAGTAACGAGTGCGAGTGCACAATAAGCTCTGGCCGTGTTCCAAGAAGTCTCGCATGAAAGCATTGCATGAAGTGGTTGAAAATAATCCCTGCTAGAGCTGAACAAGGCAATGCCCCAAAATGCAACGCCGATGGCACATATGGAACACCATACTTTTGATCAATTTTCCGGGCACAGACAGACAACTGCAAACAGACAGACCATCCGATTGACCGACCGACCACCAAGTGACAAGTAGATGTTTTTGCCAGAGCTTAAAAGATGCTTCTGCCTGAGCTTAAAAGCAGACAAGCATGTGACAAGTGCTCCTTCCTAGCTAGAACTACAGCAGAATGGAACCTCCCGGTATCTTTGAGAGAGGCCCCTTCACTTGATGCATTGAAGGACAATCTACTGAAACTAAACTTGTCCAGGATAAAAAAACCCAGAGCTTATTATCAGTGCCCCCAGCCACACACACCTGCAACATTTACATCCCATAATGAAACATTGCTTGCAGAATTGATCCAGGTCCAGATCCAAATTTCAAGAAAATAATTGGTCAATCTTGATTCATTTTGTCTCAGGTTGGTGGTGGTGATCATGGTCATCCTGAGCATCTTGTGGATCCCAGTCATACAGCAGATGCAGGGCGGTCAACTCTTCATCTACATTCAGGAGGTATCGGGCTTCCTAGCCCCTCCCATAGCCGCAGTCTACGTAGTGGCCCTGCTTTGGTCTAGAGGCAACGAGAAGGTGACTTGAACGCATCTTTCACATTTATTTCGTGTCCAAAAGGTTTTAGGTGGAACGTTTACTGAAGGTAGTAAAAAAGAAGAAATACAGACTGTCACGAGCCAATGTGGCCCATCAGGCCGGCGTTTATCTCCGGTGTCAGTAGCATGAAACGACTGAAAATATTTCTATTCCTCCTGGATGGGATGCCAGTCCATCGCAGGTTACTCCCCAGCTAATGCCGGTACCCATTTATACTCATGGGTGGAGAGAGGCAATTGGAGGTGAAGTGTCTCACGAACCCTATACCACTTGGCCACACTCCCCTGATACTGAAGGTATCCAGCACAAACTAGAACATTATTTGGATGATCCTCATTGCCAAGTTGACTTAGAGGTTCCAGCACGATGGAATAACAAAGCTGATTCGATCGGGCATTGCAATTGCTTTAAACTTAAACATAGTGTTAGCAAAGCCTTTACTAGGTCCTAGAGAATTTCACTGCATAGCTTATTAGGGTTCATCTGTTGATAAGGTACACTCAGTTTCCTACATGGATGGTCAGAGAAAGGACGGCTTCCACAATCCACAACTTCTACCTCTGTGATCCGGATTCGGAGTCCACTCAGGCCAACAGGTACCAGCCTGACTGAGTCCCAGCCTGAGTCTGTGGCTTTACCTGGATATATCAATCTGAGGTTTTGCTCCCAAGAACTTATCACTGCATCTCTTAATCGTCTTCTGTCTCCAGGTTTCTTGCGTTGGGCTATTAATTAAGCTACAGTTTCTGTACACTATTGAGAAACCAACTTGGTGTCATCACCAGAAGAGAAAAGGTGCCAGTGTTGAAGCTGTTTTCTTTTTATTGTTTTTTTCAGGGTGCCTTCAGTGGCCTTGTAGTTGGCTTCATCATCGGAATGATCCGTATGATCCTGGATTTCACCTACCGAGCTGGGCCCTGCTGGGGCGTGGACAACAGGCCGGCCATTACGGCCAAAGTGCACTACATGTACTTCAGCCTGATACTGTTCTGGATCGTGATTATCGTGGATGTTGTAGTCAGCTTGCTGACAGCACCCCCTGAGAAACAAAGGGTACAGATAATTTCAGGCTTTTTGTGGTGGGCTAGGGTGAAGTAATGGGCCGAAGCTAGTGTAGCGAAATAATCTTTTGTCAGGCCATGCATTTTTGTGTTATTATTGCGATCAAGAGAGGGCGTCAGACAAGACCTATAAAAAGTATCCGTATCTGGGCAGACCCGCCGAGGTCGCCAGGGTCATACGCTAGACAATAAATGATTACAATGTATACATTTGGAGGCGCGGGAAAAGAGTACGCGCAACAGGAAAAATGAGTGGCAGAATGATATGTGGAAACATGAGGGAAGTTTCGGCATGATTTTCGGTGGACAGAAGCAAAATAAATCAGCTCGACAAGTAAATCACATAGAAGAGTCAGTGTGTATGTTTTCGTTCCAGTTTTATTGAAGCCTATACCCCTTTGCTTCACGGCAAAATAACACTACAAATTGGTAACACGGATGGGGTGTGGGTAACGTGTTTGAAACGTGAACTGGACGACGACAAAAACAGAATTTTGAAGCGTATCGTCGAGAGATTTTGCCTGGGCTGCTGCTTAGCTAGCTTCAAGACGGGACGAAATACGGCGAACGGTTTTAGATTTCGTCGATCCATGCATGCAACCGAGACCTGAGCTGCAGGCCTTCCCAATCGAGCCTATCTTGCTGAAAAGCGGACTGTCTGAGAAGTCCGCTGTGCCGTGACAGCTGCCGTTTGATCCGCTGCGGAGTGCACCGAGACCCGTGGGCAGCGGACGTACGGTCTTCGCTGCGAGGAGACGGGGTCCGCAACTACACAAACGCCTTCGCTGGACGTTGAATTATTGCACTTCGAACAACGGGGGTGTTGGTGTGACGGATAGCACTATTTGGATGACAGAGGCGTGAAGCTTGATGTTCGAGACTCGCTTGGACTGGGCCTACTGGTGTGGGGAGCTCGAGAGGGCAACAGTCAAGTCGGCTACACCTGGACTGGAGTGACGGTTCAACGCTGCGGTGGATGAACTGAGGATTGACAAGTCTCCGGCCTGGATCGACTGGTGAAACAGCTCATGGTATTGTAACTGCAGGACTGATTAATGAACTTTCACCTTTAATTGTATGATGAACAGTACGTAGGCTATAATTTCATTAAGGGTTGCCCTGAAAACACAAAATACCCAGTTGTTGTATTGTCGAGGTGTGTTTGAAGTCTGCCTAATACATGTAGTTTGCTCATTATCTCATTTACCTGTGTACATATGCAATAGTGTGTCCCAAGTTATGAAAGTTTGATTGAGAGTGCTTGAGGGATTTTTGTTTGGCACAGAAGCAAATATTATGGCTAACTCAGAAACAGATTTGATAACCCAGTTGGTGACAGGGCTGACAAATGCCCTAAAGCAGGATAAGCCTCGGGCTGTATCACAGCGCCCAATCAAGCTTTCAAAGTTTTCGGGTAAACCCACAAGGGCAGGGGACCCCACTATAATAGAATGGTTAGATGAAGTAGATGTGTACATTCAGCAATGCAGTATCCCGGAGGATGAGCAAGCAAAGGTTGTTATTCAGCATTTAACAGGGGTAGCCCGGGAGGAGATTAAGTGCCATGGGGATGAAATTAAAAACAATATTGCTTCCCTAAAGAAACTGCTTAAGAGGAGTTTTGGTGCGGACGAGGCTGTTCAGTCTCTTCAAAAAGCCCTCTATGAGCGCACTCAAAGGGAGGAAGAGTCACTGATGGATTTTTCTAGATCGCTTATGCGACTTCATGATCGAATCCTTGAAGTCGCGACAGAAGGCGAGAAGGGCGCCCTCAAGGGGTTACGCGACAGGGTATTAATCAGCCAGTTTGTCGCTGGTGCTAGAATTCAATCTGTTAGGCTGGAGCTGCGCAGGCTTGAGTTAGCCAAACCTTCCCAAAGTTTCAGTGAGATGCGCGATGCAGCACGGGAACTTTTCCGTGACATTGAGGGGGGTCACGCCCCAAACGGGGTCAAGTGCACCAGGTGTCAGCTGAAAGTGTATCACCTGAGGCTGAAGATAGTACACCGGGGGTCAAGGTCAATGAAATTTCAGTTAATAGGAATAATGACCAGTTGCAACAGGTGTTAGCACAACAGCAAGAGCTGTTGCGATGTCTCCAGTCACAACAGGGTATGTTGTTAAAGCAACAGGAGCAGTTGAATACATTGTTGAAACATGTACATGTAGGGCAAGATGCGAAAATTCCGTGGGTATCGGATACTGCCGGGAACAGGCCACCTCTGGTTTGTTTTTACTGTAAGAAACCAGGGCATATCAAGGCTCATTGCAAGCGCAGAATAGCTAAGGAGGCAGCGACAACAGCTCAGCCATCACGCGAACCACAGTTAAGTAGTAATGTGCAGGGTAAAGTAGTCGGGGAGGGGTTAAACCCCCACGCTCCACAACTGTAGGCCGAGTGGTGGAGGACAAGGTCAAAAAGGCCTCACAAAAAGGAGATTCCCAATGTGGAAGGGTGCAGTCAGAGTCTTCCATTGATGAGGTGCTCTCTAAGTTGGTGCGAGAAAGTCCAAAGGCTTGTGTGACTTTGGCAGGCGTCAAAACCACATGTGTACTTGACACCGGAGCGGAGGCGTCTCTGATTTCTGCATCTTTCTACAGGGAGAATCTAGCTAAAAAGATGGCCGGATTGAAACAGATAGGGACGCATTTGCGAGTTTTTGGAGCAAGTTGCGTTGAACTACCCATTGAGGGGTATGTTGAAGTCCCTTTGAGTGTTTACAACTACACAGTTGTAGGCCATTTTTTAGTAGTGAAGGATTCTGTGGAGGCTGACCCAAAACATAGACCTTGTCCAGTGTTGCTTGGATGCAACGTACTGCACTTACTGAAAGATCTTACAATAGAACCCGAGCATGAAGACGCTGGTGCATGGTCATTGGCATTACAGTGGTATGGGTTTTCAAGGGGATTGGACCAAACTGAAACTGAAAATATAGTCAACGAGACATCTGGTAAGGGACCAGTTGCTGCGCGTACAGGCAGAAACCCAACCATGATATTGCCAAGAGAGGTGCGCAGCATACCGTGTTACTTAAGAGCACCGATTGACACCTTAGAGGGGTGTACGGTTTTGGTTGAGGGTCTGCCTGGAGTGAACGAAATGGGGCTCAGTAATAGAACAGGGGAACAATCCGACTCTGGTACATGTACTTTGGGTGCCAACTTTAAGGTTTATGATTCATGTGAGATAACCAGGGGTAGAATTGTCAATGTGTTGGTGGCAAATGTGGGAGCCCATGTACTTGAAATACCTTCACACTTTAAACTTGCCAGCGTCACAAAGATCACTACCAGGCCTAATGTTGAACTTGAGGAAGGGTCAGATGGGATTCATGTTTCAGTGAGTAATATCCTTTGTGAATCATTGGGGTATCAGGAGTTGCCCCAGACTGATTTAGGCAAACCCGTGGACCATGATATTGAAATAGGTGATGGGGAGTCGTCGCCGAACGGCGAGTTGTACGTTTTCGAGGATGGTTCGGAGTACCAGTTACCCATTGGGTTAAGTCTTGACTTGGGTGTAGAATTGAGCAGGGAGGATCAGGATCAGATAGTGCACTTGATTCAAAAACATGACTCAGTGTTTTCAAAAGATTCACTGGACCTTGGGTTTTGTGACCAAGTCCCTCACAAGATTCAGACAACCGATGACCATCCGATAAACCAACCGTATCGGCGTATCCCTCCACACCACTTTAAAGAAGTTAGGGAGTTAATTGAAAAATTCCTGGACCAGGGCATTGTGCAAAAGAGTAGTAGTCCATATGCGAGCCCTATAGTGCTTGTACAAAAAAAGGATGGGTCCTTAAGAATTTGTGTCGATTACAGGCGGCTGAATGCCAAAACGGTGCGTGACTCCTTTCCTTTGCCTCGAATTGAGGAGTCACTGGAGGCACTCCGGGGGGCTAAGTATTTTTCATCTTTGGATCTCGCACACGGATATCATCAGGTAGCGATGGACCCTGACTCTGTCAGTAAAACTGCGTTTCGGGTTCCCTTTGGCTTGTACGAATACACCAGAATGCCTTTCGGGCTAGTAAATGCACCAGGAACCTTTCAGAGGGTCATGGAGATGTGTCTCGGTGACATGAACCTGTGTGAGTTACTGATTTATCTTGACGATATTTTGGTGTTTTCGTCTACTGTTCAAGAACATATCAACAGGTTGGACAGGGTTTTGTCTATGCTTGCTCAGTTTGGATTAAAGGTGAAGGGCTCAAAGTGCCACTTGTTTAGTGAACATGTGTCCTACCTGGGGCATGTGGTTGGGCCAGAGGGTGTGGCTGTGGATGAAGACAAAATACAGAAAATTAAGGATTGGCCGATTCCTGAGAATGCCGCGCAGCTTAGATCATTCCTGGGCCTGGCTGGATATTATAGGCGCTTTGTGCAAAACTTCTCCAGAACAGCGGCGCCACTGCATGCTCTTGTACCCTCACAGGCTAAGGGCAATGCGAGAGGCAAGTTACCTAGTTTTGTCTGGGACTCAGATGCGCAGTTAGCATTTGATGCATTGAAGCATGCTTTAACACATGCACCAGTTTTGGCCTATCCCAATTTTGCCCAACCATTTGTCCTGGAGGTGGATGCATCCCTGCAGGGTTTAGGAGCTTGTCTGTGTCAGGATGACGAGAATGGTAGAAGGCATCCGGTAGCGTATGCCAGCCGCGGTCTAAGGGGTGTTGAAGCTAAATACCCGGATTATAGTTCCTTTAAATTGGAACTTTTGGCGCTCAAGTGGGCGGTAGTTGATAAGTTTAGAGATCACCTTTTGGGGGCAACCTTTATTGTCCTTACTGACAATAACCCGCTTGCTTACCTCAAATCAGCAAAGTTAGGTGCTACTGAGATGCGTTGGGTTTCGCAATTAGCCGCGTTCAATTTTGAAGTACAGTTCCGTTCAGGGAGAAGCAACAGATGTGCAGATGCACTTAGTAGGTATCCTGGGCATGCAAGTGATTCGTCAGAGGTTGAAGGTCTTATGCAGGATAAGTTGCACTCGACTTTACTTCCCAAGACAGCAGTAGTTGATAAAGTGAAGGTTAAACAGACACATAATGAAGTACCCACAGAGGGGGCTGGACCTCCTGGTGTGTTTCCGTCTTGGTCGACGGAGCAACTTTCTTCCTTGCAAAAGGGTGATACAGAGTTGGGTTGTGTCTGGGAGTGTTGGAACCGGAGGTGGACACCAGGGGAGGTAGTGTCTGATGAACATGGCCAATCACCTAAGATTAAATTATGGCTTGATCAGTGGTCACGTATTGTTGATCGTGACGGGGTTCTTTGCCGGCGGGTAATTGATCCTATACATGGAGAATTATTCCAGATACTCTTGCCGAAAAGTCTTCGACAGAGAGTATTGGAAGGGTGCCATGACGGATGGGGGCACCAGGGAGTTGTCCGGACAAGTTCATTATTAAGGAGACGGGTTTACTGGCCACAAATGACGGCAACCGTTCGTCATTATATTGACCATTGCCAGAGGTGTATTACTTCCAAGGTGGCTCAACCGCAGACAAAGGTTCCCATGCGTCATCTGCTGGCATTTCGGCCTTTGGAAGTTCTAGCGGTAGACTTTGTTAAACTTGACAAGGGTTGCAGGGGATTTGAAGATGTTCTTATAATGACAGATGTATACACAAAGTTTTCGCAAGCAGTACCTTGTAAGGATCAACACGCAGTCACAGTTGCTAAAGTGTTAAGGGACCATTGGTTCACAAAGTTTGGTATCCCGAATAGACTCCACAGTGATCAAGGGAGAAATTTTGAGGGGGATATTGTAAGGGAGCTTTGCACCTTGTATGGAATTAAAAAGACGAGGACCACCCCGTACCACCCTGAAGGGAACGGCCAAGCCGAACGCTTTAATCGGACCTTGTTTGGGTTGATTCGCTCTCTGGATGAGCGTGACAGGCGCAAATGGCCAGATTTACTATCACATTTAGTTTTTGTGTACAATGCAACACCTCATTGTACGACTGGGGTCCCTCCGTACACTTTAATGTTTGGGCGGGAACCTCTGATCCCTTTGGATCAGATGCTAGGAAGGAATGATAGTAATTGGGAGCAGGACTTTGTTGCTGAACAGGGAGAATTGCTAGATCGTGCTAGGGAGATTGTAAAAGAGAGAGTAACTAAGCGAAATATCCAAAATAAGCAGCGTCACGATAGTAAGCGTGTCGATAAACCCATACACTGTGGTTCACAGGTGCTTATGAGAAGACTAGCATTTAAAGGTCGTCACAAATTAGCAGATAAATATGAAAAGATCCCATATAAGGTAATTTGGACCAGTGAACATGGGGATGTTTTCCGAATCCGTCCTATTAGAGGTGGACCAGAGCGAATCGTAAATAGGAAATATTTACGACTTGACCCTATGGCGGAAATTGATTCTCAGGGTAGTGAGGAATCCAGTTCAGATTCAGATTGGGATGTAATAGAGCAACCCGTAGAACAAGTGTTGGGTCAAAAACAACATGGTGTTGGCAGTGATAAAGTAGGGGAGCCAGGTGGCTCTAAGCTGCCTAGACGGTCTCAGAGAATTAATCGGGGCATGAACAGCAACCCATTTCGACTGCCCAAGTCAGTTATAAAGTAATGTCTATCTACTTTGTTTGAACGCTTGTTGCGTGCTGTACGTTGGGAAGTTACTAAAGGAAAGGCTGGGGTATCCAGTTTCCACCTGGTGATCACCCATCTGTCGGCATCAACATGTGTTTGACAGGAAGTACAAGAATTTTACAGAGTTATGTAGTATTTTGTAAGTACCTGTATGTATAATAGTAACCTGTTTTGATAACTTTCTTTCAGGTGTGTGGAAAGCCTTGTTGCTACTTCGAAGGAAGGTTTGGGGAATCCAGTTTCCTGTAGTGACAACTTGGCTAGCCAACATCTCCAGTAATTATGGGAGGTTTTGTACTTTTTGGTCACAGTTTCGTAAAGAGAATGAGGAACAGACATGGTTTTGCATATGAGGTAGAACTGCAGAGAAGCAAAATCCCTATCGCATGTATTGGCGAAGGTGGGTTGACTTTTGACCGGGTCCTGTGTAACCAAGGCCGTTATTTCCGACAGTTACAGAAATTGCAACCCACAGTATTAATTATTGATTTGGGAACAAACGACCTGTGTTCGGTTGAGGGAACCCCTAGCCAGGTTCACACCTCACTTTGTAATATGGTGTCTGCTCTTCATAAGTGGGACGTATACCCCGATACTTTGGTGTTTTTACCAGTTTTGCCACGAACCGGGGGGTTGAGAAGCTACCAAGTGTCATTGCAGACATTTAATAGGAGAGTCAAAGATTTCAATGAGCTGTTGGAAAAGTCCACGTTCCTTGAAGATCGATGGTGGGTTTGGCGCCATCGGGGTCTCAAGAACCCGCGTTTTAGTTTAGATGGGGTGCATCTTAATTCGGAAGGAATGCTGCAGTATGAGAGGACACTACGAAAGTTACTTAAGTTTTTCGACTCTCGTATCTGGTTTTAGCTTCATGGACAAGATCATTAAGCTACATTTGTAACTGATTAGAGTATTCATACATGTAAATTCAAAAGAGGAGTTGTATCATGTAACAGAGTATAATGTGTATAGAGTTTATCGAGATTTTGGGCCAATCATTGTAACTTTTAAATAACTGTTATTTGAGGATATAGAAGACAGCCTGAATGGATACATAGCAGTACACGTATTCATTTTTATCAATTGTTATTCAAGCTTGTTGTATTTCCAGTTTTTCCTTGTTTATAATAAGTATGTGTAGTAAGGCAAATAATGTATGCTGTAAAGAAACGACATTTTGATTTTGTTTGATCCTGTGAAAGCATTACTTTTAACCTTGATCTCCAGGAGTAGATCACCCAAGTAGGGGAGTTTGTAGCGAAATAATCTTTTGTCAGGCCATGCATTTTTGTGTTATTATTGCGATCAAGAGAGGGCGTCAGACAAGACCTATAAAAAGTATCCGTATCTGGGCAGACCCGCCGAGGTCGCCAGGGTCATACGCTAGACAATAAATGATTACAATGTATACATTTGGAGGCGCGGGAAAAGAGTACGCGCAACAGGAAAAATGAGTGGCAGAATGATATGTGGAAACATGAGGGAAGTTTCGGCATGATTTTCGGTGGACAGAAGCAAAATAAATCAGCTCGACAAGTAAATCACATAGAAGAGTCAGTGTGTATGTTTTCGTTCCAGTTTTATTGAAGCCTATACCCCTTTGCTTCACGGCAAAATAACACTACACTAGACAAACACACACTCCCTTCTCCGTCTCAATTTTGGCAATCCAGATATCACTTCATGGTGGCAGCGGTGGGATTCGAACCTTCTTGGTGGCAGAAGTGGGATTCGAACCCAGGCCACTGAAATGGCTTCATTAATCCCCATCCAGATATCACTTCATAGAGTACAATTATACAAAGAGATGTTTTTTGCGCATACATTATATGAATTAACCTCTTAAAAATAAAATGGGAGTGGTTATTCTGAGAAGAACCAGAGATGGTAAGAAGACGTTTCAGTCAGTACGCTCTGATCATCTTCAGGAGAAACTGATGATCGTTGGAGCATATTGACCGAAACGTTAAATTCACAACTGTTGTTCTTTTCAGCCCATTTCCCTCTTCGGACAGATAATCCCTGTACGTAGAATATTAGCAAAGTTCTCGCCAGTTAAAGTATTTGGCAAAGTTTTTGTTTGGGTTTTAGGAGGATGCGTTTTTAATAGCATTTTAATCACACCGCTGCGGAAAAAAGTTTCTTTTAGGCAGTAGGACGACTGGTAGATTAAGACCACTAAACTTGGTACACGTCCAACTTACATCCAACAGGAGATGCCAAAAGTATAAACACAAATTCCTATTGCTTTTTACATTGCTCATTTGAATTTAAATAAAACCTGTTCCATTCCTGTTTTATTCCTGTTTTGATGTGATAGTTGATTCGCACCACTTGGTGGACCCGCCACAGTGAGGAGAAACGCTGGGATGACTTTGAAGATGACAAAGAAGAGATTGAACTGAATGATAATGTGCGAGTTATCACTGAAGAAGGTAAACGATTACGCCAGAAAAAAAATGTCTCGCAAAATGAAATGCCTCACTTATTTTCATATAACTTACTAGGCGAAATGCCGTTGTCGCATTCTTTTGAATCTAGCTAATATCTGGCCTGAAGCTTCCTTTGTCTGTTGGGCTGTTTGATTTTGTTTATTATTGTCTCCTTTTCTTGATATAGAGGAAAACCTGATTACATTCAATAAATACAAGACTTGGCGAAGAATTATGTATTCGTCTTTGTGCGCAGGGAAACAATACCTGGAAAGACTAGGGAGTTGTCTTTTGTTGAAGGAAATTTGATGTGGAGCACGAATAAAATGTCTTACGAATCTCCTTCCTGTAGGACAACCAGCGGCACACAAGTCGTCGCTGCGTCGCGGCTACGATTGGTTTTGCGGCTATGACGACACCTTCGCAGGTAAGACCAAGGCTTGTCAGCACCAGGCTCATCTCAAGGAGGTCTCGGCCCTCAAGCAGGACCCTCGAGCCAAGATCTTCCTCAACATCAACTTGGTCATCATCATCCTGGTTACTACCACTGCCTATGTAATCTTCAGTGTACCCGGATTACTGTAGTAACCGTGCAGGGCCCATTATCTCTTCGAATAACTACCTTAGCGCCTTGAATCCTTTGGCAATTTGGCACTATAAATCCAGTTATTTTGACATTTTCTAGGTTGGGGCGACAGTTTTTTGTTACATCCATTATTGCTGTAATAGGGCAACACGCCTCAATAGGGCAACAGTATTACTGTCGCCCTATTCTTGAAACTGCCATTTTGACAAGGGGTTGGGGTAAGGGTGAGGGTAAGGGTTAGAGTAAGGGTTAGGGTTAGGGTAAGGGCAAGGGTAAATTTTTGTGCACAAGTCTACGGAAGTGTCGATCTATGGTGGTTGTTAGTATAGTTATTGTTTATGATATTATCCAAAGAAGTATACCTCCTCAAAGAACTACATTTCAAAATGTATATCGCCTTGGAGGTCTACCTGGAAAGAATGTTGCATCCTGACGTCACTTCAACAGTTGTGTACAAAGTCTATGGATAGTCAGGATTTTTTTTAAGTATTCCTAACAAAATTGGAAATGTTTCTCAGTCCCAGATTCATGTCTTATCATCATTTTTGCAATGACTGACCTTCATTGAGATGATATATGAAGAACAAATTGGTGCCAGGTTGCAACATTCTTTCCGTCTATCTTTTCAAAAAGGTACCCTCCAGTTTTCAAAGAGTGAGAATCACTCTAATTTTAGATTGAAATGCTCTGAAATAGAAACAGTCCAGTGGAATATATTCGCTTGAATGGATTTCTCTCCACTGTTCCCCTGTTTCATGGCTATTACCACATGCTATATGCATCTCTGAGATACTATCCAACAAGACAGGTATTTAGCCGTTGTTTTCTGAAGGTTTATAGTAACGGAAAGTACACACTTTTTGTGGGGGTCCCTGTTTGAAGCAATGGTAAATGCATAGAATGTTAAATTTTTGTCTCTTTTGTTAATTAACTTTCCCTTTTCCTTTAATTAACGTTTCCTAAATTTAAGTTCGGTCATATGCTCAACGTATTTTTAAACATTTCCTAAATTTTAGTTCGGTCATATGCTCAACATATTTTTAAATGTTTCCTAAATTTGAGTTATAACTTTAATTGGGGTTTGGTTTTATCCTGAATGTTTTGGTTTGTGGTACATTTTGGTAAGTTGGATTTAGATTGAAGAAAGTTATTTTAAAATTAAAAACACTTTGTCTTGGGCAGCTGGGAAGTGACTATTGTGTTTGTGACTATTTTTTTCACGAAAGAAATATCCTGAAGAAATAGGATTTCAAAGAAGAGACATGAAACATTACCGTTAATTTCTACTTTCAGTTTTCCTGAGTACTACTCTTCTTATAATTTCTGTTATAGCCCTGTACCTTGAGTGACTTTTAGCCTCCTTCAGGGCGAATATGCATAGAACAAACTTCAAGAAACTCCACAAATAAACTTTTCTTAAACTATCACGTTTTAATTCTTTTTGGGCAAACATCTTTCCTTTTCTACAATATTTTAAGTCAAGTTACTTTTTTGGGTGTTTGGTTTTCATGAACAGTATTAAAATGCAAGGAAGAAAACTTGGTAGTCAGCTTTTCTTTTTTTTTAATCGAGGATTTTTACTGAAGAGATACATGTGTCCTATGAAATTTGGACTCTTCTACCTAATGTAGACTCTAAGCCCATGTGACCTGTCGCTGTCCTTTTATGTTCATCATGGCACGCCCAATACAACCAATGAGTCTGTTTTTTTCATACAGTCAATATTTCACGCTACACCGGCCTACCATATTTTACAGAAAAGCCCCGACTTGCCACTCAGATAAATAAAAACGCTCAGGGGACATTTCCATTTCTATAGGGAAATGGTTACATTTGCAACTTTAATGAAGACATTCCTAAAATTAATTCACACTGAAATGTATTATTTACAAAACGTTTATGTTAGTTTATGCATCGTTGTCTGCAATACTGAAAGTAACGTGCGACTGGCTCCCAAAAAAAGGGGCAAGTTACAAAGTTGTGTGACGTTACCCTTGGATATCAATGGTGCTAGATAAGGCAGTGTTAGATGTTAAGGATAATCCTGAAGTGGTTCTCTTAGTTCTAATAGAAAAGATTCACAACGCACAGCGCCTCCTAATGTTGCTTAACAGTGGCTGATTACTCATCTCCTTCTCTTATCTTTCTGTATATACAGTGGAACATTGCTATACCGAACACCGCTATACCCTAACATTTGGCTATACCAAACATCGTCCTCGGCTCGCGATTTTTGTGTACAAACCGTAGCCTACTGAACATTGTTGTTGAAAAATGTCAACAGAAGATTGACAAGTGCCTTTTTTTTCCCCCCAAGGAATAGAAGGGAAACACCACCTGTTGCTGTCGGTAGTAAGCTCAAAAACTGTGTAATTACATAATTCAATAGTCGGCACGTGTTCAAAGTCGTCTTTCAGTAACTACCAGGGCGTGCAGGGTGAAGTTCTGAAGAGCGCTATTTATTGAAATGTGGGTACCGGAGCACCGGCAGCTTAAAATCGCTATACCGAACAATCGCTATTACGAACAATTTCTGTGGATCCGGCGAAGTTCGTTATAGCGGCGTTCCACTGTACTGTATTGCAGTTAATCCTTTACTTTCATTAGCTTTTAGGACACAATAGGAGTGCACTATTTGGTTTGGGTAAACTCGTTACCCAAATTTACCCAAACCAAATAACCTCCTCCAATTGCGTTTGCCACAATTCAGGCAAATGAGATACCACAAAGGGAGATATTTTCATTCAGAGGCCTCTTCAACTAAAGGTATAGTCCATCATTTGTAACTTGAGCATTTTGTTCGTTAGAAGCAACAAAAGTGCTCAAAATCTAAAGAAGTGTCGAACAACTAACCTGATGAAGTTTCAGCTCAGCTTCAGCTGTATATTTCGAAAAAAAAAAAAACATTCTAGGATCTTGATTTCAAATCAAAAGTTGCTGAATAATGTTTTGAATTTGGCCTTAATTCAGCATCCGAGACACGCTCTCACTGAGCCGATTGCAGCTACGCGATGTCGCACACTGATCCGACGAATTATATAGCAACCACATGTGCGTCATGGTAACGCTTTTGCGCGCTTTGCCGATTAAAAAAAAAGGAGGGGTCTTTAGATGCATCGTTGGAAAGGTCTTCTTTTGTTGATTTCTTCAAAATGACAGCTTGCCAGAAAAAATAATTCCACAGGGAGTTTAGTCCCCTTACTATCTCCAAGTATGTTTTCCAACAATAATTACGTCAGTTACTTTTTGGATAGCTGCAAATAATGGACTGTAGCTTTAAAAAAATCGAATATCACATAAACACTTTCAAACAAACGTGTCAATCAAAATATAAACAATGCCCAGTCCACACACCATGGGCAGAAAGAACTTGTTGGAAAGGTCTCAAAACCAATTTTGACTTTACCCATGATGTGTTTGCAGGTTAGCCAGGATTTGTGCCGTCAACGGTAGCTTTTCTGCGTTGTAGATCCCTTGTACTGGATCAAGCAATCTCAGATTTTTGCAACACCCCAAATTTGGTACACGTATATTCACGTCAATCGCCAATCTCTGTGAATCCTATAGATGGCAGGGTCACTACGATGAAGCTGCCACTTTCTGCTTCTGCTGTTGCTCGTGGAACCGTTGCATTCTGCTTTCGAGTTCGGGGCGGAAGTGTCGGATGAGTCCCTACAAAGAAAAATAAAAGTCGCTCAGTGATCTTACTTCAAGAACTCGATCACTGACTTCCGAAAAATCACACATCTTCCAATGATTGTGCAAAAAACTGCAAGGGTTATGAAAATGAATAAAAAAAAATTCGGGATTTTTCTGACAACTTGTGAATACATGTACTTTGGAAACGGCTTGAGAAGATTCTGTTTGCTGAAGGATAACAGGAATTTGTGTCTGTTTTAACCCTAAACCACCCAAATCCTCTAAAATGCTTTTTGCAAATTGGAGGAATTTGCAGGATTGAGGTTACATGGCAAAAGTGCGTTGCTGATTTCGGAGGACGCACTATGTCAAGGTCTTGGGCCAGACCTTGTGTTGTTTATGCTCAGCCATGCAAAAATTTAGTCCTTGATTATACTTGAAATCCTCCCCACTGCTCAAGGATGTCACTGCCTCGGCCTCAACCTATTGACAGTGATAGCCGGAGGATTTTGCTGGATTCAGGCAGTGGTCACCCCTCCACAGACCATACTCAAGAAACAACGGAGGAATTTGCAGGATTGAGGCTATATGCTATTTTTCCATGAGGCCAATTGGAGGATTTTGCAGGATTGAGGCTACATCCTAGCAAAAAAGGCCTAGGGAGTTAGGGTTAAAGAAAAATACAATGAACGTACCTGTACTGGCCAAGCAGCCCCGTCGCCCAACGCACAGATAGTATGGCCCTCAATCTGCTTACTGAGCTCATACAGCATGTCAATCTCATCAGGCTTAGCATTGCCGGTAACTGCGAAAACAAAAGACAACAATACCAAACACTCAAAACTTTTCACCATTTTTGAGTCTCAAGTACCCTTTCAAGTCTTTTTTTTAATTTTAAATTATTTTTTGGTTCGGGAGGCCAGTAGCTCATAAAATTTTATTGTGTTTTTTTTTACTGTGCGACTCCAAATGAAGTTGCAAACATGACACTGATTCTGTAACAACTGGTGCTCATTCGAAAATTGATGGCGGAAAATAAATCTGTATCCGTTACATTCTTCATACCCTTTTTATTTGCACCATGAATAAGTATGATCATGCAAAAATGCATTAAATTGGTCCAACCAATATACATGTATTTAATTGACACCAATCATTATTGCATTTGGCAATAGATCTCCTGGCAAATTAAATATCTAATAAATTTTGGAGATCCTACCGAATCGATCCATGACTTTTTCCATCCAGCCTGTTCCCTCTCTGCACGGAGTACACTGTGGAAGAAAAAAAAAATACATAATTTTTTTCCCCTTTTTAAAGCCTGGTTCTTTCTTCACGTGAATGCAAATGCGAAGCGAGTTTGATGTCATGAAACATTTGCTGCAAAATTCGCCCGAGTTGAAATCTGTTCAACTTTTAGCACTTTAGTAATTTAATATAGCTCTATGAGTATAACTCTGTTCACACGTTGAGTACCTGTCCACAGCTCTCGTGCTTGTAGAACGTGATCAGTCTGGCGATGCAGTTGACTATATCTGACGACTTGTCCATGACAATGAGGGCCGCGGTACCCAGACCGGTCTGTGCCTCCACTAGGGCATCAAAGTCCATCATGACATCATTACACACACTGCATTGAGAATGAAAGGGGGAAAAAAAATGGAAATCTTGGAACTGAGTTTACCTTTATTGTTTTATCTTCAGAGGGTACTTCAGGTTTGCTTTTGAAGAACCTTTAAGGGGCCTATCGTCCTGAAATCACTGAAATTTTTATGCATCAAGGGAAGATGCAACATTTGCAAACATCAAAAAATGAAATGATCAAATTATCATGAAATACCTTACTGGATTGTTAGGGAATGATCTTTTACAGATCTGGTACACGGTACCCTGTGGAGACATGTGCACAATAGGGAACAAAAAGTTGTATACGTCTCCACAGAGCAATTTCTTTCAATCTCCACAAGGTTATCACGAAATAGATGTATGGATTTTACTCAAAAACTAGGAATTCCCAAGGTGTGTTGACTTATGTAAGGGATATTAAGTCTGAATTTCAGACCAGGAAATTAATTCTGATTAAAATAGGAGCATTTTGAAAGTACACTTACAAATTCGAAAACTTTAGTACACGAGAACAAGGAAATGACTCCACAAGGATACAAATTCCAGTATGGGTGCAACAAGACATCTACCACACTTTGGCAAAAAAAAAAATATTCGGTCTCTGGTCAGACCAAAGTTCCGGAATTGACGCGGCCACGCGGCTTTTTTTTTTTTTTTCAGGCTTGGATTGTACAGACAAGGTGGGGTACTATTTTGCTTTTTTGGTATCCTCATGTACATTGGTGTCCTCCATAATTTGGTGCTTTCGATCATTTGCCTTGGTGCAATTTCCCATTCCTTGGTGCTCTTTGGTAAAAAAAATTGAGGAGGTGCGGAAATAGAGGGCGCTGTTGGAGCTACCGCGGAACATTTTGGAAAAAAAAAAAATCCACGCGCATGATTAAAATCGATGCGCGCGCTGACCAGAGACCGACTTATTTTTTTTTTTGGCCTTACCTCTTAGGAATGACCGGTGTGGATGACCCGCCCGGTATAACCCCCAGCAGGTTATCCCATCCTCCAGTCACGCCCCCGGCGTGGCGTTCAATCAGCTCCCTGAGAGGGATAGACATCTCTTCCTCCACGGTGCAAGGGTTGACCACGTTGCCCGAGATGTTGAACAGCTTGGTGCCGGAGTTGCGCTGCCGACCGAAGGAGGCAAACCAGCTGCCGCCCCGCCGACAAATGGCCTACAATAAGTGATCAAATGCACGGTAATTATTAAGAGGATATCTCAACTCTTAAAAACAATAATTTACCACAAGAATATTGTTCGTGTGGATTGTCTCAGGTGAATTTGATCTGGCTACTACAGGGCGAGTACAAAAAAACGAAACCGGAGTGTCGGGACCATTGTTTAAGTAAAAGTTCTGCATGTAGCACTTTCAAAATCTAGGACACGAAAGCCCAATTCATAAGCTTTCTTTTAGTACAAGAATCATTCAAACCACTCATGTACTTTTCAAGTTACGGAGTTTTAAACACAACCACCGATTTAAGGTTCTGTCCACGGATCACAAAATGTTTAGTGTTCTTTCAGCAAAACAAAAACAAATCACATTATAGGGAATGTACAACGTTTGCTTTTGCTGCAATTTTCAAAAATGAATGGATTTGCAGGATTAGTACGTTATAGCAAATATTGTTAAACTGACTTGCTTCATGTTTTGGGTTCGGAGATGCTGGAAAATCCAAGAAAACCAAGCATGTTTTTGTAGTCTGGTTTTGTGACCCCACTTAAGATTAAAGGGAATGTACATCATTGGCTTTTGCTTTAATTTTCAGAAATGAACTATTTGAGGGGTTAGTATAATATATCAAATATTGTTACACTGACATGTTTGAAGCTTTGTGTTAAAAAAATGCTGGAAAAACCAAGGAAAACAAAAATGTTAAAGTAGTCTGGTTCCCTGACTCCACTAAAATGAAATGGATCAATTTATAGATGCCGGAAAATTGTAAGGTAAGGGAACCAGTCTAGCTGGCCTGCACTCGTTCATGAACATGTATTAACCAATAGCAAACAAAATTTGGACTGAAAAAATGGTAAATTTGGAGCAGTAGTTGAAAAATAGTTGGGTTTTTCCAACGGTGGTCGGCCGACCACAGTTGGAAATTTATACAAAATACCACTTTTCTTGACACCAGGTGCCATAATTTTACAGGATGCTTTAGACTGTCATTTATCAGCATCCTAGTAAGGTATTTTGTAAAAATTTGTTAGTTTTGTTTTTCGATGTTTGCAAATGTTGTATATTCCCTTTAAGAGGATAACTCAACTCTTAAAATATGTGACCGGCTCCACAAAAAAAGGGTGTTTTGTCGCAAAAAAAGTGAAATTGAGTTATATACATGGTTGGAAAGCCGACAATGTAAGCTTTCACTTGGTATATAATAGAGCTCTATAGCCCTCCCGTTCTGGAGATGACGTATTTGCATATTAATTACTTCCTTGGAATTCAAATTACACAACTGAGAAAACGGGCTTCAAAATAGCTGGCTTTTTTGGTAGAACAACGGTACAATGCTCACAAAACGTTTGCTCATTTTGTTCGTCAAAATCATCATTTTTGTGAATGACACCTGAAACTGTAAGGTATTAAAGAAAGTCATTCATGACAAAAAATGAAAAACACATTTTGACAACATTTTCACCCTCTCAATGTTGAGCGGGCCATTACACAATAATGCTCAGCGCGACTTAACACCCTTTTTTTGTGGAGCCGGTCACATATGGTAATTTACCACAAGAATATAATAATAATAAATAATAATAATAAACCATTCTTATAAAGCGCATTTTACACGGGGTCCCAATGCGCTGAACAATTAACAGAGGAAAACACTAACATTATATTTCATTTGCAGTGAACAGATGGGTTTTAAGATTAGCTTTGAAAACGTCCAGGGTTGGGGCTTCCTTGATGTGATTGGGTAGTTTGTTCCAGAGGGTTGGGGCTGCAGATGAAAACGCTCGCTGACCGTATGACCTTGTCGATGTTGAGGAGCAGGCGAGCAGGGATTGTGAGCTTGATCGAAGATTTCTACGGGGTTCATATTTATGGATTAATTGCTGGAGGTAAGTAGGGGCGAGACGATGGAGACATTGGTATGTTAGGAGAAGGGTTTTGTAGATTATCCTCCTCTTGACTGGGAGCCAGTGCAGATTACGGAGAATAGGTGATATGGGTTGATGGGACTTCGAGAGGGTGACTAGTCTTGCAGCTGAGTTTTGGATGCGTTGGAGTTTGGCGATTTGTGAGTCTGGTAGCCCTTGAAGTAAACTGTTGCAAAAATCTAGGCGACAAGTAATAAATGCATGAGCAAGCTTTTCTGTTGTGTGCGGGTCGAGGAATTTGTGGATCTGTCCGATTTTATGAAGGGCAAATGATGCAGACCGACAGATGCTATTGATGTGCGTGTCCATTTGTAGATTAGGTTGCATTGTAACACCTAGGTTTCGTACCTTAGAAACGGGCTGGAGGGAAGAGTTATTGTTCGTGTAGATTGTCTCAGGTTGAATTTGATCTGGCTACTACTATAACATGGAGTCAATTTCTCATAAATGTGGATTAAACATTCTGATTTTAAGTTTTGAACTACTTCTTTTCCATTTCAATCTGGGGTCACTAGACCAGATAATGTTCCTGATAACTACACAAGTTGGCTGTCCTGTTGTGAGTCACAGAATCAGGATTAATTAGGGAAAGAATGTTGCAACCTGACGCCACTTTTTTCATCATATGTTATCTCAATGAAGGTAGGTCATTGCAAAATGTTGAAAAGACATGAATCTGGGACTGAGAAACATTTCAAATTTTGTTAAAAGATACTAGTGGACTCTCCATAGACTTTGTAAACAACCGAATAAGTGGCGTCCAGATACTACATTTTCTCCTTGCTCATATTTACCGGGGCTACAGCCACTGTCTCCACGTTGGCCACAGTCGTTGGGCAGCCGAAGACGCCCACGTCGGCAGGGAAAGGAGGCTTGAGCCTAGGCTTGCCCTGTTTGCCTTCGAGACTCTCTATCAATGCCTACAATGAAAAACCAACCCAGAAAACCCTGAAAGAAACGCTGTAATACAATAATAATAATAATAATAATAACAATTTGGGAGGCTAATCATCCTTACTCGCAGCTGGTATGCTGAATTGCGAAGGACACGGCTACAACGTGGTCGGGCCGCTGGCACGTGAAGGCGCCTATGGCTGCCGGCCAAATATTTACGATCAGCAACTGAATATTCAAGTAGCTTTTTGCTGGTTTCAGGCATGCAACTGGTCTATGTAATAGACCCTGGCCCTGGCAAAGGCGACCATGGTCTATGATATATAAACAGATTCGGCGATTAATTATGCAACTAGACTGCGTATGACCTCGAAAAACTGACCAATCAGCCGACGCCTTCTATAGGCGTGTAATGTAAGCTCCCCGTGTGCGTAAACATCACGCCCACAATGAGTAGCATTTTTGTACAGCTTGTTGTATTACATCAAAATTGACCAATCACAATCTTAAGTCCTGATTTCAGAATGAAATGATGTCACGATTGCTTAGATATATCGGACGTTCTACTGGAGTTGGGCTGCATGGGGGATGGGTGATACTCCAGCATGCAACTTGAAAGTTATTAAAAAAAGAGGAAACCCCAAGCTCTAAACTGTAACAAGAGTTAATGGTGACCCTCTATATGTGACCTTATTTCAGCCCACACACTGGAGTACATTTACATCACACACTCACACGAACCACCCCAACCCTTCAAAATCCAACTGAATGTTTTGTTGGAATCTGTTGGAGTGAGTACTGCACTAGGAAACTGATTATGCTTAACATGGGGTCAGGCACACCACCATAATCAGAGTCCAACAGTTTGGGTGTTGAGTTTACCATATGGTGTTGGATTTTGCAGGTGTGAGGAAGGCTCCTAGAAAATCAATCAAGGGTTAGGGTTAATAAATAAAGCCTACCGTTTCTTCTCCGCATATGTAAGCCCCTGCACCACGATGCATAAAGACATCAAAGTCGTAGCCTGACCCGCATGCATTCTTGCCGATCAGTCCTGCTTCATAGGCCTGGGAATAAAAGGTCCATTAAATGGTCCGTCTACGTTACTATGTTCTTATGGGCACGTGTGGTCTAACGGTGGAGCACAGGATTCATGATCGTGAGGTTGTGGGTTCGAGCCCCGCCGTGGCCATGCGTGTTGTGCCCTTGAGTAAGGCGCTTTACCTCAATTACTCCTCTCAACCCAGGTGTTAAATGGGTACCGGCATTATTCAAAGCTGGGAAGGTAACAGACTCGCTGTGGAGGAGGTGTGGCGATCCCCCCACAGCAGCATATGAGTCTGGCCCAATCGCTAATGAAAGAGAGATGGGCACTCCGTTCCTGTCAACACAGGTTAGCCCCCTTTACCTTTACATTTTTTATGTTATTCTTCAAAATTAAACAAAAAAAACCAGTTATTCAAATATTACAGGCAATGAACTCAAATTGCATCCATTGATTAACATGTCAGACAAACTACATACCTCCTTTATGGCTACTTGCATGTTGGAAGCTTCAGTGTAGAATTCACCTCGGATGTAGATATATGCTGGAAAAAAAAAAAAAAAAAAAAGGAACTTGAAAGCCAGTATATTGAGATCTTTTTCATAAATTTATAAGAAATGAGAAGAAATGAACTACACTCAATGCAGTCTTTCATAATAACATTAATTTTCCCAAGAGAAATTGTACAACTTCTTTACTGTTCGCAGGGTATAGAGTTATAAGATTACACTGACGATTCATTGGACAGCTGCCTACAGCGTTAAGCCTGTGATGGATCATAAGTTAAGATGATTGTCTTGAAATCGAGGCCAGGTCTACCTACTGGGCCTAGCTCCCATGGTCCTGCCAGCTACCAGACATCCTTCCACCAGCTTGTGAGGGTCATGCCTCATAATCTCAAGGCCCTTGCTTTTGCCTGACTCACTTCTAGGTCTACCAAGTACCAACCAGCCCTAGCTGCCCTGGACCTGCCAGCTAGCAGAAATCCTTCCACCGAATTGTGAGGGTCATGCCTCATGGTCTTACATTCCTGGCATGTGTCTAGCTCATCCCCAGATCTACTTACCAGCTCTAGCACCCATGGACATGCCAGCTACCAGACATCTCTCCACCAACTTGTGAGGATCGTGCCTCATGATCCTAGCATGTGTCTGGCTCATCCCAAAGTCTACTTACCAGCTCTAGCACCCATGGACATGCCAGCTACCAGACATCCTTCCACCAACTTGTGAGGATCATGCCTCATGATCCTAGCATGTGTCCGGCTCATCCCAAAGTCAACTTACCAGCTCTAGCACCCATGGACATGCCAGCTACCAGACATCCTTCCACCAACTTGTGAGGGTCGTGCCTCATGGTCCTAGCATGTGTCCGGCTCATCGCAAAGTCAACTTACCAGCTCTAGCACCCATGGACACGCCAGCTATCAGACATCCTTCCACCAACTTGTGAGGGTCATGCCTCATGCTCCTAGCACGTGTCTGGCTTTATCCCAAAGTCTACTCACCAGCTCTAGCACCCATGGACTTGCCACCTATCAGACATCCTTCCACCAATTTGTGAGGGTCGTGCCTCATAATCTCACGGTCCTTGCATGTGCCTGGCTCAACCCCCAGGTCTACCTACAGGCCCTAGTCCCATGGAACTGCCAGCCACCGGACATCTCTCCACCAACTTGTGAGGATCATGCCTCATGATCCTAGCATGTGTCTGGCTCATCCCAAAGTCTACTTACCAGCTCTAGCACCCATGGACATGCCAGCTACCAGACATCCTTCCACCAACTTGTGAGGGTCGTGCCTCATGATCTCACGGTCCTTACATGTGCCTGGCTCAACCGCCAGGTCTACCTACAGGCCCTAGTCCCATGGAACTGCCAGCCACCGGACATCTCTCCACCAACTTGTGAGGATCATGCCTCATGATCCTAGCATGTGTCTGGCTCATCCCAAAGTCTACTTACCAGCTCTAGCACCCATGGACATGCCAGCTACCAGACATCCTTCCACCAACTTGTGAGGGTCATGCCTCATGGTCTCACGCTCCTAGCATGTGTCTAGTTCACTCCAAAGTCTACTTACCAGCTCTAGCACCCATGGACATGCCAGCTACCAGGCATCCTTCCACCAACTTGTGAGGGTCGTGCCTCATGATCTCACGGTCCTTGCACGTGCCTGGCTCACCCTCATCGGCGTTGACGACCAGATACTTGGGCCTATGTCAAGAAAGAACAACAAGACTTTGGTTGAAACAACTGAGCAAGGGTCAGCTAAAAAGAACAAGTTTGTTTGATCATCTTATAGAACGCTCGAATGAACATATGTGATGCGATCAAGCCAAATGGGTCGTTTGTCGACCCCGGTCGAATTTTTTTTTTTTACAGATTTGAAAAGAGCACAATCTCAGCATTACTGCTGTGAAAACCACATGTTCGTACCATCTTTAGAAAGATTATGGAAGTCGGAACGCCAAGAGATGTGATGAAGTGATGTGATGAAGTGGCCCTATTTTGGCCTGTATCTCCAAATGAAAATTCCCGACAAACGACTCATGTAGCTTGATCGTATCACATATTTTGACTGTTACTATCTGAGCTTACCTGCCATCGGATGGTTTGTTCATGAAGCCCCATTTCATTCCTGTCGGGAAGCCAGCACCACCACGCCCCCTCAACCCAGACTCACGAATCTCCTTCAGTATCCAGTCATGGCCCTTGAGTAGGATTTCCTTGGTCTTATACCAGTCGCCCTGTTGGCATACAGGGACAAGAGAACCAATTATTGCACCCCTGAGCAAAGGGGGGAGGGGCAGGTGGTTAACTATAAACCCAGTGCTAAGCTTATAGATCCTTGCATCTTTGAAGAACATCTCATGCTGTGGCTGATTTTGGAGAATGCACTGTGTCAAGGTCTTTGGCTGGACCTTGTGTTGTTTATGCTCAGCCGTGCATAAATTTAGGCCTAGATTATACTTAACATCCTCCACACTACTCCAGGATATCAAAGGCTCTGCCTCAACATATAGCCAGTGATTGCTGGAGGATTTCGCAGGATTGAGGCAGTGGTCACACCTCCGAGGACCGCATTCAAGAAATAACGGAGGACTTTAGAGGATTGAGGCTGTACGCAATTTTTACATGGAGGCAGTTGGAGGATTTTGCAGCCTTTGCAGGATTGAGGTTGCATCCTACATTGTAGCAAAAATTACCTGGGGAGTTAGGGTTAATAATTATCTCTTTTCAATTCGTTTAAAATTGAAAATGGCCGTTTTGATCGTTTCACTTCTGCAGTACCACAAACCTCTTAGCATAGAACTCCTCGAAATGAATTCCCTGATTTCTTGAATCTTACCCGAGACATGGCCCCTTTCAGCCTCCAATCATGACGTCCGTATAGATTGGTGAAGATGCGGTCTTGATCTTTCAATGGGCCGTACTTCTGCAGATACAAAAACAGAATGATCTCTAAAAACAGAACCTGTACTCAAAATGTACAAAGTTAATCTTACACAAAGCTTTATTTCGCACTGTACAGGGTGAGTAAAAAAAAAACCGAAACCCAAATTTCGGAATCATTGTTTTAGTGAAGTTCTGCATGTAGCACTTTCAAAATCTAGGATATGAAAGCCCAATTCATAAGCTTTCTTTTAATACAAGAATCATTCACATCACTCATGTACTTTTCAAGTTACAGAGTTTTAAACTCAACCACCATTTTAAAGTTCTGTCCACGGATCACTAAAAAGGTGTGCATTCTTTCAGCAAAACAAAAACAATTCACACACATCCCTATGAGATTTGTTTTTCGTTTTGCTGAAAGAGCACTCAACTTTTTTGTGATCCATGGACAGAACCTTAAAACGGCGGTTGTGTTTAAAATTCCGTAACTTGAAAAGTACATAAGTGATTTGAATGATTCTTGTACTAAAAGAAAACTTTTTTTTAAAAGTGTTACATGGAGAACTTCACTAAAACAATGGTCCCGACATTTGGGTTTCGTTTTTTTTTACTCACCCTGTATAACTGTAGAGGTTCACACAAGAAACTGTTTCAGAAGAATACAATGTGCATAATTTGTTAATGCCCACCAGATCCACAACTTTATGAGAAGAAGGAGAATCTTACTTTAGCCGGAGCATCTGTTGAGTTTTGTCTGGATGCTACATTTAGGCAGCTCGCTGTAGGAGTCTGCAGCCGACCTGTAATACAGAACACCACACAAAAGGAGATTGCCATTTTATTGATTAGCAACAAAAATCCTGCTCAATCCAGCAGGATCCAACATTTCACATTTTCGGTGAGTCCTGATTTTTGTCACTGTCAATAGTGTCATTGGTTTGCTAAATATTTATTTATATTTAGTTTTTATTTATTTACTTTTTGCACAGGATTAATATAATGCCAGATACATGCAGGCCAATCTGCTAAAGCCAGGGCAATATTGGAGCGCCAGGAATGTCACTTCGTGACGGACATGAGCACTATACAAGAAGCCAATACTATTATTATTATTATCTCTCTGTGGCCAATATTATCTAGCCCCATAAATGTGGCCAATTTACTGGACTAACTCCGTAAATAAAGGCCACACTTGGAACATGTACCCGAAAATGTAGAACTTTGTCAAGCTTTTAGTTTCACATTCAGACTATATTTGTAGTTTATTTATGCTTTGGAAGCATACTCATCCTCTTTACAGCGATAGAGAACTGATGTCCGGCTTTTTTGAGACGTCTACGTTTTGTGAAGACGTCTACGTTTATGTGCGCAAATGAACCTGGAAATTACACAAAGTACAGACGTCTGAAAAATGCCGGACTTCTTTTCTAAAGCATAAATAAACTACAAATATAGTCTAAATGTGAAATAAAAACTTGACAAAGTTCTACATTTTTCGGGTACATCACTCCGTTCCATGTGGGCGTTTATTTAAGGAGGTGCATGTAGTCCAGTAAATTGGCCACATTTTATGGGGCTAAATATTATCATTTTGGGAGCAATCAGTGGACCTGCGCAATAGGTCATTGTGCTATTGGTCGATCGTCCCGCCGTCAGTCGATCACGTCACGCCGCCATTGGACGGTGACAGTCTATGTAATACTGACCATGGTGAAAGCCATGGTCTATAATACATTTCAGTAGATTCGCTGATGGAAAGATTTCCATATACGAAGTTCACTCAACACCCTATGTACAAACCCCATGAGATTGGACTGAAAAATTCGAAGTGTTTTCTAAGAAAATGCTTGTATTTTCTCACTGCTCAAATTGACTTTGATGACATGAAATTGCTATCTGGGGGCTTGTTAGTCAATACAGAGGAAAATGAGTGAACCTCGTATATGGAAATCTTTCCAAAAAAATCCCTAGACACAGCAACAAAGGCTATGGGCACGTGCTCTGTATTACGCGATACGTGCCCAGCTGTTGTATTACAAAATACTGCATTCGAGTTGACCAATCAGAACACGTTTAGTCCTGATTTGGGAATAAAATGACGTCATGATTTAGTTAAGTCAACTCCAATTGGCGGAGGCAATAAATAATCGAATAAATCTGCATGCTTTTGACATATCAGACGTATATAATTAATAATAACATGGCCTACAGGAGACTTGGCAAGCATGCAGGGGCGTCAATCACTTCTCAAAAGTGGGGGGGGGGGGGGGGGGGTTCAAACCTTGATCAGAACTGATGCGAAGCGCTAAGCCTTAACGGCGTGGGTTTTGGGGCCCACTTTCAAAGGGCCCCGAAAAAAATTGACAAGTCCCCCTGTCTCCTCCCCCCCCCCCCCCAAAGGATTGACGCCCATGCATGCTTGGCTCCGTGGATATTAAACCGGCTTGACCGGTCACCGGTGATATTCGGACTTCCATCGGAGGGGCGAAATGACATGGCACCAAGTCATAAGCCTTATCGCAATACACTGGTGCGTAAAGCATTGGGCAGGATAAGGGGTCGGATAAGACTCGGACATAGAACCATGCACAAATGCGGTGTTCGAACGCGCACGCTGTCGCCGCCGTGTGTTAAGCCATGCGGCGTACATGTTGACAGCGTACATACGCGGTCAATGTCCCTGATTCTCGTGATGCTCTCGGATTTTGCTATTTGCTGATTTGCGACAAGGCTTAAAAAAGTTATGGATCTCGGAGTAGACATTGTTGTCATGTCAATAATGGAAATACAATAGAAAATGGAAATGGCATGAATGGGCAGCACCAGACTGGGACCGTGAGTGCATAAAAACGTGCAAAATTACAACTGACGTTTTTTTACTCACCATTTGGCTAATTAATGCCCACACAACACATACATCAAAATGCTATAGTTGCAAGCATGTCACCTGCAAAATTTGAGACCTTAAATCCAATTTTAAGGCAAGTTTTTGGCAGTTCAAAAACCATCCACGTCATTCTCCATGCTCTAGAAATGTATGTCTGATTCCCAAGGTATTCTGGGTAGGTGCAGGAAGAGCCTTGCAGCTTACTTGTTTTTTAATCGATGGCCAAATGAACATAGCGCCCTCTGTTAAAAAATGAAACATTTTGCATTCACTTAGATCAACAAGAGGGCGCTGTTTTATCTACACGATGAAAATGTTATAGCTGAGGAGTCTTTTTGCACAATGCATTGCAGTGCACATCAACGTGATGTCTCACGTTTGGATTTCGATATCTCTCTGCAAAATTAGAATTAAAAGCTGAATTTTTGGTGATGCAATGCTCACAACAGCAACTTTGCGAGGCAAAAGTTTCGGGGATTATTGAAGAGACTGTAGTGAGTAAGAAGCTTGCAAATTTGATTCACACTGGTTTTATTATGCAGCACAAACTTTTGCACGATATGGATACCTTAAGTTTTGGGACTCTCATACACAGTATTGAGAGTCCCAAATTTTCGGACTAGGGCAGCACTGCCCACTTACCAAAACTTCCTCGTAACAGCGCTGAAACCTTCGACGAAAGTGCCATTTTGTGTATTCAGCTTCTTCCGTCTATACTGGCTCCGTAAATGTTGCAGTCGCAATGTTTACATCTGCCTTACCTTGAAATTTTTTATGCAACGATTTTCGGTACGTTACACAACTTTCATTTAGCCGACAAAATCAATGGCGGCTTAACACTGGTTTCGAAACATTTTCCCATTAATTTAATTGCGCACAAATGGGTAGGGGTACCAGCGATTTCATCCCGGTCCAGTCGCTATAAAACTGTTAACTCTTGGAGGCGCTATTTCAACAATCCTGGCATGCATAGACGCGGCCGTCCAAAAATTATGAAAAAAACTCACAACTCTCCAAGGTGTTTGAAATTGAGACACAAACACACCAGATTTAGGATAAAATCGCCTCCCTGTCCTCCCACTGGAAATGTGTCAGCCCTATACCGTGGTTAACGGGTTTAACAAAAAATGGGAACCATCCCTCGCACACCCACACCCAAATAAAACAAAATCGTGGACATTCCTCAGTTAATTTTTGTACTTAATTTTGCAGCTCTCAGTCATGATCAAGTTAGCAACAGCTCTCAAATTCCCCATAAGTGGGTCCAACTAATACGGCGTGGGGTTCGGGGCCTGCTTGAGGACCCCGAGTTGTTGCTGTTTTTTTTTGTTTTTGTATTCTAGATGCTCTGTGGTGCGATCTGAGGCAATTTCTGACCACTTTCAAAGTTGACCAATTTTTTGGGGTGGTGTACGCACTGCCTGCCTTTATTGCGGGGCCATTCCCCCCCGTTGGCCTCCCTCCCTTGATCCGCCCTTTTTGTAACCCTTTTATTCTAGGTACGGTCCACGATTGCCGGTGTTTACATACAGACAAGGGCGGATCCAGAACACAATTTTTTTTGGGGGGGGCCAAAAAATTTTTTGGTCCCCCAAAAAAGTGGGTCAAAAAAATTACGGCGTGGGGTTCGGGGTAATTTCTGACCACTTTAACCAATGTTTTTTTGAGGTAAAGATGGTGGTGTACCCATTGCCTGCCTTTATTGCGATGTCACATAAACAAAAAAAATTGGTTTCTTTTTTTTGGGGGGGGGGGCATGGCCCCCTTTGCCCCCCCCCCCCTGGATCCGCCCTTGCATACAGACACACCTGCATGTACCTGGCTACGCCACTGTACTGCTAAACAAACAGGTCCAGAATCAGATATTTTGTTCACAAGGCAGCGCGCACAATGAGGATGTGCCCCCCCCCTCCAAAAAAAATAACCAACCAACCTTTACTGAACAAGAACAAGATCTAATTGAGTAGAAACACAGTTTGTTCCACCGACAAATTCTGTAACACAAAACAAAACTCCATGAGAGTGAACACTAGACAAGAAACATACATGGGGTAATTAATATAAGCAGTGTTTATTTTTGAAGTTCTCAAGTTTGTGTAAAAGTCTTAAACTACTCATAGCGTTCGGGGAAAAAAAATTTAATAGGTAGTTTAGCGCCCTCTATGGCAATCCAGAATAAATACCTTTTGCAAAATGGCCTCCGGTTTTCGGTTTAATATTTGAGCTGCGGCTGTGCAGAACGTTCGTTTGTTACTAAACAGTACTGTAACTAACTAACGAACTAACTAATTAACGGAGAGACATGATGATTTGTTGGGCGGTTGTCCGCAGCTAAAAAAAATGCATGTGTAATATTTTTCAACTCAATGAATTTTCCTAAAATTCCTTTAATATTTAGGTCTGACACAGAGAATCCTACGAGTTTTCATCAATAAAATCCTCCTAACTGAACTAATGTTAACAAATTAATGACAAGCATAACGGTCACTGAGTTGCACATTTTGCACGGTTTTGGTGTTTTGATTAGGTTTATTATTTTCTATGATTTTGATCAACAAGATTTCGGGGATGTTTGCATTTTGATAGATTATCTAGCCACCAACCAAGTTGTCTATAATCTACTTGTTGATTAAAGATGCATCACGTCAAGTTGTATGGGTCATCTTTGACGAAGACGCTGCTCTCTCAACCGTATAGAGAAAATAAAATACAATAATTTTTTTAAGTTCATTATAGGAACCCCAGTTTAACGGTATTTTCAGAATGTTAAATTTTGTTACTGAAATGGAATTCGAGTTGCCGTCTGAATATCTATCTGCCATGAACAAGTAGTTATGGTAAAGGAGATCTAAGACGAAATACTTCCATCAAAGTTCGGTTTGACGCGGGGATTGTTTTCTTTTTTTCTTTCTGAAATGAAGACGCAGATGAGAGGTCAGACACTAGGGAGAGGCAGAGCGGTGATACTTGCCTCCTTCTCATCTCCCCAGCGAAGGTTATAGCCAAGGCCAGTTTGGACAACAGTTATTTTCAGCGCACTGATAAAAGTAAGGGCCGCAGTGTATGTCACCCCGTACTAGAAAATAAAAATAAAAACTAATTATTTCTTTAACAAAATACAATTTCAGGGCACATCGATCCCAATGACAAATACTCTCACCCATTAGGTCTACATATGTCTCTTATTTCAACCCAAATTAACTTTTTCCCCAGTTTAGAAACAAACATAATTGGACAGTCCTGGCATTATTCCGGGACATCCACTCCCCATCCCCCGCGACGAACGTCTTTTGGGCTAAATTTTCTTTTGTTGTTCTGCTTCTTGTGTTTTGGGCTGTGTGTTGCTATGGAGAGTACCCCTTGGCCCCCACCCCACTTTGCACAGCCTATAATTAGGAGATGGCTTGGCCAGATGATTAACCCCTCCCTTCAATTCTCTATCAGCCACAGACAAAATGAGGTTAACATCCAACTTTTAATAACATTGAATCGCAAGGGCAATGTGAACTTTTGAAACTTTTGCACATGAGATAAAAATGAATTGTCGTTCAACAGAATCAGGTTGACCATTCAACCCAACTACAAACAATATAGTCAGAGTATTACACATACCTTGACGTTCTCCACTGACTGCATATTGGTCAGAATCGCCATCACTCCGTCCTATGAAAAAAAAACCTACAAAACGGCACAAAAAAATGATTGTTTATGAATTATGACCTATCAGCTTCTTGCCACTTACCTCCATTTGAATTATTATTATTTGAACTTTCATATACTGTCCTATCGCTTTAAATGAGTACAGAGAACTTAAACTGCTGTTTTTGGAATCTCCAATGCAAAACAGAATAAATTACGTTTTGATGTGTAAGGTATTCCTAATGTAATAAATAATAATAATATCGGAGTCTTATATAGCGCACGTTTCTACTAACTATTAGGTACTCAAGGCGCTGGAGATATGTCTGTTATTAAAGAAAGGTAAATAAAGTATATGAGAAATATGAGACCCATTATGTAGCACCTTATAAGGGTTTACAAGGTACTGCGGCGCATATTGCAGCCACTGCCAGAAACACCGGGGCAAACCCCTTCTCTAAGCGACAAGTGTTACTGGGTTCTTTAACGTGCATTACACAACACACGGGACCTACGGCTTTACGTCCCATCCGAAGGACGAAGCAATAATGGTAAAGTGCCTTGCTTAAAAGTACAAGCACCATGTTCCCACGGTCAGGATTCGAACCCATGTACCACGGCACACGAGTCGAACACCCTAACCATTGGACCACAGCACCCCATCATAAGACCTATATATATGTCGCGTGTGTCGTTATATTTACCTTGCAGACTAGCTGCTTCACTAGTCATCACAGTACTAGCAATCAAGCCGATTATCAGAAGAGTGACCAGTAACATCTTCATTGTGAGTAGTGGGGAATTCAATGCCGTTCAAAGGAAATGTCTGTGGATCTGTCGCCAAAAGAGAAAAAGAACAATAGGAACGGGTCAAATTCGAATACCGATCTTATCCTTCACCAGCAACAAAACAATTGCTCACTATCTTCAGGGTGCATAACAACTTAACCTGTGGCAGTTTCAGCTCAGTGAGAAACATAAAACACATGTACCATACTTATAGGGTTTCATAACTGGATTCCGTTGCTAAAACTTGCTAAAGCCCGGTTCAACATACTCCACGCGAATTCTAATGCGAAGCGAATTCGACGTCATGAAACATTCGCTCATGCGAAATTTGCACGAGTTGAAAATGTTCAACTTACGAATTCGCAGCGCGAATACTTGCCATTACGTCACAAATTCGCGTTCGCTTTCGCGCCGAGTATGAACCGGGCTTAACACAGTAAAAACAAAGTGCGCTCAAGTCACGAAAGTATATATTGCAAAGGTTTTTCTATCGTTTCTAAACATGGTTTGAGCACACACAAAAAGGTCCGAGTGAAACGCTACCTTTTCACCTATAAATTAAGCAGTCAAGAAAAAGGAACAACTATTATGTCATGTACACGTACATGAAAATAACGTTCGAATACTTACGTATCTTCAGTGTACTTCTCTGTTCTTTGTATCAAGCAACGCTGTAGTATGCTTTCTGTTTGATGTCAGAGACAATAATTCTCTCAGTGACAGCAGTTTATATATTTCCAAACCGCTCTTGTGATCCAAACTCAACAGACCACCAAATTGCATCATCGTCTACCAAACCTGACTGTAGACGCTCATAATTATCTACAGATGTACAGACATGTCGCCCATCAAATCCAACCATGCATGTCCCTGACAGAGCCTTGTCAATATTGTCGTTGTGAAATTTGCATTCGTTGGCCATTCTCTGGAAAAGTCATTGCGTTTTTAATCGCGTGTTCTATGTTTCTTTTCATTATTGAGACCATTATCCACTCCAAAACCTAGTCGAAGTGGTCAGAAAGGTGTCAAGATCACAATAAGTGCCTACTTCATAATTCAGCGTGGTTTCTGTAGTCACATATACTGAAATGAAGTTGAGTACAAGCCGATGATCGGATGAGCGGAGGGGCAGGGTGAAAATGCGAGGCGTATAAATAAAGTTTACGGACGTTGATGTAATTCATAGAAATTGCTTTCCTTTTGCTGCCTTTGGTCAAATAATATAATACTTGATTTGATTTTCTTTAACTAATCAGATATCTCTAGAAAATAAGCAGAATCTGCGGGTGAGGTGTTATAAAACGAACACAACCTGCTTTGACAAGTGGTATATACTTGCAAACATCGAAAAATAAAACTACCAAGTGTTTCGAAATACCTTACGAAGATGTTGGTAAATGACAGTCTAAAGCATCCTGTATAATAATGGCACCTGGTGTGAAGTCATTTTCAAGAAAAATGGTACTTTTGTATACATTTCCAACGTTAGTCGGCCGACCACCGTTGGAAAAACCTAATTACTATTTTTCAACCACTACTGCAAATTTACCATTTTTGTACCAGTCCAAATGTTGTTTGCTATTGGTTCCATGTTCATGAACGGGTGCACGCCAGCTAGACTGGTTCCCTTACCTTACAATTTTCCGGCATTTTTGATCCATTTCATCTTCAGTGGAGTCCGGGAACCAGACTACCTGAACATTTGTGTTTTTCTTGGTTTTTCCAGCATTTTCGAACGCAAAACTTCAAACATGTCAGTGTAACAATATTTGATCTATTATACTAACCCCCATGTGAACTGCACATAATGTCTAGACTCAACAATAGAGTCAATATCGGTAGACGTCAATATGGAGTTTGACGGAGCCTCTAACGTCCTTGGAGTTTATGCGATATAATTTTTCTCATCTAAAAATAAATGTTTTATGGCTTTTTCGTCTCTCCATAGACACAATAAAATTCTGCTCCGAGCTAACGAAAGAATGGTTTGTGACTATTGTACACTGTAGGAATCATATATTTTCGGCAATAAAATAGAGGAAAATTGGTGAGGTACGATTGCAACTTAGAAAATGGACTAGAATATTATGGTACTGAATGCTTCGAGTTCGATTGAGAAAATAAAATCGAACACATAACTCCGTGGATCACAGTTTTACTGTACTGGCCCCGTGTAAAAGCAGTCTATGTTGATAACGCCTCACCAACACATTCTGTGCTTATTTTGTAGAGATATGTCTGTTTAATTCAACAAAATCCAATTTAAGTATTATATTATTTGACCAAAGGCAATAAAAGGAAAATGTCTTCTTTGAAAATAAGAATTGCATGCATCAATGTTCATAAATTTCATTTATATGCCACGCAATTTCACCCTTCCCTCTCGCATCATATACTGAACTTCCTCTCAGTATTTTGTACACTTTAATTAATACAAACCACGCTAAAGTAGGCACTTTTTATTTTGACACCTTTCCGACTACGTCGGGGCATGGTCGGGGATTGTCACTTAAATTTGCCCGAGGGGTGGGGATTTTGTCACTTCAAAAGTGACAATCCCGACGTCTTGGGTGGGGCAGCCAGGGGGGTGGAGGGGTGGGGGAAACAATATTGATAGGCGCATAAGTTTCATGAAATTACAATTGAATGCAGGCGAAGTTTGCACTATCAAGTTAAGCCAATACAGGTTTCCACGACGGTGGGCGTAGGGGAGATGATAACCGGTATATTCCAAATGATCTCGCGCATTCTCGCTTGTGCGTCATCACGTGACTTGTCAACGGTCGGATGTCGTATAATGGCGGCAAGCTTATTTTCACAACCTTGTATTACGCGTGCAAGACGTAAACACAGACAGCCCGGTATGTCACGAACTTGGTCGGGAATGTTTGGCCCGTGGTCTAGGGACGGTGACTCCATCAGCAAAGTGTGATGTGATGACTTGCCGTCGATACAGAACGGTTATCGCACAAAGTTGACTGAACGTGACGTCTCTTCACAGTTCGCCAAACTCAATTAAACCGGTGCTTCTGTCTGTATAACATAACTGCATGCAAACAAATCCTTAAGGTCGAGACCAGTAAATCGGTCCGAAATTGCCTGCGCCGGCCAAATCACGATATGCATGCCCTCAAAATCTCCAGTATTTGAGCATGCTATGGGTCATGAACTTGAGGGTTTGTAAAAAATATGGGTGGAAGCCGTGCACAGGACTGTGAGCTTGTAGTTCCGTTCAATTTGGATGAAATTGGGGCAAATTTTGCAATGGAATGTAGGCATCGTTTTTCAACATGGCGATGGGCTTCAGGACTATTTTCAGGGTGATCATCTTCGGATGGAAATTTCTCAAATTTTGGTCTCCCAAAAAGTGGGTCCAAAAATTACGGCGTGGGGTTCGGGGCCCGCTTAAGGACCCCGAGTTTTTTGGGGGTTTTTGATTCTAGATGCTCTGTGGTGCGATCTGAGGCAATTTCTGACCACTTTGACAAATTTTTGGATGGAAAAATGGTGGTGTACGCAGTGCCTGCCTTTATTGCGACGTCACTAAAAAAAATATTAAAAAAAATATACAAAAATTGGTTCGGTTCTTTTTTTGGGGCGGGGCCATGTCCCCCGTTGGCCCCCCTCACTGGATCCGCCCTTTTTGTAACCCTTTTGTCCTAGGTCCACGAAAACACCCATTCTGGAATTTGTATTCCTGTGGAGACATTTCTTTGTTCTCGTGTAGTAAAGTTTTCGAGTGTGAAATTGAAGTTTCAAAATGCTCTTATTTTAACCAGAATTAATTTCCTGGGCTGAAATTTGGACTAAATATCCCTTTTCTAAAACTCTTCCATTTGCGACGATCAACCTACCTTGGAAATTCCTAGTTTTTGAGTAAAATCCATATATCTATTTCGTGAAATAGACGTGAAATTCTTGTGGAGACGTATTCATCTATAGAAAAAATGTTCTTCTGGAGACGTATACAATCTTTTGTTCCCTATTGTGTTCATGTCTCCGTAAGGTAGTAAATTCCAGCACATACTCACACACACACACACACCCACCCACCCACCCACACACACACACAGACTTGTTTCACATACCTAGTGTGGACTTTCCTTTCTTTTCGTGTAGTTAAGGAACACCAGTGGAAAAACTCATTTTTCTCAAACTGTGAAAACTCTTACAACCCATTTTTTTTTCAATGATTCCCTTTAGTGTTTCTCTTCATTCTGCTACAGATAAACCTAACCCAAAAATGCCTCTAAACCTGTTTTCCAGAAATGGGGAAACACTGTGTGGACGTGGGCAAGTCCACACTTCGTCGCTGCTACCTACATTATGTGGACGTCTTTTGTTCGGAAGTCCACACTGCGTATGTAAGACAAGCTCACCCACACACACACACACACACCTGGCTACGCCACTGTACTGCTAAAAGAAACAGAAACCAGAAACAGATTTTTTTTTCACAAGACAGCGCGCAAAATAAGGATGTGCCCCCCCCCCCCAAAAAAACCCCACCCCAAACAAACAAACAAACACACCTTCACCCCCACCCACAAATTCTGGAACAGTACCTCACAAAACAAAACTCCATGAACAGAACTGAAACACTATAGTGAACACTAGACAAGAAACATACATGGGGTTATATAAGCAGTGTTTATTATTTTGTGAAGTTCTCAAGTTTGTGTAAGTCTTAAACTACTCCTAGCGTTCGAAAAAAAACCCATTTTAATAGGTAGTTTAGCGCCCTCTATGGCAATCCAGAATAAATACCTTTTGCAAAATGGCCTCCGGCTTTCGGTTTAATAATGTTGTTCGTAAATGATATGACTGTTTTCTTGTACTTCGGTATTCATGCATACATTTTATAGGACCCCCTCTATGACGCAGTTTCGTACACAGAATAAACGAAGAAACATAGAAACCTGGGCCCTGGATACTGACAAAGAAAAAAAAAAATGTGTAGTATTTTTCAACTCGATAAATCGTCCTCAAAGTCCTTTGGTCTGACAAAACTTTTGCATTCATGCACACATAAAATGACGCAGTGACATCACACTGACTCCTACGAGTTTTTATCAAAAATTCTCCGACATCGATATGTTAAAATTAATCAGCATTTTCATGTGCGTTTTCTTTTTTTCACAGCTTGGTGTTTTGATTTGTTATGTTTTGATCAAGAGGATGTTCTCAAAGATGCTTGAATTTTAATAAGGTTATATTTGCCAGCCACCATGAAAACCACATGTGTCAATTAATGTACTTGATTAGATGCTAGAAAATTTTGGGCCCTCCTTCTCAGAGACACTGCTCTTTCAACCCTATGAAAGAAAAGAAAGAAAATTCAACAGTTGTTTTAGTTCACTAGGAACCCCAGTTATAAATGGTTCGTTTTCGTAATGTTCAATGTTGTTACTAAAATGGAATTTAGGTTGCAATCTGAGTATCTACAAACATAAATATACTAAAATGCCATCGGTTATCACAAAGGAAATCTACGGCAAAAGACTTCAATCAAAGTTTGGCTTGACGCCGGGGATTTTTTTTCCTGTGAGATGAAGACGCAGATGAGAAGTCAGAGATACTTTGGGAGAGATTAGTCTTGCTTGGCCCAGACGTCAGTGATCGAAAGCGATGGTTGCATTGATGTAGAGCGCCCTTGCAATCTATTTTCTTTAACTTTCTCGCACTAACGTCTTGGGAATCTTGCAGCAATGGAGGCGTGGCCGTCTAAAATGTAGATTATCGTCCCATTGGTGTAAATATTATTATAACACCTCACCCACAGATTCTGTGTCTTGATTGGCCGAGAGTGAGTCACATGTTACTTTCTAATTTTGCTATCTTTCTGTGCACGGCCAAAAGTACTATACTCGTAGCAACCAAAGTACTATACCATTGGCAACCAAAGTACTATTTCCACGGCGCGGTATTTGTGTGCAAATGGATGCTTGTGTGCGCGTTGCGCGTTGCGCGTTGCGCGTAGCGCGTATTGTTCCAAAGAGAGCGCGCCGCAGACTTGGATTCAAACATTTCGTGAAGGGGTAGTTTGGAAGAGAGAAATACATTTTCCACCAATTTTGTATTGAAATTGAAGTTTATTTCAACTGTGTTCAGATTTAAATAATTTAAAATATTAAAATCAAGCAGAATCTGTGGGTGAAGTGTTATAAAACAAATATTGAATGCTTTATCTCGTGGTGAAGTAAAACTAGCCTCCCTCGATGATCCATGGACCATTCTATTTTCCCTCGGCTTCGCCTCGGGAACATAGAATGTCCATGGATCACCTCGGGAGGCTAGTTTTACTACACCACTCGAAGCATTCAATATTTGTATACTAGCGTATTAGGCCAAGACTGTAGGAGAACATTATAGAGTATATGGTGTGAAAACAAAATAAGATAATACTTGCCTCCTTGTTTATAATCTCCCTACGACTCAAGGGTAAAACTCCCGCTTTAAACAACAGCCAGTGGGTTTATGTCTGCAGGGTTCAAATCTATAGGGGCAGACCATATTCCGTACTGCAGGGGGGGGGGAATAAAATACTGATTATCCCTCGAATAAAATACAATTTGGCACATGGATCCCAATGACAAGTACTCTCTCCCCTTACATTCGGGATGTTTATCCATGAGATAAAATTGAATTTTCCTAATCGGCAGAATCGGGTCGAACATTCAACCCAACTACGGACAATAGTGGTACCTGAATATACATACCTTGACGTTCTCCACTGACTGCATGTTGGCCAGAATCACTATCACTCCGTCCTACGAAAAACACAAAACGGCACCAAAAAATGATTGTTTGTTTATGAATTACGACTTTCTTATTGTGTTATCGCACATGTTTTGCACTTTCTTATTGTGTTATTGCTGTTAACGAGGAGTAGGCCTACAGAGAACTGAAATACTGTTTTGTAATGTGTAAGGTATTCCTTTGTCTCACTCATAAACAAGACCTATGTCGCGTGTCGTTTTACCTTTCAGACCAGCTGTTTCACTAGTCATCACAGTACTAACAATCAAGCCGATTATCAGAAGATAACTGATCAGGAACACCTTCATTGTGTGTAGCGGGTAATTCGATGTCGTTCAATGGAAATGTCCGTGGATCTGCCCCAAAAGAGAAAAAGAAGTACTGTTCTTTCAAAGATTGCTATACTGGAACGGGTCAAATTCGAATGCCGATCTTAGCTACGAAGACTGGTACCAAGAGTTGAAGATGATGGCTTGAGAATTAAGTATGGGTATGAAATACGTATGGGTATGCCACAAAACGTCCGTCGCGTCTGATGTAAACAACCGGGTTTTTTTTTCAAGGGAACGGTAAGATATTCGGTTTGTTTTCTTTCAACCAGACCTTTGAAATAGTAAACAATCCAAAACATGACGGATTTCAGACCGTAATTAAGATTTCAGACCCTTTAATTGCGCTCAAGTCATGGAAGTAGTTTCTAAACACGGATTCGCAAAAGGGTCACAAGTATAAACGCTACCTTGTCAACCATCAGTTCAACTGTAAAAAAAAAAAAAAATAACATATGTCATGTACACGTACAACAAAATAACGTACGAATACTTACGTATATCTGTAGTGTACTTTTCTGTTGTTTGAATATATATCAAGCGACGCTCAAGTGATGTGATGTTTTGTGGTTGATGTCAGAGACTAATTCTCTCAATGATAGCACGGAAATTTGTATACTTCACCAAACCGCTTGTGTAATACAAACTCAAAAGACCACCAAATTATATGATCGTATACCAAACCTGATGCTAGACGAGTACAGAAGTTAGTGTCGCCCATCAAATCCAACCATGCATGTCCCTCACGGATCTTTGTCAATTGTCGTTGTAATATGAATTCGTTGTTCATTCTCACTGGAAAGTCATTGCGTTTTATGTCGCGTGTCCTATGTTTTGATGTGGTCAAAAAGTTGTCAAGATCACCAAGACCGAAATGTGTATCTTTGTAGAGACATCGCTTTGTTCTCGTGTACAAACAGGCTAGAGGGTCGAATGCTATTTCCAAAAACGCTCCTATTTGAACCAGAATTACTTTCCGGGGTCGAAATTCTGACCAAATATCCCTTACATAAAATACTTGAATTTGCGACGGATAAGTACACCTTCGAAATTCCTAGTTTTTGAGTACAATGTATTTCGTGAAATCCTCGTGGAGACCTATTCACCTTTAGAAATTTCCTTGTGGAGAATTTTACATGCTTTTGTTCCGTATTATACCCAGGTCTCCATATGGTAGCGGTGTTAGAATCAAAAGGGGTACATACCTATGTTCCCCAATACCTATGTTCCCCAAAATCCTACCCTATAACCCTAACCCTAACCTTAACCCTAGCCCTAACCCTAACCCTAACCCTATAACCCTAATCCTAAGGATTTCGGGGTACATCGGTATTAACGGGGCAAATTCGAATACCGATCTTATCCTTCACCAGCAACAACACACTTGCTCACTATCTTCAGGGTGCGTAACAACTTAACCTGTGGCAGTTTCAGCTCAGTGAGAAACAGAAAACACATGTACCATACTTATAGGGTTTCATAACTGGATTCCGTTGCTAAAACTTGCTAAAGCCCGGTTCAACATACTCCATGCGAATGCGAAGCGAATTCGACGTCATGAAACATTCGCTGCGAAATTCGCCCGAGTTGAAATATGTTCAATATGTTTTATGGCTTTTTTGTCTCTCCATAGACACAATAAAATTCTGCTCTGAGCTAACGAAAGAATGGTTTGTGACTATTGTACACTGTAGGAATCATATATTTTCTGCATTCAGATAGAGGAAAATTGGTAAGGTACGATTGCAATTTAGAAAATGGACTAGAATATTATGGTACTGAATGCTTGGAGTTCGATTGAGAAAATAAAATCGAACACATAACTCCATGGATCACAGTTTTACTGTACTGGCCCCGTGTAGAAGCAGTCTATGTTGATAACGCCTCACCAACACATTCTGTGCTTATTTTGTAGAGATATGTCTGCTTAATTTAACAAAATCCAATTCAAGTATAATATTATTTGACCAAAGGCAATACAAGGAAAATGTCTTCTTTGAAAATAAGAATTGCATGCATCAACGTTCATAAATTTCATTTATATGCCACGCATTTTCACCCTTCCCTCTTGCATCATATACTGAACTTCCGTTCAGTATTTTGTACACTTTAATTAATACAAACCACGCTAAAGTAGGCACTTTTTATTTTGACACCTTTCCGACTACGTCGGGGCATGGTCGGGGATTGTCACTTAAATTTTGCCCGAGGGGTGGGGATTTTGTCACTTCAAAAGTGACAATCCCGACGTCTTGGGTGGGGCAGCCAGGGGGTGGAGGGGTGGGGGAAACAATTGATAGGCGCATAAGTTTCATGAAATTACAATTGAATGCAGGCGAAGTTTGCACTGTCAAGTTAAGCCAATACAGGTTTCCACGACGGTGGGCGTAGGGGAGATGATAACCGGTATATTCCAAATGATCTCGCGCATTCTCGCTTGTGTGTCATCACGTGATTTGTCAACGGTCGGATGCCGCAATGGCGGCAAGTTTATTTTCACAACCTTGTATTACCCGTGCAAGAGGTAAACATAGACAGCCCGGTATGTCACGAACTTGGTCGGGAATGTTTGGCCCGTGGTCTAGGGACGGTGACTCCATCAGTAAAGTGTGATGTGATGACTTGACGTCGAGTATTACCTCCGCCAAGCTTCATCGGTTTTATTTGTTTGTTTGTTTGTTTGTTTGTTTGTTGGGGGTGTTGGGGTGTTGGGGTGTTGGTTTGTTTGTTTGTGTGTTGGGGTGTTGGGGTGTTTGTTTGTTTGTTTGTTTGTTTGTCTGCTTAAAAGATAAATCAAAAAGTTATGGACAGATTTTAATTCTTTTTAGTGGAGGTCTGTGGTACAATTACAAATCGGTTAGATTTTGGAAGTGCTCAGGATCTGGGTTACCGGTTAAATTAACCCTAGTTGCGACTCTGCAAAGCGAGTGCCAATTAACAAGCGTCTAGCAGCCAGTCCAGATGATGGTATTCAGGCCAGGCCGTGACACTTGGCTATACGGCTAGCAATAATTAACGCACAAGTATATTATGGGAAGTGGCTGCGCAATGGCTTCCATTGGTGCGCGTGTTGTACATAACCGTAGCCAAGTGATAACGGACGCAGCCTGAACAGAATGAAAACAACGAGTTAACAGTTTTCTTGTCACAAGAGGGCCAGTTATGCATGGATCGTATTGTGTTTCATTTTTTCTAGGTACACGTCAACACCGTGACACAGATACTATCGTGATTGCTTGAGCAGCTGGCACAGGACTTGTACTAGTGTTAAGACTCGATTCGCCTCGTGCCATTAACAATGATTAACTCGTTACTCTGGACATTCTTCTGTAACTGGAAAATGCCAAGTGCAATTACATTGTCGTCACGTGGAAAGCACGTACTGCACAAAAACACACCCACTGTGCAAACGATATACGTGTAGAGTTTTAAAGGTGTCGACCGGGGTAAAGTTTTGCGTATTAGAATTAGGCATACATAATTGTTTTTGATGCAAGTTAAGAAAAATGGAGCTATCCGCTCCGTTCTCAAGTACCCCCTCACCGGCATAGAGAGTACAGTTGGGGGTGACCGACCGACGCCATCTTCAACTTTGCCCGACTGCAATTTTGCGGCGACGCGCGGCCGTACCACTGCGTGTACATAGTACAAATCCCCCGGTGTACATGTACGCGCGCCACACACAAGGAACGGTGCGCGTGAACCAGCTAAATGTCCCACCCATGGGACGTCGTTGGTAGGTAAAAGGGCGCCCTCTTGTTGGCGCACGGAGCCCATACATGCAGAGACTTGTGTTTACTAATCTTCGATATATTTCGAATCATAATAACTGGGATCAAATTGAGTCCAAGTTTTGTGTCATTCATCAGACACGTAAATGAATTTTTCGTCAGATGGTCCCGTGTCTTTCCAACTTGTAAAGATTATTTCGTAACCTGTTTGTGGCATTTTGGAATCAACAAGCAGTTCGGTGCAGGTTGACTGAGATCTTCAAGAAGTACACTCTTTTCGGTCCAAGATACATCCGGTACAGGACTGTCTGGCACCCAATAAGCGCGGTAACGTCGCGGCCGGGTCGTCAAGTTATGCAAAGTACAAAATGCGATTGCTATTAGACAAACCAGATATAACTCTACAAGATTTTATGCTAGGATAATGTGATAAATTATCTGCATTAAATGCCAGGGTATGATTTTCTTTGTAAATGTTGGGTCAACAACTATATAATACACAAGCTGATTTACCCGATCATAGATCGGGCAGGGCGTAGTGTTGGGGATGAAAATGTGGGGAGTTAAATGTAAATGGGGGATATAGTTGGGGAGACATGCAGTTATAGAAAAACATTTTCTGTGGTGTGATCTGAGGCAATTTCTGACCACTAAAACCAATTTGAGCAAAATATCATCTTTTAAACATCATTTTCTAGCTTGGGGTAATTGAATCAGCTACACGGTATTCTGAGCAATAGAATCATTATAGTAGGCTACAATTTATATTCGGGGAAGAAAAAGTGGGGGGGGGGACCAAACAATGTCCCCGCTTTAAAATGAATAATAACCAAACCTTGTGACGAGATTTTGACGAGATTTTATTGCAAGAGACGTGGACTCCGCGTTGTAAAAACACCCTCGGGAACACCTGCCTATGGTAGGCAGGTGTTCCCGAGGGGTGTTTTTACACCACGGAACCCTTGGAATGGGTTGAGGGTCCCAGGCTAGATCGTAAAGCTAGGGCTGCTCCATGCATGGGTTCTATTCCTTCCTCCATGGTTCAGCCACGGGTTATGAGCAGAATCTGTGAGCAGAATCTGTGGTAGGTATGATCACTCCATAATGGCAGTGTGTGCAAAGGCAAATTCCCTTTTCCCATTAGATTTTCGACTCGTCTAGTTCGCCTCTGTGACAGAAGAGTGTACTTGAAGCTGACCGCCAGACCTGGACACAAAGACCATGGACACACAGACCTAGAGAACGGTCCAACATTCCAAGGAGCGTGAAGGCGGTCTGGTTCCTGTCATATCTCGGCAATCAAGCTGTCAATTAGTTCAGTTATCTTCCATAGAGCAAGGACCAAACCAATAAATCATAGCTTGTCAGTCTTCAGGCTAGTTCAGCTCCCATGGCGCCATTCTCATCATGGGCATTAACTAGTCTTGGTCCAAGTTCCCTTAAAGGTAGAGTACATCGATCATTTGTCATTTGTGCATTTTTAGCTGCCGCTGAGCAGCTCAACAAAATGGTCGTGACCGTTAGTTGGTTAGTTAGTAACAAACGTCACCAACAGCCTTGCATTGCTACCATGATCACCACGTCCCTGGCAGGCCCTTAATAGGTCCCAAATGACCGCCAACAGAAAAAAAGTACCAGTTTATGCAGTCCTGGAAAATTGGGTCACTAGGGTGAAAAACCTGATGTTTGATGGCACTATCACGGTACACATTTCGAGCGTGTTTTCGTTAGAAGCAACAAAAGTGCTCAAAATAGACTTCATCCAAAGTTAACTAAAAAACAAAACTTGTCTTCTTTCCGGGTGTGTAGTGTGTACTCACATCACGCTTCTAACAATAGCATTGTGTTTGCAGTGTAATCAAAGCGCCGGAAGTTGTTGATTTGCCGCACTGAATCATGGGAGGAAGTACAAAATAAGAGTGTTGGCTTAAAGGATTAGTGCAGCTGCCTCGTGCGTGTCTAACAATGACCAACTCATGTTGGTGTTTAGAGGCTTCATTACTGACACACTCGTGATATCCGTACACATTTTGAGAACACTTTTTAACAAGTAATTATGGGTGTTTCGGCTAACCCAATGTGGCACCGCAACATCCGCTTGGATGTACGGAGCCCCTTTAATGACACACCGCGAAGCCGGACGCTTTGACGCCGCATGACCTTCAGCGTACCATACTTGAAGTTATGATCGCGAGTAATGTACACTGTACACACTCTCCGATGCGAGATTTCCCAAGCCTGAAGTTATTTGACCAAGATTGATTGTTGATAGTGCAGTGTACATGTGGCAAATGGTTCCTGGTTTCGACATGAGAGCTGCCTGGTCATTTGTGTAGTACACGGAGGGTAACTGTTTACCTAGCTTTTGTTTCGAGTCGGCACAATTCTCTTGAAATGTTCATGCAGTGGTAACGTTACCGTGGCGTTGTTTAAGCGCTCTGCACAGTACGTTGCATTATTGAATTGGTTCCAAGTTCCAGTCTTGTCTGAGTGCTTATACTGTCATGACAGTATGAAGCAAGTAAACATCGTGTAAAGGTTGGCAACAGTGGACAACAGGCAAGATTCGGTTGTATGGCAGATTGACCAGGCGATTAGAATAGCAGTGCCAAGTTTGAGGCAAATTAGTCAAACTTCAAGGTAAGAGTTTTTGTTGTATATTATGTCAAGAAAGGTCTTTCCAAATTGCTAAACAGTCATTATCGTTGTTCATTTATGCGGGAGCTTGTTAACCCATTGTTTACTAGCACCATCATGACCATGGAGCTACAGCTATAGCGTCATGCTGTACTAGTAGTAGTACTAGTACCAGATACCTGTACATGAAGTGACTAATGCTGTTATACGTTCAGCCGGTTGCCCCATGGCGGCCATTTTGGACACGTTTAACACTAACAGGTTCCATGTGATTTTCCCCCGTTCTGGTCATGCATGAAGGTATGAGAAGACGAAAATAGAACCTGAACCAAATGGGGGAACCGAGGTTCCTTGGTCAATTGGTTCAAGCTTGTGTGCCCATAAACAGATAAACAAGTTAAATCATGGCCAAACAAACCTGTGAAAATAACAACAAAACGAGTTCTCCTTCTAAGTTCATGTCGTGTCATATCCTTTGACCGCTTCACCGTGGTAAAAACTAAAATCAAAGGTATTTGCACAAATTTGGATTTTGTGAGAAATTCTTTTCATGGCCCCTTCAATCAGTCATGTCAACAGTAAATTCATTTCAACAACACAAATTACTTCAGCATAAAACAATAAGTTTACCCAGGATGTATAGCATTAGCAAGCACTGGTAAATTCCTCCATGATTTTGTATACAGGAAGTTATATTACTAGCCAAATCGAGGTTTCAATCATTCAATGAATCACAGTCAGACAGTGGATATTTACTTATGAACAACAAACGTCACGCTGTCTTAGTCCAGTAGTAGACAACCAGCTTACAGCTCACTGGTATGTTTTTCTCTAAATTGTCAAACAAAATAATGTCTCACAATTCTTCGTGCACCCGAAATGTCATTTTGGCTATAGATAGTTTAATGGTGACCGCTAGTGCATCTCAAGAAAAATAAAATATTAGAAGCGTAGTTGTTCAATTGCGCTTGTACTTTAAGGTCGCCGATACATCTCATTAAAAAAAATCCAAGCAAAGTTTGCATTAAAGACCATTTGTATATTTGCCATAAAATAACAAGATTCTATTGATTTTACCATTCGAATCAGAAAGCATAACTCGCGGCACTGCTTTGCGACCTCTTGATACAGACACTCAATTATCAAATTTTCCCTAGTATTCGATGCATTATCACTTTGATTTGTTGAGATTTCGAATTAATATTCAAATCAATATATGAGTATGTGAAATCCATCATATTTCCATTTCAAGCAAACTTTAATGCATACGGCTGACGACGACGTACAATGTTCTTACGTATGCCGTCTACATTTCCTTGTGTCGTGACTGGTTTAGTAATACATGTACATGTATAGATTAGCTTTATTCACTTTTAGGTTATACCCTCGTGATGAGCGGCCTGGATGGACACTGTTAATACATAGATACACGTAGTACATGTATGATGACTAATGAAGTTGTGTTTTACAGGCCAAAAAGTGTCTCCATTCGTACTTTCAGTCATTTTTGCTACATGCAAGTGACGAGACACCAAGTCTTACTTTAACGACGAATTTGTAAAAGACAAAAATTAACCGAATATAGACATGAACCTAGGGGAATGATTTATATCAGGGTTTTTCTGCCCTTTTCGTCTGGGAAGTATGAAACAACCTGAATAGCTTGATTGATTGATGGATATATCGTGTCAGTCAATTTTGCAAGTAAAGTCAGCCTTAAGTTTCTAAATATAAAAGGTTTTCCACCAAAGTTGCCTGAGTGTATATTTAGATGCGTGCATGGTGCTAAGAAGAGATTAGAAGTTCTATTTTGAAAGGAACTTGCAGTTATTAGCTTGTGTTACAAGTAAAACAGACAAGATCATCCGTTGGCATTTAATGTCAATGTCCGGATTTACAATTCCAAACTTTGTACCACTGACCTAATTGTTTCTAATTGTTTCTACTTGTAACTCTGTGGCTCCATAGAGCAGATCCTTGCTCTCTGTGGTGGTACTTCTGGGCCTTAACCATTGCTCATCGGTCCCGTTTAGAAGTTATTATAGATCGTGTTTCCTGCGTGTTACGATGCTTTTATGTCATCATAATACTGGTGTCCTTGATGCAATGAGGATTTAATGTGTGTACGCTCGTCAATACGGATTATAGCCTAGGCCTACATGAACTTGACCTTAGCTCGTTGAATCGATGAGGTTTTTAAGCTTAAGCCCATCACTTCTAGGATCTGTCAAAGGGGAGGCTTTTCGTCATCGGGGTCAGAAGTCAAATACTCCTCATTATGGGAAAGTCTTGAAATGTAATCATTTTCAAATTCAGAACGCCAGATGACAAACACTTTCAGAGGGATGGTTTTTCAAAGTTTGCATTGCGGTCAGGTTTCGCATAACGTGAACGATTTTCAAGCTGACGCGACAGGTTTGAAGGCCACGAAACGTATAGCAATCGAGATTGCATACCTATACCGCATGTGATCTGATGCTTCCTTTAACATTTGCGTTGTCCATAACACGCCCACAGAAAGGAGTTGCACTGAATACTGCTCAGCTAGCAGTCAGCACAACTTTTGTTTGTCGTTAATTCAAATGTGTCTCATTGTTTTTGAGTACTTTTTTGACAGTGAACAATCACCGGAGTGGGACATGAACCCGTGACCCGTGGAACGCCCTACCACTCCTATTAACTCGGCTGTTAATCTAGCCGTTTTTTGCGGTCTACCAATTTGCCGCCAGGGTAGTCTGGCAAACCGCAAACTTTAAGCCAGAAAACCAGTTGGTTGTGCACTGGCTTGATGTGCCAAAGGTCACGGGTTCACCTCCCGCTGTAATCAGTTCTGTTCACCAGATAACTTATCCACTATGCCAGTCTCCTTTGTGAGTTTATTTGAAAATTATGAGCGATTTTACAGGTATAGCGTTCATTTCTCATCGAGTCAATCTCTTAATTCTACTGGGTCTTTAACCATTTGTCAAATCACAAGCGTTCATTTCTCATCGAGTCGATCTCAAGTTAACCATTTGTCAAATGACAAGTTAAATCACAAGTCAAATGACAACTTAAATCACACATCAAATCATAAGTCAAATCACAAGTCAAATGACATGTCAAATCACAAGTTCAATGACAACTTAAATCACAAATCAAATCACAAGTCAAATCACAAGTCAAATCACAAGTAAATGACAGTCAAATCACAAGTTAAATCACAAGTTAAATCACAAGTCAAATCACAAGTCAAATCACAAGTTAAATCACAAGTCCAATCACAAGTCCAATCACAAGTCCAATCACAAGTTAAATCACAACTTCACAAGTCAAATCAAAAGTCAAATCACAAGTCAAATCAGGTCGTTAGTAACAGGGGATGAACAGTGACAGTAACACTTTGTGACTTGAATGGTGATTTGTTGGTGTCCTGTTACTGATCGACTCGGTTACACTATACAAATTTAGTCTTGGCGTAAAGAAAATACATGAAGTCTAATAACTGAAACAACCGCACTGGCGCTCATGTGAAAAACACCATAAAAGGAACTACGAGCCTGCCTTACAAGTTCAGAAAAGATATCATAAATTCCATGTAAATTGAATTTCCCAGGCCGGCCCAAGTGGCGCCACTGCGTGGAAATGACATGATGCCATCCAAAACAGCTTGTAGATTTTGGTCTCGTAATAATTTTGATGTAAAATCTACGTGTCCAACCTTGGGACTGATGACAGTCGTTCATCAGAGCTGTGGCTGAGTAATAGGTTTCGTAGAACGGGAAGCCGCAAGGTCGATGGATATACGTGAAATGCTCAAGCTGCTCAGTTTGTTGTCAGTTAGTGTTCTGTCTTTTGCGAAATCTGGACTGACTTTTCACCGCCATATTGCAACATAAGTTTTCATTCCGTATCTACACAAGTCATCGACTTTTTCGAAATGGTCCAAACATTTACGTATGGGTTGACCAAGTTACGTCTGTTGCATTATTGTAGCCTAATTGTGATTGTTCGAGGAAAGTGAAGCAGACGAAATAGGAAACGAGAGTGTTCGGTCGTGTAGCAAGAAAGCTTCAAGAATTGCTGAGTGACGTTGAATGAAATCGTGCCTAGCGTTAATACGGTCGCGTGACGTATTAGCCAAATTTCTGACAAGCTGACATTTAATGTGAAGAAAAGTAGGAAACTCAGTAGAAACTTATTTCATTCAACATCCCATGGAGGTGTTGGCTACGATCTTTTAATGTGTAAGGTCATGTATATTGGTCAAGTAAGGTTGAATTATCTATAACAGGTTCCTCAAAATGCATGGGGCCAAGTTTGAACCTTATTTAGTAATTAAAAAAAAAATACAGTTTGAGTCTGTGTTCTCTGTTTTTCTTCTAAAAAAAGATGTTAAATTGTTTTTCGCTCTGTTGTCATGATGTAACATCCGCTTTACTGTTCACCTGAAGATATTGATCATCGTTCATCGACCCCTTAAACTTGGCCAAAAGGGTGCACTGAACTAATTTAAGTGAGAATTTCTACGCGAGTCATAAGCATAAAAAGTGCCCTCACAATATCTTTTGAAAACGGAGACCGTTTGGCTTTAGAAACGGTGGAATTGTGTAAATATACCCAAGGATCAACTCCCTGGTTTTGGGGCTTCCATCTGAGGGCAGGCTTGCTAAAATTACGGTTGAAAAATGGGTCCTATTTGCCTGTGAAAGTGGAAGGATGCCACTTGTAAAATGGCTACAATGGCTTGGGAACTATCACTTTTCGGGAGGTGATTTTGTTTGGGTGTGAACATTTAAAAATGTGATTGGCTATTGTAACTAAAATTGAAAAGAAATGAAAAGATGAAAGACAAGACAATAAGTTAAATTTTGTTTGAGAAACCCCAGTGATGCTGGCTTGCATGTTATTTGGCCCTGAACTTTGTTGATTTTACACTGTTTTCAATGGGGCTTGAATTAGTACAGTGGACCCCAAAAGTCCACCAAAAAGTTGACCTCGTTCGTTGATCCTAAACATGGCTGCCTAAATAGAAACCTGATCTACAAGTTCCGTTCAGGGGTTTCGTCTTACCACGCGGCTGTTGTGTTTGTTCCAACGAAGCAACGGTACGGATATAGGGTTCAGTTTTCGGGCACTTTCGAAAAGGTCACCGGTGAGGGGGGGGGGGGGGTCATGTGTTGACCTCACAAGCTACGGCAGCACGGCTGACCATACCAGGAGTGCTTGTGCGCATGCTGGGCTCAACTGGGGCTTCGCACTGTGTGTAAAAAAATGGGCAAACCATTTGAAGGTCAAAGCCTTCACAGGGAAGCTTAAAGGGACTATTCAATGAACCTTTGTGTCCCATTTAACCTTATTTTCAAGTTTATGTTGCCATTTTCAAGGATTTTTTATGCTTTTTTGAGTTTTTTATGCTAATGTAAATGTTCATATTCATGAGCAAAAGTGGGATGTCATTTCAGGCAAACTGAAACCCCCAATGTTACATTTATTTCAGCACCAAAAGTTGTCAGAATTTAGGATATTTTGCTGTCGAAAATTTTCTTTTTTGTGGTGATTCGTTGTTGTGTCAGTACATGGCAGTAAGCCAATGAGCAAACATTTTGAACAGAAACCCCTAAACTGAACAGTGTCTTCCTGAAATGACATCATGTTTGTAAGTGTTTAAAGAAGTGCACTTTGAGTTTACAATAATTTAAAAATAAACCAAAAAGGGATGTCAAATAGTTTTTATACATTTTTAAGAGTAGAAAGTTGCACAAAATATTTTCTTCAGAAAAATTCATTTCATTGACCCCAAAGTTGCAAACATTTTCAAAAATGAAACTGTCAAAATGCCATGACATATCAAAACTTGATTGTAATAAAAGAAACTTTATGATAGCAAAATATCCAATATTCTATATAGCAACTATTTGTGCTGAAATGGTTGCAACATTGAGGTGTCTGCCCGGAATGACATCACAGTTTTGCTCATGAATATGCAAATTCGCATTAGCGTAAAAAGCACGAAGGCACAAAAATACCCTTGAAAATGGCAAAAGGAAAATGGACACAGAAGTATATTTTCAAGGATAGCATGAAACAAATTACATTACATGCCCTTGAAAGTTATAGTGTGTGTCTTACAATATTGTGATCAGTGCATATTTCACCAAGATAGCGTTTGATTACTTTTTAATTAGAGTGACTTTTTATTCATTAATTAATGTCTTTATTGGATATTCGAGGCATGTGTAAAGACCCAGAAACTTATATCATACACAAGATTTGAGAGAATACAATGTTTATCCACGGTTTGTGTTCCTTCCTCCATGGTTTATCAGACGATCAAAACAGTTGTTGCGCTCTTATATCAAATCTGACAGCGGCTCAATTTCTAACGAAGGTCGTGCCCCTTTAAAAGCCACGTGGGATATAAAGAGCCCGCCACCTATCGAATGAGGTCAACCGTTTCAGGTTTGTCCCGAGGCGCCCCGCACGAATTATAGCTGAATTGTCAAAATCGATTGCCATACCAACCGTCACCCACGTGGTTGGCAAATTTCTATGCGCGATCGTGAAGCAACGGTTGTACTTTATTTAGGGGCCTACGTCAATTGTTTCATAGCATCGGTTTTGGTTCATTCATTCAAAAGTATCGCCCGTCTGTTTTGATGGAGGGTGTTCCCGTGGAAGAGTCTATTGTCTATGCTATAGACCGGAAGTGAAAGACTATTGTGGGAACTTTGTGTAAACAATGAGATTTTCTTCAGTATTTCCTGTGTTTCTGTATACTGACATTGCGGAATACACTTAAGTATACAAGAGTTTACCCCTTGAAGCTTGCACCATCGTCATGGTAAAAATCTCCCCGAAATATACGTCCAGTGCGAATACGGCTTTTAAAGGTAATAATTATTATTTGCTTTTGCTGTAATTTCCTGGAATGGGCGGATTTGGGTTATTATTTTATAGCAAATATTGTTACACTGACCTGTTTAAAGTTTTGTGTTCATATAGATGCTGAAAAAAAGAAATAAATAAATGCCGTTCCTGTAGTCTGGTTCCCTGATCCTACTTCAAAGAAACGGAGCAATTTATGGATGTCGGGGAATTGTCAGGTCAGGGAATCAGACTAGCTGGCTTGCACCCGTTCACCGATATGTAACCGAATGCAAGCAAAATGTGGACCAACTAAATTTGGTAAATAGGGGGTAGCATTTGGGGGGGGGGAGTCAGCCTTTCCCAACAATGTTTGGAAATTAATACAAACACTTCACTTTTCTTGAAAATGGCAGCACATGTGCACACCAGGTGCCAAAATTTCACAGGATGCCTGAGACTATTATTCACTTACAGTCCAGTAAGGTATTTCACGGAGATTTGGTAGTTGTGTTTTTTGATGTTTGCAAATATTGTACATTGTATATACCACGCATTGCATCATCGGTTGCAGAGCTGCCAATAAACTCTATTGGGACGCAGCACAAGCCTGCGATTGGTACACGTTCGCTTGTCTCGCGTAGGTTTCGAGATCTTAAGACTTCCTAACGGTTTACAAGACCCTCGAATCGAGGCTACACTCGAACTGTTGCACTTTGTCATTAATAAATCACGAGCGGAATGTTGCCGCCGGTGCATTTTGACCCCGGAGCTGCGAGGCACAATGAAGGATATCGAAACTGAGCCATGGAGCATGAATGATTAACATGCTTTGGGTTTTAGGGTGCAGACCTGCAAATCGACTCTCATAGACTTCAGTGATAATTACGTGTACTTTCCAACATTATTAAAAAATACTCACAAATCTACAAAGGTGTTTGAGACACCCATCAAATTACAGCTTAGTTCATCATGCAAGTAATTTGGATATGGCCTATTTATAGTCAGTCACTGAGGAACAAAGAGGACTATAGGACAGACCTAATGGGACCACAAAACAATCACAACATGGTTTGTTCTTGGTTAAATAAGACTTTCTACATTCATTTTTCAAGTTAAGTCAATTCCACGCCATTCTTATCAACACAGCCCAAAATCCCTCGGCTCACCGTGATCTTTATTTTTGCGCCATGTTCGGAAATAACACTTCCCCTTACAAGCCTAATTTTCAAAGGTCGCGTTCATTTGGAACATTTTTCCCTTTTAAAAATCCGAAAGTCTTTTCCTCCCATGTTAGCCTAGATATCTAAGCTACAGCAGCTACCGTTGTTACACACTTCGAGCATCTTTTGGTGCATGTTATTTTTACTCTTAAAGGAGTTGTGTATGTTATGTACAGGTATTACCCATTTTTATGTGTAAAGATGTGTCGAAATATTAGAGTAATTTCGACCCCGGCATAGAGCTCCGACTTGCGAAAAGTACTCGTACTATTTCTCAAGTACATTTTTTTGGTACTTGTACTCGTACCCATGGACACAATTGCCTTGTAAAGTACTCGTTCTCATGGCAAAGCACTCGTACTTGTACTCATGCAAAAAATTGCCTTGTATTTACTCGTACTCATACTCATGACAAAGTACTCGTACTCATACCAAAGTACTTGTACTCGTACTCATGGAAAAACTTGCCTTACTCGTACTCGTACTCATGTTTATGACAAAGTGCTCATACTCCTACTAGTACTCATGGCAAAGTACTCGTACTCATGACAAAGTACTCATATTCATACTCGTACTCATGGCAAAGTACTTGTACTCGTACTCATGGGAAAAATACCTTGTACTCGTACTCATGACGAAGTACTCATACTCATACTCGTACTCGTATGGCACATTAATTGTACTTATGGCACAGTGCTCGTACTCGTTGCAAAGTACTCGTACTCATAAATGTACTCATTGCAAAGTACTCGGCACTAGTACTCATGACAAAGTACTAACACACACACACTCGTACTCATGGCTAAATACTTGTACTCAGTGGAAATGTTCTCAACCACAACACTGTGGTGTTGAACACTTGTAAATGGGAAAGATCCATGACTATGAGTCCTGGTCCCTTTATAATCCTACAGAATTCTGCCGTGCAACTTACAGATTTTTTTCTGTGTTTTGTTCCTTCCTCCCTTTTCCATTCCTGCCTTTCCCATCTTTCCTTCCCGTATTCCTTTCTCCCTCTTACATCATACAGGAAATTGAGCTCAGTCGACCAGTCATAGATGGAAAGCCGAGGGCTGTGCCGGTGAATTGTTCTTTTGCCTGGGAATCCACTTATCATCGATGGAGGAAACGATCGTCCAAGTTTAACCGAGATCTGGGGAATGAGAGAATAATTGATGACTTGGTGAACAGACTGGAGCTAAGATTGCTACATGAATGTCAGAACCCTTGGAGACTTCCAATCCGGAATCCCTACATTCAGATCTCAATATCGTGTGTAAAATGTGACATGGATCCACTCCTCACTTGTGCGTGATCTGTGAGCAATTTTGTGAATAGAACGCTGCAGGGTATAAAGGAAAGGATTTTGACCACAGAGGCGGGAACAAGACACAAAATGGATGACACTGGTTCAACAACCAACAAGGGTTTCTTCCGTTCGCGGAAAAGGGTCTTCTCGTTTTGCCTCGTGGTACTGGCTGTATCATTCTCGGTGATCATGCTGAGAGGCCAAAACCAGACGAGAATGTATAAGATACACAAGTGGTTCGACCCTGGTGCCCGGTACGAGACTTCTAATGTAGAGGATACTGGGAATGACAGAGCAGTGCAGAGCCTAGACAAAGTTAGTCACAGTGATGGAGGCTACAACATGGTTAGGTCGGATGACCGACTGGACAGTATGGACGATCATTTCAAGGCAATCCCTGATCCTGATTTATATCTTGAGGGCGCTTCAAATGGTGAAGCACCCTCGAGGGAGGGCGCTGTCAACACAGAAACCGAACCTTCGGCTCCAGTAAGTGCGTTGAACCTTCCAATCAAACAGGATCTGGGCACAGAGGGCGTCATGCATGATGTTAAATCAGTGCCAAGGAACAAATATAATGACTTAGAGGGCGCCCTGTATCCAGGAACAAGGCAGGTGCCATCAATAGATGGCGCTATTAATACAGTCACTAAACTAGCAATCCAAAGAAAGGGCGCGCTTTTTGCAGATAGTAAACAGTCGATGCCTGTAGTGGAATCGATTCAGGATCTTCAAAAAATGTCCACAAACAGAGTACCCTTCCGACGAAAAGTTAGTGTGGCCACTCGATACCAGACTACGGAGAGTTTTATATCTCCTCCAGGCACAACTCAAGCTGTCTATTATGACATATGCGAGAGGTGTTGCTATCGCTACACGACCATTGATCATGATATTTTGAAAGCACTCAACGAGACGGAGCTCAAGGAGCGGGGCTGCCGTCAGAGACTTCCCGACGCCATGATCTTCGGCGTGAAAAAGGGTGGAACCACCACTCTCAAGAACTTCTTGAGTTATCACCCAGACATAGCCTTCACTCAGAAAGAGTTGAAGTTCTTCACATCCCCTGAAGAGAGGGCGAAGGGAATGGCGTACTACCGCAGTAGAATGATCCATTCCACTCCCGACCAGATCTCGATGGAGAAAACCCCGGCTTACTCACACTACCCGAAGGTCCCCGGTATGATCAAGAAAGTCCTCCCAAATATCAAACTCATTATCATCATGCGGGATCCCGTTGACAGGGCAGTTTCAGACTTCGTGCATATGCAGGTCACCATTGCCAAGCGCTGCCAGATGAAACCACTAACCTTCACTCAGACGTCGATGCTTAGGGACATCACCATACCCGAAGGATGTAACTACTCCACCCGTTACGAGATCAACCATACCTTCGAGGAGTCTGTGATAGACTCCACTGGACGCGTCAAGGCAGACAGTCAGCTGATATCGAAAGGGATCTACGTCCAGGAAATACAAAGATACCTCAAGTACTTCAAACCGGCACAGATTCTCGCGATAGACGGCGAGACGTTCATCAAGGACCCTTATCCGGCCGTCAAGCTCGTGGAGCAGTTTCTAGGCATCAGGGATTACTTCACACGCGACCATTTCTACTACGACGTCCAGAAGGGATTCTTCTGCATGAATAAGCCCATTCCCCAAAACTGTATGTCCCCGGCTAAAGGGCGCCCTCATCCAGAGGTGCGAGAAGACACCTTGCAGAAGCTGCGCGACTTTTACAGACCGTACAATGAGAAGCTCAGGCATTTGGTTAACCTAGACTTGCATTGGTCCTCTTAGTGGCATATTTTCTACACACCAGGTGCTATTTATTTTGTGATACTCGTATTTATTTAACTCGGTCTCATGGACGAGCTTCGCTGTCCTTCCATATGCAGAATGACCCGATTTGGCCAATTGTATAACAAGAAATCTTGCTGTGCTGGCATTTAAATGTAAAACCTAGATTTTATGTTTTCAAGTCATGTTCATTGCAACTTTTAATATCCGCAAGGTCATTTTATAGCGCACATATATTTTTTTCGGTTGTCATATCCACTTGAGGTTTACAAAAGAGGATTGACGATATCTAATAAGACAAAATAGGCTAGTCTGACACCAATATACCATTATCATGTTGCGGCCATCGTGCTTTTCCCCCATTCAAATCAATGAAACCAAAGCGAGGCTGGAAGGGAAAATAGTCTGGTTCCTTTTTGCACCCCCCAAAAAAATTATTGGATACAGGGAACATGACTAAAATGGTGACAGCATAATAAAGGTCTATACCAAACGATTTGAGGTCAGGTAGGCGCCACTGTACACAGCAAGGGTCTATGATATGCGAGCACATTCGGCGATTAATTATGCAAAACAAGACTGCGTCTTGACCTCCAGATTCTGACCATTCAACGGGCCTCTTCTATCGGGTCTTCGGTAACCCCCATGTTGTGTTACAAAAACATGGCAGCCAAATTGACCAATCAACAGCTTAGTCGACATTGATGATCAAAACGGCGTCACAATTTCTAAAGTTGACTCCAATTGGCTGGCGCGTAGGGTCGCATAAAATTGGTATGTTCATATTATATCAGACATTGTTTACAGAGAGGGCTCTGTTGAACAACAGATGGTACTTGGACAATTACCTGACCTGCGATCTACTAAAAATAAAGCTTCAGGTGATCGTCATGTCAGGGAACCAGACTAACCAGTAACTAACAGGGTTCTACAGTAATATTTTAGCATTTAGATTTAAGTTACCCTTTCCATTTTGGTATGTGTTTTTCACTCAGGTTTACAGGTTGACAATTCATTGAAAAATAAGACCGTGTCTAAGGAGCTCATTTAAAAAAAAACATTCCTTATCCACTACGCGCAATATTGAAGAGTTTGAGTTAATTATGATTACAGAATTGTGATACCGAATTCTGGTATAAGCCACATCGGTATTCCAACTGCGCATGTGCACAACAAGCTTCGACGATTTTAACTTAAGGATTAATGCGGAAGATAAATGCACATTAGTCTATGGGAAGTGGTAACCGAATCGGCATTCTACATTTTTTTTTATTCAATCAAATCGACTGCAAGTAGTAACTTTCGTTCGCATTAAACGTTCGAGAATACACTTAAGGGAAAATAAGTATGAATGACAATTTAATAGCACTTTAGATATGTTTCGGAATAATATATCGAAAAATGGAACACTTTATTCGCTTAAAAGGAGTTCATTAACCGTGTAAATACCATTGTACAGTACATATAAAAACACTCTTCTTTTAATTTTAAGTTTCTGTTATACATGTATTTACACCGAATTATGAAAGTGACCACTATGTGGGACCATAATTTAATTGTTTTTGCTCTATGAGTAAAATTGGATATTTTGTTCACTTGATTTTGTTTGAATGGTGTCCAAGAGTGACATCTAGTTGAGAACTTATGTGAAACTGTGTGACTGTGTAAAATAAAATCTCCACTTGAGTTATTTACACATGAAGGGAGTTTAGTTTAAAAGTTCAATTGGAAAACAAAATGTGTGCATTGTAGACTTAGGACAGAAATACATGTACATTGGCACAAGATTCATTGTTACCCTATCGAAAAACAGTTCATGGAAGTAAACATGTTGAGAATGTTCCAGTGAATAAAGGAAGAAATGAAATCCAAGTAAATCGAATATTGTTTTTTTTCTCAATGTCAGGTAATTTTCCGCAAGCCGGTTATTGCAAATGATCCCACATACCGTTTCACGGATACCGCCATCTTTGTGATCACGTGGTAATCTTGCGGGCATTTCATTGAAAATACGTCCCATCATATGCCATGGCAATACCCGGTGCATGATGGGACGTATCTTCAATGAAATGCCTCCAAAGATTACCACGTGATCGCAAAGATGGCGGTATCCGTGAAACGTTCTACGGGACGCAAACATTCCATCTTATTAGTTTATGCGGTACCCGCTGCTATGTACATCAGATTCGAACCGGCCAACCGATCCCGTTAGCTCGGTGGTCGAGTGGTAAGACGTCTGCACTAGAAGGCAGGAGGTCGTGGGTTCGAGCCCCACCCGAGTGATTTTTCCAACTTTCACTCGGGAGGTTACACACTGAGTATGCTGTGTTTAAACGTCGGTGAAGGGCAAAACCTAGTTTGATTTATATCACCCCGACGCAAAAATTCCATCTTTATATCCTTGGTCTTGATTATGTGAAGAGTATACGGCCAATGACCTTTGGGTAATCTTCACATAAGACTTACCTTATTATCAAAAGAATCCCAATCTACAATTCTAATCAGTAGACTGATTCAATTTCATCCTAAATTCTGAGAAAGGTTTAGTAAAGGAAACTCTTTCGAGGTTTTTTTTATCAATCACTGAGTGGTGTTCAGGATAATGACAAGAGCTATCAAGGTTGATCAAGATAAATATTAAGCCGCACTTTTGGCTCTGGTGAGTGTCATATAGGGCGTTTGTCATGTCGGCAGGAGCTTGCTTGCATAGCCGCCCATGACAAAAAAAAATGACGCAAATAAAGAAACGAGACTAATTTGTTTCTTTGCCCAAGTAAGGTGATTGTTACACTGTTGAAAATGTTGGGAAAAAACTAAAGCACATGGTTCATTTCAAAGTTTGATCAATGTTAGAAGTCCAGTAACACGACCTGTTCAACTGGAAAAGTGTAGCAATTTTGAAAATGGATCGCTCCACAACATGGCTAAATAGCGCCACTTTTTGACCCAATTGCATCCAAAATGCTCAGAATTGGAAGCCCCAAGTCCAGGCCAGAGGTACAGTGTCACATGTCTTCTTCCACGACTCTCAGAAATCTCTAATATAGAATAATTCAAATGTACATGTACATTGTTTAACTTTTATTCATGAGCTTGGCGGACAGATTTTTGGCCTATTTACTGGGTTGCACCCTGTCTCAGTGGTTCATGGTCCTATATTTTCTTGTATTGTTTTTAAACCGAGGCTGCGGGATTTTGATAGGCCTATGATATAGTCATGGATACTGTTTTACATGTCATGTACACGGGGAGTCAGGTTAGCGGTACTTTCCCCGCCTTCCACCGCTGTGACCCGGGTTCGAATCCCACCTGGGCCAACAGGTGGATTGGGTTTTCAGTCCCTACCTGATTCCGTGGGTTTTCCTCAGAATATTCTTCTCAGGGTTTACCTCCCACATCTAAAACTGTAATTTCTTCTCATTGTCTCCTCTCTACAGGTTTCTTCAGGCTTGCGAGCTACAGTGCCTTGGGCGCTTTTTAGGAATCCTTGGTTTCATTACCAGAAATAATTAATGATAATAATAAAAATTATAATATTAATAACAACAAGTTTATGTACGGCTGTAACTCTGTGGTTTTACGATAAACAACGGCACCTAATTTATGTCAGATGGTGTAACATTCTTTGCCACCCATTTTGTGTTACAAGGCGTTCCATACGCAAGGCAGTTTTGTGTCACAAGGCTATACAAGTTCATTTAAAAGGTCAAATAAAGCATTGCCCGCGCTCACACACCATGGCGTGTATACACAGCTTGTCTACTTCTCAGGGACAAACTTGTTATCAGGGACAAACTTGTTATCCGGTGTGTAACACAATTTTTTGCTGTAATTGCGGTCTCAAAAATGAGTAAGTTTTTCGAAAGATCCATGGAGGTACAGGTAGGATCATGATGGTAGTTCCTGCCTCCATGGTAGTACTTTACGACGGCACGTCTGTAACAGTGTAAGTGTGCACTGTACTGCACGGTACATCACATGCATGCACCAGTGCTCGGCCATTCAACGACCGTGTGCGTCGTATAAACGCTGTCAGCGCAAACAAACGGTATTTTCAAGCTAAATCTGTAACCTTGAAGATCGTGTAAACATTTGCAGTAAATTCCGGTTGTAAATTGGCGAAAATGGCGGGGTTTACATGCACCATTATTTTCAGGACATCACCCTGTACATGTAGTTCCTTGCCATCCATTTTGTGTTACAAGCCGTTCCATGATGCAAGGTCGTTTAAATGGCACAGCATTGCTCGCATTACATCATGGCGCCGTTTATAAAATATGTCTGGCTCTTTCGTCCAACAACCTTATCAAAAGTTGAGATCCTACAAATGGTCTCAAACTCTCAGTCCCTTACCCTCCCCCTCCACCTTTTATAGAGTTCTTACATGTGTCTTGAAATAAAACCTTCAATGTGTCCCTAAATATTCTTGCTTTGAAAGAGGGCGTTAAACAACCTAAGTCAACTGAAATAATAGTGACTCATTTTTGTTTCTTCTTTTCTCGTCCCGTAAACAGATGAATGAAATATAGATGATCTGACCTGGTCACTCACAACGGAGGAGGATGTGGAATTTAGTTCAAGGAACTGGACTTTTAACATCGGAAGGTGTTACCCTTGTCTCACTGGCATTATGACCGGAGACACATCCCCCTACAGCAGATGGAGAAAGAGGGTGATTTTGATCACAGTGGTTTCTCTGCTGCTGGCGTTTTCACTTGGGATGTTGGAAGGATCAGGAACACACCCGCGACGAAAGAGCCATATTAAAACGTGGTCGAGGCCTGGCGCCGGGTACCAGTTGGAAGTAGATAAAACCATCCCTCCAAATGGGGACAACGCTATAACTCATGCAAGGGAAGATTTCAATTGTGATAAATGTTGCTACCGCTACACCACCATCGAAAACGGTATCTTGGAAATACGGAGCAAATCTGAACTCCAGGAAAGAGTCTGCAAGAAAAGGCTGCCAGACGTCATAATCTTCGGCATGAAAAAGTGTGGCACCACCTCTCTGAAGAACTTTCTGAGCTATCACCCAGACATCGCCTTCACCCAGAACGAGCTGACGTTCTTCTCATCCTCTGATAGAACGAAGGGAGTGGAGTTCTACAGGAGTGAGATGGTCTACTCCACTCCCGACCAGATCTCGATCGAGAAAACTCCGGATTATTGCCACTACCCGCAGGTCCCAAGGGCGATCAAAGCAGTCCTCCCAAATGTCAAGCTCATCATCATCATGCGGGATCCAGTGGAGAGGGCCATTTCAGACTTCGTGCACATGCAGGTCTCTCTCGCCAAAAAGTGCAAGAAAAAGTCTGCGTGCAGGTTGGATGACCCGGCATACTACATTGCTGATACCTTCGAAGACTCCATCATCGACTCAAACGGGGATCTGAACTTCTCGAATTTACTTGTCGCTAAAGGCGTTTACGTCACTTACATACGAAGGTACCGCAAGTACTTCAAACCGGAACAAGTTCTCGCATTAGACGGGGAGACGTTCATTAAGAACCCTTATCCGGCCGTCAAACTCGTGGAGCAGTTTCTAGGCATCAGGGATTACTTCACACGTGACCATTTCTACTACGATGTCCAGAAGGGATTCTTCTGTCTCAATAAGCCCATCCCTAACAACTGCATGAAGGAGTCGAAGGGGCGCCCTCATCCGGAAGTAAACGACGAGACGCTCAGGAAATTGCGCGACTATTACCGGCCTTACAACAAGGCGCTGAACAAGCTCATGAAAGTTGACTTCCATTGGTCATCATAGATATAACTCCATTAGTTATTTTGAATACTGCTTTGTGATCAAGAAATGAGGATTTATTAGTTCACTTGATTTTTTTTATTTTTGAGCTTTCTGGACCTTTTATATTACCCCCTTAACACCTGCTCGAGTGATTCACACACATAAACATGTATCAAGGAAATTCAATTTAATACGGTCATATACTAGGAAATGTGTTTGCAACTTTGAATGAAATAAAAATGTTCAATGCAGGCTGAAGACAGACGCAATCAAATAATTAATTGTTATTCTTTTGAAAACGGTTCATGGAGGTAGAAGTGTGGATAGTGTTCCAGTTAATAAAGGAATAAACACAATGCAATGCCATCGAACGTTTCTCTCAATAGGATTCGGGTTGGTTATTTTTCGTCAACGGTAATAGACCTCAGACATATTGACGTCACGCTTTGTTCATCATGTGCGCTTCCATATGGAATCCAGGGGCGAACGAAAGTTAATCGTCCTCACCTGGCTCCCAAAAGAATGCGTACAAGTAAACAAAGCGTGACGTCGTTACGTCTTAGGTCTATCCGCTCCGGTCACAAGTACCCCCTCACCGGCAAAGAAAGTACAGTTGGGGGTGACCGACAGACGCCATCTTGCCTGACTGCAATGTTGCCGTGACGCGCGGCCGTACCACTGCGTGTACTTAGTACAAATCCCCTGGTGTACGTGCGTCGCACACAAGGAAGGGTGCCGGCCAACCAGCTAAATGTCCCGCCCATGGGACGTCGTTGCTAGGTAAAAGGGCGCCCTTTTTGTTGGCGCACGGAGCCCATTGCCGATGATCACGGGCATCCACACAACTAAAGACTTGCAATCGATAGAGGGCGCTGTCTAGATGACTTAAGGAGAAAGACTTTGCATGATTGGGCAAGTTCTTTGTGTCTAATTTCAACTGATTTTTTCGCGTTCCTGTCAAGTGTTTTTGCTTTTAAGAAACGCAACCAATTAAACTTTCGATCTTAACTAGCCTTGTTTGTGTTTGAAGTGCAATACATTTCTGGGTGACGATTATTTCACATATGAGCATAACCAAATTTGCCCAATCCAAATGGCACCCTCCTTTTGTGCCTGCCCCTATCTCAAAAAGGCACATATGGTCCGATATGACTTCTGCACTCGTCATGATAAACTAAAACTAGCCACAGACACGAATTAAGTCTAGATCTCAAAGGACGAACTGTTATGTCATTCCATGATGAACTAAAAATAGCTACCGACACGAATTAAGTCTAGATCTCAAAGGACGAACTGTTATGTCATTCCATATTATATATGGTCATTGCAGTCGAACCCTGATAAGAAGAGCACTGTTAATAGAAGTAAAACAACGTCCGCACGCTTATAACAAGCAACATTTCAGGTCCCAATTCTTTGTTTTTCTTCGTTTTCCTTTGTTTTCCAATACTTTTTAGACACCTGTTATAACAAGGTTATTTGTAAAGTCCCAAGGACCTTGTTACGTGTTCGACTGTATTTGGCTGGGCGTCCCTCATATCGCTTCCTTTAGTTTACATACGCAGTGCAGCTGTAAACTCGCAGGATGATATAATGGTGTTACACATGAACATCACGATGGTAGATATTAATATGCAAGCCGTATCCTGTCCTGTAAACTACACGGGTGTAATAACAGCACTCTAAATCCAAAGCAAGTACATGTCGTCTGAAGGCCGACTGCACAGCAGGCCTACATTTGTGCAGGGCCAGTAACCAAAAACGCAGCCATGCGTAAAGTGAACAAAACGGTCCAGGTTTCCTATGATATGGTCGGACAATAGAACAATATTTGCAGTACCCAACTCATGTGGATAAGCTTTGAAAGGACGAAAGGTGTGTGTCGACTCTGTGCTCACTTCCAATAGGAAATACACGCAATCTCCCACATTTATATACATGCAACTCAGGCAGGATTCGCTTCCAGTATAGCAGAGTGGTTTTGTTCACAGGCATGCATCAGTAGTGTTCGTTCGGATTCGAAAAAGGTGAATGAAGAATCCATGACCGTAGCATGACTTGGAAGCTACAGAACAAGCTGAAGACCACAAGCAGGTAAATGTGTAGTCGTGTAGTTGAGGACACCTCTCATGCATGTACTGAATATCTTTTACAAATTCCGTTCATAAATCAAAACTCCGCCCTCTTTCCACAAAATTAAGCTAGCAGATATTCAACATGGTATCTTAGCGAACTATTTAAGCAGGGACAGTTACATACCATGAATGGCTCACCCTTGATCAACGAAGAAAAAATGCAGATTAAATATGCTCAATGAGATACACGGTACTGAACAACACAGTATTGATGTACGCCTTTGTTACTACAAATACTCGATCATCCCGGGACTAAATCAACACAAAATAAATTCAACTGTAGGCCTATGTCATGAGCCAGAACCTTCAACAATTTCTTCCACTGAGGACAATTAATAGTGGAACAGTCTCCCATCTAGTATCATTGAATCCGGGAAAATATCTCACTCAACATTTAGACTGGAACTCCTCAAATTGTTTAGTGTTAAGCGGTTATTGGAAAGAAATGTTGAGAGACCCTTTATGCGGGGGGGGGGGTGTTTCCTGTCAAACTTCACAACTGAAACCATAGTGACTAATTTCTGTCTTTTTTCTTGTCCCCCGAACAGTTAACTGGAATAAATATTGACTGACCTGCCCAGTTCGAACGGAAGAGGATTTGGAAGTCAATTCGATTCAGCACTGGACTTTATCATCGGAAGCCTCACTGGCATCATGAACGACTCGGAAGACACATCCCCCAACGGCAGATGGAGAAAGAGGCTGATTTCGATCGCTCTGGGCTGTCTGCTGCTGACGTTTTCACTTGGGATGTTGGGAGGAACGCATCCGCGAGGGGAGAGCCATATTAAGACGTGGTCGAGGCCTGGCACAGGGTTCCAGTTGGATAAAGATAAACCCGCCCCTCCCAATGAAGACAGTGAGGCAAGCAAAGATTTCACTTGTGATAAATGCTGCTACCGTTACACCACCATCGAAAACGGTATCTTGGAAATACAGAGCAAATCAGAACTGATGAAAAGGGGCTGTGAGAAAAGGTTGCCAGATGCCATGATCTTCGGCGTGAAAAAAGGTGGTACCACCACTCTTAAGAACTTCTTGAGTTACCATCCAGACATCGCCTTCAGCCAGGACGAGCTCAAGTTCTTCACATCCTCTGAGGATAGGTATAAAGGAGTGGAGTTCTACAGGAATGAGATGCTGTACTCCACTCCCGACCAGATCTCGATGGAGAAAACCCCGGCTTACTCCCACTATCCGAAGGTCCCCGCTATGATCAAGAAAGTCCTTCCAAATGTCAAGCTCATTATCATCATGCGGGATCCAGTGGAGAGGGCCATTTCAGACTTCGTGCACATGCAGGTCACCATTGCCAGAAAGTGCAAGAAAAAGTCTGGGTGCAATTTGGATAACTCAGGTTACTACATTGCCCATACCTTCGAAGACTCCGTCATAGACTCCAACGGGGAGGTGAACTACTCGAATCTACTTGTCGCTAAAGGCGTTTACGTCACTGACATACAGAGATACCTCAAGTACTTCAAACCGGAACAGATTCTCGCATTAGACGGGGAGGCGTTCATTAAGAACCCTTATCCGGCCGTCAAACTCGTGGAGCAGTTTCTAGGCATCAAAGATTATTTCACACGTGACCATTTCTACTACGACGTCCAGAAGGGATTCTTCTGTCTCAATAAGCCTATCCCTAACAACTGTATGAAGGAGTCGAAGGGGCGCCCTCATCCGGAAGTAAATGATGAGACGCTCAGGAAACTGCGCGACTACTACCGGCCTTACAACAAGGCGCTGAACGACCTCATGAAAGTTGACTTTCATTGGTCATCATAGGAATAACTCCATCAGTTTTGAATTATTTTGGTATTGCTAAAGTGGCCGACGTCTTCCCTCAACGGTTACAAGGGTAGAGTTAGGGAGACCATTGAGGGACATTCTAACGCATGGATGCGCGCCTGACGCACACGCCATGAGTTGCGGGTTGCGTACATTTAGTCTCGTGTATACTTCGCGACTGTACGCGCGCGCGAAACGCCATGTTCTCTTTCGAATTTCATGTACAGTGTCTATGAACCGTTTCATGTAAATCGCCATGTTTGTGGTTATGTGATAATCTCAGGGAGCATTGCATTGAAAATACGTCCCATCATACTTGGGGTATACAATGGCATGATATGGGAGGTAACGGTGAACATGTTTTCAAAGAAATACCCACTGAGAATTAAATAGAGCTTTCATCTTTTATAAACATTTGAGCGTACTATTCCACCTTTTGGGCATGGGAGTTGCATTGGCGCTCCATACTATGAGATTATGAAACAAAAATTGTGTATCATAAAACTATTCTTCAGATAAACGCCTCAATTAGTTTAAATTACAACTCCATAGTTTTGAATGGAATATATTCAATAACTGTGTATGCGTTTTCCACTGTGTAGTAAGTTGCATTCGATGTTTGTGATGAAAAAATAAGTTTTTAATCATTTTGGCTATAGTAATGAAATAAAGATTATTTGTGTTATTCGTTTTAAGTTCTCGTGTACCTGGTCCCGGCTCTCTCTAACACGTGCCGCGAATCGCTTATAGTTTTAGGAAAACAGCACAGATTGTGGGAACAACATGGGTGGCAATTCTTTACGGGTGAATGTGGCAGGCCGCTAAATAAATTAACAAAATGGTTCCAACAGTACAGAACCTATCGGTCCTCTTACCTTATTGTTGTCATGCTGCTGTGTCACTGATGGACAAGCCTAGCTACTTCATAGTGGAGGTGACTCGGTGCTTTTGATGCATGTGAGGAACTGTTGGATGCTTGCATTCTAAGATGCTGCCTGTGCGGTTTTCAAATGATACGTGATTTTCCCGCTCGTAGTGTCACGGAGACTCAGGAAGTTTTCAACCGCCGTTGCATACCTCCTCAAGAAGGATTCGTCTTGCCAACGGAACTGCCGTCTGCTGGGTGGGGAAGCCCTTCAGAATATGGCGAATGGCGATGCTCTCTCTGGCAACTGGATCTGCTGTAGGATAGCCACGAAAGACGAGGCGGCGAATGTCGGCTACAAACTCTGCCAGCTTCTCCTTTGGCTGATGTCTCCTCGCTCTAGCTGTGCGATGAAGTATTATGGCAACTGCCGTTCGCCAATTTGCAAAGCTCCAGTTTATCAGAGTTTCGGACGACTTGATCGCCTCCGCATCCATGCTGCCAGTGGTACAGGAATACTCGGCTGTCGTAGACTGCTGTAAGGTTGGAAGCGTTTCTCTTCCTCTGACTAGCCGCAAACCTCGGCGAGACCCATTAGTGGTCGAACGAAGCATGACTTCGTGCCGTCATATTTTCCTTGGTGAGGGAGAGGAACATCCAGCTTATGACTTGGCTGTTCTGGGAGGACGAGGAGGCTTTGCTTGGTCTGTTGCTGCCGGCTGAGGGGCGTCAGCTTTGGTAACGGGCTGGAGCGCCGGGACATCACTGACTGATGATTAAACATTGTCATCTGTCTGCTCAGCCGTTGATATGGGCCGATTGCATGTTGCTCGGAGCTGTTTCAGCTCGGTTCTGCCTCCACTGAACGCCGAGCTTGAAACCTAAGTTATAGGTTCGAACTCCTGTTTAAGTCGTTGCAGTTCACTTTCTGCCCAGACTTGAATACAGGTCGGTGTCATTGTACAACCACTGCGAGATTCTCGGTTTTGCCTTAGGCAGGCATATCATTGTTGGCGTTTGAAATTGGCGAGCATGCATGCATGCAGTCAGATTCTAAAGCTGGAATTAAGACTCATGGAGTAGAGGGATATCACCAAGTGATTCTGATTGTGGCATACCTCGGCGCACGCTTAGTGTTTTGCTTATCAGTGCCGACTTGGAGCCACTTCTAATTCTATACGTGGGTCCCATGCATGAGAAACTGAGTCTGGGTTCTGGAAAGGGCAATTAACAAAGTACACAGAGCGCGGCTGAAACTTTGGCTGAAACGTCTGGTTCCGCTCAATTTAAGTGCGCCCTCAACAGTTGGCCAACAACCGTCAAAGTGCCGGCTGGCCTGGGCGAAAACCGGCGCGGTTGGATCCGGAACGTCTGGGAAGTTTCGATTATCAAGTTGGCTATTCTACCTCCATGGCTAAATGAATATGAATTTTGTTAGAAAATCATATTCATATTACCAACCGACATGTGCAAGAGGTGTTTCCCAACGTTGGTAAGTCTTGTCGCTGTCTAACAAGGCAAATGTTTTGAACATATGGTTGAGTTTAGATCCGGAACTTCGTGCATTATACCCGTCATGTGTCGTCTGTCTGCAGCGGTTGGACTTCTGGATGGATAGCTTAGTCTAGACATTCGAAAGCCCGGATGTAGACATTCCAGCTGGTTTATTCGTAGACAGTACATTTGTTGGAAATCGTGTAGTTAAGGACCCCGTCCACTTTTAAGAGAACACGAAGATGTTCTGTTTTGGGACTTGCCTAAACATTATCAATCATGATTAGGCCTATACCATATACAAGTTACAAATACAAGCAGGAAAAGTCACTTTAATGTGTTTGGAATCATCTAAATAGTTTGCTATGAAAGTAAGATACCATGTTGAACATCAGCTAGCTTCATATGGGAAAGTGGGCAGGGTTTTGATTTATGAACGGAACTTGTAAAAACATTTAGCATGATAATGGTGTCCTAAACTACACGATTACGTATTACCATGATTATACTAGGTTGTCAAACAACTTCCATTGGCACAAGACTCTTGTCAAGAGATTTGAGAAAAAAACATGGAGCCCCATACGAATGTGTATATTATTGGCAGTGGATATTTTGCCGGAGACGGCAAACCTTTAGCAAACGTTAGTTTGCCGGATATGCACTGAACATGCGCAGTTACTGTTTTTTTGTACTTGAACATTTTCCGGTGACAAATTTTATTCTGGCTCCATGCCAATATTATCGTTGTAACCTCGTATTCACAAGATGGGACTCAGACCATTTTATGATTTCGGACTTTATTTCCCTTTAAAAAAAAAATCCTCCAGAGCCACAAATCTGAAAAAGAAAATGTAATACTCTGCAATAAAATGTTTGAGACATGTTAAAATAAGAAAATAAAAAATAAGAATATTCTTATTCTTAAGAAAATAAGAATATTCTTATTTATTTGGGGATGGGGAAATTTTTTTTTAAAAATGTGGCGGGGATCGGGATCGAACCCGAGTCATCCCGCTCACTAGAGCTTTTACTAAACCACTACACCAAACGTGCTACGCAACTTTTGGTGGGAATTTAATACATCTTATAATTCAGCCCAATCTTAAAGAGAACAGCGCCCTCTGTTGATATGGATTGCCGCTGGCAAACCTTTAGTGAACGTTAGTTTGCCGTCAATACCTCCGGCAAAATATCCGCTACCTATATTATTTTTGGAATATCTGAAAGGTCACGCATGGTACCCTGAATCCTGTACGTACAATTTTAATGATAGGAGCCGCCATGCCAAGGTATCCTCCCTCCATCCAGTGCATGCACATACCATTCTACAGGTACCTCGGAGGGATCCTAATGTTTTGCATGTAAAGAATACAGGGTACCGTGTGTGATCTTTCAAACTTCTGATAAACCAAAAATGTTGCACGTTCGTATGGGGCTCTAGGTTTTTTCCGTGAATTTCTTAGGAATTTCAGATCCTGTGGCAATGAAAGTTGTTGGATAACCTCATATTTATTAATATTTCGCATACATGTGCTTAATAAACTTCGCGACTGTAGGTGTCTCCACCCAAACTTTCATAAGTCTAGGCTATCCAACGTCACATGGCAATGTATTTTGCCATGTTTACGTACGTATTATAGGTCTAGGTCGAGTCATGACCTTGGAGGAAAGAACGAGTCGACCAAGATCCGTATAACGTGGCAATATACATCGTCATGTGCACGAGACGTTGCATAGTCTAAACTTTTGGAAACCCGAATGGAGACATATTCCATCTGCAAGTCACGAAATGTAATCAGCACAGGTGTGTTCAGTACCTATGAGGTTATCCAAGAACTTCCATTAGCACAGGATCTGTCATTCCCGGGAAATTTGAGGGGGGTGGGGAAATGGAGCCCCATAGGAACGTGCAGAATTTTTGGTTTACCGGAATTTCTGAAAGTCACTCACAGTACCCTGAATCCTTGGGGTCTACTCTTAAGTCCGACGCCTCATAGGTCTGACGCCTCATAAGTCCGACAAAATCGCATCCCCTAACCAAATAAAGGCCCATAAGTCCGACGCCTCATAGGTCCGACGCCTCATAAGTCCGACGCGTCATAAGTCCGACAATGGTAAAACGAGGCGTTTAATTTGTCGGATTTATGAGGCGTCGGACTTATGAGGCGTCGGACCTATGAGGCGGAATAAATAAATTTTATGCCTCATAAGTCCGACGCCTCATAAGTTCAAAATTTCGGACTTATGAGGCGTCGGACCTATGAGGCGTCGGACTTATGATACGGCCCCGAATCCTTTACTTACCAAACTGTAGGAGTCCTCTGAGGTATCCAAATCCCATGATCATTCATTCTACGGGTACTGCAACTCGGAGGGCTCTACCATTTTTGCACATACAGGATTCAGGGTACTGTTCTTGACCTTTCAGAAATTCAGATAAATATACAAATTCTACACGTTTGTATGGGCCTCCTCTTCTTATATTCCTCCAATTTCCTCGTACTGAACACCCAGGTGCTAATAAAACTTTGTGACTGTTAATGAAATGTCTCCATTGGGGCTTTGCGAATGTCTTGACCATCCAGTATCGCATGATGATGAGTCACCATGCATCTTTACGTGTCTTGAGTTGACCTGAAGTCAACCTTGTCCCCGCTTGCATGCATGCATTATCAACTCACACCTGCAAACGTTTCCATGTTTAATCGACTAGGGGATAAGTAGGCCCTATTTATTCTCAGAGACTGTACTAATTTGAGAGTTTAGGCCAAAAAAAAAAAAGTCTCTGGTTTCTGGTATGGAGCTTGCCCAAAAAGTGGTGCGGCGTCGTCGTTTTTTTTTTTTTTTTACCTGTTTTCTTTTGCTTCAAATGTCGGCTGATGACTGCAAATGATGCCGGACTAAACTTAGTGCAAATATATGGGAGTCCAGAGAGGCCACATAAAGCTTATTGTCAATCATAACCCCATCTAAAAACCACATTAAAATTGTGCAGCAGCAGGATTCCAGTCAAACCAGTGAGTTTGGCGGTTTTCACACGTCATCTTTTATTAAGAAAAAACTTTTTCATTTTGCCGATGCGCATGGCTAGGGCGACGCGCGCGCATACCAGAAACCGGAGACTTTTTTTTTGGGCCTTAAGTAAAATTTCTTTGCAAATGTAGGGATCAAGCTGAATTTCCTGGCATACAAGAAGTAAACGTAATCAATAATACCATAGAGTGCTCGAGCAGTTTTGGGTGCTACAAGTGACTACATACAGTCGACTCTCGGTTTTAACTCAACTAGACTTTGCCAAAATGTTTGTTGCATCAGAATGTTTTATTAAATGGAGTGACGGTCTCATTCATTGTGCACATTCAGTTTGGACCAATGCTTTATGTTTGCTATAACCAGAATTGCATGAACAGTGTTTGTATTAATGAGAGTCGACTGTAAAAGGTTAAATCCATGTAGGACTACAGAGTGCAAAGAGGAAGGAAACATGAACAAGGAAGCTGTTTTCAATTATGTGGTAAATATGTCTGTTATTAAACATTTTTATTTCCCCCTTTCTCCTAATGACTGAGACGGCACTTGCCGCATCTGTGGTTTTTCATCTTTGAACCGAAAGAAAGTTGTCTTCTCTCTGTTTGTACCTAGAGATGGTGTGACGAGTGTGCCTGAGCATAGATCAAGTATCGGAGGATCAATGTTTCTCAAGGTCGATCACGGGAAAAATTACAAGGTATGTACCGTACATGTGTGTTTTGAATTTTACAGGTGGAGTGTTCTTTGGTCACGCGTAGGGTAATCGGTGTACCATAGGTCGAAGTTAAGGCAGCAGGTTTGCTTGAGGTCACAGGTAAAAGGTCAACCCGAGGTGGCAGGTAGGGCAGTGGTATGCCTGAGGTCGCAGATAGGCAACGGTTGTGCCTGAGATGATAGGTAGGCATAGGGTGTCCTTGGTGTCACAGGTAGTCAATGGGTGTGCCTGAGGTCACAGGAAAGGGGAATGGGTGTGCCTGAGGTCATCGGGAAGGGGTGTGACTAGGCACGCCCCTTTCCTGTGACCTCAGGCACACCCATTGCCTACCTGTGACCCCAGGCACATCTGATGTCTAATTGTGACCTCAGAAACACACCCATTGGGCAACAGGGTCAAAGGTATTCAATAGGTGTGCCTGAGGTCAGGGCAATGGGTGTACCCAAGGTTGCAGGTACGGCAGTTTGTATGCCTGCCCTGAGGTCACAGGAACTCAACAGGTGAATCTGAGGTCACAGTTGGGCAACAAATGTGCCTGAGGTCAAACGGAGGTAGTGGGTGTCCTTGGAGCCTCAGTGTTCCAAAGGTGCATCTGAGGTCACAGTTGGGCAATGGATGTGCCCGAGGTCACAGGTAGGCAACAAATGTGCCTGAGGTCACATGGAGGCAATGGGTATCCTTTGGGTCACAGGTAGTCAATGGGTGTGTTTCTGAGGTCACAATTAGGTATCAGATGTGCCTGAGATCACAGGTAGGCAAAGCGTGTGCTTGACGTCACAGGAAAGGGGCGAGCCTAGTCATAGGAGGGCAACAGGATCACAGGTATGCAATAGGTGTGCCTGAGGTCACAGGAAGGGCAATGGGTGTACCCGAGGTTGCAGGTACGGCAGTCTGTATGCCTGCCCTGAGGTCACAGATACTCAACAGCTGTATCTGAGGTCACAGTTGGGCAACTGATGTGCCTGAGGTCACAGGCACATCACAGTAACCCCTGGCCGTGTATACGTTGTAAATGACGGTGATTGACTATTCACAGCATAGTGTGCGCATATTTTGAAGGCTGCATGTACTATATGCGCTCACGCATACATAGTTCAGAGCTTTGTCCTTTTCCTTGGCCTTAAGTGTCAAAACCTTGGCCTTGTCATTGAGGGTCAAAGATTTGGACTTGACCTTGAGGGTCAAAGCTTTGGCATTGGTCTTAGGTGGCATTGATCTTGCCTTGAGGTTCAAAGCCTTGGTCTGGGTCTTGAGGGTCAAGGTATTGGCCTTGGCCCTGAGGGTCGAAGCCTTGGCCTGGGCTTTGAGGGTCAAAGCTCTGGCCTTGGCCTTGAGGGTCAAAGCCTTCACATTGGTCATGGTTTGAGGGTCAAAGCCTGGGTGTTGAGGGTCAACGTCTATGCTTTGGCCTGGGCCTTGAGGGTCAAAGCCTTGGCCTTGGGTTTGGCTTTGAGGGTCAAAGGCTTGGCCTGGTCCTAGAGAGTTGAAGCCTTGGCCTTGGCCTTCAGTGGGGGATCCAGGTTCATTAAAATACAGGAACACAGTGGAAAACACAGGGACCCTTATCTTCCTTTGTATTCCTGTATTTCCTGTAAAATTCACTTTTAGTGTCTTTTTTGTTACCGATTAGCTCATTTTATCTGAAATTAGAAATATATTTTCAAGGCTTATATGGTTCATTTCTCGTGTGCTACATGCTTTTTTTTGGTATGTCGTTTAAAGTCCTGGGTAGTGGTTGCCAGGCCTACATTAGTGGCAGTTAAAAATGTTGGGAAATACAAGAATTGGCCTGAGATAGGAGATAGAATCAACATTATAGGCTACCAGGCAATCGTTGACCTGGTTGACCATATGTGCATTTTAAGGACTCTCAAAAATTTAACATTGTTTTGGGGAAAATAACTTTTTAAACAACTAAGATGATGCATTAAGCTTGTGATTAATTTTCATTGTTACCGTAGAATATTCTAGAAGAGTGTTGCATAAAGGCTGCAGTGACACATTTTATAATTCATATTTCTTTCAGTGCAATGATGAAATACTGCGTAAGCTCTTCCAACTTGAGAAAGAGAGTGATTTTGGTTGCAGTGGCCTGTCTGCTGCTGACAATTTCACTTTTGATGTTGGGAGGAATGCATCTACGAGGGGATAGCATTATAAAAACTAGGAGGAGGCCAGGTGCTTGGTACAAGTTGAAGACGCATAAAACTGCCCATCCTGAGAAACATACCAATGCAACAGTGGGAGATTCCCTTTCTCTAAAAACTTCCACCTGTGAAAAATGTTGCTACCGCTATACCACCGTCGAAAACGGTGTGCTGGAGATACGGAGCAAGTCTGAACTCAAGGAAAGGGGCTGCAAGAAAAGGTTGCCAGACGCCATAATCCTCGGCGTGAAAAAGTGTGGCACCACCACCCTGAGGAACTTCTTGAGTTATCATCCAGACATCGCCTTCACACAGAAGGAGCTGAATTTCTTCACATCCTCTGACAGAATTGAGGGGCTGGAATTTTACAGGAGTGAGATGGTCTACTCCACTCTGGACCAGATCTCGATGGAGAAAACCCCGGCTTACTCCCTCCACCCGAATGTCCCTGCTATGGTCAAGGCATTGCTACCCGATGTCAAACTCATCATCATCATGCGGGATCCAGTGGAGAGGGCCATTTCAGACTTCGTGCACGTACAGGTCACCGTTGCCAAACACTGTCTGAAGCAAAAAGCCTTTGTGTCCTTTATTTCAGAGCTTAGGAACATCACTTTACCCAAGGGATGTGATTTCTTCATCCATTCCGAAATCAACAATACCTTTGAGGAGTCCGTGATAGACTCCAATGGACGTGTCAAGGTAGGAAGTCAGTTAATCTCCAGAGGGGTTTACGTCCAGGATATACAGCGATACCTGGAGTACTTTAATCCCGAACAGATTCTCGTATTAGATGGGGAGGCGTTCATTAAGAACCCTTATCCAGCTGTCAAACTCGTGGAGCAGTTTCTAGGCGTCAGGGATTACTTCACACGTGACCATTTCTACTATGAAGTCCAGAAGGGATTCTTCTGTCTCAATAAGCCCATCCCTAACAACTGTATGAGGCGGGCGAAGGGGCGCCCTCATCCGGAAGTAAATGATGAGACGCTGGGGAAACTGCGTGACTACTACCGGCCTTACAACAAGGCGCTGAACGACCTCATGAAAGTTGACTTTCATTGGTCATCATAGAATTAACTCTATCAAAAACACAGAGTTATTTTGATATAAAGCAGGGACGACAGTCATGACTGCTAACGATTGTTCCATGGAGACCCCCATCTTTGTGGTCACGTGCTTATCTCAGAGGGGATATCATTGAAATTGTACGTCCCATCATGTTCAAGATACAATGGCATGACGGGACACATTTTTAACCTAAACCTTCCCAAATCCTCTTTGCGCGAAGGGAGGATTTTGTAGGATTGAGGGTATACATGGCAAAAATGTGTTGCTTACGTGTGGAGGTTGCACTGTGTGAATTAGGCCTGATTTCTTATTTTTATTATGCTCAGCCATGCATAAATTTAGGCATATATTATACTTGAATCCTCCCCCCTGCTCCAGGATGTCACTGGCTCTGCCTCAACATATTGACAGTGATTGCGGGAGGATTTTGCAGGATTGCTAAAGCAGTGGTCACTCCTCCTAGGAAAACATTCAAGAAATAACAGAAGATTTTGGAGGATTGAGGCATGATGCAATTTTTGCACCCAGGCAGTTGAAGGATTTAGCAGGATTGAGGGTGCATCCTTGCAAAAATGCCTAGGGAGTTAGGGTTAATCAAATGCCCCCCCCCCAATAACCACGTGACCAAAAGCCAGCGGCATCCAGGAGACAGTCCATCAACAGGTATATTAAAAATATGCCCAATCAGATTTGATCCTCTCCTTTTTATCTGAAATGCTGGACCTCAGTTTTGTATGTATCTTTGGGAACGTGAAAGTGCGGGCATCAAAATGAGTATTTTCCAGTAGTTGGACAAAAAAAGCCTTCTTATTTCCTCGGTTTAAGTGACTAAACAAGAGTACTTGAGGCTGTTGGCTGGCCCACTGATCTCCATAAAGATCTTAAAAGGTGGTAATGGCCAAAATGAGCTGTACACACAAATGAAGCTAGGCGTTGATTCCCAATACCTCCATTCGAATGTGGGGAGAGCACCAATCTTAACCACTCCCATCGTTTACAAAAAGATCTGAAATAGAGCCGTCCGATGCCGAAAGCATACAAAATATTTTTCTAACAGAAACTTTATATAAAATATACTATCTTGCCATTTTATTTACTTTTTAATTTTAATACCGTACTACGTTGAGTAAAATGTGTACATGTCAATTATTAATAAGATATCTTTCTTTATAATTATATTGTTCTTGGAATGGTTATATACATGGCGGTCGGTGGATTCACTTCAAACAGCCAGTAATTGTCTATTCACATTTTTTACATGGAGGTCAGAGGTCCGGTTTAAATAGGATGATTGAATCGTTGCCAACACCATCAAAACCCACTTCTGTTCATCATAATATTTCGAGGCGAGTTTTTTGTTTTGAGAAATGTATGCCTAAAAAATAATGGTGTGAGAATGTTCTTACACCATGATGGATCTATTGACTTCGGTGCTTGATTTCGTTTGAATGATCAGCTTAGGCGCTCCATACTATGATGGCATGACGCTCCATACTATGATGGCATGAAGATCAATCAGTTTACATACATGTCATTCTAAAGGCTTCGCGGGAAGCCATAAGTTTTCCTTTGAATATAGGTTAGGCCAAAAAAACAAATATTCGGTCTCTGGTCAGACCAAAGTTCCGGAATGGACGCGGCCACGTGGCTTTTTTTTTTTTTTTTTGGCTTTTTTTTTTTTTTTTTCAAGCTTGGATTGTACAGACAAGGTGGGGTACTATTTTGCTTTTTTGGTGTCCTCATGTACATTGGTGTCCTCCATAATTTGCCTTGGTGCTTTCGATCATTTGCCTTGGTGCAATTTCCCATTCCTTGGTGCTCTTTGGTAAAAAAAAATAAGGAGGTGCGGCAATAGAGGGCACTGTTGGAGCTACTGCGGAACATTTTGGAAAAAAAAAGATCGACGCGCATGCTTAAAATCGACGCGCGCGCTGACTAGAGACCGACTTATTATTTTTTTTGGCCTTATAGTGCCTCCCATGATTTGTTCAACTCAAAATTTTGTATGATCATGTCAGCTTTTGTTACTATCTTAATTATGAATACAGCTTTATATTTTGGTCATGCAAGTTGCATCTGTGCTAACTCCATACTTTGACATTATGCAGCAAAACGTGTATCGTTTTGAGATAAACAACTCAACTTTAACTTAACTCGCTAATAACTTAACTTCACGTGTGATACGCAATGTTTTAAGTATATTTTTAATGTGTGCTTTCTGTGTTATGCATTCCATTGTCGCAATGTTTAAAATATATTTTATGTGTGCTTCTTTTTGTTGTAAGTTGCGTTCCATTGCATAGACGAATCCGGGTAGGAGGCCCCCTTCAATGGAGAAACCAGTGGACTAGCTATTGTACGAGGCAACTGTTCCTTGATGGATTATCTGAGTAATAGCTATAGCACAATGCTTTCTCCATTAAAGGGGGCTATGTTAGAAACTATAGTGTGCCCGGAACGGAAAAAAATACATTTTTTCATATTTGATATTTTTTTATATATATGAATAATGACAAGAAAGCTTATTATGTAATTGTTATTATTCTTTCTTTTAGTTTTCTTGAATTGCTTATAGTTTTAGAAAATATCAGCACAAATTATATGTTTGGATTTTGCCCGCAAATTCAGAAAATGGGCGAAGATTCTTTAAGAGAGCGGATCGACATCCGGGTCGATAGCGTGACGTCACTTCAGTTTAAACCACGCCCACTGCATATTAAGTAGCATTGGAACCGGAAGTTAACGCAACTGACGTGTTTATCCAATGGGCGCTAGTAATCAGTTGTGCGCGCGCATGTATGACGTTTTTACTAACGAACCGGATAAAGAAATTAATAGAAAGTAATGATAAACAGGGAATTGAAATACTCATAACTCTCCAAGGTTTTAAGACACAAGTTTTGAGCAGCAAATTTTAATAATAAAGCTTTCATTACCGAGAATGGTGCCTAGGTTTAGCAAATAAACACAATTGTTTTCACTTTGTAAACACGTTTAGAAGCTAAACATTATGTGTCTTATTCCTTAACATCTATTTTCAATTGCTAAACACCATCCGTCCTCATTCTAAACACGTTAAGTATTTAAACATGTTCACAAACTGATAGCAAGAAAGTGATAAGAAAAGTGTTTAATTACTAAACCCAGTTTTTGCAGTGCAAGGAGAGACTCCTATAGACTTAGACACACATTTGAAATTACTTCTTCCTAATAATTTTACATGTACATGTGTACTTTTCTCGACCTAAGGACTGTTTTTAACCGCTTAACGCCGGGTGACGGCTCTACACGCAACTCGATAAAAGCCAATAAGCCGGGGGACTGCTATTGCCGCATTCCTACTGCATGGCGCATCCATTCATAGACATAGGCTGAATGCCTGCACGTGCACATTCCACCCATTTACATATATGTGCAGCTGTCCGTGGCCTAACAATACCGGCGTCAAGGGGTTAAGCAAGTCTCGACATTGAAATTCCTTCTAGAAATGGTAGTTAACCTGAGTGTTATAGAGACACTCAAAACTGTCAGCCTAATGCATAACAGTCTCTCCCAAAAGTCAAATTATTTACTACAAAATGTCTCCCTGAGGTACTGTTTAATGTTGTAGGCCAAACTGTTTTTAAGTAACACTGAAATATATATAAATATATCTTTTTTTTAATAATAATATACCTCGTTCAAGTGGAAGCCATTTCGATCGTGTTCCCTGAATCTATTTATAAATTGTAAACTATCCAATGGGTTGGTGCCAGACTATGATTGGAGTGCGTTCCAAGCCTTATTTAAAAAAAAAAATTTTTTTTAATGTGGCTTAAAACATTATGGTATGTTTAATCACAACATTTAAATAATGCATCAGAGCATGATGGTATTAATTTGTAAAGCACTTTTATTTCATTGCTTTCATTTCTACTCGCAACTTCCAAAAAAATGGAAAGTTTACCTTCCTTTCAATTTAATATGGCCGATTCGTGAATAGTCTACAGTGCTTTATTAACTTTAAAGAGTTAGTGCTTTCTCTTTGCTGTGAGAATTAAAAAAGATCGTTAAGTTAATACAGTGTCTGAGCATTTAGAGACTTCTCTTGTACGCTGAATTGAATTTCGTCTATCGATCATAATTTTTAATGAACGTTTTCATGGAACTGTCTGCACCAGGACGATTGCCAAATGCAAAGAATCAAAATGTCTGCTCTTTGCCGTTTTTTTGTCAGATTCCATGTCATTTGCCAAACAGAATCGTCATTCAAAACCCTGGCAGGAGAATAATGTAGGCACAAGACCCTATTCAGCCCTATGGGAAAAATAGGAAAACGGAATACGGTTGTATTCTTGGTTTTGCAGACAAGTTAAGTCACCGACCATATAAAGCGCATGTGTCATTTGTCAATGGAACTATGGTTCTCTGATTTTAAAACCTTCGGAACCTTGATTTTAGCCAAGAACGACCGTGTTTCACCGACTGTCTATACTTCGCTCCAGACATTTTTTTTGTTTTTGCAGACAAGTAAAGTCACTGACCATATAAAGCGCATGTGTCATTTTGTCAATGAAATGATGGTTCTCTGGTTTTAAAACCTTTAAACCTTGATTTAGACAAGAACGACCGTGTTTCACCGACTGTCTATACTTCGCTACAGATATTTTTTTTTGTTTTTGCAGACAAGTAAAGTCACCGACCATATAAAGCGCATGTGTCATTTGTCAATGGAATTATGGTTCTCTCATTTTAAAACCTTCGAAACCTTGATTAGGCCAAAAAAAATAAGTCTCCGGTTTCTGGTATGGAGCTTGCCCAAAAAGTGGTGCGGCGACGCGGCTTTTTTTTTTTTTTTTTACCCGATTTTTTTGCTTCAAATGTCGGCTGATGACTGCAAATGGTGCCCGACTAAACTTTAGCGCAATTATATGGGAGTCCAGAGAGGCCACATAAAGCTTTTTCTCGATCGTCACCCCATCTAAAAACACGTTAAAATTGTGCAGCAGCAGAATTCCAGTCAAATCAGTGAGTTTGGTGGTTTTGAGACATCATCTATCATTGAAAAAAAAAACCTTTTCATTTTGCCGACGCGCATGGTTACGGCGACGCGCGCGCATACCAGAAACCGGAGACTTTTTTTGTTGGCCTTACAGAAAGGGTATCCGAATCGGAAAGATTTAAGCATTTCTTCCGACCTGACAGCATCCTGATGTTGGAATGATGTATCAAGCTGTCAGGCTGTAGCACAACTCTCTGTATATATTATCAACCACCAGGTCAGTGTTGAAAAAAAGTAACAGAAAGGTTGTTCAATCGCTAATTTAAATTGGAACGTGAGCCCAAATTATCGATTGATGCGATTTATAATGCAATGAATCAAATAATTAGCTTTGTATTACAAATATAAGTGCCTACAGAGGTTTAAGTATTTTGAACTATAGTATTGCTGAAAAATCTCATTTTTTATTGCACAGAAATTCCATCACTCTCTTAAAAAAAATATTACATTCTTGTTATCAAGACGACGTTATTTATGTGAATTAAGGTACCTTGTGAACTTTAAATGTTTTGGTCATTGTATACTTGTATCGCTACTTTCTAATTATGTTGCTCATGCTCAGTGCATTATGAAGGACCCGAGTCTTGCTTGAACAGTTTCTTGGACGAGCCTATTGAGTCTTTCTTTGAGTGACCTTTGGACTTCTTGGGGTGTTGGAGGACGCCCTCGTCGACAGCTGCAGCAAAGTCTCGGTCCTGAGCGAGAAACGTTTCTTTCCAGTCGGCGTTGGAGTACGGGCCGAGGCGACCTCCCCAGTTACTGGGCAGAATGGACGGCGGATAGTGCTTGTGAAGACTGGCGAAGTCCGTGCCGTGAGCTTTGACCTGGATCGGAGGACAGGAGCCTGAGGTTAGTCGGTGTCTACTTAGTCAATGAGCAGGCTTTGATTAGAAACTGTCGATATCCTGAGGTGTAATGTGCCAAAATAATGGACCGATCCAGTAAGCACCGCCCCATGGTATTCTGACCAATCACAGCCGTGATTTACGTCCGACGTGCGTGTACAAAAGTCCGACATGCGTGCACGCGCGTATGGTGCGCGCGGCAGGAAAATGCAGTGTGGCATTGGAGAGGAGCACGTGTTAATTTTGCCCACGTGCGCAGTGGGCGGGGCTTACTGGATCGGTCCATTGGGAAGAAGGTTGCAATCTTACGCTCTTTTTCTTCATACTTATATCATCTCAATGAAGGTCAGTCATTGCAAAAATGAAAAGACATGAATCTGGGAGTGAGAAACATTTCAAATTTTGTTAGGAAATACTTTCTTGACTCACCATAGACTTTGTACACAGTCTCAACCGCTGAAGTGGCGTCAGGTTGCAACATTCTTTGTCATTTATTATTGAGAATCCAAAAAGGTAAATGGGCCCTACACTGTGCAATGTATGTCATATTTCGCGTCAACAGCCCACGCGTGAATTACTGGAATAATGCAGAGAATGGATGGCTTGAAAAAAACACTAGAACGAGCTCGATCGGATATATATCGTAAACTGCGGGCCAACGAATTCGTTTCGTGCGGTGCAAGAGTCACTTGATCAATGTAATTTCTGAAAGGAACATGTTCGGAGTTTTAAAAGGTTTTGACCCCATCCTTGATGACCGTTGACCCGGTTTGGTCATGTTACATGTTGGGGCTGCGCTACTGATACTTTTTCACAAAGTTTGGTTGAAATCTGTCAAAAAAATTATGAAGGAGTAATATGCAATACAGTCGACTCTCGTTAATACAAACTCTGTTAATACAAAATTCTGGTTATAACAAACATAAAGCCTTAGTCCCGACTGTGCATTTAAGTGCACAATGAATGGGACTGATGTTCCTCTTAATACAAAATTCTGATATAACAAACAATTTCGCTAGGTCTGAACCAGTTTGTATTAACGAGACTTGACTGTATATGTTACTAACTCACTAGCGGACTAGCGGAGAGCTATGATGATTTGTCGAGCTGCTATCCCGCAACTAAAATATACGTATACAATCGGTGTCCTTCGCATCCCGAGTACAGAAAGAAAACTTTGTTCTTACCCTCCGTTTCATTTTGTCTGCCATAAATGCCTTCAGAATCGCAAAAGCAGCGTCGAATACCATCGGCTCGTTGACAAAATGGATAGCGTGGATTCTGACCGGAACACAGTTCTGTTCGCGGGAAATAAAGTCGTGAAAAAAATGATGTTGGACTAATATCCTTTAAATCAAATAAATTTGGACCGAAAGTCTTGCCCTGATGCACAAGTTGCACTCTAGTCCCAGGTCAATTGAACTGATACTTTTTAAGATCAAACGACACTTTTTTTGAGGCAAAATGACACTCTAGCCGAGCTGTCCGTGTCATAAGGACCCGGAAAAATATCCACAGAAGTGTTATTTTGACCCGGAAACTGTCATTTGACCTAAAATGTGTCAGGTCAAATGGAAGACCTGAAATGTATCGCGTCAAATGGAAGACCTGAAATGTATCATGTCAAATTAATAGAAGACCCGACTGTGTCAGGTCAAATGGAAGACCTGAAATGTGTCGAGTCGGGTCAAATGTAAGACCTGAAATGTGTCAGGTCAAAATGACCTGAAATGTGTCAGGTCAAATGGAAGACCTGAAATGTGTCCGGTCAAAATGACCTGAAATGTGTACGGTCAAATGAAAGACCTGAAATGTGTCAGGTCAAAATGACCTGAAATGTATCACGTCAAATATTTATAGGACCCGGATTCACGATCAACTTGACGAGGACTTTGTAAAGTGTAGATTAGGATAAGTAAGGCCTAGGCCTACATGTATCTTATACATTGAGTTCAGTTGCAGTTTTGGCTAGCTCTGCCCTAATAAGCCTCTGTACTGATGACGTCACACTTTATTTACGTGTGTGCTCTCCTATGGTGCTCAGTGGACCGTGGTCCCCCACTGGCTCCATAGGAAAGTGCACATGTAAACAAAGTGTGACGTCATCAATACAGAGGCTTATTTGATTCCGTCTGATTCGAGGCTGTTTCGTTTCATGTATAGGCTTCGGTTTGGCTCGTTACATTTCGGTTCAAAGTCAAAGTCATGCGAAAAGTCAGAGACAAGGCCGGCTTTCGAAAACACCTTTTAGGGTAGCAGACCAGTAAATAAACTTCCATAGACCCCAATGCTAAATGCTCCCACTTCAAAAATTCGGGAAAAATACTCACAACTCTCCAAGGTGTTCGAGACACACATCAAATTAAAGCTTATTTCATCATCTTTCATTTTCTTTTCAATTTTCGGGGGGTCAACTGATGACTTTTAGTAGAAATTTCCATCTGAAGATGATCACCCCTGAAAATAGTCCTGAAGCCCATCGCCATTTTGAAAAACGATGCCTACACTCCATTGCAAAATAGAGCGCTTTTAGGGTCCAAATTACATCAAAATTACACAGAACTGCAAGCTCCCAGTCCTGTGCACGGCTTCCACCCATATTTTTTACAAACCCTCAAGTTCATGGCCCACAGCATGCTCAAATACCGAAGATTTTGAGGGCATGCAAATCGTGATTTGGCCGGCGCAGGCAATTTCGGACCGATTTACTGGTCTGCACCCTTAGATGTTGCCGTAATACCTGGAAGATGGCGGTGAGTTTCTTGGCGACATTGGGCCCCATCTGCATGACGTGTTGCGCTCCCATGCCTTCCAGGTCTACGAGGAGGTTAACGCCAGTGATTTGTGGCTCTTCATCCTCCACTAGATCCATCATCACCATGAAGACAGCCTTGGCAATGTCCAAGACGCCGTAGTTATTCGTGTCCCAGTGAACTATACCGGAGGACACATTGGAAAGAGGAGTGAATTCATATGCCTCACAACATGTAATATTGACAGCTGTGATGTGGAATATATGCGTTTTAACACCCATGGGGCGCATATAGCACCCGAGACGAAGCCAAGAGCGCATGTAGGGCCTATATTCGCCCCCAAGGAGGTTAAAACTACATATCCCACATCACAGCAGTCAATAATTGCTTGGTCGTGCCAATAAGTCAAAAACAGATAAAGGCTGTAAGTCACTATTCAAGACATACATTAAATCATTACAGTGTTAATACCTTTTGATTATGCAAGTTTTCCTGCTAAACATGAGATTAAAAAGAGATCTCTAACGAGGTGCGTGCGTAATATATGCAACGCGGTGTACATGAGATAATTTATATTCAACGCGGTGTATATTTGAAACAAAAGCCTGCACCGTCGAGCTGGCTGCATGCAAAATGAATATTCATGTTAGTGGTATATTTATATCAGCGATGAGTTGACTGGGTCAGTTGGGACAAATCTGACGAGTGCAAATCTGCTTACTTGTTCTGAGCGCTACGATTGGTCGTCCCTCTGAGTCTGGCGACGAAAGGACCAATGGGAAGCCATCGTCTAAAACATGCTTGATGGAGGATTTCTTGTAGTCCCTGAAAAAGTTGGGGTGCTTCTTGTGCAGTTCGTAATACTTCACCAGGGCCTTGAAGGCCCGGTCGACCTCGAACTTTTTGGCCCGCAGAAATCTCAACAGAAATCGTTCGTCCTGCGTGAAATGGATATCCGGCCGAGTTCTCATCATCTGCCGCATGCCCTCGAAGGCCAGTTTGCGTACGAGGTGGTTCTCCCCAAGTTCGGATTCTGCCCGCTTGCGAAGAGTCGGGGACAGGGTGCACTTGTACGGGACGGTGAGGGCGCTGCAGGGGGCGTGGTCGCCATCTTGTTTTTGGATCTTGGAAACGGCGCCATTTTGTTTCGGATGCTCAGCGGTGGAGGTGTTCATTCTAACGACTGTGTGGCCATTCGTCTGTAAACTAAAAGAAGATAATACTTCATGATTTTATTTTTATAATTAAAGTACAAAAGTAACCTTTATTTTCCTAGAATAATCGCTTCTGATAAGAAATAACTGGAAAGTCATGTGAAAACAAATTTGTGATTAAACATGAAAGTGAGGCTGTGAATAGTCTGACACCATCCCATTCAACAGTTCACAATTTATGAAATACATTCAGGGGACAAGACAAAAATGGCCAACTTGTGCATAAGGCCCATTGATGTAAGACGTTACACGCCCATTGACAGAGTGAAACAAAATACAAAGAGGATTTAATACAGAAAATGGATTTAATACAACAAACGATCGAGTGGGTCATTCTATAACTTTGGACTCTGTTTTTTTCCAGTCCTTGTTTATACCGTCTGATATGTATGATTTTATAATTCTGATACACTCCTTAAAATTAAAGCAGCGCAGTCGTCCACCGAGAATAGTTATGAATAGTAAACTACCTATCCAACAAATTACTAATACACAAAAACAAGTTTCATATCATTTTTGAATGGCAAATTACAATGTTTTAACAGGTATACAGGAAAAATGTCACACTCTGGACAGTAAATTTATAGGACACTTGTTACTAAGAGGAACCAACGATAAAACAATTTTTTTTGGCAAATCAATTGCGAAAGAAAGATGTCGGTTTTAGTTTTTCACTTAACGTTCCATTTTCGAAACGGAATTAATTAATTCAATACATGCACGTTATATTTATCAACGGCACACAAATTACTATAAAGAACGGTTGGAATACCTTCTTAGGACGGAAGTTTCAACACAAAGTTTTCCAGCGGACGCCATACTCAGGAGTTATTATTTCAAACACAATCTATCGAAGTGTTAACGATCCTTAAACAAAGGCACTGATCACCACAATAATTTACATTGTACAGTGTCACTGGACTTTAAACCCATGCAGCGTCACACAGCACAAGGGCGCACAACTCTCAATCAAAAGCAAGCATTACTCGAACATGACTCATAGGCCAACTACTATTTCACGGTACATTCTGTGAGTCAGTGAAACAATCGATTATTCATCAGCATAATGCTCAAAACAATTAGCTATACAAATATGACTCACCATCTCTTTTGAGGAAACGGATTTCGAAACCTGGTGTTGGTGGGTTTTTATGATGAAGTTGTTAGTCATCTATACATCACTATATTTTTATCCCTGGTGACGTGGGCACAAAATTGAACAAGGGTTTTCCTATTTTCCCCATTTGTTTTTATTGTTTACTCATAACATCTCAAAGGGTTGTGTCACATAAGACATTAAAAGAAAAACAATGGCGGAAAATTCCGGTTTGTCTACATCTCACGCGGCAGTCATTTTCTGGCCTTGCTTATACGTATCAGTTCCGGCAGCGAATTTATCTGGCCGAATCTGTGTTTCCGAAGCGGCCGAAGCGTTCGTGGACATCGTATAGTATCAACGTTATTTACCAACTTTCAGAAACACCTAAAGTGCAATGATTTGTTATCCTTACTGCACTGTACAAAGCACGCGACTAAACCGCACAGAATATCAAGCCATATCTGTGTTTCCGCAACGGTGTGGGGACGTCATGACAACGTCGTACCAACGTTATTTACCAACTTTCAGAAACACCTAAGTGCAACGATTTGTTATCCTTACTGCGCTGTACACAGCACGCGACTAAACCGCACCAAATATCAGGCCATATCTGTGTTTCCGCAATGGTGAGGGCCAACCCAAGGATCACGTCGTGACAACGTCGTATCAACGTTATTGACCAACTTTCAGAAACACCTAAGTGCAATGATTTGTTATCCTTACTGCGCTGTACACAGCACGCGACTAAACCGCACCAAATATCTAGCCATATCTGTGTTTCCGCAACGGCGCACGGACGTCGTGACAACGTCGTAACAACGTTATTTACCAACTTTCAGAAACACCTAAGTGCAATGATTTGTTATCCTTACTGCGCTGTACACAGCACGCGACTAAACAGCACCAAATATCAAGCCATATGTGTTTCCGCAACGGTGCAGGGACGTCGTGATGACAACTTCGTACCAACGTTATTTACCAACTTTCAGAAACACCAAAGTGCAATGATTTGTTATCCTTACTGCGCTGTACAAAGCATGCGACTAAACCGCACCAAATATCAAGCCATTACTGTGTTTCCGCAATTGTAAGGGCCAACCAAGGACGTCGGAACAACGTTGCAACGTTATTGACCAACTTTCAGAAACTACTAAATGCAATGATTTGTTATCCTTACTGCACGGTACAAAGCATGCGACTAAACCGCACCAAATATCAAGCCATATCTGTGTTTCTGCAACGGCGCATGCGCGTGGACGTTGTAAACAACGTCGCATCAACGTTATTGACATGACCAACTTCTAGAAACTCCTAATAGTAGGGGTGGGTATTAGTCCATACTTTTTTAGTTATCCCCCTCAAAATATGTAGTGACCCATGGGAATCAAGGAATACTTTAAACATTATTTGAGACCGTTAACCCCCCTGTACATGCCCCTTAAAGTGTCATTTGAAAATATGGTATGGTACCCCGTCTCCTTGTGCACAAAATGAAGGTAACTATAATTTCGGCTCCAGATTTTTTTTCTCCCACACTGGTCTAGCCTAGGAATAAGTTAGCAAAATAGAGGAAATAAAGAAACTTCCCTTATATTTTGTTTAGTAAATCCTTTTATTTCACCTCTTCAGTGTATTTCATGTCATTAGAACTTTAACCATTGCCATTACAAATTCTTACTTTAAAAAAGAACAAATCTTAGGTTTAAAACACATGCCCATGCAGGTTTGTATGCGGAATGCAGTTATTATGTAGGTCTACTTTTTTGTTATGCCTGAAAAAAAAAAATGTTTTCAGCACATACCAAAACAATAATTTAAAAAACAAAAAAGTTGAAAAACATGTTCCTGAAATTAAATGGGCCTTTGAAGATTGCCCTTTTAAGTGCTGGCAATTTGTTGATTTTTTCCCCGTTTTCCCAGCTTACACATACCTTGGCTAGTATTAGTCCAAGTGTTAAACAAGCTCAATTATGTCAGATAAATGTACATGTATATGTGAATTGAAAGGGAAAAGCAGAGAATATTATATTTCTATTCACTCAAAAGTCATTGCGGGCATGATTCATGCTGAATGCATTGGACTACTTATAAAACGGGACCAGGCTCTGTATAAGCTAAGGCTTTTTTCCTGGTTTCCTCCATCTGTCACCATTTATGTTTCATTGATCAAAGTGTTGTACATGTATAAGCATTCTATTAATTTTAGTTATTGTTGTAGTAAATAATCTGTTGCATTTGCATTATATTAGTTTATGACAAATGGAAATAAAACAATACAATTTAACCCAAATAAGTGAATGTAAAATAAATGTGAAAAACAAACAAACAAACTCGTTTAATTCTACTAATTAAATTGTACTCGTCACATTCGAACATCCCGAGTTTTTATAATACATGAAGTCATGAGCACACAAAGATAAAATGTCGATACATTCAATTATTCATCTCCCGGTGTAGCATGGATTTAGGTTTTATGAAATACGGACTCATTGGTGGTATTGCGCAAGCTCATGCATAGATAATTAGGAGAGGGACCGGTCATGTGAGAGGGTTTTTAACCAATAAAATGGGAAAAGAGTCCGATTTTTATGCGAGTCCGATTTTCATATGACACCGGGAACTTAGCTAATCAACGATGGAACATTGTTGCTATTGGCAACTGGGATTGGGAAATGTGAAATTAACCACAAAATGATATGCAAAATTTCGTATTTATATATTGAAAATGTTACAGTTCCGTTTGACCAAAATCAAATTTCTTCACACAAATTGTAAATATTTTTTTTTTTTACCCAAAGCAATTGAGATTTAGAAACGGTTTTCCTCTTCTTTTCCACCCTGAACTTTGAGAATTTACTCAGAAGAAAATTGAGTTTAAAAAGTATTAATTACACAAATTTGTTATTTTCATTGCACCACGGGTCGCATGTACAGGGCATTTGAAATATGAAGTGCAAGATTTTCTATACGAATTTAACCAATCATCATAATTTGACCAACCAACAATGACTAGTCGTCAAGCACTCCGTGGTGTTGACAGACCGAAATAACTGTCGGGGTTCTCACGATCCAAGTGTTTGATTAAAGGCAAGACTGGTTTGGAGTGCTTCAGGTAGTTCTTTCACGAGATCATATGCAATCGTCTCGAACCTTGGCAGAAAGTCATGTTTATTGATCTCCCCCAGAGTGGTGAAGTACGAAAAATGTACGACGAAGGCCCTTCCTACAACACAGTTAGGTTTCTTGACTTTGCGGGAGTAGACCACTGTTAACCAATGTTCATCGCTTGTAAGAATTGGTCCACTCTCCATCATGGCTTTTATGTCAATGAGGTTTGAATCCATTAAGAGGAAGTTGATGCTGAAGCGAGCTCTTTCAGGGGTCAGGTACCGTCCGTCGAATAGTAATTTCTCCAGTGATTTGTTCTGGTAGTGATAGAAGAACGCCTCCATTGCCACCGCAGCACATTCTGCAGATTTCCAGCCGCACTTTGGGAGACCGTCACGGCTGAACTGAAATTTCAGCTTCTTGGGGTTGATAGCCTCGTTGTCATAGATACCCATCTCTTGGTGGATGTAGCTACATCGCCAGTTAGCACCTCCGATGTTGGCGAAATGAATGAAGCACTCGGAGGTGTTCTGTTGCTCAATCAGCTGCCTGAAGGTGCCGGGGTGGATGTACACGATGTCGTCGTCCATCTTGAAGTACTTTCTCTCTGGGTGCCTCGCCATCTCGTCAAAAATCTCGTACACAAATGCACCAAATATGCCCTTGGGACGAGCCGCCGTGTTCCTTTTGTGATTGCGAAATCGGAACTCAAAAACAGTCTCTCCCAGAATTTTGTTGGCGGTTTTAGTCAACTCGGTCAGTTTGGAGAGGGTTTGACGGTTGTACATTATCATGTAGTAGTAGACCTTGTCCAGAACTCCGCCATTCTTCCTCAAGTTGCGATAGACGTAAGCAAAATTGACACGGAGGTATTCCCAGCGTCCGGTGAAAATACAAAGAATGTTTTGAGAGTTTGGCTTTCTGGCAGAACTGACCTGCGCCTTCTGTCTTTGCTGCAATTGCTTGGGCTCCTGTCTTGGCTGCGCTTCACTCCGTTTATGGTGCACTTTCACTGGCAACGGTTGATGCCTTACTGTCGATGTCGGCAGAGGATTGAAGTCGTAGGCTAATGTAATTAATGTGAAAATCACCAAGGCAATGCCGGACAGCATTAGAGTGTTTTGGCCCATGTTGAATAATGTCGACACCCGTCGCCTTCATCAGCCAGCTAGTTGTGCTGGTTCATCTTCGGTACATGCAATGCTTCCTTGTGATGCAAAACGTTCAAGCGTATTCCTATTGTGGCTTTCGTATAGCCTTGGGTGATCACCCGTTGCAAAGCCCTTTTGACGACGAGGGTAGTTTAATCATAGAGCAAGGAATCCATGTCTTTTCTTCATCAAGGCCACATGACCCGTAAGGCACAACTATAGCTGCGCTTACCTTTTCAATACGAATAGTCGGGATAGGTTGGTCGGCCCTTTTTAAGACCCCTAAAACGAAGACCGAAGACCGCTGACCCACTCGTTGTATATACCATTTTTAAAGGGAATATACAACATTTGCAAACATCGACAAATAAAACTACTCAGTTTTTACAAAATACCTTACTAGGATGTTGGTAAATGACTATTTTCAACTTCTGCTCCAAATCTATCATTTTTTTTCAGTCCAAATTTTGTTTGCTATTTGTCACATGTTCATGAACGGGTGCAGGCCAGCTAGACTGGTTCCCTTACCTCACAATTGTCCGGCATCGATACATTGATCCATTTCATCTTAAGTGGAGTCAGGGAACCAGACTACTTGAACAGTTTTGATTTTCTTGGTTTTTCCAGCAGTTTCAAACACAAAACTTCAAACATGTCAGTGTAACAATATTTGATCTATTATACTAACCCCTTAAATAGTTAATTTCTGAAAATTACAGCAAAAGCCAATGATGTACATTCCCTTTAAACTAAACAAAAAAATAGTGTGATCTTAGAGTTTTAAATAATTAGGCCTATTTTAGAACTGCAAGGTTTTTTTAGAACTACATTTGCTTTTTCAAACAATCTAAGGCTGCATCCGAATCAACTGTCTAGAGCTAGGTCTAGGTCCGCGCCCATTGAAAATACGCGGGGACGGGCTGACAATAGACGTAGCCGTAGCTCTGGAAGCCCATTTCGGACACGGCCTAAGATTTATGAATGATGAGCAGCGCTAGCAAAAATCCTAACCACTATTGGCTCGTAGATGGACTTTTTACCAATAAATTCATAATTATGCACGCATGCGCAAAAGAAGCGAAAGCGGTCCATTGTAAATGTACATGGGTCCAAATATCCGGGTCATTTCTCTCAATTTCTCCAAGTTCTGTCCTTTTTTTTTATTTAGAAAAGCCCCTAAAATCGTCATAAGCATTACTTTCTGGCCCAAGTGGGTTTCTTCGGCACATAATACAAACTTAAAAGATTGTTTTCGTCCCGTGTGCACACGACGGCGAAGGAAATCAGCAGGGCTCCTTGCGCACGAGCGAAAACAAATAAACCGTGTGCTTCGGGGTACCCGTCCACCAAATTTCGGGCCGAATCGCGGGGCCGAATCGCGCCGGGCTTCACCGTGGCTGGATGCGTTATTTTTTTTCCGTACGCATGACCACAAATTCGTAGCCTTGTGGAGACACACACACACAATAGGGAACAAAACATTGTAAAGGTCTCCACAGGGCAATTTCTATAGATGAATAGGTCTCCACAAGGTTTTCACGAAATAGATATATGGGTTTTACTCAAAAACTAGCAATTTCCAAGGTGGGTTGATGTGTCGCAAACGGAAGAGTTTTAGAAAAGGGATATTAATTCCAAATTTCAGCCAAGGAAACTAATTCTGTTTAAAATAAGAGCATTTTGAAACTTCTCTTTCAAAATTGAACACTTTACCACACGAGAACAAAGGAATGTCTCCACAAGGATACAAATTTGAGAATGTGTGGTCGTATTTCGAAGTACGTTGAGTTGCAAGTCAGGTTCTCGGACTTTATTTTCCCCTGAAAAAAAATCTCCAAACCACATATTGGTAAAAGAAAAATGTTACAAATTACTAACAAACCTTTTTAAGAGAAAAAAAGAAGTAAAGAAGAAGAAATTATAAAAAAAAGCATCCAATGAGAATCGAACTCACATCATCGGATTTGTAATCCAATGTAGTATCCATGACACTACCGGCACTGACTTGATCGGTGGTAGTTTTCAACATTATACTATTGCATGTATAGGGCCCTCAAGCATAATTCTATATATAGTAGCGAGCATGTGGTATTGAAAAACAATCACTGGCTGGATCACGTGGCTGAATCACATGGCTCATAAATCTTCAGTTATAAATCAGGTCTTTTTCTGAAACGAGACTGGTTTTATGTTCGTCAGTTTTCCATTGCAACTTTTCATTCGTTGTATTAAAAGAGTATTCATCAATGACGGACAGCTGCATTTTGTGTTTAATAAAAAATTAATAAAAATATCTTGTGAATAGAGTGTTCAAATTACGTAAACTTTTTCACAGTACGAGTCGATATCATGTACTTCATGCCTATGTTGTTTTTATTTAATAGAGCGAGCAAAATATATACTTTTTAAAAATATTTTGCGCATCGGTCACTTTCTTTTTGTCTCGCCATACACACATTATATATCAATATTTTACACTTTTCATTCTAGTTTCGCATACCGCCCCACCCCTCTTTGTTTAATTCTTCGGAAAAGATTTCCATATACGAAGTTCACTCAACACCCTGTGTACCAACCCTATAAGATTGGACTGAAAAATTCGAAGTGTTTTCTAAGAAAATGCTTGTATTTTCTCACTGCTCAAATTGACTTTGATGACATGAAATTGCTATCTGGGGGCTTGTTAGTCAATACAGAGGAAAATTAGTGAACTTCGTATATGGAACTCTTTCCAATTCTTCCTTTACACGCCCCGCCCCCTCTTTTTTTTTCTCTCTCTCTCTCTTTTTAAATAAAAAAGATTAAAAAAAACCAACAGGATCTGGTTTTCCTGTGGTAGGATGGCTTAGTAGAGGTGCTAGTCACCTGTTCCATCTTGCCACTCACTGTAATCCGTATTCTGGCATAAACTTCTTTATTTTAAACAATTTATTGAAATTGTAAATTCTCTGTACTTTTTTATCTGTGATTCTGTATATCTTGTGATTTTTCTGATATCAGCCTGTGGAGAAGTGTAATACATACAATAAAAATAAAAAAATGTGTATTTTTTTTTTAATATATTTTCTTAACTCGGCCAATTTCTTCCTGATTCACCCCGTGTACATTATGAACTAAGTTAAGTCACTAGTCGCACAAAGACTTAATTTGATTGTCCACTTCTCATTTCGGTAAAAACATCTTTATTGGAGTCATTTCTCAAACAACCTTATTAAACGAGTCAACATTTATTACATTTAAAAAAAAAAATGTTAAGATTTCATTTTAAAATATTAGGAAAAAAATTAACGATACCCATCAACCAAAATAATTATTATGATTATTATAATTATTCGTTTCTGATACTGAAACGCGCTCAAAAGCGCCCACGGCACTGTAGCTCGCAAGCCTAAAGAAAGTTATCAAAGAAAGAAGACAATGAGAAGAAATTAAAGTTTTCCAGGTAGGAGGAAAACCCCATAAGAATATTCTGGGGGGGGGGGGGACCACGGTAGGGACTGAAAACCCAATCCACATCATGGTATTGAAAAAATAATTCTTGTATTCTTGCGCCAAATCCGTCAAAATTGACGCTCAAGGCGCTTCACAGAAAATAAAAATGAACCAGTTAAAATTTAAGAACAAACTAAAACTTATACAAAGAAAAACCTTTACAAAACTAGGTGAACAATTGAAATAAGTTGTCTAAACAGGCAGGTTAAAACGGACAGACACAGTAAAGCAACAGCGAGACGACCACGACAGACAGATAACAGAATAACCATAGACAAGAAATTTAAAATTGTGTATATAAATATTGAAAAATTCACAGTTCCCATTTTATTTACCAAAATGAAATTTTGTGCAAACCGAATAATTCTTAATAATAATAAGACTTTTTCTGTTTGCACAAAATTTCATTTTGGTAAATGTGAACTGTTCACTATTTATATACATGTACACAATTTAAATTTGAAATTAGTATTAACAATTTAAAATTAACTTAAAAATGTACAATTAAAAACAAATTGTTTTTTATATATAAAAAACGACTGGCTTAATTAAACAGCAAAGACATCAAAGTCGGGATTTTGGAGCTAAAAGTGTTTGATTAAAGGCAAGACTGGTTTGAAGTGCTTCAGGTAGTCCTTTCACGAGATCATATGCAATGGTCTCGAACCTTTGCAGAAAGCCATGTTTGGTAATCACCTCCAGGGTGATATGGTACGAGAAATGTACCACCAAGGCTCTTCCTACAACGCAGTTGGGATTCTTGACTTTTCGGGAGTAAGTTTCTGTTAACCAACGTTCATCGTCTAAAATTGGTCCACTTTCCAACATGGCCTTAAAATTAATGAGGTTCGAATCCAGGAGCAGGAAGTTGATGCTGAAGCGAACTCTTTCGGGGGTCATCAGGTACCGTCCGTCGAACAGGAATTTCTCCAGTGATTTGTTCTGGTAGTGATAGAAGAATGCGTTCATTGTCACAACAGCACAATCACCTGATTTAAAGCCGCACATTGGGCGACCGTTACTGCGGAATTGAAATTTCAGCTTTCTCGGGTTGATAGCCTCGTTGTCATAGATACCCAACTCTTGGTGGATGTAGCTACCCCGCCAGTTCGTACCTCCGATGTTGCCGAAATGAATGAAGCACTCGGAGGTGTTCTGTTGCTCAATCAGCTGCCTGAAGGTGCCGGGGTGGATGTACACGATGTCGTCGTCCATCTTGAAGTACTTTCTCTCTGGGTGCTTCGCCACGTCATTGAAAACCTCGTATAAAAATCCCTCAAATGTGCCCTTGGGAACGGGACGAGCAGAGGTGTCCTTGGCGCGATTGCGAAATCGGAGCTGAAAAACCCTCTTTCCCAGAATGTTGTTGGCGGTTTGAGTCAACTCGGTCAGTTTGGAGAGGGTTTGGTTGTCGTACATCATCATGTAGTAGTAGACCTTGTCAAGAACTCCGCCATTCTTCCTCAAGCTGCGATAGATGTAAGCAAAATTGATACGGAGGAAGTCCCAGCGTCCGGCGAAAATACAAAGAATGTTTTCAGAGTTTGGTTTTCTGGCAGGTTTTCTGACCTGTGTCTTAATCTGAAGTGGCTTGGGCTCCTGTCTTGGCTGCGCTTCACTCCGTTTATGGTGCACTTGTACTGGCAACGGTTGATGCCTTACTGTCGATGCCGGCAGAGGATTGAAGTTGTAGGCTAATGTAATTAATGTGATCATCAGCAAAGCGGTGCAGGACAACAAGTGCATGTTTTGACCAAGTTTGAATGTTGCCGACATTCGTTTTCGGCCAGCCATGTTTGCTGTACAACTTCAGTAGGCTTAATACACTGTACTGCAGTTCAACCGTTTAACCTGCTTCTGGTATCATGATGCTGATTCGCAGCACTGCACTATTATGTACAGCATGATGACGAGAGTACAATTGATCCTCGTACTAAGCATGCCATTAAGATGCAAAAGTCAGTCTGAAAATAGTGTTGCTTTATTGTGTGAAATGTTCACCCAACCATGCACCGTGGAAGATGAAAAGTGCGGACCTTCCTTTACACTGTAAAATATTGAGTTACTCAATGGTTGTTTTTCTGTAGATTTGTTTTGGTTTAATTACAGGACATGTTACTGTTTTTGGATTTTTTGTAAACAAGCAAATTTCTTTCTGTGTACGCACAGTGTTGTACAGTTCTCTGTTTGGCATACAGAAGATTCGCCGTTGAATTAAACGTCTGTGCGGGCATAAGAAACGGTGTCATCGATCACTGTCTGTTAACAGAGAATACAGGGATACTAGCCAATTAAAAGTGAGCACGTATCGTATGATTGCTCCGTGGTATAAAGAGGCAGTCACCGTGCAACGTTTCTTGTCGCTCGCGGGATGGGGGCGTATTCGAAACCCCGTTCTCGTCTTAAACTAGTTAATGAACACGAGGACAGGGTTCCGAATGACGAGACTAACCAACACGCGAACGGTGTTCGCGAACAAGATTCTCACCCAACTTATTGGGAGGTTGGGCACGTAAAGCCCGATCGCTCACATGATGTAATTAACTGCACGGTGCGAATTCATTGTTTCACAATCTACATAACGGTGGAACAAATGCGAAGCAGAGCTTGCGTTTTGGTCTCCTGTGTTAAAAGTGACTAAAAAGAAGAAGTTAAAAACTCACCGAGATGTTGAAAAATTCTTGAGCACAAAGTCTCCTTCCTCGGCAGAAGAAACACCTCCACGATATTCTGCCGAGATTTCCTGCCGAGGTTTCCTTCGTATTCTCCGTTTAAGGTCCAAGGGAAATAGAATGTGTATGTCTTAAGCTCGATCGGTGCATATTGCCATATTCAATTATGTAATCTGAATAAACATGTATCTTCGTATGGTAATATCTCTGAACGAACAAAGACTTATGATGGGCGATTTCGTTTAGCCTGGTCAAGCCTTTGGTGTATGCATTTTGTGAATGACAGCGGAACCAAAGGCTATCATTAAACATATTTGTCAATATTTGGTCAAATGAGGAACAGATTCTTTTTAATCTGTCCAAAGGTCACTGTTGGACATTTAGCCTTACCTACATGGAAAATGCAATCATCGCCACTGGATGGTGTCGTGATTAACGGCCTTATACAAATTTGCCGAAAAAATTGAAGCAACAACCTAGCATTGCAACTGTTGTTCTCGGTTTCTATCATCAAAATGGATTCGTTAAAGGCCTACAAAGAGAACGATTACAGTTATTATTGAAAATGAAACGCATTGGTATTATGTGATAACGATCCGCAGATAACGCAGTTGATCAACACGAAATCTGAGAATGGGCTAGGCTTAAGTGGCAAGGGGGGGGGGGAATATTAAAAGGAAGTATTACGTTAATTAAGAGTTATGTATTGGAACATTCCATAAAAGTGGGGTCCAACAGAACTTGAGCATGTTTTAACCCTGTTGCACCTTACATGTGTAATTTGCCAATGATGCAATCCTTAAAACTGACTTGGAAATATTTTTCTAAATTTTTTTCGGCAGGCACTTTCAGCTATTTCAGCACCAAAATTTGCCCGAATTTTGGATATCTGCTGTCGTAAATGTTCTCCTTTTTTTGGAGGGGAGGGGGGATTTGCTGTTGTAACGTTGCAGTAATTTGGATTGTTTTAATGTTTTAATCCAGGGCCCCCAGGGAAAACAGTTCTTAGATAACTGATAAATCTACCCTGGTAAAATAAAACGATAAATAGATATAATGAATAAGTAAACCAAGAAGCAAAGCTTTCTCATAAATGTTTTAATGAGCAAATTTGGGTTCACAATAATGAACAGAAACAGTGGCACATCCAGGATTGGTTGGGGGTTTTTGGGGGGTGGGGGCTGGGGGCTCACAAGTTATTTTTCCAAATTTGTTTGAATTTTTTTTGGGGGGGGGGAGGGGGATATTTTGACGCTGGTGGCACCACTTGCCCCTATTATACTACTCGAAATTAGGCCACAACATATCAGCGAGGTCAAATTGTGGGTCTAAAAAAAATACCTCTCCCCCTTCAAAAACATTTGACAGCCTCTGGGGTAGGGGGAGGCCCCCCCCCCCCCCCCACCCTTGGTGCGCCACTGAACAGAAACTCCTGAAAACTGAACAGTGTCTCCTGAAAGTACTTCACAGTAACAGCGCCCTCATTTGTCAGGAACAAAAATGGAAAAGTTGAAATGTCCTTAGAAGTGCACTTTCCAGTGAGATTAACCAAATAGGAATGTCAGATAGTTCCCAATTAAAGAGGAGAAGAGAGTTGCACCAATGTGTTCCGAAGGAAAATTCAAGTCCGTGATAGACCCCTTTAAGCTAAGTATGTGACCCGATTTCATTTGCCTCTCGACAACAAACACACACCACAACAAAGCGCAGGAAGTGGCTTTATAAATCGGTCAATAACTTTTCCAGTAACGGGAATGTCGAAGCGTGCTCCGCCCCAACATAGTTTGAATAGTTAACCTTGCTGTATGTACACCATCATGTTTCGTCCTAAATTTACACTATACATTATAAAAGCCTAGACAAAATGGGTTACAAATAAACCAGGGTTCGACCTTAGAGGTAGTCCGCTTGACATTGGTGTCGGAACATGTCACCCATTTACTCAACCCCCACCCCCACTCCCCTCATATCAACACACCCCTGCCCGGCCCCCTTTCCCAAAAGCGGGTCCGCGCCAGGTGTACATGTATTCGACGGAAGTACACGTGTAATTCTGACGGACATCAAAAGTCATTTCACAAGCCCATGATAAGTGACAAGAAAACTAACAATAACCGAATATCGCCCTTTGTCTTACTTCGGTTTGAGTAGTTTATGAGTAACGACTTTTGATGTAATGACTGACTTATTGTGATGTGTATCACCAGAAATTCCTAGACTAGCACAGCAGCTAGACTGGTTCAACCAACTCACCCACATTCATCCTTGGAACTTCAGTGTACCCCCCCCCCCCCCGTTCCTGCAACACAATCAACGGTGGGCTTAACTCCCCCATTTACCCTGAAAGTGAAGTCAACCAAAGCCTCCTTTTGTCATTCAAATACAGCGCCCATGCGCCACAAAAGGTTCATCCCACAGTCTCCAACAGGTGAGGCCCTATTGTTGAGACACGTCATAGGTTATACGCCAAATGACCCGGCTTTCCTTTACAAATATACGATAGGGTTTAACAACGGAGCTAATATTTTTCGGGGCTTTGATAGTCGACGGTTGTGTATCGACCCGACGGTTTAGTAGTGTTGATTTCAGCGGATGAGAAGGCGATCCATGAGAAGTATTAGTAGAAGACCTTCGCGTCAAATACATGCGTCAGAGGGATGGTGTTGATAAAGTGCCTGTAGAAAACTGGTGTCTATAAACAAAATCTGTTCGCAACGGAAACGGCCGAAGTTAAAGGTAAGATATCTGTTTTTTTAAGACCAGTGGGATACATAACCTAACTATAGACCCACACAGTGGCACAACGGATTTAAGTTCTAGGTAAATACCCCGCAATGTTGTGGTCCGTCCTTACAAATGGACAACTTCATCGTTACGGACGTTACATTCAGAGCCTAGTAAGACCAAAATAAAATACTTCCAGTTAAAACAAATGTTATGAATTTGGTACATGTCTAGCTTAATAATGGTTAACATAATGTTAGCTGAATAAATTAATGAGAAATAAGCTCTGTAAACGACCGTTATATGGTCCTATATAGATACAAATGGTGTAAATTTAACACTGCAGTTTTTGCAGTGTTTTTTGGTACCACACTCGAGGTTGTGATGCTTGTAGTAATGTACGTAGTTCTGAAGATTTCATAAAGGCTCCACTATTCAGCCATGTCCACTTTACTGAGCGTGAAATCGCTCAACTGCTTGTTGAAAATAACAAAGTGACACAACTTTTGGCCTGGTTTACTTCAAATTTTGTTGATAAACTTTGTTCAAGAGCTTCCGATTTTCGAAGTTGCGTCCTAATACTTTCCGCAAATTTCTACATACTTTCTATCGAATGTTGAAAGTGATGCTTCAATTTTTTTTTTACTTTAATAAAAGTGCTTAAGAATTCCCGAAATACCCCCCAAAAAGCCTGGTACATTATTTATTATTATTATTTTGTTAAAAATATTTTTTATGCTAAATGAGACTTAAGAGTTTGCATGGTGGACATGATCAATGGATTGGAGGTTTGCGGTAATACCATGATGTGGATGATATCTCTTTGTGAATTGTGTGGTTCTGAGAAGAACCATACAATTCAACAAAATATCGTTCACATGCCGCAAACCTATTCCATTCATTTTTATGTTATTATTTATGGGATTATTGTAATTTTAGAAAAACATATCTATAGAAATCTAGGTTCAAAGTACATTTTTTTAAAAGTCGTACGTGCTGGGTAGATGCAGACTGGGACATTGAGTGCAGAAAAACATGCACATGGCAACACAATCAAACCAACTTTACTCTCCAAAACTTTTCATGATGCAAATAAAAGATCCTTAGTATTTCACCAGCTGAGTTTGAAGTCTCAGTTCAGTTTTTAAAGGTGACTTTTCTTTAGCGGTTTGCACCTGAGAGTGAAGCCAAGTGATTTCAATTTGAAGCCTAAAGCTAGACTGGTACATGTCAAACTTTTTGAAAAGATTGACCCTTCAGTAGTCTGGTGGCATGACTATGTGTAGACATAGAGAATGTATATTAAACAGAGATAGGTACCAGATGTTTCTTTTGACAGAAATGATAAAAAACAGGGCTTCTATATTCTTGTGTTGCATGTTTTTAGTATCTTAAATCTCATACACAGTATTGAGAGTCCCAAATTTCGGACTAACTCAGACCATGTTTCTTTTCAACACTTACAGCCAGTTACGTAGGCCTATGCACTATATCATACAACAAAAGACGACAGAACACCATGCGAAATGAAACGTGTAAGCACTGATGCGAGAGGCCATAAACTGAATCAACCTTGATGTGACCACTTTCGAACAAAATAACCAAACCGGTAAAATATTGCACCAAGTCATAACAATGGCGCAACAGAAATCCTTCATCCATATTAAACCATTCATGCTTGTAACTGCGCTTTGAATATGCGTCATTGAATAAGCGTTTTCATCGGACCCCTCCGGAACACAAAGAAAACCCAAAGTACCATTATGTACCATATATATACCATATGTACCTGTAATGAATGGCGCAACAGAAATCCTTCATCCATATTAAACCATTCATGTTTGTAACTGCACTTTGAATATGCGTCATCGAATAAGCGTTTGCATCGGACCTCTCAAGGACACAAAGAAAACCCAAAGTACCATTATGTACCATATATATACCATATGTATACCTGTAATGTTGTCTGAATACTTCCGGAGTATCATATACAACCAACCATGTAGACCGATTTAATGGCATCATACTATACCCCGGGCGTCTGGGGGAAAAGTTATTAAAGGCATATAGGTGGGCGGGCTGACGACATCCGATGAAAACATCTATTTATTTGCACATCAGTTTTCATCGGTTGCAATGTGATACCATACAGCACTCCAGACTGAAGAATTAACCACTGAGTTTCAAGAGCATAGGTCTGGGAGCTAGATAAGATAATGTGAAAAAAAAATCCCGGATATGTCCGCGCCCATACGACCATTTGCATTTGTCCTAAAAAGTAACCTACCGAATTACTATCGAAAACCTTACTTGGATTGAAGATTGTACTGGTTCTAAACACCCCGTGAAATAACTCCGTCTGGCTTGCTGTCTTTAACAAGAAATCAAGAATGATTTCCAACAATCAGTCAATTGACTGATTTTTGGAAATCAAGAGTGCCATGGACAAAATCGTGTTTCGTGATCAAAAGTTGTGCATGGTTTTTCACTGTTTCCTAGAAAAGTGTGTAAAATATCGACTAAGCTGAAACATGTTAGGTTAACATTCGTCGTCGGGTTTTGAGTGGTGTTATTATTGGAAACCAACAAAATGTATGGAACGCAAATGACCCTATATAAGTCTTTTAATACTGTAGATCGTTGTTCGAAGAAGCTTGAGCACTGCTATGTGGTGCAGTACACTGGACAAATCTTCAGCATTTTTGTTCTTGTTTGCTATACATTTTACTGATTGCAAGTCAATATTGATCAGATTGGACCCTTTTTTAAACAGGAAAATTATCCTCCTCAATCTTGCCTTCTGCACTTCTTTTCATGTTTTTTTTTATTGTGGAGAGTATTAAATAATAAATGAAAACCCGTTGAATTAAACTTTCTTTAAATCGCTTTTGGTATTTTTCCCCTCAAACTATATGTTGTTCATTGACAGTATCAATTAAAGAATTTCTTGGAATGAATAACAACGAATTACGGATTCGAATTAATTTCATAAACTGAAATTTTCAATAAACGTTGTTTCCCGAAATACTATTTACAACAGTTAAGCTTCAGGTCTTTATTGATGGTGCACTATTATTTTTGTATAAATACAACATTGCTATTATAAGCCGTGGTTAAGATTTTGTGGTTGCAACCACGGAATACAAAAACATTCCAAATCAATTTCGGCCTAATGCAGATTTTTCTCAGTAAATTACACAAAAGGCGGCCCACTGCAATTGGATGCATTGTGTATGCATTAAAGGGTGAGGCAAATATGAAGTGACCTGGATTCATGATTTATTCTCCATTAAAAAGCAAAACATGTATTAAACGAGCAGGTTCTTCCAGACGTTAAAGGGAATGTACAACATTTGCTTTTGCTGCAATTTTCAGAAATAAATGGATTTGGAGGATTAAAATGTTATAGGAAATATTGTTAAACTGATTTGTTTCACGTTTTGGGCTTGTAGATGCTGGAAAAACCAAGAAAACCAATCATGTTCTTGTAGTCCGGTTCCCTGACTCCACTTAAGATGAAACGGAGCAATTTGTAGACTTTGGGGAATTGTAAGGTCAGAGTATCAGTCTGGCAGGCTTGTACCTCTTCACATGTGTGTAATCAATTGCAAAGAAAATGCGGAATAACTAAATATGAAAACTTAAGAGCAGTTTTTGAAAATGAGCCAGTTTTCTCCAACGCTGGTCGGCCGACCAGCGTTGGAAAATACAATTTTTTCTTGAAAATGTCAGCACACCAGGAGCCACGATTTTACAGGATGCTTATAGACTGTCACTCCCTAACAATCCAGTAAGGTATTTCGTGATAATTTGATCATTTCGTTTTTTGATGTATGCAAATGTTGTATCTTCCCTTTAAAATATTAATTACAGAAATTGATCCATGCTATCAGCAGTTACGTATGTTTTACGGAAAGAACCCATTACAGCTGTTCATGGAATAACCAGTCACGATGAAGCCATTTTCGATCGCGTTCCCTGAATCTGTTTTATAACTTGTAAACTGTTGAATGGGATGGTGCCAGACTATTTTATGATTGGAGTGCGTTCCAAGCATCGCTTTCTATTTCGTTTATTGTAGCTTAAAACAATAGGGTATGTTTAATTACAAATTTTAAATTATTCATCAGAGCAGACTGGTGTTAATTTGTGATTTACCTTTATTTCTTGTTTTCATTTCTACTCGAGAGAGTTTCAAGAATGAACAGTTTACCTCGCTTTCAATTTAATATGGCCGACTCATGAATAAAGTCTACTTAGCTGAGTGAGAACCAGAGATTACACACACTGCAAAAACTTTAGTGTTAAATTTACACCATTGGTATCTATATAGGACCATCTGGTGTTAAATTTTACTGGTGTTGTCCTATATAGATACCGAATGGTGTTAAATTAACACTTCAGTTTTTGCAGTGCACAGGCATTCAAATACAAATGAGATTTCAATAACTTGAGTCAAGACTGAAGCATGAGTGTTAATGTCAGATTTTGTGTTTTGTATAAGAGGAACAAATCAAGTTTTTTTCTGAAATGATGGTGATTTTTGTCCGTTTTCCTCTGCAAGTTTTCGTTCATTCATGGACGTAGGAAAGCACCCATGGTACACTGTATTAAAAGTGAATTCATCAATGCGTATTGGTAAATGATCAGTGGTGGACAGCTGACTTTTGAGGTACATGTATTTCTGTTAAAATAGAAAAAAAAATTGTGAATTTAGAGTAAGCAAATTGCGTAAACTTGTCACAGTTATTAGTCAATAACATGTGCTTTATTTTAAGTTATTTTTATCCCATGGAGCGAGCCACATTTTTTTTAAATACTTTTTTTCTAACTCGTGGTCACTTTCTTTTTGAGTAACCGTGTACAGGGTGAGTAAAAAAACCCACGAAACCAGAATGTCGATACCATTCTTTTCGTGAAGTTCTGCATGTAGTATTTGCAAAATCTAGGATATAAAAATCCAATTCATAAGCTTTCTTTTAGTGCAAGAATCATTCAAATCACTCATGTACTTTTTACGATACGGAATTTGAAACCCAACTGAACCGTTTTAAACTTCTGTCCACGGATCACAAAAAGGGTAAGAGTTCTTTCAGCAAAACGAAAATGTGCGTGAATTGTGTCCGTGGATAGTTCACCAAACTGGCACAACTTTTTGCCATTGAGCCTTGCCCTTTGCCAAAAGAAAATGAATAAAAGTGTTCTTATAGTCACGTTTTGATTGCTTGACTTGAATCAAATAGAGTCTATTCAATTGATCAATGGCCGAGGAATTCACCGCGGCCATGGGATTTTCTTTCTCCAACCTTCCGACTCCTAAAATGAAAATATTTTGATAACCCTTCGGGTGGAAAAAGGCGGTCACGAAAGCTTTCGTTCTGTATCATAGCCGGCCCGCCTGGACACGGCTTGGGGAGATGCAGCTAGATGTCGGCAAGCTTTGAATTTTCGTTTTAGTGTCGAATTGAAAAAAAATCTTTCATTAGGCCAAAAAAAAAAATAGTTCTGCTTCCGGTTCCCTACCTACCCTATTCTGACAGTCCATACCCTATTTTTTTATTGGAAAATTGAGAAAATAACATCCAAAACCATCAATTTCTGCTTTTTACCCTTGACTACACGCAGAAGCCTCCATTATGATCGTACACAAAATAAATTTGCAAAAAAAAATTTTTCCCTACCTACCTACCCTATTTTCGAATGTCATGTAATCGGAAGCAGAACTATTTTTTTTTTTGGCCTTAGGGATCAACGCAACTATAAGTGGATGCGGACATCCGTGATTTCATTTTTACATGGGCTTATCTAGCTCCCAGACCTATGATCTTGAAACTCAATTGTTCTTGAGTCTGGAGTGCCGATTGGTAACGCATAGCAACCGATGAAAACTGACGTCACTCCGCCCCGATCTGCTGATCGTTAAATGGTAACTTTGAAATTCACGCAACGGACATATAAATACATGACTGTCTTCCTCGAAGCATAATAATAATTAAAAATAATAATAATTAAAGAACACAAACAAAACGAACCAAAAAACTTAAAACCTTTCTTGGCCAGCTACGGTATTTATTTAATGTGAAATTCTTCAGAACCATGATATAATCACGTTTCAAATTTATGATTTTTTAAAATGTATTACCGAAATGATTTGAATGATTGAGAAATGATACGCTTAGCCAGTTGGCTGTTTATTTCCCCTGGATCACATCAATTTCAATTGCTCCCGTTGCTCCTCAAAAAAATTCTCTAAACGAATGTTCAATTTTTATATTTCATTTTACCGGGAAAAAACCTAACTTTTACTCTTCTTTTGGCGCGCGTCTGCAGCCCTCTGAAAATAGGCTTTCATTCTCAAACAATTCAATGACTTAACGTCTTGGATTTTGTGCCGTTCGATGTCTCCATCATCAAAAGAGATTAACTTTGCTAGGAAAATAGCAATTGAAAAAAAAAATTCGCGTTAAAACTCGAAAAAGGACGGGGAACGCATCTGAAACCCCGATGATTATAGAACAATTAATTGATAATTGTGTTTTTCTTTTCTTTCTTTCTCAGATGAGGGACAAGCAAAGCCCAGGAGATACTTACAACTATAAGGAGCACGTCTATGCGGACCCAGTCGCGCTTCGAAAAGAAATCGAGAAAGACAAACAGGAAAAGGCAGACAAGCAAAAAATCAAGAAGTACCAGAAGCCCAGCAGCCCTCCCCCTGTCCCTAGCGGGCCGAGGCAAGGAACTGGCAGAAACACCCTGTACGCGGAACTCGCTAAGAAGAGCAATGTCCCCAAGTCCAGTGTCCGAGATCTGGGCAGCCTGTTTGGGGGGACGTTGCCGCGGGCTGGCAGCGCCACAACGCCCGAGGATTCGCCGCCGCCGCCCGTGCCTGAGGTCACGGAGTCGCGGAACATACTCGACGAGAACAACTCAACACCAGGGAGCCCCATCAAAACTTTACAGAGTGACACTGTTATGAACATACTCGGTGCATGTGATGATGAAACCCCTGACAGCGAATGGATTTCGGCGCCCGTAGAGGGCGTAGCCGAACCAGATTTGAAGGAGGGGCCGGTTGCGAATTTGGCAGAAGGGCAAGTGACCGAAGACTCGAACACGGAACCGAACGGTTTGGAGGATGAATCGTTCGGAGCCCCGTCCCCAGAGCCGGGAGCAGAGGAGGCCGAGGTCGTCATCGACGTGCGAATCAACTCAGAGGCTGGGATCGAGATTGGCGCCGAAATCCCGACAGCCGCCGATGACGCGGACACTCCGAATGACGACGACGGCGGGGTCCGGCTGATCAAAAGCGTCAAACGCGACCCTTTCGCAGTGGACACCGGCGACACCGGTTCTGCAGCTGCCAACGCGTCCACAGAACCGGCCGGTAACTCACCGGCTCAGTCCAAACAGGAGCACGGCTCGGAGGCCGGGTCGGGCAGCAGTGGATCCACCAAGAGAAAGAAGAAAGATGTGGAGTCTGGATTCCACCCCAATAACCACCTTCGGCGTAACCTCATCATCATCTCCCTCTTTCTGCTCATTGTCTTGATTCTGGTCTCGATTGCTATCGTGATTCTCCTCAATTACACTCAGCTTTTTAAGTAGTCCTATCCATATAAGGAGCCGTTTTTGTGGAGTTCATTCTTAGCATAATGTCAAAAGCTGCTTAACACAGACTAAGTTGGCTTGCGGCACAATCAAGTATATAACCGGCCCAAATAGACCTTTATCATGCTGCCACCATTTAAGTCATGTTCCCTATAACAGAACTGAATGATGATATTTTTTTATGTAAAAAGGAACCAGTCTATTTTTCTTTCCAGCCTCGCTTTGGTTACGTTGATTTAAATGGAAACAAAATCAAGATGGCTGCAACATGATAATGGGGTTATGGCATGTGGTTTGCACCTTGTGAGTCACTGGTTCCCTGCATGTTTATGCTGAGCATGTTGTATTTGCTAAGCGGGTGCAGTTGTCAAGTTTCTTTGGCGGTTCGGAGGGATCTTTTAGGCTGGATGATCTGAAAGCCCCAAGTCCTGTTCTGAGATGAGCCATACCATCTTGAACTTAAAGAAATACCCAGACACAACTGAATACGAATTGACGCATTAAAAAAAACAATATTGAGTACAAAGGATAGGAATGATGTTTTGAGCATGAGATTATGTGCAACCAAAACAAAATTCAAGAAAAATTATGAAATCTATAAACACATGTCTGGAATCCACTCAAAACTAAACCAAAACCCCGGGAAGTTATAACATTTTCGGTGAATTTATTTTGCTGTATTTATTTTGAACCACCATTCGCAAACTCACTGACTTCATAATGTACTGCTTTTAATAACGGTTTTATGATCAATGAGGTTTTATGCACAAATAACACGTCACTCGCATGGTTTTAATGAACAGAATACATTTAATTATTAACAATTATAGGAGTATGATCATGCACATGTAATTGCAGCAACAAAACGTGTTCTTTTTTATTTATTTTTGTAATTTCTTTTACAGTGTTGTGTAGTCGAAACCGTTACCAGTCCATCATGTCCTTTAATTAGTAATTCACAAGTCCATGTCTGTAGTAATGGGGTGAACAATAATAACAGACCTACCATTTCAGTCGTGTTCCCTGTAGTGTATCCAATAACAGTACTGAATTACAATGTTTTGTGTGTGTGTGTGTGCAAAAAAGGAACCGTACTATTTCTTCCTTCCGGCCTCGCTTTGGTTACGTTGATTAATGGTAAAAAATGAGACAAGATGATTTGTGTTGGTCTTACACTGCAAAAACTGAAGTGTTAATTTAACACCATTCGGTATCTATATAGGACAACACCAGTAACATTTAACACCAGATGGTCCTATATAGATACCAATGGTGTAAATTTAACACTGCAGTTTTTGCAGTGTATGAGGACTTGTGATATGGACTTAACATTGGTTTATTAACTAAAACTGTATATGCACTTACTTTATATTCAGTATTTATCAGTATTCTTGTTTTGACGCTGCAACACTACAATTCAGGACAAACAAAATGTCTTTTTGGTGTGAGCAATAATATGTAGGTCATAGATTACAGCTTGCTGGTTCAAGCTAATATAGTTTTTTACGGCTATTTTAAAATAACATTCGTTTGAATTAATCGATAAGTATGTTCAAATTCGTCCAGCAACATCGATTCAGTGCACTTCCAATGTTTAATTTCGTCTTTTGTAAGACAATTTCAAATTCAATTCCAGCAAATTTAAACTCTGACCACACGTTTTCGTTCTGGAATATTCGATTTCGTCTCGTCCACACCAAACCTTGTTATTTAGAAATCAAATTCGTCTAACTGATTTATATGAGACGAATTCGATCTCTGAATGCCGCCATTCGGCAACAGCTTAGACGAATTTGATCTGTAATGACGAATATTCTCGACCCGGAGACTACAAAGGGTGGCCAAACTTTATAATTGAATGGTAAATGACTACATGTGTAAATTGATTATGTTTAAATCGTGTGAAATATTTCGTGGACGAAATTGAATAATAGAGTTGGTGAATTTGAATGAACAATCTTTTAAAATAGCCGGGAAAACCTGTAGTTTCACAAAGTTGATAAAATAATGAATGAACAATCTTTTAAAATAGCCGGGAAAACCTGTAGTTTCACAAAGTTGATAAAATAGAATCAGAATTCTACTAGTTGGAAATAATGATTATTTTATAATAAACTTTGAAAACAATTGTGTTATCACGATTTTTTTTTATACGTTTACGTCTTTGTATTATATCATTCGAAGTATTAATAATTTTATATTATACAGATTATTATGTTTGCATTTATGTAACCTATAATTATTAACTAATATTAAAATGTAATATTTATCCCTTTGTTGAAGGCTTTCATTTATACATGTACACGCATTTTAAGTATTTCAACTTTATTCATAAAAAAGGTTTTCTGAACTCGATCCGTAAACCTTTATTTTGTATATGATTTGTATAGCCTCGTTTTCATTTTTATTTTTAATTAAAAAATGTGAACATGTACTTATACTCAACAGCGTGATAAACTGTGCATATTTTTGTGATGATCAGTCGAGGTACATGAAATAGCGATCGTAATGGGGGCAAATCCTGAATATGCATTACATTGTCTTAGTTATGGAAATATATGTTGTTCCTTTTGACCAAACAGTTGTCTTTATTATACATGTACATTACTGATCTCTTGAATACAATGTACATCAAAACGCATGCCTCCCTCTCCCGAAGCAAAACCATGCAGCTTCGACCCCCCCCCCATAAAAAAAACCCACTACATTGTATACGCAATATCCCAGAACAACTTGATCTTCGCTACCCTCATGATTTCCAAAAAGTGAAAAACTGAACATTCTATGTTTTCTCTTCAACATTTACTGCGGTCCGACTAAGAAACTTTATGTGTATAGGACTCAGTTTGGAGCGAAATTTATTGAATCGAGTTAACCTTACCGGGCTATTCTAATTCTTCCCTGGACGAGGTGGGGGGGGGGGGGGGGGGGGTCCCAATCCTTTTTTTTGGGGGGGGGGATATTTGGCAGGAATACTTGGTTGGCCTGTAATCTGACGTCATTTGGTTGCCCATGTTTGTAGGGAAAAATTATTTTTGGCATAATTTTACATTTTCCTTTCAAATGCTTTCACTCGGATTATAACAATTTTCTGTTGGTCAGTTTCCATCTTATTTAAATAATTGACAGCCACGGTCAGTTCTAGGGGGCACTACAACAACTTTGGCAGCAAAAGCATCTAGGTCCTAAGTTAAAATCTTGTCTTTCAAAATTCCATTAATTAATCAATTATTTAATCAATGACGTACTCGTGGTACACATGAACTGTTGTAAATTCTGTACGTATTTTGTGTTATGTACGAACTGTCGGAAAAATACCCAAAACAAAAATTCAAGACAGCTTCTGGCAGACAAAAAATGGTTTTGACTCACAAAAAAGCGTTCTGTATTTTTTTAATTTTTTTTATAGAAATAGGCTGAGGTAGGGACGAATTAACTTGAAGTGAAAAATTATGTAAGATTGAAAGTAGATCTGGGGGGGGGGGGGGGGCACATTGCACTTTCAATCTTACACAATTTTTTCACTTCAAGTTAGTGCGCCGAATTTGCCTAAGTAATTACGGCATGATGGAGACCGGCCAATTACAAACGTGCTTTCCCGGTTCAGAACTCTCCTTTGAAAAACTGCACTGGGTTTTACTTATTTTTTTTAACAAGCAATTCTGGCATTTTCCCAATATAAAGGAAATAATTAATTCAAATTTTATTTTAGCCACATGCCATAACAAATTACGGAACGACACTGAGAATTTAAAACGCTAAGCAGGGTCTCCTTGACAATGCATGATAGGCTAATTTACATGATAATACCTTTGACTTTTTTTGTACTTTACCCCCGGAAAGGGTGCACATTGAATTTACATGCACGGTTGCGCTATGTCCATCGTGCGCATGCCTAGCTAGCTAGCTAGCTCCACAACAATGAATTCATGGCGTTATTCATCAGCATTATCCATTGTCATGTTATGCGTGCACGGCGTGCCCACGTAAACGGATAACCTCCTCAAAAAAGTAGTCATCCGCTTAAAATAGTACCTCAAAATCATTTGGTTTAAATTCCCTATTTCTGAAATCCTTGTATTTCTGTCGTACGGCTATTCACTTAATAGCTTTGATAATCAAAACGTAACATAATGAAAAGGAAAAAGGCAATTTTTGGGGTGTTTGTTTGTTTTTGTAAGGAGGTCGGGTTGCAAGATACTTCGCCATTTTGTATTCATGCGCGCACATGTTACACGCATTTTTTGCGGGCATTTGAACACCGACATTGCATGCAGAATTTAGTTGATGCACTATCCGTACCGGGCCACACGGTGTCAATTTAACAGCATACTGGTTCACCCACAAACGCAAGAACGACAATGTACAGGAACGATTCCGAGGTAAGAGTTTTTCTTCAATATACTTTCGTTTATGTTGCAATCATCAAACGATTAGGCTGGCTACATACAATTCACAATGTCATTTGAATTGTCATGATTGTCATGATGATGAAGAATGTATCGAGTTCCGAATTTTATTGTTTGTGCCATTATTGTGGTATATATCTACTTTATATTATAGGCCTTTCAAATTATTTTTGTTGTGGATTTGACTTCCAGTTTTAATATTTATATTTAACAATAAATTAACATGTTTAATACTTTGATTAACCCTCCTAATGGAAACATGCATTGTAATGTCAGCCTTGTTATTACGCTTTCGAGTCAACTCGTACCTTGGGCAACTCGTACCTTGGACAACTCGTACCCTGGACAACTCGTACCTTGGACATCTCGTACCTTGGACAACTCGTACCTTGGACGACTCGTACCTTTAATTAAGACGACTCGTACCATCAGAATAAAAAGTAGAGTACGTGAAAGCACAGTGTGTGGTTCTTTGACTCCGAAACGATACGATTCTTTATTTTTATCCCACAGAACCACATTCAAGATCTAATGGCTTTGCCAGGCAGCGTGATTTTCCGCGTTGGGCCTGCCGCAGGCATGGCCGGCAGGGCAACGAAATTGACTGCCGGGCCGGCCTCCGAGGGCGCGAGCAGCGGTCGGTCGTGCGCGGTACCGATGCCAGTGACTCGGAAGCGGCCGGCCTGCGCGGCGCGCGCGGCACTGCCATTCTGTTTTGTATGGAATTACATGTACTTGTACATTCCTTGTGCATATTCAACGTTTGATTCGGTAGCTAAGACACTTGTGAAATAAATTTTAATATACTTTCTTTTTTTTATTTTTAGGGCTCATGCCATATTTTCAATGGGGAGCGCCAATAAAATCCTAAAATCATTCACAATATATTAACTAATGCACCCTTGTCACGGCTATTTCTTCTTTAGGGGGAGACAGTTCGCATGTACATCACAATCATTCTTTTTGCTAATGCAATTTTTTTACGGAATTTATTTTAGGGGGGCTAGACAAACATTTTTTTGGGGGGGGCTACAGCGTGGGCCTGTGCATGCCGCGCACACAGTGCGTGTAACCTGCCGCGGCCGGCTTCGCGCTAAATAAATTCCTCTTTTGGGGGGAAAGAGAGCCCATACCAAAAAGAGATTCGCCTTTATTTTAATAAGCAGTCCACTTTCAATGAGTTACGGTCCACTTTATTCAGCCTCGGATCATTATCCTGACTGACGGTACGACTTGACTTACGCGTGATGGTACGAGTCGTCTTAATTGAAGGTACGACTTGCCGAAGGTACGAGTTGTCCAAGGTACGACTCGGTATAATGACGTCGAGTTGAAGGTACGAGTTGTCCAAGGTACGAGTTGCCCAAGGTACGAGATGACCTGTTATCGTTATTACTTGGCTCAATATTGGTCAAGACCCCCATTGGTTTGTACACAATATGCCAGGAGGTGAGGAAGAAAATTTTGACCACATGGTTCTTGGTTGGTTCTTCTCCTAAATACTCCACGTGGGAGTTTATACTGGAGGCCAGAAACACCGGGGCAAACCCCTTCTCTTAGCACTTAGCGATAAGTGGTTACTGGGTTCTTTTACGTGCATTATTTATACAACACACGGGACCTACGGCTTTGGGTCGTACTAATACTAGTAATAAGCTACAACACAGCGTCAACACATAATAGAAGCGTCAACACATGATAGAAACCTCAACACACCGCCAACACTGCCAAAACGCATTCTAAATTGACAAAAAAGGCATAGACCTTTAAAGTTTAGACTTAGGAAAGAGATTTTCGGTGGGTCAGAGGTTACATTTCGTTTACGAAAATAGAGTTTTTTTCACGCGAAAAAATGATCCGAAGCAGCACTGCCGTTGTCGGCCATCTTGCCTTTGCACCGAGATTGGACTTCACCATTTCAGATATGGGTGTGGAGGTAATGAAATTATCATGTCGTATACACAGATTCACACGTCTGTCGTGAATTCCGTGGACTCATGACATAACAACACAAATGTCACACAACCAATAGCAGTAATTCAATTTCACACTTAACTACATGTATTTAGAAAGAAATGGGAACATCTGAGTGATTTATAAAACGTGTGGCAACCAGTCCATAAGCAGATTGGTCTGTTTCACACTGAATTGACGGTGACGTAATGTCATGTCGTGTTTCTTTTCAGACTGGTGATGAACCACTGCGTAAGCTCTTCGTGGGCGGTCTCCCCAGGGATTGCGACGTTGAGCAGCTGAAGGAGTACTTTGGTGAGTATGGCAATATCATCGACTGTGTCGTCATCAAGGACAAGCAGACGCAGGCCTCCAAGGGCTTTGGCTTCGTGACGATGTCCACTATTGAGGAGGTAGACAACGCCTTGTTGTCGGACAAGGATACCGAGAGGACCCATAAGATCGGCGTTAAGGATGTGGAGGTGAAGCGCGCCATACCCAGAGACGTAAGTAACCTTAACCTCAGGTGGCAGGTGGTGTTTATTATCGTTCAGAGAAGTAGTCATTTGAGTACATGTACATTGCATGGTGTGGGGTGATTCGTGATCAGAGGGTCAGGGGTTCGAATCCAGCTGCTGGTCAGGTGTTGTGTCCTTGGGCAAGTCACTTGACCCCCACTTGCCTCTCTCCACCCAGAGGTATAAATGGGTACCGGCATTAGCTGGGGAGTAATCTGTGATGGACTAGCATCCCGTCCAGGGGTAATAGAAATATTCTATCAAGCTCCTCAATCCTCCAAAATCCTCAGCGCCTCAATCCTTCATAATCGTTAAAAATGTATTCATCCTCAATCCTCCAAAATCCTCCTCCTTTTCAAACACCATTCATCCTCAATCCTCCGAAAACTGCCGTCAAGATTTTGGAGGATTGAGGTGGGTTAGGTTCTAACTCCCTTGGCATTTTTGCTAGGATGTAACCTCAAACCTCATGTAAAAAAGCATAGAGCCCGCAATCCTGCAAAATCCTCCGTTGTTTCTTGAATGTGGTCCTGGGGGGGGGGGGGGTGATCTTTGCCTAAATCCTGCAAAATCCTCCGTTATTTCTTGAATGTGGTCTTTGGAGGGGTGACCACTGCCTCAAACCTACAAAATCCTCCAGCAATCACTGTCAATATGTTGAGGCAGAGCCAGTGACATCCTGGAGCAGTGCAGAGGATTTCAGGTATAATATAGGCCTAAATGTGTGCACGGCTGAGCATAAACAACAGACGGTCCGGCCCAAGACCTTGACACAGTGCTTCCTCCAAAATCAGCAACGCACTTTAGGGTTTAACCCTTACTCTCTGAGGGTAGTTTACTGCATGTCAGTTGGTTATGCCAATGCCCTCCAGCTGCAGTTATTTGGCAGATAACAAGTCTTAACAGTGAAGGCTCCAATTGGCAGGAGTTGGAGGCCCTGGAGGGTGCCTGATACTGACCAGCTGGGGGCACTCACTTTGTTATCAGAGGACTCTCATTGTTCTCTGTGGCATGTATTGGAGTGCCTGTCCAGTTACCCTTGAAATGACATGGCAGATATTGGAGGGCCATGCAAAAAAACATAGGAGATTTTCTTGAGGCACAATTGGCATGCATTGGAGGGTCAAGTAGGGTAAGGGTTAAAGTTTGATAGATTTCCCAGGGCATAGGTTCTTTCCGTCTACATTTTCAAATCCTCGGATTTTGACAACAGGAATCAACACAAATCAATCTCTTTTCTGTAACACTCAAATGGTCAACACTAGCTTGTTGGCAAAACGAGTCATTTTGCGATTCCAAACATTTAATTATAACTAAATGGACATGCCATAGCATGTCATACAACACTCTTCTACTTAACTGAACCATCTCTGGTAAAATGTTGTCACTTGTCTTTTACTAGGAACTGGACCAAGTCCATCAAAATCCATCAATCACTTTGCATCCAATACAAAACTGTACATGACATAATGGAATCCACCACTGACGCACTGGTTGACATTCATGGACTTGCTAAGCATGGCTTTTATCACAGTAGCAGTACAGGAAGCTAGGCAAAATCCATCGGATACCCCTAGCACTGCTTCAGGCCGTTAGGCCCAAGTCCATCATACTCCATCAATATTTAGTCACGCCAGGCCTTCTGGACCAAGTCCCCCCAAATCCACCAAAATGGAGGGATGGATTTTGATGGAGTTGGGGTGGTTAGGGTAAATTGGATCTTAGAAATTTGGCAGTGGATTTGAAGTTCACCTTTAATTGCATGAAAAAAAGGGCACAATTGGCTCATGTTGTGATCTCTTTGCAGAACCAAGATCCCACCGCGCACATCGGTACCAACAAGCTCTTTGTCGCAGGGTTCAAGACCTCCAACCTGGAAGCAGATGACATAAGTGCCTATTTCGGTAACATGTGCACGGTTGAAAACGTCCACATCGTGAAGGACAAAGAGACGATGAGATCCAAGGGCTTTGGCTTCGTTCAACTGAGCAATCGGCACATGGCTGACAAAGCCACTAGTAAGTAGATGAATTGTTTTTAGTGGTCATCCATTTTCTGAGGTGGCATCCGGCGCGCAAGCCGCACTCCGGTAGTACGCATGCGCTCCAGACTCCTTCGACCAATAGCATTACCAAATTGCACATGTGCCTCGTCTTTAAGAAGGTGTGCAGATGTGGCTCCACCTCAAAAATGGCTTCTTAATTTGCTGAATTAGTCTAGATGCATAGCTGTTCTTCCTTAACCCTAACCCCCTAGGCCCTTGTTGCTTACAACCATCCTCAATCCTCCAAAATCCTCCAAAATTTTCCAAAATTTTGCAACTCCGCCTAAATTTTACAAAATTGTCAGACAGTCCTGCCTCAAAATGCATTCATCCTCAATCCTCCAAAATCCTCCTCATCCCAAAACTTTGCACTCGTGTTTAAATGAAGGATAACCAACGCCAAATCCTTCAAAATCATCAGACAGTCCTGCCTCAAAATGCATTAATCCTCAATCCTCCAAAATCCTCTTGTGCTTCAATCGCCATTCATCCTCAATCCTCCAAAATCCTCATGTGCTTCAATCACCATTCATCCTCAATCCTCCAGAATCCTCATTTGATTCAATCACCATTCATCCTCAATCCTATAGAATCCTCCAAAACCACCAGGAGGATTTTGGAGGAGTGAGGTGGGTTAGGGTTATTAATGTCGTTTAACTTTTTCAAGTTGCCTTGTGACTGTACCCAACAAGTGCATATAATCAGTGTTCGACCGTTTCATGTAGCTATCTACTGGTGGGCAAGTCGCAGAATTTGCGCCCGCTACGTATCATGCGCAACAAAAGTTTAACCCGCTATGATATTCATAGATTTCAAAGTTTGTTAGTTACTCTACTGCAGGGCGTTTGCAAGGAGAAAACCCACACAGATTTGTTATGTTATTAGTCTTTGTCATGATTGTGTAATTAAAGAAAACATAGCATTACATGTTGGACACAAAGGGGATTTTTTTCTTGGACTTAGCCTGGTGCAAAGTCACTTTAACTGCTTCATTACTTTTTGATGGAACGGATGTCTTGTTCCTTTTTCACCAGTCATGAAGGACCATAACATCAACGGCGTCAACATTGTTGTAAAGAAGGCCGAGCCCAAGGGTGACGAGGCTGGGGGCGGAAGGGGTCGTGGACGAGGTCGTGGACGAGGCGGTGACCGTGGTAAGTTCTCAATCTCAACTCAGGCTCTACTTCAGCTCAGGACAGGCCTGGTTATGGCCAACAAAAGGGGCAAGTTGGATGGGACATGATGCTGAACAGAAGGCTACATTTGCTGTACACAGTGTCATTGACCTATCGCCGTTTACGAGTTAGGCACGCCCCAGGGACAACCCTATGTCCTTTTGCACGCTAAGATTTATTTGTCTCGGATGTTGTGCGTTCCGCGTCCTTGTATATATCATGTAACAAGGCAATATTTCACAAGGCGCAATTTTACTGCGATGGGTTAATTTGGGGATTAGCCATAAACCCCAAGGCCCGTTTTGCTAGGAACCTTTCTCAATCCTCTCTAATCCTGTAATATTTGCAGTTTTTTTAAACGAAGGTTACCCATCACCTCAATCCTTCAAAATCGTCAGACAGTCCTGCCTCTCAAAATGCATTCATCCTTAATCCTCCAAAATGCCCCTCTTTCTTGAGCATCATTCATCCTCAATCCTCCAAAATACTCATTTTTCTCAAAACACCATTCTTTTTTTATCAGTCTTATACTCGAACCGTAATTCAGGCTTCTTAATTTTTATGGAAATATTGAATATGTTTCTCATCGTAAAATTTTCAAGAGCCAATGTCTGGAGGTTGGGCATGAAGTGTATCGTACATAATGTGTGTACATGCACATGTGTAACTACAGCGCGGCCCAGATTTCAGACACATATTTTTTTCTGTCTATTTTCCGATTATTTTTCCCCATATGCCAGTTTCATCGGAAAGATTTCCATATACATGTACGAAGTTCACTCAACACTCTGTGTACAAACCCTATGAGAGTGGACTGAAAAATTCTAAGTGTTTTCTAAGAAAATGCTTGTATTTTCTCACTGCTCAAATTGACTTTGATGACATGAAATTGCTATCTGGGGGCTTGTTAGTCAATACAGAGGAAAATTAGTAAACTTCGCATATGGTAATCTTGCCGTTTCGTCTCTTGTGTCTTGTAGGAGGTAGAGGCCGCGGTGGTGGTGGCTACGGGGGTGGTGGCTACGGTGGTGCTAGCTACGGCGGCTATGGCGGTGGTAGCTATGGCGGCAGTGGTGGCTATGGTGGCAGCAGTGGTGGCTATGAAGGATACGGAGGCAGCGGTGGGGGTAGTTACGGCAGCGGTGGCTATGATAGTAAGTATTACTACACCTCATAAATATTCATGATCCTCCCGGTGAGTATCCAGCTCGCTGCCGTGCGGTATTTTGTTCTTGGTTCTTGGTTCTTGGTTGGTTCTTCTCCTTAATACTTCACGTGGGAGTTTATACAGGAGGCCAGAAACACCGGGGCAAACCCCTTCTCTTAGCGATAAGTGTTTACTGGGTTCTTTTACGTGCATTATACAACACACAGGACCTACGGCTTTGCGTCCCATCCGAAGGACGAAGCAATAATGGTTAAGTGCCTTGCTTAAGGGCACAAGTGTCCACCCGGCGGGCTCGAACCCACGTCACTGTTGCCTCTGAAACACCAGAACATGAGTCCGGTGCTCTTAACCGCTAGGCCATGACACTCAATTGTCTGGTAGCTCCAAAAATTCCCTCTGGAACCCGCCTCCTAGACATGTAGTCTGCGGCATGTAATCTTTACGGAACCAGTCTGTTGTTGTAGTCCTTGTAACTACTGCAGTAAAGACACATTTAAGAGTGTTGGCACCAGACTATTTCAACCCTGTGGCCATGACACACGGAACTACGAGCAACGTTTCAAACGGGCATTTGGCACGGTGCCTAGTGGGGGTTAGGGTTAAAGGGAATGTACAACATTTGCTTTTGCTGCAATTTTCAGAAATAAATGGATTTGGAGGATTAGTATGTTTAAGCAAATATTATTACACTGATTTGTTTCACGTTTTGGGTTCGTAGATGCTGGAAAATCAAGTAAACCAATCATATTCTTGTAGTCTGGTTCCCTGACCCCACTTAAGATGAAACGGAGCAATTTATAGACTTTGGGGAATTGTAAGATGAGAGAATCAGTCTAGCAGGCTTGTAGTCTTCACAGGTGTGTAATCAATTGCAAAGAAAATGCAGACAAACTAAATATGAAAAATTAGGAGCACTTTTTGAAAAAAGGCCATTTTTTTCCAACGCTGGTCGGTCGACCAGCGTTAGAAAAATACAGATTTTCTTGAAAATGTTAGCACACCAGGAGCCACAACTTTACAGGATGCTTTAGACTGCCATTCCCTAACAATCCAGTAAGACATTTTGTGATAATTTGATCAGTTCGTTTTTTGATGTTTGCAAATGTTGTATCTTCCCTTTAAGACTATACTAACGCCCACCTTGTGTTTGATCTCTAGGCTATGGCAGTGGTGGATACGACAGTGGCTCTACCTACTCCAGCTCCAGCTATGGGCCAATGAAGGGAGGTAGGTACAAATTTACTATGAAATTGAAAATGCATTAAAACCCAAATTATTTTTTTTTGGGGGGGGGGGAGTTCAGTCATACAAGGCAGTTTTCACAGGCGACTGTCGGGAACAACTAAGTTTAGTTTCCTCAAATATTAGGAAGCTGCACAGAAATAAGTGTTTTAAAAGTGTTTTATCGATATTTGATGGTGATTGCCTGACAACAGTTGTCTCTGTTTTTATTCCCCTGGCTGTAAGCCAGAGGGGGATATTGCTATCCGGTTCGTTAGTAAAAACGTCATACACGCGCGCACACCACTGATTACTAGCGCCCATTGGCTGCAAACGCTCGAGCTGCGTTAACTTCTGGTTCCAATCGTGCAGAAAGTGCTGGAGGTGACGTCACACTAACGAACCGGATAGCGTATTCCTTCTGTGTGTATGTATGTGTGAGTTTGTCTTACAGTCACTATGTGGACATGTGAACAAAAGATGTCCACATATTGCAGGTTGTGTTGACGTTATGGCCTAAGCTGTGTCCACATAACGTTTCGCTCTCTCTGGAAAACAGGTTTAGAGGCATTTTCGGGTTAGCGTTATCTGTCGCAGAATGAAGAGAAACATTCAAGGAAATAAAAAAACAAATTTGGGGTTAACAGAGTTTTCACAGTTTAAGTAAAGTTATTTTTTGTACCGAGTTTTCTTCACTACACGAAAACAAAGGAATGCCCACAGAGAGTGTGTAAAACGAACAGTGGTGTCTGTGCGTGCGTGTGTGTATTATGATTTGGTTAACTCTTGTCAGCACGATAACTTCGGAAATACTTTACTTAGGAACTTCAAATTGGGTTTGTGGATTCTTCTTGATAGTCTTTCTTGATAGTCTTAAGAAGACTATTGATTTTAGGCCGGACAGGTCAAAGCTCAAGGTCACTGTTGCCAAAACAATAGAAATCTTGTCAAAGTGATGTTGTTCTTGGTTCATGTAAGAGACATCAGAAAATCTGCCAGCACGCAAGGGGCATTGCGCAAGTCTCACTTGCAGTATTTTGTCTACTTTGTACGATGTGGCCCCCAATGTGTACAGTTTCACCCATTAACCCTAACCCCCTAGGCCCTTGTTGCTTACAACCATCCTCAATCCTCCAAAATCCTCCAAAATTTTGCAACTCCGCCTAAATTTTTCAAAATTGTCAGACAGTCCTGCCTCAAAATGCATTCATCCTCAATCCTCCAAAATCCTCTTGTGCTTCAATCACCATTCATCCTCAATCCTCCAGAATCCTCATTTGATTCAATCACCATTCATCCTCAATCCTCTAGAATCCTCCAAAACTGCCAGGAGAATTTTGGAGGAGTGAGGTGGGTTAGGGTTAAGTAAGAATGAGCGTTAAGTTCTAGACATGTTGTCTTGTCGATTGCAAAAGCCCAACTCTGAATAAAAAGTTGTTTTTTTTAACTGTTTGTGGACAGGTTATGGAGAGGGCAACGGCGGGGGCTATGACAACAGTTACGGAAGTGGCTATGGTGGGGGCCGTGGTGGTCGTGGTGGCGGAAGAGGATACCGCCCCTATTAGGTCATGTGACTGACCACCTGATCTCATACCACGGGGTAAGTAGAGTCATAGGAGTTCATGAATGGGACAAATCTCTCAGAACCTGCTGAGGTACTTAGAAATCAAACACAAAACAAAAACAAGTAATTTAATCGCTTGTTTCTTTCAATACATTTGAGCCAGCACAGCACATTGATTGTGAAGTGTTAATAGTGGATTCAAAAAAAAAATTTCTGCATTCTGTGACAAACTTTTATTGTGTGGGTTGTCAACTTTTGAGGAAAAGTAATATTTTTTTTGTGGTTGAAATAGAGACAACGAAACAATTTGAAGCGGCAGTCTCTTACAAAACCTTGTCTCAATTTCAAATCACTGTTGGTTAATGTGTGGCTAACAGCCAATCCCCCTTTCAAAAAAAAACAATTTAAAAAGGGAATTTGCCCTGATGTTCATAAAACTGACCAATTGTCGTTCTCAGTTTTGAGTAGGTAAACGTATTTACTTGGCAGCTCTCTGATATTTGTCCCAGTACGTTTGTTTAAGCCCGTCATTATTTAGGGAAGATATACAATGTACTTTCTTGCGAGCCGAACGTAAGTCCTAAGACATTTGATTAGGCATCAGTGCTAAGCTACTGCAGTCATGAGGCTTATTAGCATGTGCAAAAACTGCCAGCTCTCTCCCACATCCGGCATTAGCTGGGGTGCAACATGCAATGGACCGGCATCCCATCCAGGGGGAATAGCAATATTCTCAGATGTTTCATGCTACTAAAACCGGAGATAAACGCCGGCCTGATGGGCCACATTGGCTCGTGACAGACTTTACCTTTTTGGCTTTTTAACAGTCTATTCAGGCTTGTGGTAAATTTGAGCTTGTTGGGTCATTCTTTTGGATTAGTCTAAGTTGAATTGTTTCTTTTTAAGGTTTTTTTCCTTCTTTCTTTAAATTTTCTTTTAAATTCATTCCACATATTCTCATCATTTCTGTATTTTCTCCCTTTTTCCCTAGAGATCATTATATGGGACGGTAATGTTAGCGTTACCCTATCAATAATGCAGTGGGACTTCCTACCTAGTCATCATTAAAGCAAACCCCTCTTTCTCTCAAGAAACCGAAACCCCTCAATGAATCGACGGATGCTAATGTCTCAAGTTTGGCCCCCTTGGATTAGGCCAGAGATACTTTACAGAACACTCTGAACGACTGCTTTGATAAAGCTTGATAAGAAGACGCTTCAAACTTGCCGACCACTTTTTAAGGCCCAATAATGTGTGGTTTAGGATCTTAAAGAAATTGTCTGGCACTTGCTGCAGTTCATCAGGGCAGACTGCTTTAGATCTTTTAGACAAAGACTAAGTTATGTTTCGAGTAGAAAAAGCAAGTGAATTTGCCAACGACTTGGAACATCTTGACGCAAAAAGAAAAAATATAGGTGCTTGCACACTTTGTTGATAAAGCATTCAAAAATTAAACAGCATGAATACACAAGAGCTAAGAGTTAAATAATTATGCATAAATACTTATTCCTATTGGATGAGCCCGTCACGTGAGTGGTTTAATTGGTCGATAAAACACCAGCTGCTTTTAAACAGAATTCCTTGTTGATGTTCTGTGCCGCATCGCGCAGTACACGCCCCGCACCACACTCGTCAATTTCCACAACAGCACTACGCGCGCGAGGCACAAACCATAGACAAGGCAAGCAGGGTGTTTCACCAAACATGAGTTAAAAGTGTTTTACAAAATCGTTGGAAAATTCTGAATTGTTAACTTGTTTTTGAAGGAAAGGTATTTATGAATGGGAATAAATACATGCTTGTATTTGCTGGTAATAAACAAGTTCAGTCGACTCTCATTATAAAAAGCACTTTTATAAAGAGGTTCTGCTTATAAAGAGCAAATTCTGAGGTCCCAAATCTCGGGTTCTCTTTGTGTTTCTTTGTTTCGCTGTCCTTTAATAACAACATTCCTGTTATACAGAGGTAATTTTGCTAGTCCCATCGACCTTGTTATAACGAGAGTCGACTGTATGTTTAAAACCCGCTAGGGGCCTGGTTGCTGATAGTGACCTTCGACTCGTCTCGGGACATGATCCGCGTGCACGCCCCAAGCTGGTTTTAAACACAATTCCTGCAGTCTGCGCCATATCGCAAGGGGCCTGCTCACGGATAATGATCCTCGCCCACTTGCTCCATTTTTTAGTCCAGGCTCCAAGCCGGTTTTAAACATTTGTTTAAAACCGTCCAAGCACATAGTTATTCCCTTATTCAAAACAAGATGCTTTACAGCTTTTATACCGAAAAGCCCACTTGTATACTCTCTACACGTACAACAAATTCACTGCATTTTTTTTCCCAAGGTGTAAATATGGAACAAATGGATTTCAATCGAATGTTCATACTTCAATTTTGTAGCCACTTACGATTTGAGATAACAATTGACTTTAAAGTATTTTAATAATATTATATTCTGGTGAGTAGTCTTGGCGATGGTATCATTAAATGTTTTGAAAGTCTTTATTAACGAAAAAAGAAAACGCCACCATATTTTGTTTGGAAGCAGTCATATCCACCAAATTCAACACTGACCATTGATCAAGTCCTCTCCACATTATTATTTATATCGGGCTTCCAGCGGTAAAAACAAATCAACATATTGTATGCTTTTGTAAAACGTACCCGGATGACAGCAATAACTGTCGGTAAAAGTACCCGGATTGCGGACAATATTACATTTGATGTTGTCTGGCGTGCCCTCATCCGGGCATTTTCGCTGGTTCCCACACGATCAAGAGCGTAGAAACTCACAGTTGTCAACCACTCATCAGAGCGTAGCGCGCGCAACCGTCAAACACAAATGCCCACGCAGCGCGCAGCAGGCCAGGTATACGCGCACTGTTGTCAATCACAAAGGCATGCAGCTTCTTATAGTTTGTCGAAATAGGAAAAATGAAGACAGCGTCTTGAATTGTACTTCTTGCAAATCAAGTTGGCCTGATATAAAAAATAATGAATGGCTTTTTTAGGGGGGATACAAGAATACATGTATATTGCACTCGCTATGACAATATTGCACTCGTGCAATATTGTCATAGCGAGTGCAATATTTTCTTGTATCCACCTCAAAGCCATCCGATATATAATTAATTGGCTCATGAATATTCACATTGTCTTATGAAAATGTAGAACAACTTGGTAGCAACATTCCAGTTATAAATCCTTTTGAATATGCATGTCATAATTTGAGGAAAAAAAGCTTTTCAATGTCCTACTGCCACCGTCCTCTTCTTTCTTAAATCATGTACATATTGTCAAATAACAAGCGATGTTTTGTAAGTTTTGTATTGTGACAAGTGCATTCAGTAGTTTGTTTCAACATTTTGTCGAATTTTTACTCCGTGATAGAAGAATGATTAAATACCTCGGATAATTACACAGAATTAATGCCTGTCTGTTTAATTGATGGATATTCCTAGCCTCTTGCTTCTGCATTGTGTTGTGTGACATGTCCCTTTATCAGGCATGCAACTTTTCCTCGGATCAGCTGATTTCCTCTTTTTTCACTTCCAATGTGTGCCATTAAAAATAGAAAAACACTGTACAAAGTCTTGGAAAGATTTGAATTTCCTCTTTTTTGTGACTTCCCAGTTGTATGCCTGCTTTATATTTAACTTCGCCATCTTCAAGTTGTAAATTTGAAGTAGAACTGCTTTGATAAGCAGCTATCTTCTGGATAGACCTTGATCATGCTGCCACCATTTCAGTCATGTTCCTTGTATCTAATAACAGTACTGAATGATAACGTTTTTTGTGCAAAAAGGAACCAGACTATATTTCCTTCCAGTCTCACTTTGGTTACGATGATTTGAATGGGAAAAAAAATCAAGATGGCTGCAACATGATATCGGTCTGTTGAATACAATTAACAAAAATAAAGTAGCCTACATGTACAAATGAAGTTTCAAATCTACCTGTGGTCCTAAATAGATGATTATGTTTTTGCACGCAACTAAATATGAAAATGGCCATAATTGATATGCATAGGCCAAAAGGCCTAACTTTTATAAAGTGCATGGTACATTGTTCGAGTGGGATAATAAAGTTTTTATCCATCTACATACAGTGTACACTCATTCTTCATAGGATTATGCTCATTTTGGCCAAGATACCCGGACTGCATGTACGTGTACATGTAGGGGCCAAGCCTATATACATGTAGACTCATTTTCGGCAGCATTCTTGTCTGGACTGCGTGTCAATTCATAGTTTTCACCTGATTTTTACAGGTTAGGGCGGTGGCTACGGAAGTGGCTATGGTTAATGATGGCCGCCGGCTTTGACTAGCTGCCGAGGCTGCCCGCGTATTTTTTTTTCCTAGGAGGGTTAGGGGCAATGTCATGAATAATTCAGTTTTTCCTTTGAATCATTGCAAGACTTGGGTTCTCGTTCTATTTTCCCCTTAATTTAAAATTATCTCAGTGATAAATTTGGAGAAGAAAAATCGCTGATGAGCAGCGACGACGTGGATTCGAACCAGGGATCTTTGTATCCATAGCTCATCTCGCTATCCACTAGGCTACTGTGTGGTAGCTCGACGACAACCGTTCTTTAAAATGCTTTAGTGTATTGTAACTAGTTGAGTAACTAACACCAATACTGTTGATATCATTGTCCGTTCTCATGGATAAACATGAATTATTTATGACATTGCCCCTAACCCTCCTAGGAATAAAAATTACGCAGGCTGCCCTATTAGATCATGTGACCAACCACCTGATCTCGGCCCCCAAGAGGTAAATGGATGGGACAAAACAGCTCCTGCAGAGTGACTTAAAAAAAAAATACATTTGTACATGTAAATAAATGAAGAGTAATTCTGATTTACAGTCGAACACCTTTATAACAAGGTCCTCGGGACTTTACAAATTACATTTGTACCTTGTTATAACAGGTAACTTGTACAAATGTATTATCAGTAATGAAAAACCAAAGAAAAACAAAGGCTAGGGGGCCAGATTTTGTCTAGGCCCCTCCCCCCCCCAAAAAAAAATGGCAGTAGCAAATGTTAGAAGATGACATCACAAGCAAAATAGTTGTGAGACTGAGAAGGGGCATTTGTTCACTACATGTACATGTATTAGGTAATAGTGTGCATTATTGTAGGATTTCAGGATCCACCCCTGCTAGCCCCCACTCCCCCCCCTCTTCCCCCCCCCCCGCCTCCACCCCCCCCCCCCCCAAATGATAGGCTCTAGAACCGCGCCTGGCCCCGCAATTATGTGACGTCAGTTTATATTACCATTGATGCCAAGGCCATGTAACGTTATTTGAGGATTAATGAATTTTAAAATTGTTTAAATATTATACCTTGCTTCTCCTAACTGGTGTCAATTAAAGATGTCCAATCTACCCTGAAATACAATGTACGCCTGAAATGTTGTTTTGCTTCAAATTACTCGAAATGTTCTTATATATATATAGTTGACGGATTTTTTTGTTAAGAACTTGACCCTGCAAAACTGGACGGTAGTCTACCCTTTTTTATAACATAGGCTGGGGTCGAGGGGCAAGTGGTGTCTAGTCCCCCCCCCCTTCATGACTGCAACTGTATTTTATTTAGGAAATCTACTTTTTACCTTAAACTTGAATCTCCAAGTATTTAGGCCTATACAAAAACCTTTCGTCGGCCTCCGTTGCGCCGCAAAGTATCCCTTCGCCTGAAAACAACTACCATTTAGGCCTATATATAGGCCGCTTGGATTTTTGTATTCAAAATAAATTCAATTGTTCAACACAAATATCTTGGAACCGTAGGCCTACTCAAAGTTTAAATTCCATTTCATGTGTATGTAGTACTAGTTTTTTTTACTCTAAAATGCATAATTTACGCCCACAATGTATGGTACTATAACCGACACTCGGCCCATATGAGAAGAACGCGAATTGATTTTTTAATTCATTAGACTTTTGCGCTACATGACACAATGACTTGACTTCATTTATTATGCACGGCCATAGCGTACGTATGCACGCGCAGCTGGACGGATTACTTCCTCCAAAAAGTAGTCACCCGCATACAATAGTGCCTAAAATCTTTATGTTTATTGATGTGATTAATTACCTATTTTTACATGCCCCATGTGTTATTCTTGAAGCCATTTGACTTTATAATTTTGACAGTCGAAAAAAGGTTAAATACGAATTTTCCCTTTTTAGTTCATGAAAAAAATACGTCACCGACTTGTATTCATGCGCGCACATGCTTTGCACACAAAGCAGGCATTTATTAACTGGTTCCCGTCATATCAGAAAGCCACACGGCAGTGGTTTCCCACATTGCAGCCGAAAGGAGCCAGTGTACCAGTGCAGCAAGTAATAGCATCCTTTTCGGTTCACGCAACAGCACGTCGACGAAAACTTCACAATGGGCGATGTAAGATAACCGAGATTTTTCACCAATATTTGCATTTTTCTTACAATTAACACAACGTTGGATAATGTTTATTATGTCGAGTTTCCAATTCTGTGGTGGTTAGCTTTAAATGTGGGATAATTTAGTAGGAATTTTGAGTTTTATTTTGTTCACTTTTTGCGTTTGTCGATTTTGTGCAATCACGCGTCTAGTCGCCTTGACTTGACAGTGTGGCGTGCTCGCGCCCATCATGAGTAATTGAGTTCTTTGTTCTTTTTATGTCTAGAATTTAATTGACCTTTTTGGGTTGAAATTCTGTATTTCAGTTCATATAAATATTATGTAAATTTGTCTCAAACACTAGATTTCCTCTATTGAATAAGCTTTGCAGTTTGCTGGCCGCATGGAATTTTTTGGAAACAAATATTTTGGAAAGAATGTTGCAACTTGCATTTACAACCTCAACCCGTACCCTAGGCTCAACATATTTAAACATTGATTGGCATCTGTATTGTAAACGATCTTGTAAACCAGTGCAGCTGGTTCCCCACCGTTCTGCTACTGCTAGCATTCTGCGGTAAGATTCCCATATCTGGCCATCACTCATTTTTCCCTTCAGTCATGTCAGTGACCTATCAAGTATCAGCCATCAGAAAGTGATTATATGCCCTAAAACTGTAAAAGTAAAAAGTAAAATGTAGCTGGGAAAATATTGAAGTTTTTACTAAGAAATCACTTTAAAAAATTTCAGACCAGTCCCATTGGGTTTGTTCACAGGGTGACAAGTGATGCCCAGATTTTTCCAGTTCGCCTATATGTAGATGGATAAGGCAAAAAAAAAAGTTCTGCTTCCGGTTTCCCTACCTACCCTATTCTGACAGCCCCTACCCTAATTTTTTTATTGGAAAAATGAGAAAAAAACACCCAAAACCATCAATTTCTACCTTTTACCCTTGACTACACGCCGACGTCTCAATATGATCGTACACACAAAAAATTGGCCCAAAAAACAATTCCCTACCTACCTACTCTATATTCGAATGCCATGTAATCGGAAGCAGATTTTTGGGCCTATTTTGTGGTGGTAGGAACCATACCACTGTGCTCCAATCCGCACGCGCGCACGAACACGGCATACGTATACGATCAAGTATAATGTATTTTATGGGGCCTAAGTTTAGAGCCACTGAGTGACGTCTCAACAATGCCAGCGAAAAATCAGATGGTGCCCCCCCCCCCCCCCCCCTTTCCCACCCCATTTTTTAATATGCGATAGTCCAGCTACCTTCCCTTCCAGCTTGGAGAGTATGGCAGCAAATTTGTTGTCTGCCCCTCCCCCCCCCCCCCCCATGCAAATACATCTTGCCGACTCCGCTGCACCCCCTCCCCCTTTTGAGTGATACCAAAGAATGTGTATACAGTCGAATCTCGTTAGTACAAACTCTGTTCAAACAAAATTCTGGTTACAACAAACATAAAGCCTTAGTCCCGACTGTGCATTAACCCTAACCCACCTCACTCCTCCAAAATCCTCCTGGCGGTTTTGGAGGATTCTAGAGGATTGAGGATGAATGGTGATTGAATCAAATGAGGATTCTGGAGGATTGAGGATGAATGGTGATTGAAGCACATGAGGATTTTGGAGGATTGAGGATGAATGGTGATTGAAGCACAAGAGGATTTTGGAGGATTGAGGATGAATGCATTTTGAGGCAGGACTGTCTGATGATTTTGAAGGATTTGGCGTTGGTTATCCTTCATTTAAACATGAGTGCAAAGTTTTGGGATGAGGAGGATTTTGGAGGATTGAGGATGAATGCATTTTGAGGCAGGACTGTCTGACAATTTTGAAAAATTTAGGCGGAGTTGCAAAATTTTGGAAAATTTTGGAAGATTTTGGAGGATTGAGGATGGTTGTAAGCAACAAGGGCCTAAGGGGTTAGGGTTAATGTGAATAATGAATGGGACTGATGTTCCTCTTAATACAAAATTCTGGTATAACAGACAATTTGGCTAGGTTCGAACGAGTTTGTTATAACGAGACTCTACTGTAGTTGTTTTAGACAATGTTGTTCCCAATGTTGTTCCAAATAGTTGCAGCATTGTTGATGGGTTGACTGGTGGTGTCCAACATCATGAATGTCAATTGAGGAATCTGGAGACGCACTAAATGCACCCCAACATACGTTATATTTTGTGTTTCTTCTTTTTTTCTTTTTTTTAGAATAATGATGAAGCACTGCGCAAGCTCTTCCTGGGCGGTCTTGACAGGGATAAGACTTCCGAAACCCAGCTGAAGGAGTACTTTGGGGTGTACGGCACAGTCGTCGACTGTGTCGTCATCAGAGACACCGATAAGCAGACTTCCAAGGGCTTTGGCTTTGTGACGATGGCCACGATAGAAGAGACAGACAAAGTCTTGTTGGACAAGGATGACAGCGAGCCTCATTACATCAACAATAAGAAAGTGGAGGTCAAACGCGCCATACCAAGAGGGGTAAGACCATCTTAGCCTCCCAGAATTCCCACGACCCGAATCTGAAACCCCCCACCCCTTTGTCTCCACTGTATCCCCATTGCCTCTGCTGTATTCCCTTCACCTGCGAGTTTTCCCTAGAGAATAATCATTTAGCTGTTCCAAATGTGACTACATAGAATGCATTGATGAAGAAGCATAAAGAGAACTTTTTTGGGACGTTGCAAATCAAAATGCATTCAGCCTCTTAACTTTGAGGTTCTATTTAAGTCCAGAAAATGACATAATTGGTTCATTTTGTGCATCTTTTCGCTCTCCGCAGCGCGACATCTTGCCCGACCCGATCAAGAAGCTTTTCGTCGCCGGCTTCAAGGATGCCCCCCTCACAGAAGACGACCTGAAGGCCTACTTCGGCGACAAGTGCTGTGTCGATAAAGTCCACATCGTGAAGGACAAAGAGACGGGCAAACAGAAGGGCTACTGCTTTGTGGAATTGAGCAACCGTCACATGGTCGACAAAGCCGCAAGTGAGTACCTAAAGTTGTTATCCACAGACCATATTTCAAATTAAATCCGAAGCTCGTGCAGCAGGGTGGCTGTTTTCTACCAGAAACTTTGACCAGTTTTGTAGCTGAGTCGATCATGAGTCTAATCAACAGAAAATCACAAGTCCAGTCAGAAGTGTCTTGTGGTTAGAGAGCTTGTGATGGACTTCTGAGGACTTGTGATGGACTTGCTACAGAACTGACTGGTCGGTTCTGTAGCAAGTTCTGTAGGCGGCTGGTCAAATGTCTTGAATATTGATGAAATGCTGTGCAGTGTCCATCACAAGCCTCAAGTCAAGTCTCAAGCCATTCAAAATGAAGTACATGTACGACAAAAGCATGCCTCTGTTATTGTTTAAGCCTCCTATGTATACATCAGAGATGAAACTTTTCAGATTTTAATCTGAAATCAGATTTTTAAAACTTTTCCAATGAAATTTCAGATATTTTAACCATCCCACAAAAATGATTTCTTAAAGATTTTTCCACAAAATGTTTTTTTTTTAATTATTATTTCCAAGAAAAAGCAATGAAAATGGCACGTGAAATGTGCACAAGGGTAAAACACCTAGACCAACACTGATCAGATGCTTTCCGGCTGGAGAAAAGGTTAAATACTGACCTATGACATTGATGTGCTGTGCTGCGCTGCGCTGTGCCGCACTGCGCTGCGCGACGCTGTGGCTCCTAACCAAGGTCCAATTTCAGATTTTTTTTGCCAAGGCCAGTTTCATCTCTGATACATTCTGTGCCTAGTGGTCTTTTCAGTCCAAATCAAACAAGTGACTGTTTTAAACAGTTAAGAATTCCCAGCCTACCTAAAGCAGGATTGACTGGCTGTGACTGTTCATGTAACTTGATGCAGCTTTGCTTTCACTGTGGGTGATTGATAAGCCAGCTGTGCCTACAACTTGCCTGCTTTGTCTGTTCATGGTCTGTTGACTGAGTTTGACTGATCTCAGTGCTAGCTTGCCATATGGTCTGACTGCTGGTGACTAGCCTGTGTTAAAAGTATAGCAGGGGAAGTGTGGACATTTTGACTGTGACCGTTTAAACTGGAGGGTTATTTCCCATTACTTGTGACTGGGCTGGTGATTGACTTGTGATCGACTTGCAATGGACTTGCCTGAAACACTGTAAACATGTAATGTGTCAGTATATTAAATCTTTCAGTGCCAAACTCGTACATGTACGAGGTATACTTGTTAGTCCAATAGCGCCAACCTCGTACATGTACGAGGTAATGTTCGTAAATGTTCGTACTTAAAATTGCCAAACCTCGTACATGTACGAGGTAGAGTAAATATGTTATCAAAAGGGGGCGCTCTTGCTCTTTCTAATGGTACCATTTTCATGCATGTACGACCTGTATTTATTTTTTCATTCGAGTTCTTGCGAGAGGGCGCAGTACTAAATCTCGTATTTTCTGCAAAAAGTGCGGAATCTCCCTGTGTTCAGGCCAGTGTTTCAGGGTGTATCACTATGTTTGTGACTACTTTTGACTTACCAATATATCAAGGATATACCAGAGAGTAACAACAACAAATTTAGTGAGTAAAACCTATGTACTTTTTTTTTTACAGAATTTTGAACAATTAACAAAAACGCTCGAAGTTGGGCGCTTTAGGGTTAAACTTTTCAAATTTCGCGGGCACTGAAAGAGTTAAATCTTAGTTTTTTTTTCTTTTCCTTTCCCCCCAGTCGTTGAGAACCATGAAATCAATGGCATCAGTGTCATCTGTAAGAAGGCTACACCCAAGGGTGATGACGGCAGTGGCGGACGGGGTGGCGGAAGGGGTGGTGGCAGAGGCCGTGGTAAGTTCTCTATAAATCTCAAAATATTTCAACAAGGCCTATGTTTCGCTGTGTGGATTATCATACAGGGGTGAGCCACCTCTGCTCTAGTAATGCCAGGGTAATGGCACAGTTGGAATGATATACGTGTACTTTTGAACCTAGGTCTGTTGGGTAACCACTGACCAGAATCCAAAGTTTTTCCCTGTTCCTTGGCCTCATGCCTATTGTTTTCCTGATGTAAAATTCAGCAATACAGTCGACTCTCGTTAGAACAAACTCTGTTAATACAAAATTCTGGTTATAACAAACATATAGCCTTGGTCCCGACTGAGCATTTATGTGCACAATGAATGGGACTGATGTTCCTCTTAAATACAAAATTCTGATATAACAAACAATTTGGCTAGGTCTGAACGAGTTTGTATTAACCCTAACTCCCTAGGCCTTTTTGCTAGGATGTAGCCTCAATCCTGCAAAATCCTCCAATTGGCATCATGGAAAAATAGCATATAGCCTCAATCCTGCAAATTCCTCCGCTATTTCTTGAATATGGTCCATGGAGGGGTTACCACTGCCTGAATCCTGCAAAATCCTCCGGCTATGACTGTCAATAGGCAGAGGCAGTGACATCCTGGAGCAGTGCGGAGGATGTCAAGTATAATCAAGGACTAAATTTATGCACGGCTGAGCATAAACAACACAAGGTCCGGCCCAAGACTTTGACACAGTGCGTACTCCGAAATCAGCAACGCACTTTGGCCATGTAACCTCAATCCTGCAAATTCCTCCAATTTGCAAAAAGGATTTTGGAGGATTCATGGCAGTTAGAGTTAACGAGACTCGACTGTATGTCAATTTACAGAAGATGGAATATGCTTTTTTAGCAAGCATGGTGTGTGTACCAAGTGTTGTGAAAATTTCATGAGTCTTTCCATGGGATCAAATGTCAACAAGTGAACAATATTTTTCTCTCTATAGTTGGTGGCTACGGCGGTGGTGGTAGTGGCTACGGCGGTGGTGGCTACGGCGGGGGCGGCGGTGGTGGCTACGGCGGTGGCTACGGCGGCGGCGGTGGTGACTACGGTGGTGACGGGTCCGACGGCTATGGTGGCTACGGTGGTGATAGGTCATACGGTGGCCGTGGCGGAGGTCGTGGACGTGGTGGTAGCCGCGGAGGCGGCGGTGGCGGCTACGGCGGCGGCAGTGGTGGGGGTAGCTGGGGCGGCAACGGTTACGATAGTAAGTACTCGGGGCAGAGGTGAACATTTTGATTTGACTCTTCAACAAATGACATACATTTAATGAAAAATACTTTTTTGGGGGTTGCTTTTGCGCACGTACGATCAACCTCACGTGTAAACTGGCTCCCAGTCTCCACGTTATCAATTTTAATTGGGGTTGGGCGCCTGCAAACCCCCTACCCCTTTACTCACTTCAGAGATCTGAACCGAAGATGGGGTACATTGGGTGATATTGGAGGCCGGTACAGTAAACGTAGGGAATTTGCTTTGGCAAACTGAAGGGTATGATAGAGCAAGCGTCAAGACCATACTCGCACTATTCTTCAGTATTGGGCTTTGACCTTCACCGATGTATCTTTATTTCTTATACACACTGTATGCTCATTGTTTTCCCGTGTGATAATGTGAGAAAAAAATTCTCAGACTACTGGGGTGGGAGTCGAACCCATGACCTGCTGCTTACTAGTGCAGACGTCTTGACCACTCGACCTCTGAGCTTGCTGGGTTCGGTTGGATCGAATCTGATATAGCAGCGGGTACTGTAGCCAAACTATTCATAACAATGGAATTTTGCATCGATGTGATGTAAACTTTTTTTTTAATGTTGGTGAAGGGCAAAACCTAATATTCGTTTCATTAATATTATTATTATTTATTCGGCCCAAAAACAAAACAAAAAAAACAAGGACAAAAGCCAGAGGCATATGCCTAGAATTCAAAAAGTGTACCTAAAAAACTGTGAACCGAATGCCTTCAATTCCAATACCTCTGGCTACACAAAAAGATATAAGCATACAAAATTCACAGATGTTCAAATGTTAAAAAGTTAGGATGATTATCAAAATTACACAAATACGATTCAAAGGAAAAATTATAAAAGAAATTATAAAGTAAAAAGCAAATTCGGTAAAATTTTTTAGAAATAGCCACCACGTTGTTTTACATCATCCTGAAGCAAAACTTCATCTCATAAACACTTTTCGTTTTTTAATTTCTAGACTGGGGCAGTGGTAGCAGTGGATATGATGCTGGCTCCAACTACGCAGGCTCGAGCTCCAACTATGGGCCTATGAAGGGAGGTGGGTGCCAGACTATCACATTTCTTTTGTTTGTCAAAGCAAATTTGGGGCAGAGTCTCTCAAGGAATTGTTCGCAGGCAATCCGAAGGCAAATTAACTCTCCTGTAGTTAGACCATTCAAAACACCTCAAAATCTGGGTTCTGGCAAATTGGTGGACAAAAAATGCAGGACCTTTTAAAACCCTCCAGAATTTATTGTTACTGCACTACCACACCTTTCAATTCCTTTCGAAAGGTATTGAAAGGCAACTTACTGAATTTGCCCACAGAGTTGCTTCACCTTCCGAAACCTTTCGAAAATGTTCAAAGTTCCAGCACTATTTCACCTTTCAAAACCCTTTTAGTCAGGCAAATTTAAAATGTTTTGAAAGGTCTGATAATTCTCTGCCAACTGCACTGGGCATAGCAGGGTCAATGCATTGCAAGCTTAAGGAACCAGTTGGAACAACAAGCAATTTTTCCCACAGTATAATGGATTTATTCAGAAAATTGCACACAAAGTTCTCTGTTTTATTGATGGAAATTGAACCACTTGCCTGACATTTATTAGTATGACATGGCCCTACCATTACCCGTGTGTTTTTTAAACTCGCAATTCCTAATAGATCTCTCTCAAAGACGGCCATCCCTGTAGGAGAACTGCAACTGCGTATTTAACGCAATCATGCACGCATTCCGCAGTGTGGAAAATGTTCCCAACTTGCGCGCTGGTAGCTCGAAATGTGTTCGAAATACGACGCAGCCGATGCGCGTTATGCAAGTTGACGCTCAAAATGCTGATGCACGTGGCTGGTCTGTAGGACATTACGTCATTTGAGAGAGACCTATAGTTTCATAATGATCTTTTGCGTGCAGCCTGATCGACGAAAACATTTGTCACAAAACAAAATTTTATTTTTTAGCAGAGCTTGTTGTAAAGCCACTTTTTTCATCATATTATCATCTTGACGAAGGTCAGTTATTGCAAAAATGTTGAAAAGATTTGAAACTGTTAAAATGACATGTTAATAGTATAAAGTGTCAGAGGCAAAAAAAGGGTCGGGAATATTTCTATTCCCCCTGAATGGGATGCTAGACTATCCATCGCAGGTTGCCCAGCTGGAGAGAGGCAAGTCGGGATGAAGTGGCTTGCCCAAGGACACAACATATGGCCAGCAGCTGGATTCAAACCCCTGACCCTCTGATCATGAATCGGGAGCACTAACCTCTTGGCTACACTACCTCAACATTAACCCAAGGCCCTTGTTGCTTACAACCATCCTCAATCCTCCAAAATTTTGCAACTCCGCCTAAATTTTTCAAAATTGTCAGACAGTCCTGCCTCAAAATGCATTCATCCAAAATCCTCCAAAGTCCTCCTCATCCCAAAATTTTACACTCGTGTTTAAATGAAGGATGAGCAACGCCAAATCCTTCAAAATCATCAGACAGTCCTGCCACAAAATGCATTCATCCTCAATCCTCCAAAATCCTCTTGTGCTTCAATCACCATTCATCCTCAATCCTCCAAAATCCTCATGTGTGCTCCAATCACCATTCATCCTCAATCCTCCAGAATCCTCATTTGATTCAATCACCATTCATCCTCAATCCTCTAGAATCCTCCAAAACCACCAGGAGGATTTTGGAGGAGTGAGGTGGTTTAGGGTTAACCACTTGGCTACACTACCTCAACATTAATAGTGTTCACATTGATCATGACAGGTTACAGCTCTGGCGGTGGTGGTGGTGGTAGCTACGGAAGCGGTTATGGAAGCGGTGGTAGTGGTGGCTACGGTAGCGGTGGCTACGGAGGCGGTGGCGGAAGAGGTGGCCGCCCCTATTAGATCATGTGACCAACCACCTGATGTCGTCCCCAAGAGGTAAGTAGAATAACAGACTATCGTGCATGGGACAAATCTCACCGACCTGCCGAGTGACTTTGCAATTAAAAAAAGAATTTCTTTCGATTCTTTCATAATTTCCTATCCAAGATAAGCATGTTGCTTTTAAATACTGATAATTCCGAATCTGCTCTCTGCGCTGTGGTGTTATAAACTTCACTTACCAATTTTGTATGGGTTATGGCCGGCCATTGAGAAAAAAGGCATTTGGATCGATATTGAACCAAATTTGTTTTGAAGACAACGCATTTAAAATTAAAAAATTGGATTGCCGTTGGCAATGCTGATGCAAAAGAGATTGTCAAAAGCTCATGAAGCTGTTTAATCTCATCAGGCTTGTAAAGATCAAAGTATTTATTCGGCAGGTCTGTGACATTTGTCACAGTGACTTCTGTGGTTTTGGTCCAACATTTTGGGGTGAAAAATTGTGGGCTGCATTCTAGTCCAAGTGATACAGTTGACGCCCCAGAGCTGTGTTTTACTGAAGTCATAAGGCTTAAGAAATTTGCAAAAACCAACTTGATGTCTTCTACATTTCGGCGTAAAAATGTTTTTTGATGATTTCATACCGGATGGAAAAAAGTATAGCTTTAAACAAGCACATTCAAATAACACAGGAACAAAAAATGTTTTGAGTGTTAACCCATCTCCTATGTACTTCAAAACCAAAAAAAAACACCTTAAAAACAAAAGGCATTGATTTTATCCAAGCATTTTTTAGAAGTGACCGAGAACGAAAACCATTATCTATGAGGAAACTAGATAATTTGAATGATTTAAAATAGGTCAAAATGTTGTGTCGTGTTTTCTAAACAGGCTCTTTTTTTTTCAATGTTGATTAGATTTTTTTTTCGTAAGACTTAATGTACTGAACTTCATTGAGTAAGAACCACATTTTCTCACCATTTCTGTATATTTTTCCTCTCCGTAGAGTTCACTATATGGGACGGTAATGTTAGCGTTACCCTATCAATAATGCAGTGGGACTTTCTACCTAGTCATCATTAAAGCAAACCCCTCTTTCTCTCAAGAAACCGAACCCCTCAATGAATCGACGGATGCTAATGTCTCAAGTTTGGCCCCCCTTGGAATAGGCTGGAGATACTTTACCGAACTCTCTGAAGTGACTGCTTAGATAAGGCCTGATAAGGAGACGCTTCGATCTTGCCGACCACTTTTTAAGGTCCAAGGATATCTGGTTAAAGAGCCTTAAGAAATAGTTGCTGTCTGCTTAAGATCTTCATGACAATGCTTAAAGTTACTGTGGATACATTGATTCGAAAAAGCAAGTGAATTTGCCAACGTCTTGGAAAATCTTCCCCAAAAAACAACAAAAACAGTTCCCATTACAGTTTGTTGATTAACCGTTCCGAGCCCAAACAGCACCAAAAAAAACACAGAAAAGGAGTTAAATATTGAAATAAGGGGCTTTACAAGAACGTCTTCGCGTAGAAAATGTATAAGCAAATTCACTGCGTTTTTTCCTAAGCTGTACATAAGGAATGAAAGCATTTCAATCAATTGTTAACCTTTAATTAAGGATTCTGTAACCACTTTAAAGATTAGAAATAAGATTTGACTTTTACTATTTTTTTTTAAGTTCGTAATCAATATTCTTGTGAGTATTCTTGACAATGGCATAAAATCCGTAAAAAAAATCCCTTTCGACGGAAAAATGAAGAAAAAAAAATCAAAAAAAAATTAGACTTTTTTTTTCTTCTAGACTTGGACTCGTTTTTGTGATGCGAATTCAAACTTTGAAGCAGTCATCTTCATCAAATTCAACTCGGTCCATTGATCAAGTCCGTTCTGCAATAATTGCCTCATGAATATTCACATTTCTTATGAATATGTAAATCAACTTGGTAGCAACATTCCAGTGATAGGTCCTTACGAATATTCAGGGGGGAACATTTTAATGTCCTACTGCCATTATGTCCTTTACTTTCTTAAATCATGTACATATTAATTATCAAATAACAGGCGATGTTTTGTGAGTTGTGTATTGTGACAAGTAAAGAGTGTTAAAAAGTTTTTATTTTGCAATTTTTTTCCCCCCTTAAGTGAATGATTAAATACTTGTAAAACACTCCCAGGATTTTATTTTTTATTTCCCCAAGATAAGGGTATTTAAGCATAATGGTCGGTCATCTTACGTAAACTTCACGAGATGTTTTTTATTTTTGGGTATGCTAACGCAACATTCAAAAATAGTACGTGCAGAAAGATCATTGTGAAACTCAACAATTAGGCTTGTATGATAAATGATGTTACAATTTCACCGTTAATGCTGGTTTTATTCCTAGAAGTATTCGTGTGTTAGTGCATTTCGTATTTTCTTTGTGAAGTCAAATAAATGGAGCAGTTTTAGACAAGCAAAAAATCTCAACTCAACTATCTCAGCATTTTCTCTTTAATTTCAAGCAAGTTTTGTTAAAGGTTTCCTTAAAACAGTGTTATAAATGTGCTACAAGAACATGTAGAATTGAGATCCGTTTTTACAAGAATGAACTTTATCCCTCTTTAAACATTCTTAAAATCCTTTGTCAAAAAAAATATCTTTTTCCTTTTTTAAGTTCCACCTTGTCCACATACATGCGTGGCCACATTTCTTTTTTTTTCATACTCCACACAAAAAATGAGGCACATCTTTTTCAAAACAAGTTTTTTTGGGGTGCGGACAGGGGCATGGGGCACTCAATTTCTTCTCCATTCCCTTTATGTGTCTGTCTAGGGAAAAGAAAGAGTTCATTTTCTCTGTGAAAAGCAGCAAATTCCATAAAATCGGATTCCCTTTTGGCCCATTCACATTCTCTGTGCATGCGTTTGCAAAGTTGTAAAAGGACTGATTCTTAATACGTGTATTGATTTTAAATGAGTTCATACAATTTGCTCTTAGCACCGCAAAACTATTTTCAGTTATTAACAACTATGCCTGTAACCAAAAGAATTTAAAATCGAATTAACAATTTTCCAACCTTAAATGATATTAGCATATTGGCTACGTCATCTTTGGTGAACATGTACTTACTAGACATGCATGCTTTAGCAATAGACACGTTCCAAGTACTTAACTCTAAAAGGTTTAAACTCACTGTACAGATGAACTAATGAATCTTCACTTTTGCATCCAGTTTTCTACTCGAACCAAATGCCACATGCTGTACCTATTATAGCTTTTCCTCTATGAAGAACAGAATCCTGTATCAATGATATCTGCTGACTAGAAATCGTCACGAAATCAAGCTGAAATCACTCTCTGATTATAAGAAATCAAGCGTAAGATGGAATTTCCAACTGCTAGGTAAGATCTAAGTTATCTACGTGTGTACACTTGTGACTTAAGCCACTGAACGACTTTCCAATTTAAGTAATTTTATAGTTCAGTTCAAGCAAAAATCTGTCGAGGAAAAAGTTGCAAAAATCAACTGAAAGTTAGTTTCAAAAATCACTTGATTCGGCCCGTTTTTCCTACTGTGAACTCGCTTTTACTGCGACCTGAATTTACACGCATTGATCCTGAACCACTCAAATTGTCCAACTTAAAAAAAAGGGGGGCTCGTGTATTTGTGTGTCGATGTGTTTTAACATCTGTAACTCATTTTTGAATGGTACTTCTTTCATCTTTTAGGTTTGTTGCGTTGTAACAGCCAGTGACAGAAATCTGATGGCATGCTTGTGACTATTAGACTTGGTAAGTTTACAAGAAACTCTTCTTGCCCCCCCCCCCCAGACTCGCCCAAGTGCCCCTTTTGTGGACATAAATGTGCCCCCTCAAGCATAAATGTGCCCCTGGAGATGAAAACAAAACTGGCCCAAAAAATATTGGATAATTTGTTTTCAGTAACCATTTTCCAAAATGGTATAGAAAGTTCTGATATGAACGAGGAATATGAAAACCAAGCCCCAAAACCCTTACAATGCATCCTGAAAATGGCCGGTTTTGAAGAGCGCCCCCGATTTTGGCTACAAAGTCTCTTGTGGGTAGTACTGGGTGTGACTAATGTGTAGTTTTACTTTTGCAGTCAGGTACTGGATGCTATGCTTAGATGCTCGGGATGGAGAAATTCAAGAAGGCTTGTTAGCTATGGTAAGATGTCCCATTACAATGAAGGTATTTACTGGAAGTCTAGCAAAACTGAGAATAACATGTGTAGCTTTTCGAAGCATAGCATCTGTTACCCACAGAGAATTATGTGAAACAAGGCTTTGCGGGCAAGTTACTAGTCAGATTATTTATGCAAAACAAGACTGCATCTTGATCCCGAGATTCTGACTGTTCAGCAGCACGCAAATTTCAACTTGTGTACTTTGCATGCAACTTTTGATCGGCGAATATTCAAATATTTGTTAAAACACAGTTTTGAATAATCGAATACTTAATTATTCGAAAAATGGACAGACCTAACAAGATGCCATAAATCTTTTATTGTTAATATGAACATTATTTTTCACTACACTATACACCTATGGTATATTTTTCTACATTCGTACTGTTCACCCATTTTGTTATTCCTTTACAGGTGTTCTTAAAATAGATGCAGTTCGGAGCATACAAGAATGACATCGTCACTTTGTTCAGTGCAATCCTCGGTGCAATTCCAAAGTGAAATATTTTGACAAAAACTCAGGAAACTTCATTCACATATGCTGGAAATGATTGAATGTTGAATATAGAAGAATTCACTATTTACATGTAGGTCTAGTTTAGTGGAACGGCATACATTGTAAATTAAACTACATGTGCAATGATGTTTGGATGGTGACCAATTTTTCTCCAGTTTCTCAAGGTTTTGTATGTTGATTCACTGAAGCAAAGCCTCCAGAAATTGTTTGCCGAATTGCAATTCCTGTATTGAAATTAAACTTAATTTTTTTTTTATCGGTTTACTCAACTCAGACTTTGTCACTCTTTCAAGAAGTTGTTAGAATGTCATGGAAGTTTAACACTTGTCTGCAAGGTAAATGCCCAGCTACATGTAGCAAATCTATGTTATATGTAGGTGTGGTTACTTAACAGTGCAAAGATAAATCAAAGATGAATCAGTCTTCAATATATGATGGTGGCATTAACAAAAGAATTGAAGTATAAACATTCATTTAGCGTGTTTGAGTTTAGGTAAAAAATCTTCAGTAGTGAGTTTTATGCCATGATTTTGTCCTCTGCAGGGAAATCGCATTATGTTTTTAACATGAAAGTCTTTGACACATCCACACTTCTTGTGCTGCACCTTGTCTGAAATCTGAATATATGAATTAAAATACCTAAAACTTCGTTTTTTAATTATTTTTTAAAACTGTTTTACTGTACTTACTTCAAACCCCAATCAGTGCATTAAAAAGGGTAGACTTTTACAAATGTCCTAGCTAAATGCATTTTGTTCGAACCTGTTGATTAAAAATGTTTGTTTATAGCATTTTGACATACTGTACCTTTAAAATAGTACCTTATTAACCCTTTTTGTAACAAGCTGATAGTGACACTTATTTTTTTAACGTGAACAAAATCTGTCTGTAACTTTTTTACTTGACGTTTTTATGAAATAAATTTGATAAAAGATTGTTTTTATAAAAAAAAACTGGTCTAGTGTGTCATGTTAATTTTTGTCCTGATGATTACATGTCATTATTTCAGATAGTATAGCGGTGGATGTAAATGGCAAAGCTACATGGGATGATCCAAATGTACAGAGTTTTACCTCATTGGACGACGAATTTCAATACAGTGTTTTCTTTTCCCTGTTTTTCTTACCTTGCTCCTACTTTTTCGACTTTTTTCTTTGAATTCCTGTTTGTTTCTATATTTTTTTCACACAAATGGTATCTCGTTGAATAGTTTTCATGTTTATAATGTACACCGTCGTTTGCAAAATCACACAATGAAGGGCTTGGTCGCAGGAGTACTGCAACTGTACTTCCAAGAGCTTAGTTGAGGATGGAGCACAAGTGTTGTGAGTACAGAACATGCCAAATGAGGCTTATGATGCTGTGGACATGGTCGAGTTTCAACAAAAACTACTTCTGAAAGCCAGAAAAGGTCGTACTATTTAAAGTTTATCCTTATTTTGTCTTGCATGTAAATCCTATTACAGTCGAACCATGATAAGAAGAGCACTGTTAATACAACATCCTGTTTGTAACAACTTAACAAGCAACATTGCAGGTCCCAAGTCTTCGTTTTCCTTTGTTTTCCATAAGGACATTTGTCAAGTACCAAGGACCTCGTTATAAAGTACATGTAGTTCGACCGCATTCCACTTGTTCACCTGGGTCTGCTTGAAACCTGTCTTCGTTCAAATTAGTGACGCCCATACCCCGCCCCTTCTCTTGTCTTATTTCTATAAGTACATAAAGTCTTTATTCTTTACAAACAATATTGTCAACAAAATCATTAAATTCTACAGCTTTTTTTATTTCATGTTGTGTTGAATTGATGTTCTAAAAGTCATCGGGTGCAACTTCATTTTGTTGAGATAGTTGAGTTAAAAAATAAGGAAGAGGGTTAAATATAGCTCTACATGTATTAACAACCATGCATAGTTCATGGTTCACTGCATGCACAATCGGATGAGTGGTAAAAGCGGTTGGGCGCGCGTTTGTGGTTCCGCCGAAGTAATCACAAAATAACACCAAAAATCCCGTGTTTTATTACACATAAAATACATGTACATTGTACATGCATGTCGCTCGCAAATCGGAATGGCTAAAATGTTCATTCTTCACCCTCGGATCAAAAACGGGTCGAGTTTAAAAAATTGGTGGTTTTTTTTTTTTTACCAGAGTGAGGCCAATCAGTTATCTCAGAAATGTTTTCCAAGAGTCTTTTGATAGTCGGTGAAGAGAAAAACTAAAGTGAGAGATAAAATGTTTAATTTCCCCAAACTATCTGCAAACTTCGGTACCCAACTGAGTGGTTTGTTGCATGTCTTCCCTCCATCATCCCATTTCTTCTACATCAAATTTATTGCTGAAAGAGAATGGACAATTCAAAAAGTTCGCGTTTTTTTTCTTTTAAAGGTAGGCCTCGGGATAAGAAATCCGAAAAAATAAGAAATCACGGATCGGATTGAGACAAACATTCTTGACTAAGCTTTTCACAAGCTCGGACGAGTTCACCATCATCGCCTGTTAAACATTGTTTTCTTCCACAAAAGTTTTAGTGCATTGTCCTTGTGGCTAAAATCATGGAAGTAGGAAAGATGCCTTATAAGAAAAAAATCCATAAGGGAGAGCATCATTAACGACGCAAACAAAAGGATGTTTAGCGTCAGTGATGGTGACTCAGTCACAGTGTGAATGAAGCGCGCCACCATTGTCACCATGGAATAAAGCCAATAACGCTCACACAGCGCATGCATAGCGTATACGCGGTAGGCGCACGTGTACTTTTTTTTTGTTCATTCCGATCTAGATCCAAGATGGCGGAAGAACAGACCACATTTGCCGCCGACGATGGCGAACAATATCAAGACAACCAGGTACGGTATTTCTCGTCTCTTTGGGTGTTTTTAAGGGGATTTCCGGGGTCTATGATTATTACAGTGTCTTTTGGTAGATGGAGAGTACCGAGTATTGGGCACAAAGGAGGAAATTTGTCGCAGAAACCGCGACAGTTTTGGCGGTTTTATGAAAAACCACCAGACACACGGCAAATTCAACATGGCCGGCTTACGCATTTTTTGACCAACTCGCCATGGGCGCCGGTCATGCCGGTCCGGCGCGTGCACATTTATTGGCGGGGGATTTTTGGCCGTGGGTGGATAAATCATTAAATGGGTGTTTTTGTGGCAAACAGTCTTACTTCGTGACCTTCACTTCAGTTGACCATGACGGTGGAGTCAGTTTGGACTCTTCGTTCCTAATTTTTATTCTGTTGTTAAAAAATGGTGGGCAAAATAGCATTACCATAGTCATGATAGTGCCAATTTTTAAATTTAAATTAATGTCAGAAATCTCTTGCAATGACTGTGTTTTAATAGGGAGTCCGGCACTTTTTGGATTTTTTTTCTTTTAACAACCCTGGAATAGTGGAAATCATTGGAAAGAGAATCATACGACAAAATCAATAACGTTTAAATCACATGAGCTTGCATTTTGGAGATTGGCTATAACTTTAAGCATAAGAATTTAAATGTAAAAATCAATGAAAACATTCTGTCATTTTTATAGTCAAAATATTATTTTAACACCTCAAACAAATTTTCCAAAACTATCAAAATACTTAATATCGTGATATTGAAATCCTTATGAAATAAACAATATTTTGATTTTTGAATCGGCTTTTTATCTCTCATTACAAAAAAGTTGTAATTTTTTTCCCGTAACGCCGCACAATTGTCCGACATGTATGAGCCGTGTCTGGGCCCACACCGCAATGCGACCGCAAAGCCCGCTGTAATACTTGGGTAAAATACAGTTCCATTCACGCTACAAACAACGCGGCAACATGAACACGGAACATGCACGTGTACGCGGAATCGACGTTGCCGTGTGCCAGACTAAATTGGGCATGCCGATAAACATCGGCTGCCGGCACAGGCCGGCATTTTTTTTGGACAAAAAAACCCAACTTTCCTGTCCTCCTGAAAGTCCAAGCTTCCAAACGAACCCCATTCATATTTCATCCACTCCTTATGCATTTATTTGGAGGATTTTTGATTGGAAAATCGTTTAAAAACGGTACCGTTTTTTAGCCTTCGAAAAACGAAAAAATTGCGCCACTCATTCCTTAGCCAAATTCACCGTACCACACATCAAAATGACGAGTATGTTTTGCCCTACAAGATGATGACATCATATTTTCAAACCCCATGAAATCTCCTGAGATATCGGCGAAAAACAAGACTACGTCATTATCGTCATATGACGTCAAACCAAGATGGCTCATGGTGCGCTCGGGTTTTTGTTTCAGATCATCATTTTTGTTAACCTATAAGTATAAATGTGTGACTCATTCACAATGAACCAGCATTGGAAACTTTGAAGACAAGTTAAAACTTTGAGGGCAAGTTAAGCTTGCGCCGTTAAGGGCCTGGATGATGCCTTTCAATATTTCAGGCATGCAACTTTTCCTCGGATCTGCTGTTTTCCTCGTTTTTACTTTTCATGAATGCCATTACAAATTAAAAAACACTGTAGAAAGTCTTATGTGGTTTGGAGTTAGCTGGTTTTTCCTAAATTCCCAGTTGCATGTCTGATACTTGATGCAGATGTTATGATGCGGCACTTATCCTACAGACGGTGTAATGAAAAAGAAAAAAGAAAAAAATTCCTGTTTGAATATCTCGCGTCTAAAGAAAGATTTCCACATCCTGTAACTCGACGTTTTCACAGTCGAAACAGCTTTTTTGGCATTCGCATGTTTCCACCAGCCTCCACAAATAGGCTCCGATCGTATGATGTCAAAGTGGCACGTGACCATCAAGTTTCCCCCTGATTGGCCAACATTGCAGTTGGCAAGCGTTGGGTTAGCAACCACGTCGTGCATTGTAAACTAGACAGTAGGGCTTATTTCACGTAAAATAACCGCAAATTCTGTATCAAATGGCATATTGGTCACTACCTGTGCCGTGTACGGTTGTAATGTTGGCACCGCGTTTTTCTCACACTTTTTGCTATTCATCACAGCTTTGAAACCTGGCTACTAGCTACCGTAGTTGGTTGGTTCTTCTCCTAAGGACTTCCACAAGGGAGTATAACTAGGAGGCCAGAAACACCGGGCAAACCCCTTCTCTTAGTAATAAGTGTTACTGGGTTCTTTTACGTGCGTTAGGCCTTATACAACACACGGGACCTCGGGCTTAACGTCCCATCCGAAGGACGAAGCAATAATGGTTAAGTGCCTTGCTTAAGGGCACAAGTGTCCAATCCCGGGCTCGAACCCATGCCACTGTTGCCTCTGAAGCACCAGAGCATGAGTCCAGTGCTCTTAACCGCTAGGCCATGACACTCCATTAGTAGTCAAGCCCATCACAAGTCACGGCACTATACAATCTTTGCATGGTTCAAATGTCTTTTCAGTACCATATAGGCCGGGTAACAAGTCTCAGTGAGAGTGCTCTATATCGCGTAATAAACAATAAGTAAAATCTTTCATACATTGTTGTTTATTGGCTCCTGCAGGAGGAGCTCGAAGAAGAGAACCTGCGGAAGCTGTTCCTGGGCGGACTTGAGAGGTCTCTCACCAAGGAGGATGTCGAGGAGCACTTCCGCGCCCTAGGGGACGTGATCGACGTCTCGGTGGCCACAGATAACCGCAACGTGTCCAAAGGTTTTGGCTTCGTCACCATGAGGACGATAGCGGAAACCGACAAAGTGCTGCACGACCACGAAGACAACCCCACACAGCTCAAGGGCAAGAAGATCGAAGTCAGGCGCGCCATTCCAAAAAATGTGAGTCCATCCCTCAATTTTTCATTTTATATCTTAGAGGTGTAGATCAGGGATGTAGTCGAGTCCATCACACGTCCAGTCACAGCAAATCACAAGTCCAGTCACAAAAAACAAAGTGGGTGAGCAATAACAACGGAATGCCTTTGCCAAAACTCATTTGGATAAGCCTGTGAGTTGAAATCAGGTATCCTGAATCCGCCGAAATCTTCCAAAACAGGGGTGTGGATTTTGATGGATTCAGGTACGTCATGGTCATATAAAATAGCTCTATGACTCGACTACGGCCCTGGTGTAGATGCAAGGGACAGTGTCATAGTCAAGCCCATCACAAGTCCGGTTGAAAGTAAATCACAAGTCATTTCACAAGTCCAGTCACAATATGTCTATCAGTTCTGGAAATACAGTACCCAAAACTTTGATTGGCAATTTGTGTATTTTCATGGCCATGCCCCCCCCCCCCCCCAAAAAAAATTATTTCATATTTTGAGTGACGTCCCACTAAAGTCAGGCACTTCATCCACCACCATTTTTTCCTATAAAAAAAATGGTTGAAGTGGTCATAAATTGCCTCTGATCGTACCAAAGAGCATATAGAATCCAAACATTTTCGGGGCCCTTAAGCGGGCCCTGAATCCCACACCGAAATTTTTTTGGACCACTTTTTGGGTGACCAAAAGATTTTAAGCCCCCAAAATTGTATTCTGGATCCGCCTTTGTTTATTTTTGCACTTGTTTTTCCATAGATAGGCCATTTGAAAAATGAATTTGTCATTGTCATGGGGAAGATCTATGTTTTAACAATATTCAAGCAACCCATTTAACCCCCTGCTCAGAAGAGTCTGTTTTTTGAACAACCATCACATACACTAATCATAGAATGGGCTCCGTGCACAAGTACCCCCTCAACGGCAAGAAAGGGAGAGTTGGGGGAGACCACTGAGTGAGATGTCCAAACGCATTGCCGACAACGTCTGATGATCAAGCAAAGCCATTATGGCTTGTGCACACAATAAAATTAGTTGTACGTTCTTGCAGCGTACGTGTGCAAATCAGTACGCGTACACAGTGTAACCCCACCACCCACCGGTCAGAGCCTTTGAAAGTGCTGAAAAAAGTAACCTCTCTTCTTCGAGCATTAGTATTGATTATTGATTTAGAATTGTAATATTTCTTTCGCCATTTTCCACTTGACCAACGCAGAGTAATGTCCCCAACGATTTGGTCAAGAAAGTATTCGTCGCCGGCCTGAACAAGGGCGTCATCACAGAGGACGACTTGAAAGACTACTTCAACAGCATCGCCAAAGTCAAAAGTGTGTCAATCGTCAGGGACAAGGAGACCAACCAGCCTAGGGGGTTTGCTTTCGTCGAGCTGGAGTATTACTACATGGTCGACAAAGCAGCGTGTAAGTCAGCCCTGGGCATTTCTGTCTAGAGATTAACCCTAACCCCCTAGGCCCTTGTTGCTTACAACCATCCTCAATCCTCCAAAATCCTCCAAAATTTTTCAACTCCGCCTAAATTTTTCAAAATTGTCAGACAGTCCTGCCTCAAAATGCATTCATCCTCAATCCTCCAAAATCCTCCTCATCCCAAAACTTTGCACTCGTGTTTAAATGAAGGATAACCAACGCCAAATCCTTCAAAATCATCAGACAGTCCTGCCTCAAAATGCATTCATCCTCAATCCTCCAAAATCCTCTTGTGCTTCAATCACCATTCATCCTCAATCCTCCAAAATCCTCATGTGCTTCAATCACCATTCATCCTCAATCCTCCAGAATCCTCATTTGATTCAATCACCATTCATCCTCAATCCTCTAGAATCCTCCAAAACCGCCAGGAGGATTTTGGAGGAGTGAGGTGGGTTAGGGTTAAAACCCGTTTCAGCCTGGTGTTCAAGATGAGCGCTGAAGCAATTTCTAGTTACTTACTTTTGAAACTTTTGAAAAAAATTGTCAACTTCACATTGTGCCGTTCTTCCCTTTTCGTGTTTTATCCAGTAATGACAAACCATATGATCAACGACACCAAGATAGATGTGAATAAAGCCCATGCTGACAAGAACCGAGGTGGGCGTGGCGGCTTCAGGGGCGGACGAGGCGGAGGCGGAGGTAAGCCCAAGCACGGTTAAATTTTGCTTAGCGAAAAAGGGTCACCGGCTAAACCGGCATACATTGTACATCGTTTCTGACTGGTTCCCATCGCAGTTTTGCTAAATCCATATTGGATTTACAGCATCTCTTCTGGTTGGTCACGCGACCACGTTGTATCCTGCTGTGTGCGTTGACCACAGACTCTGAGGCAGTGTGGCCTTGAGACTTTTTCCCTGATGGATCTTGCTACATTTGGCAGGCTTGGCACTTAGTCAAGTGTTGCATGTTGCTACATTTGGCAGGGTTCTAGCATACATACCCTGGAGGATTAGGGTTAATGGTGGGAGAAATCAAAGATTTCAAAATCCGGTTATCCTATTTTTTTTTCAAAATCGAATAACGGTTATCTGATTTCACCTGAAGTTCCGATTCGGCTCACAGTCATGCCAACACAACGTGAGAAGTGTGGTGTCGCGTGAAATGCCCTCTACAAAGATGGGAACAGTTTTGCGAGATTCATTGTCCACTTGGCCATTCCAAAAACAAGTCAGAGTTGTAATGGTAAAAAAGTGGATGGGAACTCTTTGATCAGTCGAATAAGCCAGCTAATCTGGAACCGAGAAGACCACGGTCTTGAACCAGGCCAAGGAGCAAAGTGGGGGATGTTCCAGATTTTTTCTTTAGCCTCTGTCACAAAAAAATGAAAGGCTGAATTTTGTTTAAGGTTGGCTCGAACATCCAGTTTCTAAAATCGAAACCGAATAGTAGAATTCAAACCGAATTTTAAAAAAAAAAATCCATTTTTTTATCCCACCACAAGGCTGGATAGCTCAGTTGGTAGAGTACTGGAACGATTTTCCGGAACGATTTTCCGGAGGTCACAGGTTCAAACTCTGCTCCAGTCAATTTCTTTGTTCAACTGTAATGAAATTATACTTATACTTGCCTTTCCCCTCAATGATTGTGGAAAGTTATGTTGATATATTTCTGTATTGAATTTGTTCTTTGTTGAAGGTGGTTTCAGGGGTGGCAGGGGTGGCGGCTATGGGGGCGGCGGCTACGGGGGCGGCTACGGTGGTGAATGGGGTTACGGTGGTGGCCGAGATTGGGGGAATGGCTACAACGACTATGGAGGTAAGAAACCATCAAGATTAACCCCAACGTACCTGAATCCATCAAAATCCACACCCTGTTTTAGAGGATTTCAGCGGATTCAGTATACATGTACCTCCATATTGAAAAAGTTGGGGGTTTAATGGATTCAGGAAAGTAAGGCTAGCGGTACTGCAGGAAATTGATGGATTCAGGATACCTCCATATTGAGCAGTTTTTACTTATATTGTGATACAAGAATGTTGCGATATGGCACTATGATTAGAAGCGTGCATTTCAATAGCTGTATATAAGCTGGGGGGGGGTAGATTTTTATCAGCGTTGATGCCCTAATTATCGAATAATGCCAGTATTTTCGCATTGGTTTTTATTTTTTATTTTGTTCTCCAGGATATGATAGTTATTCCGGTTATGGCCCGTCAAGAGGTAGGCAACTTTAACAGAAAAAAAAGCGTGGAGTTGTCATTTTTTTTGCCGTGAAGAATTCTTTTCAGATCCCATTTCTTTTTATTCCATTAAAAATTGTGAAGAATTCTGTTCTAGCTGAAAAAATAACAACGAGACCTTTCGTCCAAAATGTCTACTGGGCCATTTTCCCAGTAGAGCCACTGGTTCTCAGATGGCCTTATAGTAGCTTCAATCCTAGGTTAACGGTTAATTGCGTATCTGGTGAAGAAATTCTGCTTTACATAGAAAAATAATTTTATTTATTTATTAAAAAATTTAATACGGGGTGAGTACAAAAAAAAGGAAACCCAAATGACATGACCAATTTTTTAATGAAGTTCTGTAAATAGCACTACATGTACTTTTCAAGCTTCGGAGTTTTAATCACAACCACCGTTTTCAAGTTCTGTCCACAATTCACATAGGGATGCATGTGAATTGTTTTCGTTCTGCTGAAAGAACACAGACCTTTTTTTGTGATCCGTGGACAGAACTTTAAAACAGCGGTTGTGTTTGAAATTCCATAACTTGAAAAGTACATGAGTGGTTTGATTGATTCTTGTACTAAAGGAAAGTATAGCCCTAACCCCCTAGGCCTTTTTGCTAGGAACCATCCTCAATTCTCCAAAATTTTACAACAGCGCCTAAATTCTTCAACATTTTCAGACAGTCCTGCCTCAAAATGCATTCATCCTCAATCCTCCAAAATCCTCCTCATCCAAAAATGTTGCACTTATGTTCAAATGAAGGGTACCCAGCCCCTCAATCCTTCAAAATCGTCAGACAGTCCTGCCTCAAAATACCATTCAGCCTCAATCCTCCAAAATCTTTATCTAAAAAAAATACCATTCAGCCTCAATGCTCCAAAATCCTGCAAAACCACAAGGAGGATTTTGAAGGATTGAGGAGGGTTAGGGTTAGTAATTGGGCTTTCATTTCCTAGATTTTGATAGTACAGTGCAGAACTTTATTAAAAAATTGGTCCTGCCAGTTGGGTTTCCTTTTTTTTATGACTCTCCCTGCAAAGTCAACTTCATAAAACAGCCATGCAACTTTTGCTCGGATCCGCTGATTTCCTCGGATCCGCTGATTTCCTTGTTTTCTTACTTCTCATGAATGCCATTATAAATTGAAAAACACTGTTCAAAGTCTTGTGTGGTTTGGAATTTCCTCGTTTTTTTCTTAATTCCCAGTTGCATGCCTGCAAAAAGAAAGCATGCAGGCACCCTGAACATAATTTTTTTTTTTCACTTCCCCCGATGTGGTGCTTCAGCCTTTACAAAGCATGTTGGCTCTGCTAAAATGAAATATTGTTTCTTGTTGTTCATCAAGATTATTTCGGAGGTGGGAGTAGGGGTAGAGGAGGACGAGGAGGAAGTCGCTACAAGCCGTACTAGGTCACGATGCCAGGATCAAACCTCATGTCATAGGTAAGAGGTCACATGAATATTCATTCGACAAGTCCTTGTAACTTCAAATCCCCTGAGAAGTGACTGCATTTTGGAGTACTGTAAGCGCCGTCGATATCAGAATATTGCGGGAGACATTCAACGAAGCCACCTCTTCCTTGAACAGAGATGAAATTATCAGATTTTATCTGAAATCAGATTTTTAAAAACTTCCCCAATACAATTTCAGATTTTTTAACAATCCCACAAAAATGATTTATGTAACAATTTTAATCTGAGATCAGATTTTTTTTTTTTTACTTTTCCAATGAAATTTCAGATTTTTTTAACGATCCCACCAAAATGATTATTTAAGGATTTTTCCACAAAGTGTTTTTTTTTTTCATTATAATCTCCAAAAAAAAGTCCATGAAAAGCCGATGAAAACGGCACGTAAAAAATGTGCACATGTGTAGTAGTTTTAGTCTCATTTACCAGTTGTGAATGGAGTGATTCTACGGTTGAAACACCTAGACCAATGCTGATCAGATCCTTTTGCAGCTGGAGAAAAGGTTAAATACTGACCTATGACATGGAAAAAGTCACTGGGTCCCACGTTGATGCGCTGCACCAGTCTGTCCTGTTTTGAGGCGTGCGATCACACCCCTACGCCATCACACGCCTAAATGCTTCCTGAGAAGTGCCAATAATCGCACGGCTGAATCCCTCAGTACCGCACACATTGGCATACATTTACGGCATAATTATACTTCATAGTTTGTGAAAAATAAATTACATCGGTGGAGAGAATATGGCTTTATTGTAAACCAAGATGAATATTTTGAAAAACAATATACCATATTGTTCAGTCCCAGCTTGGACCACAGAATCACACACCTACAAAAATCACACGCCTACAAAAATCACACGCCTAGAAAAATCACACGCCTAGAAAAAAAACACGCCTAGAAAAATCACACGCCTAGAAAAATCCAGGTGTGCGTTTTTCCACACACCTGTGATTTTCATATCAAAAGGACTGCTGCACTGCACGATGCTGTGGCAGCTCGAACTCGACGTCAAATTTCAAAATTTTTTTGCCAAGGTTAATTCATTTCTGCGTGAAGCAGTGGTATAAATCCCAATCTTTTCTCCTTGCTCCACAGAAAGCATGTGTATTTTGAGAAAATCTGATGTGCGAATGCAGCGAGGTACCGACCAATGGAGTGCAGCCGTGAAACTCTTCTCTCTCGGCGGTATGATCCGAAAACAAAAGGATGTGAATATTCCGGTAATTAGAGGTCAAAGGTCAGGACTGGTAAACTGCCCCTTCCCCTCCATAATCCATTTTTGGTCTTTTTTTCCAAAACAAAGAATAATTTTCTTGTGGTCGTTCCGATAGTCTAGTATCGCGGAGTGAGATATTTCTTAAAATTGTTCGGAGATGATTGCTGTACCTCTGTGGGGCATTTTACCATTCCTTCGACGTCTTTTTGTAAAACACAGACCCTACCTTAATTTTTCTGTTTCCTCTTAAACAAGCATAACAAAAATAACGTTGTTCAAACCTTTTTACATTTGACATCATGTACAGACTTTTTTTTTGGAAAAGGGTCAACGGTCGATGAAAACCGCCCCTCTCCAAAAGCTTTTAGTTGTGTTAGTGTGATAGTGTGTGTAGTGTATAGTGAAAAACAAAACTCGGTCAATGAAAATAATACCAGAGCCGATAGCGGGATGATTTAATACAGGAAGTTTTGTCAGAGAAAGCTGCCTCGAAACAGGTCATGTTCCCTGAAGACATGGCATGAATTGTTATGGCGGCAATTGCAAATGCACCATACCATTTTAAGCCATGTTTCCATTTTATTCAGGTACATTTTCAGCACCGTTTACATATAACGAATCCTGGCTCATGTTTGAAAATTACTACCGGAGGAATTTTGCTCCTGTAAAAATTGTTCATTTCAAAGAACTCCATTGTTTGTCCTTCCACCTCCAAATCATTTCAATTAATTGTAATAAAAAAAACCACTTAATTGATCACAAATTGCACCAATTTTGTGAGCAACGGTTTTCAAATTTGTTTCGCTATTCCCAAACTAATGATAATACAACGTATTGGTTTTACATGTACTTCATCGCTCTTCATAATTATGTCCAGTTTTAATACTGAGTCAGTGAAGCTACAGCGAATAAATACGAAGACGAAAATCTTGTTTGAATCATCAGATGCTAATTTTACTTTTAGTTTCTATTGGTTACCAACTTAATGAACTGTTACTACTAACAAAATGCTGCTGGTTCCTGTCTCGGCATTTCTTGATGTTAATAAAGTTGCCAAGTACGTCCAAGCGAGCAGGTTTTAGGTAGTAAGTGCCATATTTCCAAAATCGGGACTTGTATGAAATTATTCAAGATTGTTATAAAGTTTATTCCTGTTAAAAAACATTCAAGCTGTAAAAACAAAGGAAAGATTCTTGTCAGTGCTTAAAGGGACAGTCATTATTTCTCTTTGTAAACAATCAACAAAATTTTGGTAATGTGTGTTAGTTTTTTTTTCTTCTTCAGGCTGTACAGATGTTGCTTACCGTGTAATTGTTCCGTTCTTGCCCCATTTTTTTTTATTCTGGGGAAGAGCCTGTTTCTTAAGGATCGGCAGCTTTAAAACAGTGAATGTCCTTTACTGATCACCATAATCTGGTTTAAGGCAGACATTAGACTTGCGTCAGTCATTACTTACCATAAAAAAGCACATTAGACAATAGGTAAGCCAATGAACTCAAGTGAAGAAAATCTCCCCAGCTTTGTAAAAATGACTACGGATATTGCCTGTTCAGAGTTTTTATTACTGTCCAGTGTACACATTTCAATGGAAGATCAGTCCGTGGATTATTCATTGTACTGTAGTTTTTATAAATATTTTATTATCGACTGTTTTAATTGGTGAATTAGTTATTAAATGATACGGAAAACTACTGATACAGATTTACGTTGACCTTTAATGTTGTTTTTTCTTTTTCTGAGGTAAATTCAGTGATTTTGTTACACTTATTGTTTGTAGGACCATTTAATAAAACCAGGACGAAAAAAGACAAATCTCTCGGGAATTCGTTTCTTGCCGTTTGTCATTTTTAATGATTTTCAAAATGCATGTACTGTGTTTTAGCGGTGAGAGTAAATACAAGCTCCCCAAACAATTCTTAGTCTAAAAATTAAATCAAATTAATTCAGGAATTAAAATTAAAAACACCCAAAAGCTCCATTGCCTTTCTGAAATTCCTTTTGAAATTTCAGAAGACAATGTACGAGGGATGTTTTCGATTTTCACCAGATATCAGAAAGACTTACTCGTCTAAACTGGGATCTCGTCCTTGCCGAGCTCGTAATACTGAGAGTCGACTGTTTTCTATTTTTTTGGGGGGGGGGGGGGGGGGGGTGGTACCTTGAAAAATAGATTTTCAAATTGAATTGATAATTTTCTAGCATTACTTTAGTTTAACTAAATTTTAGATTTTTTTTTCGTGCGATGTCTCATTGGAAAGCTCATAATATGAGCTTTCCAATGAGACATTGCACGAAAAAAAATCGGCCGACGACAAGTAATCAATTAATTAATTTCAATTTTTGGATTAAGAGGGGAACGCTCCTAATTTGTTGTGAATAATAGTGTGCGCAATTTCTGAACTGGGGCGCGCCATTTAAAACCGCTTTTTATAACTTTATAAAGGCCTGCAAAAAGAAACAAGCAAATTTATTTGTTACAGGACATTGCATTCCATTCCAAAAGAAAATCGTATATAGGAAAATCTAGTGGGTATGCTTAGGGTGTATCCGGTTCGTAAGTGTGACGTCACTTCAGTTTAAACCACGCCCACTGCACATCACGTGCACGGAGTACGTAGCATTAATTGGAAGCCGATGATATGTACACGATGTATGTGCAAAGTGGCGGGCGCTTGTAATTTGTGCGTGCGTGCTCCGCCCCTTTTCACTGTTACACAAATCTGAATCCGTCACGTATATCATTTCAAGTAAGCACATAATCTGAGGGCTTTAGTTGTCTCTTTTGTTTTGAGGGTTTAAAGGAAAAGGTCCCCAAGTTAGCACTGATATGAGGGACTCCTTTTCGGATGAGCTCAAGAAGTACAATAAAGATGATTTTCATCGTTGCACGTGTTGAAGTAGGATGCGCCTTGCGGAAAAAGAACAGCAAGAGAGCACAACTGACCACGCCTCTCTCCCTTTTCACGTGACCACAAAAATAGCCAATAGACAAACAAAGCAATTTTTGCAAATATGGCCAACCCGCATTGCACACACTAGCAGTGCACACAACGCGTGTGCACACACGATGGTCGGCCATGCTTTCCGTGCTAGCTGGTGCCCGAACGTCGGAAAAACTCAAAACACGCTGAATTCTCGCGTACTCGATTTTAACGCCAGGTACCACTGAGCCTTTAGATGCACCATCATGGCCAGCCAAAAAGAAAACAGTGAAGTGAGTTTTGAATTTCAATGGTTATTTCTCTTCTTTATTGATTTTTGCCTATTCCCGACACTCTTAATAAACTTCAGTTGAAGGAGATTACAGAGAGTTATGTTGTGTTTAGTATATCAAAAAAGGAGTTATGAAAATACAAGGTTTAAAATTGGGTGGCAGAAACTGGCATGACTGGCAATGGCATTGTTTTGTTGTGTACGTGCGCGCCATGTGCAGATGTGTGCTGTGCACTGAAGTCATCAAGAAACAGTGACATGACTTGACAAATAACATGATAAATGGCATCGTAAATGTCACGTCATTGTGAATTTCATTGCAGGATATGTTGCCTTGCTCTATGTTTGGGAAAATTTAATGATTCTGTTTAGTTTATTGAGATGAGTGTTTGCGTGTTTAGTGAAAGTCCTGTTTACTTTTCTTGCATTATCTGAAAGTGAAACGTGCAAAACTAAATCAGGCCAACTTTACTCACTCTTTAGCTAGCAAATTTCTCCAAAAATTCCATTGGACAAAGAAAAGGTCCTCAGTATTTCATCAACCAAGTTTGCAGACTCAGTTTAATTTTTAAAGGAGACATTTCTTCAATATTTTGGACACGAGGGGGAAGTCAAGTGATTTCAAAATGGGGCTAAAGAACTAGACTGGTACATGTCCAACTATCACCTGACTATGGTCCAACTATTTCTGACCTCTTCATTCAGTGTCTTTACTGTAGTCTACTGGCTGACTATGGAGAAATGTGTAGTAAATAGAGATAAGTTCCCAGTTCACATCACATGTTTCTTTTGGCACAGTTGATTGATGCATGGAGGAATAAGAACGTTCTTATTCCTCCATGATTGATGTAGTAGGTTGTTTCAGGTGCCAGTCAATTTTCTTGAATGGCATGTTTTCAATACCTTAAGTTTTGGGGCTCTCATAAAGAGTATTGAGAGTCCCAAATTTTCGGACTAGTCATTCATCATGTTCATGCCGTTGGCAAATCTAAATTGGTTTGATGTATTTCTTGTCAAGTTGGTCATGTTGGTCACACAGAACTTCGGTGAAGACATGTCAATCATGGAGGAAGGAATGAAGAAATGTATGGGCCTGGCATATTTTCCTTGTTCCATGTAATTTGATTGGTCATTTTCAGACAACTATAATCCAAAAATGTGGAGTGTCATGGCCCAGCGGTTAAGATTAGAACACTGGACTCATGCTCTGGTGTTTCAGAGGCAACAGTGGCGTGGGTTCAAGCCCGCCGGGTGGACACTTGTGCCCTTGAGCAAGGCACTTAGCCATTATTGCTTTGTCCTTCGGATGGGACGTAAAGCCGTAGGTCCCGTGTGTCATGCACGTAAAAGAACCCATTGACACTTATCGCTAAGAGAAGGGGTTTGCCCCGGTGTTTCTGGTCTCCTGTATAAACTCCCACGCGGAGTATTTAGAAGATGAACCAACCAAGAACCAAGAACTTACGTGGAAATGAAGTGGGCCTGGGCCTAAATTGAAATTTAACATGTTAAGCCAGCTCGGTATGCCAACTACCATGACTACACATGTGTACATCAAGATTTGATGATTTTTCTTTTTGGGGTACTTCCACTAAGTTCCAGAACTGTAACAGTTTACAAACCTTAGTTACAGAAAGGCACGTTTCGGCCCCAGTATTTCTTATGTATTATCTTGATGTGGCCTGGTACCTTCAGGCTGTTCAGGGTGGTTCAAAATCCCTGAATTAAAATGTCAGTTGTGACACACAAAAAGATGAAATTTACGAGAATTTCACTTAATGATATCACAAGAATATCTACTCAGCTGTCTGCCATCATTGGCTGTCGACTGAGGGCGCATTAACTCTCTTGACCAACTACAGCACGGCTTTCATGAAGCATTCTCTTTCTCTCATGCCGTCGAATGAAAGCCGCGCTGTAGTTGGTCAAGAGAGTTAAATACTTAAAGGGCCCTTTTGAGGAATCCCTGGTTTAACTACCAGAAATAAACAATAATAAAAGGTTTGAACTCTGAATTGAATTGCAAGTCACTATCCCCATGAATGGGGCCAAGGTAGACTGCCCAGTTTCACCAAGTCCCCTGACACCTACTGGGCATTTGTAGCTCGCAAGCCTGAAGAAACCTCAGAAGACAACTTAAAAATTACAGTTTTAGAGGTGGGAGGAAAACCCAGAAGAATGTTGTGGGAAAAACAGAGGTAGGGACTGAAGAACAAATCCACATGTGGAACGGGGCAGGATTCAAACCCAGGCCATAGAGGTTGAAGGCGAGGAAAGAACCACTTCGCCAACCTGACCCTCAAATGCAGATTGTTTTACATCCTTTTTCTGAGAAACACTGTAGGTAGGCCTAACTGGTTATATGTACACAGGAAGATTAAGTGTGGCATTCATGTCTATTTTCAATGTAATTTTTTGGGAAATTTTGAGAATTTCGTTGTCTCAAAAACTCCACTTAAAATGACCATAACCCTACTGAATGTTCAATTATTTCTGGTAATGAAACTAAGGATTTCTCAAAGGCGCCCTGGGCACTGTAGCTTGCAAGCCTGAAGAAACATGTAGAGGGGAGACAATGAGAAGCAATTACAGTTTTAGAGGTGGGAGGAAAACCCTAGAAGAATATTCTGGGGAAAACCCACGGAATCTAAGTATGGACTAAAAACCCAATCCACATGTTGGCCCAGGCGGGATTCGAACCCAGGTCACAGCGGTGGAAGGCAAGGAAAGTACCGCCAAGCCACCCTGACTCCCAAATGACTCCAACAGTGGATATCTCCACTCTCCAAAACTTTGGAGGAACCTCTCCTGAAAAATTCCTGTGAAATTTAGAAATTTTCTTGAAAGATTTTGATCAGTTTGGGGGTGGATATGGCCGTGTCGGAATAAAGTCCTGTTTCTTTGTCTCTTCTCAAGGAGCCCGAGAATCTTCGGAAGATTTTTCTCGGGGGTCTGAATCGCTCCACCACCAAGGAAGAACTGAAGACGCATTTTGAGCAGTTCGGCAATGTGCTGGACTCCATCGTCATTCTCAATGCCCAGAAGCAGTCCAAGGGCTTCGGCTTTGTCACCATGGCAAGCATTGAAGAAACGGACCTGTCGTTACGGGAGAACAATTGCGGGAAACACGAAATTGGCAAGCAAAAGGTGGAGGTGAAACGCGCCATTCCACGCGATGTGAGTAGCAATGTACCCGCATGGGTGCTCATAATGTAAAGCCCGGTTCATACTTCACGCGAAAACAAGTGCGAAGCGAAATTCATGTCCTCAACAATAGTGGACACGCTTCGAACGTATTGTTGACGTCAGGAATTTCGCTTCGCTTTCGCTTTCGCGTGAAGTATGAACCGCGCTTCAGGCAAACAGAAAAACAAAAGTTCTACTTCTGATTACATACCTTTCAATTAATAGGGTAGGTAAGTCAGAATTTTTTGTGTGTGGCGCAATTCTTTTTTGTGCTGATTGAATGGAGTATTCAATTATATACAAATTTTGGCCTGAACTATTTCCGTTTGCGCTACCAAAGCTGTGAAAAAAAAAGTCACAAAAGTGATAAAAAGTTGCCTCAATTAATGTAAGAAGTATTTAATGTCGATAATTCTGAAAAATAATGGAGAATTCAGGTCGTGCACACCACTATGCACAACGCTAGTCACGATGGGAAAGTGGCCAGCTCTGCCTGTATATCGTGCGGACGCACGGTCGACAGAATGCGTGAGCAGCGTGACCACTGCACTAGCTGCGATGGGATGCACGAGCCAAGTTCTGCAGCAGGAAATTTTGCAAAACACGATGTGCTGTATCGCTTCAAGCATAGGGGGTACAACCTTGAAATAAATTCATGAAAACGTAAAGTAACGCAAAGTTCTGTGAATTAACCTGCACTTGCAGAAATCTTCTTTCTCCAGCGATGTATACTTGGCATTTTTCGACCACCATTACGGCAGTCTTACACTATGTTATGTTGACCATATACATAGACTGGTCACGAATAATAGTGAAAAATGCGACGTCACCTTGCTACCACATTTGATCATGATTCTAGAATAGTTGGTAAATGATATTAAAAGAGTGAATATGTATTAGTGCAACTTACGAACCCTTCAATTCTTGGTCTGAATTTGTCCCCCCCTCCCCCCCCCCCCTTGTAGTCCAACATCTCGCCTGACTCCACCAACCAAATCTTTGTCGGGAACCTGGGCACCGACATCACAGAGGACCACTTAAGGGAGTACTTCAGCGAATTCTCGCCGGTCAAGAAGACCAAGGTCATCAGAGAGAAAGGCGGCGGGGACAAAAGCCGGGGGTTTGGTTTCGTTGAGTTTGAGGAGCCTTTTGGCCACCATGCCGTAGACAAACTAGCAAGTAAGTTTGACTCCCAGTCACATTCTAGCCTCCAAAATCAGCCAGGAGCTTTTGGAGTGTTTTGTAGAATTGAAGCTGTATGTATGCTAAGTTGGCGAGGCAAAAACCATAACCCTGCCAAACACAACACAGTGCATCAGGTGTAAAAGTCTGTGGGACCTTGCTGCACTGAGCTTTTGGAGGGTTTTGTAGAATTGAGGCTGTATGCATGCTAAGTGCCTGTCAAGGATGCATCGTGGCGAGGCAAAAACCATAACCCTGCCAAACACAACACAGTGCATCAGGTGTAAAAGTCTGTTGGACCTTGCTGCACTGAGCATTTGGAGGGTTTTGTAGAATTGAGATTGTATGCATGCTAAGTGCCTGTCAAGGATGCATCGTGGCGAGTCAAAAACCATAACCCTGCCAAACACAACACAGTGCATCAGGTGTAAAAGTCTGTGGGACTTTGCTGCACGGAACCATCAACACCAGTGCATTAATGGCCAATTCTGAAACAATGAGAATCAGTCCCATTCAACAATGCATTTTGAGGCAGGACTGTCTGACATTTTTGAAGAATTTAGGATTTTGGAGGATTGAGGATGGTTCTTAGCAAAAAGAGCCTGGGGGTTAGGGTTCATTAACCCTAACCCTGCCAGACGCAGCACAGTGCATCAGGTGGAAAAGTTTGGTGCACTTTGATGGAAAATGCTACCAACACCAGTGCAGAAACCGGCCACTTCTGAGACACTGAGAGCTAGTCCCATAGAACAATGCCCGAGTTGTATCCTGCTGCGTTGGGGGACCACAGACTCTGAGGCAGTTTGGCCTTGGGACTTTTGACCTGATGGATCTTGCTACACTGGGCAGGCTTGTCACTTAGACAAGTGTTGCATGTTGCTGCGTTTGGCAGGGTTTCTAGCCAAAATACCCTGGAGGGTTAGGGTTAAGGCCGTTAAGGTTACGGTAGCGACCACTGACAATGGGGTGCCTTGGTTATAGTTCGTTTGAATAACTTGTCGCCACTTTGGATTGCACCTGCTTATAATAATTTTGTGCCTCTTCCTTTTATTTCCTTTTCAGTAATGGAGAAGCATCCGCTTGAAGGTCGGATGGTCTACTGCAACAAAGCAGAAGAGAGACAAAATAAGTACGATAACTACTTCGGGAAAGATCAAAATGCGAGAGGAGGTAAGTCTTTCTGATTTGATATTTTAACCCTAACCGCCCTGAATCCTTCAAAATCCTCTTTGCCAAAGTGGAGGAATTTGGAGGATTGAGGTTACATGGCAAAAGTGTGTTGCTGATTTCGTAGGATGCACTTTGCCAAGGTCTTGGGCCGGACCTTGTGTTGTTTTTGCTCAGCCATACATAGATATAGGCCTGGATTATGCGTGAAATTCTCCGTACTGCTCCAGGATGTCACTGGCCAAGCCTCGACATATTGACAGTCACTGCCGCAGGATTTTGTGGCATTCAGGCAGTGGTCAGCCCTCCACGGACCATATTCAAGAAATAATGGAAGAATTTGCAGGATTGAGGCTATATGCTATTTTTCCATGAGGCCAATAGGAAGATTTTGTGGGATTGAGGCTACATCCTAGCAAAAAGGCCCAGGGGGTTGGGATTATTAACTTTTCATTGGTCTTTGTAATGTCTTAATTTTATAATTTCTTTTTCAGATTTTCCATATAGTTATTTTGGTATTTTTAGTGTATTTTAAGAATTTTTACGGAAAGCGCATTTGAATATATTTTTTATAGAATTTGCGCTATATAAATTAATAAATTATTAATATTATTGACGGGACACAACACGTGCATGTGCGTATGGGCCTTATGCACGAGTTGGCCATTTTTGTCGAGTTCCCTGAATGTTTGTCATTAATAGTGAACTGTTAAAAAGGATGGCGCCAGACTATTTATGCAGGCCTTATTTTGCTGGTTTTTTTTTATTCAGGCTTTAAACATTAGGAATGTTCAAAGTACAAATTTCAAATTATTAAATGAAACAGACTGGAATTAATAGGTAATTCATAAATACCTTAGACAGTTTACGCATTCCTGCTGGTCGAGAGCCCGTCACGTGGCCGGTCTTAAACGGATGATAAAGACATGGCTAGCTGGTCTTAAACACTTTTCCAGTGTCACATGAAATTTGGACTCCCATGAAATCCGGTGCCTTTTAACGTTTCATCGGTTAAACGTTTACATTCCTCACGTATATGCATGCGCAATACTACCAGTGAATCAGTATTTCACGGTCCGAAATTCACACTACACCAGCCCAGAGCTGCGTTTTGCGCGACATCACAGTTTTGTGATTTGTGTTTTTTTGTTGTTGTTTTTAGCAGCAGGTTTCTTTAGTAGGAGCCCGATCAGAGGAGGCAATGCTGGATACTACGAGGGATATGGAGGTGAGTCTTACTGGGGACAACGGGGTAAATTCACTGGTATCTTGAATCCTCTTGGTGACTCAAAGCATAATTTTTCGTCACCTACAACATTGCAAAATATTTTTTTCTTTTTGAACGAGACTTTTCGCACCATTTCCATTTGCTCCATTGCTCGTTATAGCGGTGTTTCACTGTATATGGCAATCTTGTGATTTGTTTTTCCACTACAGGTGGTAATTACGGTTACGGAGGGGGCGGAGGAAGGGGTGGCTACGGCGGTGGGGGGTACGGGGGTGGCGCCTACGGTGGTGGCAATTACGGTGGGGGAGGCTACGGTGGTGGCGGCGGTGGTTATGGCGGCGGTGGTTATGGTGGTGGCAGTTATGGCGGAGGCGGTTATGGAGGGAGTGGGGGCGGTGGCTACGGTGGGGGAGGCGGCTACGGAGGGGGGAACTACAAGGGGGGATATTAGCGCTCGTCTTCTACACAGTCTCGTGGTAAGTCACTAACCCTTTTACTGTGTAAACCATATTCAGTATTTGGGCAATTCCACGTTACATTTTGGTAACGTGAGTAACCGATTTTGTGCGTCTTGTTCATCATACATAACACATTTTTCTGGATGTCATCTGTGGTGCTTAGGTAGGTCTAAGTCTACTCTATCTACCATGAGGATGACAGTTATTAAACCTTTTCAGTAAGGTAATTACAGCCTAAGGAAACTCAAAAGTACATCAAAAATGTAACGTGAGTAACCGTGGAATTGCCCGTATGTCTTCACTTCCAACCATTCAAATTTTCTCATGTGAAAGGATTTGAAGTGTTAAATAACTGCATTGTGTAACGGTTGTCCGCGTAAAAGACAATGATTCTTGCATGTGCAGCTAAATAAGTGAACCGGACCGCTTTCCCAGACAAGAGACTGAAAGGTCTAGAAGGGCAAAGCACACCGCACAGAGCGTTATTCTGAAAGATCTTGCAAACTGTTTGCAAAATCGACAGCAGGCCGCACAGCCAAACCTTTAAAATCTAGAAAACCTTAGACAACCTATATTTCAACTAAAAGTCTGTGCTGTTTTTTTAATGTAAGGCCAAAAAAAAAAAAAGTTAGTCTGGTCAGTGCGCACGTTGTTTTTAGTCATGCGCGTCAATCTTTTTTTTTTTCAAAAATGTTCCGCGGTAGCTCCAACAGCGCCCTCTATTGCCGCACCTGCTCAATTTTTTTTTACCAAAGAGCACCAAGGAATGGGAAATTGCACCAAGGCAAATGATCGAGAGCACCAAGGCAAATAATGGAGGACACCAATGTACATGAGGACACCAAAAAAGCAAAATAGTACCCACCTTGTCTGTACAATCCAAGCTTGAAGAGAAAAAAAAGAAGCCGCGTCCCCGCGTCAATTCCGGAACTTTGGTCTGACCAGAGACCGAATATTTTTTTTTTTTTGGCCTAACCATTATTACCTATAAACCTATATTTTTTATTTTGCCATACATTTTAACAATTTGTGAACAAAATTTGGAAAAAATGACCCACAGTTAAGTTATCATGATGCCAAAATAACCACATTGTCAATATACCTCTGTAAAACAAAAATTTAACAAGTGTTTCAGAATTGGTCAGTTGAGTTTTAGGTAACTTTATCTAGTGTGGAGAGCTGGAGGTATATGCTGTATTTCCGCTACCTCATATGCTGAAAAATGGCGTCTCTGAAAAGGTATAAAAGTTGAACAAAGAAATTGACTTCAGCAGGATTTGAACCTGTGACCTCTGGATCACTGTACCGGTTATCAAACTAAGTATAAAAAAATGTCGGTGAACAATAGTCATTGTCTGCTCAAATCTCGTTCAGACTTGTAAGTAGAACTGTTAAAGGGAATACACAACATTTGCAAACATCAAAAAAAAAAACACTACCAAATTATTATGAAATACCAAACTGGACTGTTAGTGAATGACAGTCTAAGCATCCTGTAAAATCATGGCACCTGATGTGTTGTCATTTTCAAGAAAAGTGGTATTATTGTATCAATTTCCAACTCTGGTCAGCCGACCAGCGTTGGAGAAACTGGCTTTTTCAAATACTGCCCCTAATTTACCATTGTCCGCATCTTGTTTGCAATCGATTACACACCTATGAATGGGTACTAGCCAGCTAGACTGGTTCCCTGACCTTACAATTCCTTGACGTCTATAAATTGCTCCGTTTCATCACAAGTGGGGCCACGGAACCAGACCACAGGAACATGATTGGTTTTTCCTGCAACTACAAATCTTCAAACCTTCAAACAAGTCAGTGTAACAATATTTGCTATAAAATACTAAACCCCCCCAAAAAAATCCATCCATTTCTGAAAATTACTGCAAAAGCAAATGTTGTATATTCCATTTAACAGCCATTTGCCAGACTTCATCCATAAAACTTTTAACTTCCAATTGGTTATGAGATTTCCAAATGGTTTTTCGTTTGTTCTATCTCACAGAATGTGTGGAGGACTTGTACATTTACAGTACAATAGCAGTAAGATGCAGTGTTGTCCCTCATCAGAGACCGACACCACTTCATGACCATCAAGATTACATCCGGCAAGACTTGCACGGGCGCTTCACGGTGAAAGCGCATCGATTTCAGTTTTCCTCGTAGAGTATACTTACTTGTCCCTATCCTTCTTACAATCAGGTGCCAGTGTTGAAAGTCAAGTCCATAACCAGTCCGGTCAAACGTTAATCACAAGTTCTGCGTTGCCTCTGGCAGGTTTTAGGGTTAAGACACAACTCCCGTAAAGATTAAGACATCTAACCTTGACGTCAAAACAACCTTGTTAACCAATCACAGTGCACTTTTCAACTCCTCCCTTGAAAGTGTGCCCACAAATTGTCCAATCAGGGCGCATTAAAATTAGCCTGTACTAAGGCCATTGGTTTTGTGGTTGCAGTGTCCCAGCAAACATTTCCCTGTCCCGATTCTCCGATTAGGATCTCATTGTCTTGCGGTGCAAGGCATGCGAGCAACTCGCTCAATTTTCCTTCTGAAATTCTTGGGCTCAAAAGTAACTCCAACTGCTTTAGGATAGTGTCACAATGCTGTCTTGTAAACTGTATTAAGGTATTGAAAATACCGCTGTTTTAATATACATGCATACATTTGTGTAGAATATTAGATGTACAATTCTTGTGGGTTTTAAAAAGATGTGCCTACTTAAACCCATAAACAATATTTACTGTAGATTACTTATTAGTGTTACTTTTGAGCCCAAGAAACCGAGGAAGTTGTCTTTTTATTTGGGGCGGAGCTCCAAGGAAGTCTTGAATGGGACCTGACGTGGTCATTGGTGTTATGTATGAATTACACACTTTGCTGGCTCTGTCATTGGCTGACAGTTTTGGCCAACAATGAATATTCATATTGTTTTATGAATATTTGTTCTTGCTGCTATTGTAATGTAACAAAAAAAAAATTCCTATCAATTGTAAATAATTCAATCCAAAGATTCACTTTTTGTATTTTTTGGGTCGAAAGTGGTCAAACTGCTGTACTGGCAGAAAAAAAAAGAAAAAAAAAGACCACACTGAAATCTGGTCGACAAAACGTTGAGCAGAAACAAAAAATTTCGTAAGAAATTCTTCCAACCGAATTTTTTAGTTTTTTCGTGAACTAAGATCTGTGGCGTCACCCTTAACTTCATCGCAGCGTACTTTCTTGGAAATTAATGAGTAAGAAAATGAAATGTTTAGTGATACTCTCTGTACATGTATTGTAATTGGCTATGAATGATTGGATGAGAATCGTCAATCGTAAGGTAACTGCAAAAATAATTTCAAATTTCTCAGCTTTTATTCCAATTTTATTTTTTATTTTATTTTTTGGTCGCCTTGTTTCTTTTGGTTTTTGGATATTACAAGCAGTGGCAAGGAGAGTTGATAAGTTCAAGGAGAAACACAAGTTTATTGGGGAATATTGTCGACCGTTTGCTGTAACTGGTATCTTCTGATTTGACTGAAGAAGTAAGTCAGTTATTGAGAGACTTAAAAAAAGTCTTGTGCACAACTCAAGCTCATATTTTAAAGAACGGCTAATTGCTAAGCACACTATTTTGCTGAAACAACATGAAATGTCAGCCTAGCTAAAACAAAACTACAACAAGAACAACAATAACAATAACAACAACAAACAAAGGTGACTGGTTTCCAGCTAGTTACTTAAGGCGGCATTTTCATTTCTATTGGTTGCAGGTAACCAGTCAAACATGTCATGTGACATGTAATTTCCAAAAAAAAATAACCTATGGGCATAACGTCACTGGGCACATGCCCTATTGCCAAGACAGAGTTTGCCAGTGTATTCTAATCTATTCTGTCACTGGCATCTTTAGTTCTAGAACAAATAAGTTCTGGAACAAACAGCAAAAGTGTTTTAGTCTTACCCAGAATGCATTCCAGTGTGCGCATGGAACACTTTCTGTTGAATACATCTCCCAGAATGCATTGCGTCACTTTAGTTTCGTAGTGAATGTTGTCACATCTGACCGAAATAAAAATTGGTTCTGCTCGGTGCATGCGTAACTGGCAAACGTCTCTTGCGATGAATTATGTGCCTCAATTTACATGAGAATACACAAAAATCACGACAATATTCCCCATTTACAGATGACATGATCGACAGGTAAACAACTCAGCAACAGGGTATTGGTAAAACAATATTGGTACATGTAAGTGGATAGATTCTGTATGACGTCAAAAAAAAATGTTAAAATTTGTTAGTACATTGAACAAGTATTGTGTGTCGTAACAATTTGCGAGTGGGAACACTTTGGAAACGCGAGTACGAGTACTAAGACCCTGGACTTTCAGTTGAGTATTTTTCCTGATTAATTATGAGTACTGAGTTAGTTTGGAACTCACGTTACTCAAAAAAACAAACCACACTTCCGTTATGCTGATGACATGTAAAAGTAAAATTAAGCATCTAGTATTTAGGATCGATATTTCTCTGTGTTGATCTAACAGGGTTTACACACAGTGATTTGTGTATTGCACATTGATCGTGTGTTCCCAGCCCTGTTGGTGTCCTGTTTAAAGTTTGCCAGAACATGGTTTGAATCAGGCAGTTATATCTATGGCTATGGATAACTGCAGCAGTGCGTTAATGGCAACTGTCAGAGCCTTAGCCTCGAGGCTTGATTCAGACTTGGTCTACGGCTAGCAGAAAGCTCTAGTCTGGTGACATGAGTTCAAGATAAGGTCTTAATAATGTCTCGCCTTCTGAGCACCAGACGGAAACTTGAGGTGGAAAATCATTCCCAGTGCCTCAAAGTTTCTTCCACCAGATTGTAGCATTAACCTATATTTTTTGGTTGTTCAAATTTTACAATAAATTTTGTGGGGAAAAAAAGCCTTCTCAACTAACCTGTACAAAAATTTACAAAGACTGTAGATTGTATCACAGCTATGCACTGCCTTGAGGAAAAAGTTCAGAGTTTTTACGTGCAACTGGTCGTTTTTAGTCAAGCACTGTTTTTTTCTGACATTCGACTTGGCCACAGTAAATTGAATTTGTGTTTCCCCATAGGTGTTGGGTTTTGAACTCTGAACTTTTTCTTCCACATGTAAATTTTAATACTCCAATGTGTGCGTGTGAACCCACTGTCATCCCGTTGTGCGCTAATTCCGACTCGTCGCCCGTTCTTAGTAGTTGTTGCTAAATTGTACTCCTCGATAGTGTTCTCTCTTGCCAGTTGCTAAATTATATTCTTTGTTATTTCGGTGCAAAGTTACAAACTTTTATGAGGGAAGGGGATTTGTGTTATGTACAAAAGCCCCAAAGCCACTGAATGCCCCTGTTTTTGTTATACATGTATATGTACTAGTCATGCATAGATATATTTTTCCGACAGTCATTTTTGTAGCTCTTTAAACGTTCATTTCTTTGGTTGAACTCTTTTGTAAGTATTACACAGTTCCGTTTTCGTGATGTTCTAGTTCAGTGATGTCAATAAATTGCGAAAGACCCGAAACATGCTGTCTGCAGTGCCTCTTTTTTGTAAGTTTTGCTGGTCACCCTATGTCCCACTTGTACCCATCTTACAAGATTGACTGACCGACTGTCGCGTGCAAGCCGGGCAGTGCTATTGTATAGGATTACCCCATAATTGCAACAAATGGCCGAAATCCCGGTTCATTGTAACCGACTTCCAATGAATAGCAAAAACATACTGCAGTGCCTCTGTGTTTTAAGATTTGCTTGTGGGCCTTGTGTCCTATTTGTACCTATCCTACTGACCAACTGTCTATTGTATAGGATTACCCCATACCACCAACAAATGGCCGAAATCCGGTTCATTGTGACAGACTTCCAGTGGATAGCCATTTTGAATCAATTGAATGGAATTCGGAGCACTGCTGTACTAGTCTAGCCTATTCTTGTTTCACTAACTGTTTCCAATGTACATGCATTTTGACTGTAGAAGCCGTTGCATATAGGCTTCATTCAGGCCCCGCCATATTAAATTGAAAGCGAGGTAAAATCTTCATTTTTGGAACTTGCGAATAGAAATGACAACAGTGAAATAAAGTTAACTTCACTTAATACCAGTCTGCTCTGATGAAGAACTTAAAATTTCTGATTAAACATATCTTAATTTTTTAAGCCACACTTAAAAAAAAATGAAAGTGGGGCTTTGAGCGCATGGATAGTCTGGCACCACCCCATTCAACAGTTTACAATAATATAAAATACATTCAGGGAACACGATCAAAAAAGGTTTCTTCGTGAATAAGGCCTATTGTTGGCTATAGAAATAAAACGACCATAGAAATATATGCCATTTGCAGCAAGCAAAAAATTGCCATTTCCATGATCATGATGAGATGTGCATGTATGTGAACCAACTTTAAATCAGTTTTAAGACGCAAACATGATTGCAAGATAAAGTATTAAATACGGCAGTTTTCATACCAAAATGAACATTTTAAGGTTGTCTCTCCAAAATGAACACAAATAGCTGAAAATTTCAGAGTGCAATTGAACAATCTTAACTGCTTACGCATTCGTTGTTTCAAAGGATTCGTCTTTTCTTTCAAATAATTGTTACCTGTTTATTGAGAACAGGCGGTTTTTAAATCTAAATTACAACTGTAATCTCTACTCTGTTTACCATTATTTATATGTTTACCGAAACACTGTTTATAACTTGTTTGCATTTACGGGATTTGTTTATTTGGTTTAGGTTCAAAGTTTACTGTGTACCGAGTGATAAACAGTAAACGAAAGCGTTTGCAGAATTTGTGTAGTCGGACTATATAGACTAAATAAATTAGTATGTAAATTAGTGGAAATTGGAGAAAATAAAGTTATTTCTCAGTGCTGAAAAATCCTACACCCATCATTTTTACAAGTGTACAGTGCACCACGCCTCTTCACTCAAAGGGTCCAATCAAAAAATCTGAGTTGCTAAACCCCGCCCGCAAAAACCTGGAGTCAACCCCCCCCCCCCCACCTCCGATATTGATTCTTTTGTTGGGGTGCTTTCCTAGAAATGCATTGTCAGATAATTGCGAATTACTTACTTGAATAATTAGCATTAACGCCCTTTCGATTATTATGTCTGGCGCCCTCACATGAAAACTATTGTGTGAGGTGTGGGAAATAGGGGGATATTTTGGGCCCACTTAGTAAATGGGGTGGTCAGTGCAGGAGCTTTAAAAAAGGACCTCAGATACTTTTAAAACCCCCAAATTAATGACACTCCTTCATGTCAACATGATGCGCTAATTAAGGCTACTATGTGAATACAAGAAAGTATTACTAAGAAAGTATTAACCACAACCAAGCAACTGATGAAACTGCATCCCTCTTGATGTCCCTCCCTCTTTAAGTTTGAGAACAAAACTTCCTATGATAAAGTCGAGTGATTTTAAGATGAATCTTAGCTTTGTCACATTCGAGGGTCTAGGTACTAGGTCTGTAGGAGACGCGCTTTAATTATTGTTGCTGGTTAATAAAAAGCACGTGCCAATTTGACACTGTACTGTCATTCAGCGAAGCGCCGCCTGTAGAAACAGTGTCTCTTGGTACGGGGAGGGGCGATCGAGGGGGTTGTCTGGTGCATGTCAGCCAACAGTGTTCATGTTGACAATGAAAGGGATTCGGAAGGGTTGCATCGGATTATGTAATTACATTTTAAAGATTTCTCTATGGTGCCTTCTCCGCTATTTGTCAAAATTTGTCTTATTTTTTTGTTTGCAGTCACTGTGTATGAAACGTTGAAATTGAATTCAGTCGCTAATTTAACTTATTTTGCGGACTTTTCTCAAGATAAATATTAGCACCCCGTGCTCCACCCCCGGCCCCGTACCCCTAAAAGTACACGTTCTCAATCGCCCACGCAAGTGACTTTCGTTGCCTCCGAGCTCCGTCCCGCGTCACGTTACGCATTCAAGTCCCCCCTCTGGAACGAGAACACCTCAGCTCCACTGAAACCGTTTTTTTACCGCCAAAGCGTGACGTTACAAAGTACACGTCAATCAATCATGAAGTTTGCTCGTACGCATGCGCTAAGTCTTTGTTAGCAGGATTTTTTACATGCGCACACTGTATGTGTACTGCATGCTGCATTTAATTTACGCGTCATTCCACTACATCGTCGTGCACTAAGGAAAGCAAAATGAGCCGTAGAAGCGACGTAAGTAAATTTCTCCTCAAAAATATTACCAAATATTGCCGTTGAATTTGCATGAATGTTACATGGAATGTTTCTTTATATATTGTAGATGGAGACAGTAAATTTTAACATGGGGGAATTTAACGTTAAAAGGGTACATTTTCTGTGCATTGTTGTCGTGTATTTCCGTAATTTTCTGTCCTGCTGGGTTTGTAAACCACGTGGTACACGCGCACGGCGTGCTTTTCCGGGCTCAATGAATGGGCAATGTGCATTTCTACTACAACTACAAAGTACAATGTGCTTTTTTTCTCCATTTTTTTCACTAGTGCGTGGTACTTTATATTCATTACATGTGTATGGGAAAGATTTCAAGTAAAATGGGGGAAAGAATGTTGCATTCGGACACCAATTTATTCATTCATCTGTCATGTGTCTGTTCATTATCTTCCCAATGAAGGTCATTGCAAAAAATGTTGGAAAAACATGAATCTGGGACTGAGAAACGTTTCCAGTTTTGTTAAGAAATACTTTGAAAATGTTCTTGACTCTCCATAGACTTTGTACACAACTGCTGAAGTGGTGTCTGGATGCTGCATTCTTTCCAAAATGTGTTCTTAAAATATTTCAAACTCATTTGAAAATGCGGGGTTTTTTTCAGTCCCAGTTGCATGTGTTTGTAACTTGAATAGCAAATTTAATATTTTTAGATTTTTAAATTTTCTGGGACAACTTTATGATGCAGGGGAGTAATTGCAGAACACCCTTCAACTCCAAAATAACCCCCAGAAGAGCTAGGGAAAAGGCTGAGGCATGTTAGGAAAAAGTCAAAAATGTTTCCCCCAGAGAAACTGGGCGGAGAAAAAAAAAATCCTCTCAGGGGAATTAATCAGTAAAAAAAGCTAACCTTTCTCAATCCTCTAAAGTCCTCTTTGCGGTTTTGGAGGATTGAGGCTGAATGCAACATATAATTTTGGAGGATTGTGGACTGTGGAGGATTGAGGGCACATGGGCATTCAGTATCAGTTGATTTTGGAGGATGAATGGTGTTCATAGAAGAGGAGGATTTTGGAGGATTGAGAGAGACTGAAAGCAATTTGAGAGGCAGGGCTGTTGGTAGCCCCATAAATGTGGCCTATTTACTGGACTGCCTCCGTAAACATAGGCCACACATCCACATGTACAAAAACGTGTCGGCTTTGCCAAATTTTGATTTTCACATTTAGGCTTACTTTGTAGGGTTTTTTTGCTTTAGAAGCATTCTCACCCTCTATATAGGCTAATCAGAAAGTGCTGCCTTTTTCAGATGTCTAATTTTTGTGAAATTTCATGTTGAAATTTTGATACGTAAACGTGTGCACAAGTATCTGGAAATTTCACGAAAAATGGACATCTGAAAAAGGCAGCACTTTCTGATAGCCTATATAGAGGGTGAGAATGCTTCTAAAGCAAAAAAAACCTACAAAGTAAGCCTAAATGTGAAAATCAAAATTTGGCAAAGTCGACACGTTTTTGTACATGTGGATGTGTGGCCTATGTTTACGGAGGCAGTCCAGTAAATAGGCCACATTCATGGGGCTAGGCTGTTGGTAGGATTTTTAAGATTGAGGCAGTGGGAATCCTTCATTTGAACATAAGTGCACAATTTCGGAGGATTTTGGTGGATTGCGGGTTGCTCCTATTACTATTAGGGCCTAGGGTTAACTGAATGAGGATAAAAAAAGTCCTAATTGGAAGTGTGTGCCTGGAGTGGCTATGCAAATGCAAATGTGCAATGGAGCATGACACGTGCACATGTATGCTGGTTCCACTGACAAGGTTTATTGAAGTCAATCAACTGTGACTGTCGCCGTGGCAATGTATTCTGCAGTTGTGCCAACTAAAGCGCACTCTTCTGTACCGAAAAAAAGAAGAAGTTGGGACCAAAAAACGTCTCCACTTTTGTTAGAAAATGCTTTCCCATATACTTTTTAGTACTTAAAAACTGTCCCATTGCAAATGTACACTCTGTGAGGAGTTGTCCTTTCAGTCAAAATCAATCAAGTGAATATTTTCAACAGTTAACAGCTCCCAGCCTTCATCAAGCAGGATTGACTGGCTGTGACTGTTAATGTAACTTGATGCAGCTATGCTTTGATTGTAGGTGATTGATAAGCCAGCTGTGCCTACTACTTGCCTGCTTTTGTCTGTTGACTGAATTTGACTAGTCACAGTGCTTGCTTGAAATATGATCTGACTGTTGGTGACTTAGCTTGTGCAAAAGGCGTGGCAGGGGAAAAGGATTGATTTTTTGACTGTCTGTGACTGTTCAGATAACAGGAGGGTTAACCCTAACCCCTAGGGTGATTTACTAGGAACCTTCCTCATCCTTGCAAATCCCAACACCATATGGTCAACTGTACACATAAACAGTTGGACTCTGTTTATTTGTGGTATGCCTAACCCCAAATTATCAGATTCCAACAAAGTTGTTGGAGTTTGATGGATGGGGATTGTTAGGGTGAATGCGCAATTGATATTTAATTTAGAATAGGGGATTGCAAACCAGACGGAAGACATTCGAAGTGTGAAATCGCTCTTATATTTGAAAAAAATGTATACTTTATTTTTCCAGGAAAAAATGAGGAAGCTCTTTCTGGGCGGTCTTCACCGCGACACGGTGGACGATGATATCAAAGATTACTTCAGCAAGTTTGGTACAGTGGAGGACCAAGTGGTAATCCGCAAACCAAACGGGGAGTCCAAGGGTTTCGGGTTCGTCACGATGTCCAACATGGAGGAGACGGAACTGGTGCTGAACGAGAACAGCGACGGCAGACAAGAGATGATGGGCAACAGCGTGGAGGTCAAGAGAGCAGTGCCTCGCGAGGTTTGTTGCTTTTCTTTTAATACTTTGGCAGTGGATGTTTGGCAGGCGCCGGTTTCTGTTTCGTGAACGTTATCTTCATGGAAGCTTTCTCCGATTGGCTGTAATAAAATCATGTCCGGGCTTCTTTTAGTAAACTTTCTTTTAGATTGCTGGAGCAATCAGACTACCTCCGGCAAAACTAAGGATTACTAAAAGCAAGGTGGTGCGGCCAATATAATGTCATTTTAATTTTAGCCAGTCAGCGAAAACCTCCGCCGTTAAAATAATGTTTACTGAGAAAAAACTGGCGCTTGCCAAAATATCCACTTCCTTCTATTTTCTGGAATTTCACTTGTCATAGCCAAAATTCAACTTATTTTTCAGTTAGGATCATCAAAAGCATACCTCATTTTTTAACATGTTGACATTGCATATACTTCAACCATAAAAACTCTCTAAAACACTCCAATATTTGCTGGAAGAAAAGATCATATGTTCATGCATTGTAAACTACAGGACATTACAACATTGGGGGGGGGGCGCAGTCACAAACACGACAAAGTACCTAGCCCTTTTAAGGTGTTAATTATCTCTTAAAGCTTTGCCTTTGCAAAATCAATGGCTTTTTGACCAACATTGCCCAATATTGAAGATTTGACAATTTCAGGCATGTCGGAGCCCAAAATCCCACCCCGCCCCGCCCCACCCCTCGTATCGACAGAATTGGAAGAGAGGTGGTTGCGCTGTGTACTGATGCCCTAAATTGTTCATTTTTCACCCAGTCACAAGGCGGACGAGATGGTGGTGGTGGTGGTGGGAGATTCAGGGTGAGTAAAGGGGCCATGAACTTCACCTTTTTCGTCCCCAAAATTGGTGTTGCCGTGATTTTAGGAAAACTAAATAATGTTATCCCATTACTCACTGCACTGCCCCGAAGTGCCCTGCCTGTTACTCCCTTTACCACCCCAAATGAGACACCAACTGAAAAATCGGCCCGTTTTTAGCTATTGAATTTTTACTTTACAATTTTGTATTGTTGGCTGATAGACAAAAACAAATCCGTTGTTGCATGGTGGGCTGGTTCCCACCTGACAATCAGTATCTATAATGTATGGACCGGGAGCCAGACTGCTTGCAAAGCAGATCTATTTGTGCCCAAAACAAAGAGCCTTTTTTGTTCATCAAAAAAAAGGAAAATGAGATTTTTAGGTTGGAATATAACAAAAGTTGAAAAGTTGTTAATAGAAAAATATCAAATTTGTTGAAAAGTATGGGGACTGCTACTATAATGGCGTGCCTGCCTACCTGAATTAATATAGCAAAACACACCTCCAAAATGTCTACTGAATGCAATCGCTCTATTGGAAACCAGGGCCATATCTGATCCATGTCATTTCTTGTTTTGGATTTTTTCGTGCATTTTGAATATCTAGACTTCTTACCTTTTATTATAATTCATACTTTTTTTTTTTTTAAATTACAGGATAGCATGTCTAACAAATCTGTCAAGAAGATGTACATTGGCAACCTGCCCATGCAGATGTCCGAGCAGAACCTGGAGGATTTCTTCTCACAGCACGGCACCGTGACCAACGTCAAGATCCCGACGTCGCGGGATACCGGGGAGAGGCAGAAGTATGCCTTCGTGGAGCTGGAAGAAACGCACGCTGTGGATAAGCTTGTCTGTAAGAGATACATCCTCTCCCCCTGTCCCCCCCCCAAAAAAAAATGCCGATGTACACTTATCTTGAAAATGTTACTCCAGGTCTGGGGTGTCTTTTTTTGCTCGTAAACAATTTATAAAGAAATAGCTGTAGTTGGAAAGGGTAGTAGAAAAGAATCAAGCCCAACTTTACCTCTAAGACTTGCAGTCTGTGGACAATGCAAAAAAATAGCTACCGTCTCAAATGTGAACAATCAGGATTTTTCTACATTTTTCGCAGCAAGTGTAAAGGCCACTGCAACCTATTCGATCCGACTACATTCTGATTGCAACCATAAGCTTCTGAATCGCGATCGGTTCGCAGCATAATGAATACTCTATGACATCACGTCGCGCACTTTTCTTTTCCCTGAAGGCCAACCTCGCCATTACCGGTCTACAATTCAAGTCCTAAAGATTTTACGGTCAAATCTTCATGACTGAAAATCGAAATCGTAATTCACAAATCCACTTTCAAATACTTGCGCTTTCCAGCAAAGTACACAACAATGGCATTGTGTATCCAATTATATCTCACTGAATTAACCCTAAGCTCCCTAGGGGGTGTGCAAAATCATATTGAAATTGGAGGATTCAGGACTGTTAGGGTTAATACTGAACTTTTTTTGTTCCCTGCAGTGCAAGGTGACCACGAGTTCAACGGCCTGAAGTTCTACGTCAAGAAGGCCATGCCCCAGGGTGACCGTGACGGTCGTCGCGGCGGCGGTGGTGGCGGCGGTGGTAGGAGCTATGGCGGAGGTGGCTACGGTGGTGGTGGCAGCTATGGTGGTGGTGGCTACGGTGGCGGCGGTGGTGGTTACGGCGGCGGAAGAGGTGGCAGTTCGTATGGCGGGGGAAGCAGTGGAGGATTCAGGAGAACCGGAGGTCGCGGTGGAAGCAGTGGAGGTGAGTAGAACAGCTGCATTTTTGAAACCCTTTCTGGGGCACGTGTGGTCTAGCGGTGGAGCACAGGATTCATGATCGTGAGGTTGTGGGTTCGAGCCCTGCCGTGGCCATGCGTGTTGTGCCCTTGAGTAAGGCGCTTTACCTCAATTACTCCTCTCAACTCGGGTGTTGAATGGGTACCGGCATTATTCAATGCTGGGAAGGTAACAGACTTGCTGTGGAGGAGGTGTGGCAATCCCCCCACAGCAGCATTTCATGGAATCGAGTCTGGCCCAATCGCGTCAAAATAAAGATGGGCACTCCTGTGGACACAGGTTCGTCCCCTTTCCTTTTTGTTTGTTTGAAAACCTTCAGAGTAGAAATTTTCTTGATTTTTGGGATATCCGGTTTTATGGCCTCAAAAATCAGCTAACTTGAATCAAGATTTTATTGAGAAAATGGAGAGATGGGATTAGAACAGGCTAACTTGATTGTTTTAGAATGATTGAAGTTGAACTTCTATAATAGATCAAATATTGTTAGACTGACATGTTTGAAGGTTTGTGTTCGAAAATGCTGGGAAAAAACCAAGAAAAACAAAAATGTTCAAGTAGTCTGGTTCCCTGACTCCACTAAATATAAAATGGATCAATTTACAGATGCCGGAAACTTGTAAGGTAATGGAACCAGTCTAGCCGGCCTGCACCCGTTCATGAACATGTAACCAATAGCAAACAAAATTTGGACTGAAAGAAAAATGGTTAATTTGGAGCAGTAGTTGAAAAATAGTCAGGTTTTTCCAATGGTGGTCGGCCGACCACCGTTGAAAATTTTTACAAAAATACCATTTTCTTGAAAATGACTTCACACCAGGTGCCATAATTTTACAGAATGCTTTAGACTCTCATTTACCAACATCCTAGTACGGTATTTCGTAAAAACTAGGTAGTTTAATTTTTCGATGTTTGCAAATGTTGTATATTCCCTTTAATTCACAGGCTATGGAGGTAGTAGTGGTGGCGGCGGTGGTGGTGGTAGATACGGTGGTAGCAGCGGTGGTGGTTACGGAGGTGGGGGCAGTTACGGCGGAGGCAGCGGCTCATACGGCAGCGACTCGTACGGCAGCGGGGGCAGCAGTTACGACAGCTTCGGATCCAACTACGGCCAGAGCACGTCAAGCTATGGTCCCATGAAAAGCGGCGGTGGCGGTGGAAGGAGTAACTATGGAGGTAAATGTCTGGGTCAAAATGTACAGAGCAGCTAAATTTAGCAAATTTATGTGGAGAACCGGCCGGGAAGGAGTCATAGGCAATACAAACCAATGACATTTGGATTGGTTTTCAGATTTGGTTATCCCTCTCTCCCCCCCCCCCCCCCCCTCCTCAACAAGCCTGCTTCAGATGGAACTTAACCCACGACCTTCTGCTTACAGTTACAGACTTCTTGATAACTGGCGAGCTTGACAATTCAAATCTGACGTAACAGCAGGTACTACAATCAATACCTTATTTATCCCTAACTAGAGGCATTTTTGCTAGGATGCAGCCTCAATCATGCAAAAATCCTCAATCCTGCAAAATCTTCCAACTTCCTCTGTGTAAAAATTGCACACGGCCTCAATCCTCGAAAATCATCCGCTATTTCTAGAATGTGGTCCTTGGAGGGGTGACCACTGCCTCAATCCTGCTAAATCCTCCATCAAACACTGTTAATATGGTGAAGCAGAGCCAGTGACATCCTGGAGCAGTGCAGAGGATTTCAAGTATAATCTAGGCCTTAATTTATTCACGGCTGAGCATAAACAACACAAGGTCCAGCCCAAGACTTTGACACAGTGCATCCTCCAAAAATCAGCCACACATTTTTATCATAAAGTCTAATTCCTGCAAAATCCCCATTTGGCAAAGAAGATTAGGGAAGGTAAGGGTTAATTTCTGATGCCCCTCGTCGAAGAGGTCGTCCCAACATGACCCTGAAAACCTCCATCGAGCTAGAAACTGGTCTGAGCGGTCCATCTCTTTCCAACACTATGCTCGACAGGGACAGTACGGCCCAACTCATCAAGTCAGGAAAGTGAATGAATGAAGAAGAGGAAGAAGGGTTAAGTGAGTTTTTCTTTTCTGTTCACAGGCTCCAACAACAGCGCAGGGGGCTACGGCGCCGGTAGTTACTCCAACGGCTCTAGTGGCTACAGTACTGGGGGAAGCACGGGTGGCTATGGCAGTGGTGGCACCGGGGGCTATGGAAGCACCGGAGGCAGTGGGGGTGGCGGCTACCGAAGCAACCCTTACTAGGCTCAGTATCATTCCTTCACCAGTTGCTTCCTTGAGGTAAGTGTGGTTTCTCGATTCCTTCCAGTTTGTGTTTTTACGTCCACTGATTTTTCGAGGCAGGTGCGTTACCCAAAAGGTTTTTTCTTGATAAAAGTGACCTTCAAGTAACTTTTTGTTTTCCTTTGAAATTTTCAACGGGCAAACAATTTAAGCTATTTGACCTTGCCAGACTTGGTTGCTGCAGGAAACATCGGTGTCAAAACCATCATTCCGCCTTGTTCGAAATTGTTGAGACTAAATTGTGACTGGTCAAATTGTTTAAGACCGATTTGTTATCTTATTGAACAAGGAATTATCTGAGACCGTTGCTCCAGTCCAAATCCAGTCTGGTCCCATTCTTCATACAGAGAAACTAGGGCTGTTCACATTTTTTTGAAGGGACCAGACTAATTTATAGTAAAGCTTTTATCTGTGCCTCATAAATGAACCACCTTGTCAACATTAGATCAAGGATGCCATCAGAAGATACAGTTCTTAAAATTTTAAGAATTTTAAGTCGCGAATCCCTGATATTTACAGGTTTGCAATATAGAAATTTTGAAGATTTGTTGATGTTTGCATATTGCATTGTATTGCTTTTTGTGTTGCTGTGATGTTCACAAGTGACAGTATTTAGCCTTGCTTTGGAACAATCAATTTGGTATGGATCAAACATGTAGGGGATCAGTCGGAAATGCACAACTTTTTGAAATTGGGAAGAGGACATATGGCCAAAATGAAATAAATAATCTAGAGGTACGGATGTCAAAACAGTGGGAGACTGAGAAAGCCTTAGAAACTAGAGCCTCATTTGTGAGTTGTTCCATTTCGTATTTTACTTGCAATGTTAAGGCTCTTGATTGTTGCAAGTCAGTTATTAGGTTAAAAAAAAATTCTAAAATTCAGCTCTGTTGAAGGGTGTTTCGCAAAGTCTCTTTTTGATCCTTGGGCCGCTATCAGCAAATTGGGTGCACTGCTTGAGATAGAACTTGCCTACGTCGTTCCAAAACTTCGCGCTTCACTTTTGAATCTCACGTCCATTGATGTTTATTCTTGAATGTTACCCGCTTTTGATTTGTGTGATTTTAAGGAATGTCTTTGCCTTCTTTACAACGCTTATACAGCAGGAACGTCTCTCTTTCTCAGACTCGATCGGCCCAACTCCTAGGCTGGCTTTGTAGACCTGTGTAGCCCCAATGACTAGGTTCTGACTGAGGACGGATGTAGGTTGCGTTGCCACTGAACTAGGAAGAGCCTTTAAGAAAGTTTGGGGATTTACCGTCCGTCTGAGAAAAGCTAAGGAATCGACTGTTTGAGGTTCACTTGCCTTCCAAGAAAGGCAAAATGCATCTGACAAGCTGTGAAAAAAAGAAGGAATATTGAAACACAGCTATCAGATGTTGGTTTTAACTTTATCATCGTCATTTTTTAGAGACTGCAATTTCACTCTTTGAAGCCTTCAAATCGGTGCATTTTTACACCGGTTCAAGGGATTCAAACCGCAGTATTCTTAACAGTTCAGTATCGTCAATAACTCATTATTGTCTGTAAATATATTAAAAGTTCATCCCCTTCAAATTTCCCTCCAAACTTTGTTGTTGACTACGTGAATAATTTCGAATGATGTACAGTTTTGCCTTTGCAAAAGAAAAAGAAAAAATCACCTGATATAAACCAGGCATGCAACTTTTTTCCTGGGATCCGCTGATTTCCTCAATTTTTTTTCTCATGAATGCCATTTTAAAGTGGGAAAAAGTGGTTTGGAGTTTTCTTATTTTTTTCTAAATTCCCAGTTACATGCCTGTATAAACTCAAGTTTAAAATCGTTTATAAGTTGTTTTCCATTCAAACTGAAATCAAGGGAAAGTTTCCATCACGAAACAACCATTTGCCCTCGGATGATTTTGATTAAAAGCCCTTGCTGTTATTTGATTGTTACAAGCCATTATGTTTTACTCTTGTCAGTTAAGAACGCATTTAGATTTGTCATTAGGTTTTTCTGGTCTTCTAATCTGGTACCAATAGTTGCCTTGCCTCGCGACTTTCTCACAGCTTTCTCAACTTTGCCAGCCTGTCTTAGTGTGCAATCGACGTAAAAGCTTGGACCACATACAAATTGAGTCGCAACTGCTGTCTCAAACAGAGCTCTTAGGGAAATCATTTGGCCAGCCTTTTTTAGTTTGCCTGCCATCGTCATAAAAGCTTGGACCACATACAAGCTGAGTCACAAATGCCGTCTCACGCAGAGATCTTCGGAAATCATTTAGAGACCGTTCTGCCAAAAATGAGTCTTTAGTTGATCAGACTTAATGCGGAGAAAACAAGATTCCGTTCTTCATTTAAGTCTTTCAAACTTACAGCCACCGAAGACTTGTTTTGACAGTAGTACGCAAATTTCGCTGGTTGGTTCGCATCCGAGAAAACTTTAATTTGTAGAGGATTTTTGGCTAATTCCCAAAGTCACAGTTGCTTTGACCTGAATGCTACTTCTTTAGACTACTCCCCTTTATCAATCTGAGAAAATCGGCTTGCCTCTTTGCTCCACGTTCTGCCCGCGGCTCTCATTGTTACCAGTTTAAGAGTAAAGATCTTTTAAGTATGGTGTATTCTTAGTGCATGTATAAGCTCCTCAAACTTGCGGGAAAAGTGTGCTTGATTTGGTTCAATAAACTTGTGATGCTTGTAAATACGCAGACTCAGTAAAAAGCTTGTTAACTTTTATTCAGGTATAAATAAACCAACAGCCCAATTTTAGCTTGTTCAAGAGGTTTTTTTTTTTTCCATATATTTCAACAAATTTGGTTTTTGGATAATGCATTTAGATTTCCTTTTTAATGAAGCCAGCGCGATACATGTACTAATTTTTACCTTTTGCTTGCGGGGTTTATGTGTTTGAATTTTTTTATGGGCATGTCTAACAAAATAGAAAAAAAACCACCAAGCGTACTTGTTAGTGTTTTTGGCCCAGTTCTTATGTATAAGAATTTCCCTAAAACGGAAAATGAACGAGTGTAGATATTGAAGGGGAAGGTAAATTTGAATTTTCTTATGAGGGAAGGAATCCCTCGTTTTCTGTTAAAATGCCTTTTTTTTGTAAATGTGCCACAGTGGCATACAAAGACGAAATCCACATAACCTTTTGCCATTTTAATAATTTTTATTGCAAGTTTGGTATTTTCTTTTTGCGTCCCTCTCCCCTAATGAACCTAAATCTATATTTGTATTTATGGTTTTATATTGTTATCCTAGACTATTGTAAGTGTATTATGAAGTATGTTAAGTGTCGAATAAATACGTGATCATTGTGAAGACACCTTAGAAAGACAAAGTAGAAGTGGTCTGAAAATACTTGATATTAACTTGGAATTTAAAAGAGTGATAAAAAAAATTGAAAATTTCAATGGGAAAAAGTGATCAAGTTTGCTATGAGTTTAATCAAGAAATGCAGAAAAGCTCCATAACCTTAACAGTTGGTACATGTTACAAAGCTTCCCAAGACCGCCAAAATCAACCACGCTGTGGAAACCTTTTGACAACTTCTTAATTCTTTTGCACTTCAACTTAAAGGTGCATCCACCGCCAAGTCTAGTCAGGCCCTGCCTTCCTCAATCCTACAAAATCCTCCAAAATCTCCCACAGGAACTAGAATTTTATAGGGTCTGACATGTTAGGGTTAAAATATACCCCATGAGGTTTGCAGTTGCACATTTTATCGGCCCCATTATCGGCCCCTTTGGATACCCCCGGTTGGGGCTCTTGCATCTGCAGATCCAACACCAGCCTCCAGGGGTACCATGAAGGCCTTTCACGCTACTATCCAAAATCTCTGTGTTGGACCTGGTTGGAGCCCCCAGATTTTGACAACCCCTTGAAATCTCACTAAGAAGAATCCAACATGGCCTGTACATAGGTTTGGTGCTCTACACGGGTAAAATCCAACCCTGGGCAGGACCAGGGCTGAAAAGCCTAGAGCGGGGTAGAAAAATCCAAAATCTGCACACCATGTTAAGGAACGTATGATCTGATTCTGCTCTTGATAGAGACCCAGTTGATTTCAACACAGGTAGGGGAGACGATGGTCTGAAAAGGCCTTTAAGGCTTTAGGCTTTGTGGATATGTACTTATTGCATGCTACTGAAAGGTTTACTCCAGTATAAGTTTTCTTGATGATGGTTCATAGTAAAGGGGTAAGGAGAGAGGTTTGTCTTCATATCCTATGTACATGTACAATGTTCTAGTGACAAAAACTATCACAAGATGACATGCAAAAGAAGTATGATCATGGTTAATATGTAGAGGTCTGCACATTCAGCGCTGCCTTTGATGGATCAGCAACAAACTGCAAGACAAACAGTGCTTTGTTGTAATTGAGGGAAAATGATCTACATGTATTTTGGACTGGTCAGTGTGTTCAGTGCGAACTGTAATTTTTTTAAGTCACTTCACCTGTTCTGCTTTAAATGATCTAACGTCGTCCAACAATTTAAAGAGTTCATAATTTGACAAATGATTTCAAAACAAGTGTTCAGCATATAAGCACAATGCTGCTAAGTACACAATTTTCTGCTATTAAACAGAGTTTTAACCATTTCACAGAGATCATAAGGAAACATCATAGCAGTACACTATTAAAACTCATCCACTCCCTAAAACACAAAAAAAATCTCAAAATGTGCAAAGTGAAACATTTGAAAATTACAAGCAAAATTTTTTTACGTTATTGTACGTTAAGGGTTTTCTTATATCAAAATCGTACTTAAATGTACAGTAAAGATTTAGTTTTGTGTAGGAATAAGTATGTAGTGACTGTTAAAATTAGCAAAATATCAATGTAGCGTTTTATTGTTCAAATGACAAAATGTTTTAACTTATAACTTTTCCAGCTTAGTGCCTGAGGTAAGCCAACAATTTCCTGAGATCTCATAAATAGTATGCATTATTAACAGTCTTGGGGAAACTATTCATGTTACAACTGCTCAAAATGATACCATCTCCGCCCTCTCTGCGTTAAATTGGATTTTGCTTTTTCTTCAAAATATGCCCAAACCAATGGCCTCATAACTGACGCAGTTGTCCTTGTACAACTCAACCACCTTTCCAGTCCGAATCATAATCTTGTGAAAGACCAGCATGCAACTTTTCCTCAGCTCCGCTGATTTCCTCGTTTTTTAACTTCTCATGAATGCCATTACAAATTGAAAAATTCTGTACAAATGCTTGTGTAGTTTGGAATTTCCTTGTTTTTTTTCCCTCTAAATTCCCAGTTACATGCCTGGAAAGAATTTTTCTCATTGACTCTCAAAGCACTGAACAGTGCCCTACGTTTTTAATTTGATGATGGGTTGAACCCTCGATCATGATTGCAGACTACCGTCTTAAAGTCCAACCCCAACTAATGCTGATAGGGCTCTTCGTGGTGTTACATGCAAAACTTGAAGAGTTTAGCCAAAGATCATGATAAAACTTGATTTTGACTCCGACTACCAGAAGTCCATTGAAAGATTTCTCCACTGACCTCACAAGTGCACAGAAGATTTAAGAAAATATTTTCCACTCGTCCCACTGCCATGCCAAAACTCCAACCTTTCATCGCTTTGTTATATTTTGGAAGTAATTATCCCAATATCTTGGCTTTTGTTTGTACATGCATTCAAATATGATCAATCTTCACGACCTTTAAAGTTCTCTGACCTTAGAGTAAAATCTCACTCTTTTGGAAGGCATAGTCACCAAAAAAAAAAGGATAAATTTAATACACGAAGACAAAAGTCGCCTCTTGTAACACAATTCCAGTAGAATTAGCATTGTCAAACTGTTGCAAGTGGGTTAGACAAGCAACAAATAGCACTTCAGGGAATATTCTCATGGAAATTTGCGACCTACAAAAGCTTTATTGTCTTAAGATGTACCGTCGACTCTCGTAAATACAAACACTCTCTATTGCAAATTCTGGTTATAACAAATTCTGGTTATAACAAACACCAAGTCTTATTCCCAACTCGGGATTTATGTGCACAATAAATTGGACCGGCACTCTCCTTAATACAAAATTCTGATATAACAAACATTTCGACTAGATCCGGCTGAGTTTGTATTAACGAGAGTTGATTAATTTGCCATCTACTTCCTTTAAGCAGCTGTGCATTACAATTAACTGCTTGTGTTTCATTAACATTACGAATATTAATTTGACTATTCCTCTTTCTCTTGTTTAGGTACATTGGAGTGCTTGCCCGTTAATTTTGGGGGTGACTTATTGCAAGGAATTGGAGAAATCCTGCTGAGTTTCCTTAAGCCGTGTTCAGGTAAAGATTAACCCTAACTCCTTAGGCCTTTTTGTTAAGATGTAGCCTCAATCCTGCAAAATCATTTAATTGGCCTCGTGGAAAAATAGCACATGTAGCCTCAATCCATCATCTAAAATTACTTCTTATTTTGTAGGTGTACTGTGATGGTACATGTGCCAGGGAGGGGGAAAAACCAAGAGTGTCGTACCTCACATGAAAATGGATTAGTCTGCAACTTCAGCTGCTCATCACAGAAATGGAAGCCACCATTACCTACAATAGGAGGTACATCTATTTATTAATTCAGTTTGTACACATCTAAGGCCTTTCTTCCCGGTGAATTTACACATATTTAGCACTGTACTGTTGAAAACCTAGCAATCATTTGAGAGCCAAGTTCAGTCAGTAACTGAACAATAGGTTGGCCCATTGCGTCCAGCGAACATTTGAAATTTTTTTAAACATAGGCATTGACAGCAAACACTGATTTCATGCAAAGTCCAATTTCAGATACATAATTTATTCCAGATTTCAAACATGCAAACACCCTCAACATTATCAACATTATCAAATTATTAACAGATCAACATTATCAAATTAAGAACTTCAATAGATTCGCAAGCGAAACCCACAAAGTCTGCTCCTGCAACATTAAGCAAAGTTGCAATGGTCTTGTTATTTCTCACTCCTTTTATTTGATTGGTTTCTGTAGTGTCATATCAGGGGGGGGGGGGGGGGGGGTGGTGTTCTAACAGGAATTAAAAGTGTCTATTTGGCCCAAGGACCCAAATCTGGATCACACCTGTTCACATCCATCTACCCGTATTTATGAAATTCCCCAAACCCTTCCAGAACCTTTTGAAATGCTCCCTGTTCCAAAAAATGCTTTACATATTAACCTTATCCCCCTAGGCCCTTCGGCTAGGAACCATCTGCCATTCTTCACAATCCTCCAACTATCACTGCTAATGGGTTGAGGCATGCCGATGACATTCAGAAGCAGTGCGGATGATATCGAGCATAATGCAGGGATCAGTTATACATGACTAAATATCAATAATGTCTGGCACAGCCTACGAGCTCGACACAATGCATCCTCCAAAATCAACAGGCACTGTTTGGCCATTCAGCCTCCTCCAAAACCGCCTGGAGGACTTTAGAGGGTTATGGTTAAAGGGAATATACAACATTTGCAAACATCAAAAAATAAAACTACCAAATCATTTTGAAATACCTTGCTGGACTGTTAGTGAATGACATTGTAAAGCATCCTGTAAAATCATGGCACCTGGTATACTGTCATTTTCAAGAAAAGTGGTATTTTTGTATCAATTTCCAACGCTGGTCGACCGACCAGCGTTGGAAAAAACTGGCTTTTTTTCAAATACTGGCCCCAATTGACCATTGCACTTGTTTGCAATCGATTACACACCTATGAACAGGTACAAGCCAGCTAGACTGGTTCCCTGACCTTACAATTCCCCAATGTATGTAAACTGCTCTGTTTCTTCTTATATGGAGTCAGGGAACCAGACTACAGGAAAATCATTGTTTTTCTTGGTTTTTATAGCATTTTCGAACCCAAAACCTCAAAAAAGTCAGTGTTATTTGCTATATATTTCCAACCCCCCAATTCCATCCATTTCTGAAAATTACAGCAAAAGCAAATGATGTATATTCCCTTTAACAAGACAGTGGACATTTTCTAAAAAGAATTTAATTAAATTATTTGTTTCTTTTCTTGACAGAATCTTTCATAACTGGTTGGGAATTGACCACACTTCCATTGGATTATTGGATCGACCCATTGCTGATTTTGACCGACATCAAGCATGTCAGGTGTGGGGGAAAACACATCGGTGCAGTGGCAGGTTATTTGGTGTTCATGTCATTTCAAGAATGCAAAAAATATAGCATAAGGCCAAAAAAAAAAAAAATACTCGGTCTCTGTTGTAGCTTCCGTGTTAATTTGAAAAAAAAAAATATTGACGCGCTACAACAGTGCCCTCTATTGCCGCGCCTTCTCAAATTTTTGTACCAAGGAATGGGGAAATTGCACCAAGGCAAATGATAAAGGGCACCAAGGCAAATTATGGAGGACACCAATGTATAAGGACACAAAAAAGCAAAATAGTAACCACCTTGTCTGTACAATACAAGCTTGAAGAAAAAAAAAAGCCACCAAAAAAACCCCCAAAAAACGCGTCGCTGCATCAATTTCAGAACTTCAGTCTGACCACAGACCGACTATTTTTTTTTTGGCCTAATACATTGTACCGTTTGGCCAGTCAAAGTTGATGCATACATTGGTAAAGATGACGCTGAAAATGGAATCTTATAAGTGTTATTTCTAGCATACAATTTTTGAAAATGAGAATGCTTCCACACTAACATGAATACCTCACATACATTACTAGTTAAATATCATTGTAACAGTTTTGTGGTTTTTGTGTGTTTTTTTTGTGGACCAACTCCAATGAATAGGAAATGTACCAGAGCTATCCACCTGAAAGTGCGTTTTCTTCTCTTGTTCATTTTTATTTTCATTTTACTGTAACTGTCTTCTTGTTTGGAAGATAAATTTTTGAAAACTTGTTCTTTTAAAACTGAGTTAGAAACTGCGTTTTCTTTTTCGTTTGATTTGGCCCTCAATTTACATGAACTATTTAAGGCATGTTTCATTGAATTTATTCATTTTGTATTCATAATTATTGATTATTCTTTATAATGAAGTACATGTTTGTGTTAAGTTTTAACTTTTCTCTGTCGCTTTTGTGACAGTTTTCAGAACTAACCCATTGAGAGCATGCAACCAGTTCCTTGAATATTTAAAAAAAATAATATACATGTAATTTTAGTATAAATAACAGGGCTTACCCACTGTCAATTTTTAAATTCAAAACCCAAAATCATCCGAGTTGAACAAAAAAACGTATTTAAAAAAGAAAGAAATGCGTTTTCCATCTCACAGTGTGATGCATTTGTGCAGCGCATGTTTTCGCAAGAGATAGGAAATTATTGGACATATTAAAATTGCAGTGAGGGACTTAACAACATAACTGGGAGAAAATAAGTGAAAACTAAAAATCAACTTCCCTTTCAAATTCAAATTTGGTTATTAACTGACTGATGGATAATTTCCGGATGAGGTCTTACAACTTTTAATACATATCAACCTGCAGTGTGTTCATGTCAATAAGCCAAATTTTATCTCCAATTATATCAGCTAGCCGTTACAGTATTAGACACATTTTTTGTGTCTCATAATCGTCTCTTTTGACGAACATGCCAGCATTGATTTGAATGAAGTTTTGATTTTACATGTACTTCAGTTTTGTTGTAAAGTTAAGGTTGAAGGATCAAAAGTTTTAAAATTTAAATCTGACTTTTTAAAAACATCTTGAACATTTTAATTTAATAAAACTGCGTAGATGTAAAGGAACAAACGTGTACAATATTTTATATACATTAACATCTATTTTTATACATTTTTAATACTAGGTAATTAGGAAACATACATTTGTAATGTCTTTTTTTAGCTGTCATATGAATCAACGCATTAAACATGGCATATCCCATTCTACGTGCAGTAATAAAGTCCTTTTCAGATTGTTTTTGTTCCATGTGTTGCTTACCTTTCATCTATGGGCTGAAATCCTCGAAAATTTCTTGTTTTGGATTGTTTATTTGCGAGGAATTAAAAAAAAAAATTGGTAATTTTGTGTTTTTTAGTCCCACAATTTGACCTGGGTGATATGAACGTGGCCTATTTTCAAGTAGTATAATAGGGGTGTAAGTGGCACCACCAACGTCAAACGCCAAAAAAAACCCAATTTTTTTTTAAACAAATTTGAAAAACAAAGTTTGTTGAGCCCCCCCCCCCCCCAAGCCAAATCCTGGGTGCACCACTGTGTACATCCAATTAGTAATGGTCAAGGGGTGCAGGATCAGTTTTCTAATTCATTCATTTAGATAAGGTTGATTTGCTCAGTGGCGACATTACAAATTAATAATGTTTGAATTGCCCATACAGCCTTCAAAAGGATATCATTAATGGGAAACTTTTGAGCTGTTGGTGGCAGCAAACACACCGGTCCTTTTTTTCATTGTTTGCGTCATATTGAGCATGCGCACTTTGGCTTAAACATGACGTGAACAATTGAAAAGAGTGGTATGTTTGCTGCCACCAATGTCTCAAGAGTCTCCCATTCCGTGCCAACTCAAATGTGTTGCATTTAGTCTGTGCTCTTGAATGTTCTCAACTGCACAGTCTTGGGGTTGTGCCCCGTATCGACTGTACCGGTGTCGCCCTCTCCAGGGAGCGGCCTCCATGAATGCGGACACATCTTCCTGAAACCGTCGCACCACAGCTGCCAGACCTTCCGGTTGCAGACAAAAGACAGGAAGATCAGAAGACCTTGACAGGAGTTGAGAACGATGAAGACGTACCACAGAGCCACGACGTCACTGATGGCAGCAGCGAAGCCTGAGATCCAAGTGAATCCCATCAAGCTGGAGATCTGTCAAGCAAAGAACTTGTCTTAGTCCATGGGTTTGGATTTTGTCCTGTTTGGATTTTGTCCTGGCAAAGTAAGGTCAAGCAGCTGCGGCAGTAGAGGGTGATCTTTCACCAAAATGTTTGTTACATTAGAACAAGTAGGAGTTCTTGTCCTATTCATGGTATATATAAACACACAGTAGAGACCGAGGCTTACGTTTACTGTTACCAGAATTTGTACTAACTGTACTAACAAGAGTCGACTCTATTGACAAGAGTCCAACTTTGTCTTGGGAATTTCAGTACTTGTACGAGAGGAGTTTTGAGCATCCTTGGCACAATTATGTTCATTCAAGTTATTGTGCATGCCTGGGGTATGCTTGAAATTGCACAGGTTCAAGTGGACCCCACGACAAGTTCCCAAGACTAAATTTGAAGCGTCATGATAATGGTACCTTTTAAACTGCAATGATGGCTTGACATCACTTGCCAGGGACTGGCTACATAACGAGAACAAACTCCAAACCAGTCTTGACCCCTAGGCTTGCAAAAAAACACAGGCTAGGCTTTTTCCAGATCAGATATTTTGTGGCTTCAGCTTCTGTTCAGCCAGTGGTGAGCCATAGTAGAGAGCTACAGTTGTAGACACATTTACAATGCCCTAAAAATTGACTGGTTTAAGGTCAGGTTGGTATTGTTTCAGATTCTAACAAGTCTTAAGTCCTCACAAAGCCATGCCTAGGTAATCACAGGGCAATAATACGTCATCCAGTCCAAAGTCAAGTGCTTTTCAAATGGAAATGTAACTAGACTCTTCTATTGACCTGTGATTTTTTTATTTTACCAGTCTTATGATTGTGATAGACTGGAAAACAACACCATAGGAAGGGACTCTTAAAAGTTGGAAACTCCCGTTTTGTATGGAACATTCCTTTTAGGAACACTGTTATTCTCTGTGTGTTTCCAACTGGAACAAGCCATTCCCGAGGCCTGGTTTTCCTGGGCTGTTCCCAGTAGCTATGTTTTCTCTGGTGAAACGTTCTAAGCGTTCCAACATTTTTGAGGCGTTCCTAACAATGGCAGCTAGTACAAAGTTAAATCTGGACTTACTTTTATGTAAATAGCAAGTTCCTCCTTGGCTTGCTGTGCTTTAGATTTGTCTCCCCGAACAGCTTCAGTAGCACGCTTTGTCCGCCAAATTCCACGGACGGTGAAAGCAAATAGTATTGTGTTAGTGAAGATGACGATTCCAATGGGAACTCCAAACACGGCTATTGCGACGTATCCGTTGCCGATCCAGCAAACGCTGTCACCGTACCAGAGAGGAATGGCAGTGCAGTCACAGAGGTGTAGAATCAAACAAGGGAGGATGATGAGTAACGGAACACCCCAAGCAAATAAAACTGGCACCAGTAATGCATAATGTTTGCTGTGCTGGATTCTAGACTGCACTGCAAAGGTTCTGTTGAGGTTAAAAGCCAGGACCCCTGTCCACATGACGGAGACGAGGAAAAGGTAGTGCGTTAAGACAGCGACGGCGGTACAGGCAGCTGGATGTTGAGCCCCTACTCCAATCAGTTGAAAGAAAAGTTGTGCCAGGAACAAGGCGCCCACGAGATTCATGATGGGACAGGTGGTGCGATGACGGAGCTCTTTGAAGAAGCAGAAGGATAGGAATGTGATGACAGAAGCCAACATGGACACACTGTTCCCAATTATGCTGAGAATCTGCTGCGGCGGTGAATATTCAAAGAAAGTAAAGATTTGGGTGCGATTGCGTGTCCCGTTTTGTTCATTGAAGGAGCAAACCTGGATTTCTCCACTGGAGGTTTCTATGTACTGTTCCCGAAGGAATGCTTCCCCAGTTGGAATGTATGTCAAGGAGCTATCATTGTTTGCACTGGTATGAAAAAGAGAACGGTTGAAAGTCTCGAGAACGCAGGAAAGATCAGGGTTTTCGCAAATTTGAATGCTGTAAGACCACTCAAATTTGTGGGACGCTGATTGTGAATTGAACGTCTCCCGATGGAGACTCTGACTGATGATGTATGTGCTGGATATCCAACTCGATTGATTCTGGTAGAGATGAGATTTGTCAATCCAGTGTCCATTACATCTATGCAGAGATAAGTTCACACTGTGATAAATCACCTCCACTGAAAGGATGATGACATCTGGGCAGAGTGTCCAACTGTCAATTATCTGCAGTTTCAGATTGAAGGCCAAGAATGTCTCCCAGTCAGTCCAGACCATGAATGGATAGACCACCGGTTGTGTCGGAGAAAGGCAGTTGATGTCAGTCAACGTAGGGGTCATCTGCGATGGTTGAAAGTCACTTTGATTGACCCCAATGAGCTCACCAAGGCACATCTTGACGCTGACCAAATTACTGGGACCAGGCTCTGGAATCGTCAACTCGCAGGCGGTGATGTGCACATAGATGACCGTATCATGTGGCATCGGTACGAAGGGGGTCACATTCCGCACGCATTGGTAGCCATCAAAGACATAACCTTTGCCACAAGACAGCCTGCGACACTCAGATTGAAACGGGTCGTAGACATGATTTGCTGGACATGTTACATGCTCCTCGGTGATGACAACCTCCTTTCCGGTCACCACCTTGACGTTGCCCCCAGAGCGGAAATCAAAGATGATTGAAAGAGGTGGTGGAATTGTAGTCGGGACAGACGGAGGATCTTGCAACAAAAATCCCATGTAGATAATGAAGGGGTAGTACGTGCTGCAATTAATTGCTGCGAAGGAACGTTCATTGCATTCAACACAGTGGGGATTTTTGGCCGGTATGTAGAAGGGGAAGTCAGAGAATATACTGACGGCTGTGTAGAACTCACAGGCTGCGTGAAGCGAGTTTCCAGGGAGGCAGTGATCTATGTATTCATTCCCGTGGAAGCATGTACGCAGGTCTGCAGCTGCCATCGCTGGATGTTTAAACACAATCAAGCATTCCAGAACATGCTCAATCAGATGCAGTGTTTCTTTGGACGTGGAGTTGGACAGTAATGCGGCAGCCTCTGCATCCTTGGAATCTGATCCACAGATGATGCCTACAGTCCACGACACCAAGTTGGGTATTGTTTCTCCCCAACACAGGGCACAGTATACGTTGAAGTACGGAATGTCATTCTTCAGGCCTGAAACCATGATGCGCGAGAGGAAGTCAGTATCATCCACATGCTCGCAATGATGTCGGATCAGGTCATCCTGCCGTGTTGGACTGTCCAGGGGACAAGAACTGATGACATAGTATCCTTGATTGATGTCAGCTCTTGGAACTTCAACATAGCAGATCAAGTTTTCAAGCTGGGAAATAAAAATCGGGGACATTTTGGACATTATTAATTTAATCATAGTAACAGGTATAATAAACGGGATGAAACAATAACAAGGGTGCCTTAAGTTGTCACAATAAACTGGAACAGCTTGTTACATGACTTGAGACTGTAAGAACTGTGATGGAGCTTGACCTTGGATTCCATGCAACCTTTCCAGGCAAGCACTCCAGGCAAGCTTTCCAGGGAATCATTTCAGGCAAGCTTTCGCGGCTATAGCTTTCCCGGCAAGCTGTTCAAGACTAGCTTTAATGGCTAGGTTTCATGTCCAGCTTTCCAAGCTAGAGTACAAGGCTTCCAGGCAAGCATTCCGTGCAAGCTTTCCAGACAGGCTTTCCAGGCAAGCTTTCACGGTTAGCTTGCATGCAAGCTTTGTAGGTTAGCCTTCCAGGCAAGTATTCCAGGCAAGCTTTTCAGACAAGCTTTTCAGGCAAGCATTCCAGGCAAGCTTTCCGGGCAACCTTTTCAGGCTAGCTTTCACGGTTAGCTTTGCATGCAAGCTTTGTAGGCTAGCTTTCCAGGCAAGCCTTCCAGGCAAGTATTCCAGGCAAGCTTTTCAGACAAGCTTTTCAGGCAAGCATTCCAGGCAAGCTTTCCGGGGAGGCTTTCCAGGCTAGCTTTCACGGTTAGCTTTGCATGCAAGCTTTGTAGGCTAGCTTTCCAGGCAAGAATTCCAGGCAAGTATTCCAGGCAAGCTTTTCAGACAAGCCTTTCAGGCAAGCATTCCAGGCAAGCTTTCCGGGGAGGCTTTCCTTGCTAGCTTTCCAGGCTTACATTCCAGGCAAGCTTTCCAGACAAGGTTTTCAGGCAAACTTTTCAGGCATGCATTCCAGGCAGCATTCCAGATAAGCTTTTCAGGCAATGTTTTCTTGAAGCTTTCCGGATTAATCTTCTAGGCAAGCTTTCCAGGCAATTTTCAGCTGTGCCATGCTCGCACTTGCAAGGAACCTGATCGAACTGGCTGCATTAGGGGAATTAAATATATATCCAGTCTTGGATCAAGACTACAGTGCACTATGACACATGGGTCTCACTTGAGTTTCGAGTACAAATAGTTGAAAGTTAAAACCAAAAAAACTGATGCTTACCCTAAGTCCTGTACTGGGAGTGTAGTTGGCCGATGTTGGTTGACAGTATTCAATGTAGTCTACGCAGCAGTCGCCGAAGAAGGTGCATGCCGGATCGCACTGGCACATTGAACTAGCCAGAGTGGTGTTGGAGGTACTGAACGGCTGGAAATGACAACCAAGGCTGCTGCACAGATGGCGCTGGGTACAGATGTAGACTCTTACCCCACCAAGCTCCAATGGTCTCCAAACTATGAAAGTAAAGCACGAGGTAAGTTATATTTTGCGGCAGCTTTTAAAAGGCCGACCTCATGTCGACCTTGCAACTGATCATTCGCGATCGGCGACTGTCTTTTCAAGATCAAGCAGCGCCTGAGCATATACGTACCGGTCGCCGAGTTTTTTTGTCGATCTGATGTAACTGCAACGATGTAGAAGATCGCATCAGTCGGTTATTAATTCGCATAATGTATAGGCCCTATATGCAGCGGCATCATTGCTTCGTGGGGGCGACCTATTTTGCAAGGAAACTTCCTCTGAGTACTGTCTTGGTGACTGGCTGTGACCAAGTGACCATGTGCTTGCCTCAAGCATGCTTAAGTTACCAGAGGCCCCACATACCAAGATTGGCTATAAAATAGATTTATGATGATGATGATGTGATGGCATTCCTGTGCCCCCTGGATGCCTGGTCGGGCCCCCCAATAACCAGACATGCTGTCTCCGATGACCCACCCATCAATCATCATATGCAACAGACTCAGATCGAATATCCCCTTCCATGCCGAGTATAAAACCTTTTATCATGAATTGGTAAAAGGAGTTATTTCAAGACAGGTCCTGCATTAGGTACTCTATTAACTTGGCTCCACCTAATGTAGGACCTGTCTTGAAATCATCAGACTTTAAGTGAAAAATGTTGCCATTAAGGGCCGAGCCTTCGTTTCTCATAGATTCCTTATTTTTGTTTCATTAGGGGACTAATGAAACCTGAGTCCAAGGTGATTTTTCACGAGCCTTCCTAGCTGCAGCCGTATCTTTGACAACAGCTGCATTTTGACCTATGCCACTTTGTTTCTTAATGAGCTCCTTCATGGAATTCATGTCTGTCTCATTTTCGTATAGGGGCATTTAATGTGCTTTGCATCCGTTTTGTCTTAAAGGTATAAAGTACATCATTTGCATTTTTTTTCCGTTTGAAGCAACAAAAGTGCTCAAAATCTCAACAATTATAAACTGATGAAGTTTAGCTCAGTGAATGCTGTATATTCCGAGAAAACAGTATTCTAGGATCTCGTTTTCTATTCAAAAGTTGCCGTTTTGTGTTTTGAATTGTGCCCCAAAATCAACAGCCGATTGCAGCTATACGCACGCGATGTCACGCACTAAACCGACGAATTATAGCAACCGCGCGCGCGGGTGCGTCGTGTCAACGTTTGTGCGCACCCATTCACGGCTTCGCCGAATTAAAAACGAACTACATGTACTAAAGGAAATTTCCAGAAATGCGCGTTTAGACGCATCTTTGGAAATGTACTTCTTTTATTGCTTTTTTCTAAGTGACAACATGCCAGAAAGAATAATTTCACAGGGAGTAATTAGTGCCAACTTGAAAGCAAGTTTGCTTTTCAACAATAATTTCGTCAGTTACTTTTTGGAAAGCTGCCAATGATGTACATGTACTGTACCTTTAACTTTCGCTTGGGATATATTTGTAGAATTTTAATTATCCTCATAAATTTTAATTATCCACACGTCTTTTGAATTTTTCTTAGCCTTCCTGGCGTAGACATTTCTGATGAAGGCAATATGGTTGAAATGGAATTTTGGATTTTTTACACTGTTCTATATTCCGTTTATATGAAATATTTACAGAATAGTGTGAAGGAACGAACACTTATTTGAAAAAAAAAATCCAACTATTTTTCTCCTCTATTAATTTTGTTTTTCATTATATGACAATTTCCTGAATTGTATAAGTTTTGAAACAAAGGACCGGAATCTGGGTCACAAATAATATAGATTAATTCAGAACAAACTAAAACCATCTGGCAATGGCAGAGAATTAATAACTCATGAAACATTCATAAAGTTATAAACACATACATAATACAATCGGAATATGCATGAATATTATTAAAATATTAATTTATTATTCTGTAATTTTGTGAGCTCAACATCTGTTTTTGGTGACAAATTTATTCATGCCACTTCAAGTTCTTTTTAAAAGCCCATCAACCATTACAGACACACTCTCGGAAAAAATGGTCCGGATAACATTGTTAACTTATTTCTTATGATGGGACTGCGGTTTGGCCGAAGTCAATTGAGCGTGATCGGCTGACTGATAAGGTTTACGTACAAAACCCCGAGCCAACGAGGTTTTTGTATAGAAAGCACCCGGACCACATTTTGCGAGAGTGTGTCCGTAATGCTAACAGATTTTTGATGTGCATTTAGCAGAATTTAGCTCTGACCTTACGGTCACCCGGACCAAACTTGCTTTTCCAGTCAAGTGCATGTGTAATAATGAAAGATGTACTGTCCCCATACATGTATGCTCAACAAATTTAATTTTAAAATAATTTTCTGGCCATAATAACGTCCAAACGCAGCACTGACAAAGTGAATTATATCACAAACTTTGCCAAGATGTTGAATGTAACAGAACTTACTGTCTGAAGTTAGGTCCTCGAATGAAGAAGTTGGATCTTCAGTAGTCATGGAGGATAATTCAGGTGAAATGGTCGATGTAGGTGCATTGGACGAAGGTGATGCCTCCGTAGGTGCTGTTTCTATAGGTGCTGCAGGTGACGTTTCTTGTGCCCATACGGCGTATGACGCACAGATAGCGAACAACCAAAAAAGAATAGCCATCCTTGCTCTGGAAATGTGATGCACGCAATAGCTGGGGCAGTACTGAATTGTTGCTTCAATCACAATATTGGCATGCTCCAAAAATTACTACACGGTTAAAGAATATTAGAGCACTACCATTCCATTTGCGAGACCTGTGCAGTATGGGAAACGTGTAGCAGTGTTCAGTACTTAAACCAAAATCGCACGCATACACACGCAGTACAGGTCTTATGGAATAGGAACAGCTATTGTGTGTGCTCAATGTCATATTCGTTCAGGTATACTTTCTACGAAAGCCCATTAGCGCCACTGCAAGTATATATGTTGCGGATTATTTAATTCGTTATTACGGATTATTAATTCGTTATTTCGGATTACTAATTCGTTATTACGGATTATTAATTCGTTATTACGGATTATTAATTCGTTATAACGGATTATTTAATTCGTTATTACGGATTATTAATTCGTTATAACGAATTATTTAATTCGTTATTACGGATTATTAATTCGTTATTACGGATTATTAATTCGTTATTACGGATAATTAATTCGTTATAACGGATTATTTAATTTGTTATTACGGATTATTTAATTCGTTATTACGGACTACTAATTCGTTATTACGAATTACTCATACGGCGCTATATACACAGGCCCCTGGTCACGTGCCCTACATGCGTGAGAACATCAGACTTAATTCGGAAATAACGAATTAATAATCCGTAATAACGAATTAAATAATCCGTAATAACGAATTAAAATCCGTAATAACGAATTAAATAATCCGTAATAACGAATTAATAATCCGTAATAACGAATTAAATAATCCGTAATAACGAATTAATAATCCGTAATAACGAATAAGTAATCCGTAAATAACGAATTACATAATCTGTAACATATATACTTGCAGTGGCGCTAATGGGCTTTCGTAACTTTCCAATGCGTCATACACACACTGAATATACATACAGACTACTCTTTTATGATCAAACAGCACACGTTGCAAACTTTGTTGAAATTCGCGCATGACTGATCACAAGCAGAGCCGCATGATCTGACTAACTATATTGTTTCATATTTCTTTGACGAGTTGAGCTGACAGTCAGCTGCACAACAGATCAGGGACATGTAAATAGAAACTCTGTATAATTTTCCCTATAATTGCGTTTGCCACTCTGTTTGCATTTTTATGTCTTTTTCATTATAATAAACAAGTGAATTGACAATTAGTTCAGGGCTTTATGTGGAAGGTAGTTATAAACACACTTATGTATGAACCTCTTTTAGTTAAAGAATTGCAGGCGCATCGAGTTTCATATTCATCTTTCATGACATTCTATGCGGGTTTTTTTAATTGGCAAGCCAGATGGCAATGCAATTTCAATAAAAGTATCGATTCAAAAACAAAAATTCGAAACGGGTGCAATGGTAGGGCAACCGTCCCAGTTGGATTTAGTCTGTACCATTCTGGGGAGACGTTCAGCATGGCCATTGAATTTTAATTTAATAAATGGGATAGGGTTTCCAAACCCTGTTTCTGGTTAGAACTTGATATGGAGATATGACCCCACCGCCCCCCCCCCCCAAAAAAAAGGGGGGGGGCAGAAATACTTGTGGTTAGCCTTACATTTTTCATAAAATTTGGCAAAAATATGAATTTCTTTTTAACTATATATCTGCCCCTAAATCCAGTTGGAATGTGTTCGAGGGTCCCTTAGGAGTCTTTCCAGGAAGTTTCGAGCAATATCATTTTTTGACCACAATTGACAAAAAATGCAAGGGGTTAGCCTTACATTTTTGATGAAATTTGGCCAAAAATATGATTTTCTTTTTAATGATATATCTGCCCCTAGATCGAGTCGGAATGTGTTCGAGGGTCCCTTAGGAGTCTTTCCAGGAAGTTTACAGCAATTTAATTTTTGACGAAAATTGACAAAAATTACAAGGGGTTAGCCTTACATTTTTGATGAAATTTGCCCAAAATATGAATTTCTTTTTAATGATATATCTGTACCTAACTCGAGTCGGAATGTGTTCGAGGGTCCCTTAGGAGTCTTTCCAGGAAGTTTGGAGCAATTTTATTTTTTGACCAAAATCGACAAAAATTGCAAGGGGTTAGCCTTACATTTTGGATGAAATTTGGCCAAAATATGAATTTCTTTTTAATGATATATCTGTCCCTAGATCCAGTTGGAATGTGTTCGAGGGTCCCTTAGGAGTCTTTCCAGGAAGTTTGGAGCATTTTCATTTTTTGACCAAAATTGACAAAAATTGCAAGGGGTTAGCCTTACATTTTTGATAAAATTTGCCCAAAAAATGAATTTCTTTTTAATGATATATCTGTACCTAACTCGAGTCGGAATGTGTTCGAGGGTCCCTTCGGAGTCTTTCTA